TCTACAGGATCAGGTGGCTGGATCAGGCGAGAACCTGTAGACTGGCGCACCTGTAATAGTAGTTAGTACCTATATAATTACGAGAAAATAAACATGATTTGTAATGTTTCTGCCACGATTTATTTGTGAGGACCCCGGGGGCCAGGGAACCGTGACCAGGCGAGAGTAATGAAGCCTGTTCAGGCAATCGACATTCACCATTGAAGCAGAACATTATAATATCATGTAGGAATATAATGGTGGTACATTCATGGCAGGTGATGCAAGAAAAGTACATCTTGCCAACAGCCACCAATATTGCACCTATTGCAATGGATTGGGAAATTGCCAAAGCGGACTCGCCTCGATAATCGCATATCTCTCATGTACAATTATGGCGCTCAATTACATTGATTGTGTCGTCATGTAATAGATTGCAGGATGGATCTGGTTTTGCTGATGACTTGGCCTCTGTGATAGCCTGATGGGTGAATTGAGAGGTCCGCTTTTCGGATGTCAGCCCATGGGCCTGGCCGGTCGCGGGTTTGGCACATAACCTTGCCTTGTTCCGGTCCGTTTTGTGGGCAAATGACATCTAACATTTGAAAATCGCAAGAAGAGTGGAATCACGACGTAAATCGAGAAAAATACAAGCTCGTCGTGTCAAAGACATGCTATATTTTGATTGGTCATGATCTCGGTCACCTAAGGAAGTTAGCCACTTGCCTCTAGATTTTGCTCATGCCAGTGGGTATTTCGAGCTTATGTCTGTAACACTGAGTAGATAGACTCACTATCAGTCAATTCCACGAAAACTTGAGCAAGGTTAGTGCGAGCGGCCGACTTCGTTGGGTGGCTGAGATTATGACCAAATATAGTACAAAGTATCAATTTCTAGCTTTTCTCCGAGTATAAATAATACCCGTCGCCAGATCTGATTGGGTCAAGGATGTCACACCTCTCCGGCACTTTCGGCATCCGGCCGGATAGGCGTTGGAGGGTAATGGCCGGAGGATCACACCTCGGTCCGGAAATCTTACACGTAATCTCATCGCCATCCGGGCCTCATTTCGGGGTTTGAACATATAAGCATCAAGGCGTTTTGGGTTCGGCCAGGTCGAGAGCACAGCGCGTTGCCGACTTCACACCGACTGCCTGCCCCAGCAATGTCTCGGCCATATATCCTCGGGTTCTTCTTGTTATGTCTGTCGCTGGTCTCAGCGCACATGATTGAAGTGCCGGCGGGCAAGAAGGAGTGCTTCTTCGAGGATCTCCACGTGAACGATAAAGTGCCTATGTTGCGACCTCGTAGCCAGCCATAGAACTCACGTACTTTAGATGACAGTGACCTACCAGGTTGGAGGTGGTGGTCACCTAGATATTGACTTCTGGGTTAGTTTGACCCGCGCCCCATCACTCGCACCGCTCATGGTCCCGGAATGTAGTTGCAAGATCCCGACCACAATGCCCTCGCCAACCACGAGAGACAGAGCACAGGCACCGTCTCTGTAACTGCCAAGAAGGATGGCAGATACGAATACTGCTTCTCCAATCTCATGAGCACTGTCGTCGACAAGCTCGTAAGGTATGTGGCCGGTCGACCTTTACGATTAGGAAGTCAGTTTCACAGTAAATGATGCAGCTTCAACGTGCACGGTGTCATTTATGTCGACGAGGACGGTGAGTGTAGCACTATATCTTGCCTGGACTTTGTGACTGAGCATGTGTAGATATTGTTTCACCAATTGAGCGCGAGATTCGCGCGCTTGCTCACGGCCTCGCGACCGTTAAGGATGAGCAGGAGTACATCGTGATTCGCGAGCGAAGACATCGCAATACTGCGGAGTCAACAAACTCCCGTGTCAAGTGGTGGTCCATTTTCCAAGCTGTAGTGTTGTTCTCGGTGGTGGCTTGGCAGGTGTATTACCTCAAGGTTAGTGTGCATCCAATCATCCACGGCTGAGAATGACTCATGACTTTGCGCAGTCTTTCTTCGAGGTAAAGCGTGCTTTCTGAAGTCAATACATGTACCTTGTATACTCTCAGATTAAGGCGCGACTGGGTATCACGGTATGGTCTCGGACGACTACATAGTATTGCATCACCGAAGAGAGAGAACATTGCCTACAAGGATGCAGTGTAGAGAGTTTAAACCAAGACAGGTAAACATGCATGGTGCTTTACGGTAATACTTGGACAGTCTCAACAGGGTATAGCGCAGTGGGCTGGCAAATAGTACGACAACAAACACAAAATCAAACATAGCAAAATGTAGAGAGGTCATGAGTGGTCGTTCATACAGACATCGCGAAGTGATACATAGAACGAGTTAGAGGGTCCAAACTCACGAATCATAGCGACAACTTTTACCTCTATCGCCACGTCGGCTTCCCCATTCCCCGGAAGCTGATATCCGCGCTGGAGTTGGCATCGGGCAGCTTGAGCCGTGCAGATGCGCCCGACTTTGCTGATGACAGCGATAGTAGTGACATTCTCTTCGGCCGCTTCGCTGGAGACCGTTCCCCATTCCCGAAAGGCACTCGCCGCGCACCACCCATGCTCTTGCCCAAGATGTGCGACGAGTTACCGGAATCGTTCGCATCCCGGTCGACCGGCGAGAGCTGCGGGATCATACTGGACCGCCGCCGGGGACGGTCGCTGCGCGTGGGGCCAATATTCGAGCGACGTCTCATGCTCTTGCTTAGCCCGACAGCTTTCGGTGTCAAGGGCACCCGCTTTGCAGGGCTACCCGAGTGTCGCTCGCGACCCTTTGGGATGTGCAGGGCCCCGGTGGTACTCGTGCTACTGGTGGAGCCCTCAGGCGAAGATGCACGATTCATGTTGCGGTCCGACAATGGTCCGAGACGCTTTGTGGGCGACCCTTGAGCTGCAGCACAGTCCTCGTCGTCCTCTGCCAAACTACCAAGCGTAGAGCCTCGCGACTTCGATTTGAGGAAGGACGGGTCGAGCCGACTGGCCCTGGGCCGTTTGCGCACAGCACTGATGGAGGAGCTTGACGCGTCATGCATTGAGGGCTGGGCGAAGCTGAACTGAAGACTGTCGTCCGTCTTCTCGTCCTCCCATTCGCTTTCTAAGCTGAGGCCGGACATGCTTCGTGTAGACGTTGACGCTGAGCTAGAGCCAACCGTAGATGCGCCTGCAGAGAATATAGTGGTTGTGTCGGGGCTCGAAAATACAGTGATCGTCGGACCTACGGCGCCCACGCCACCATCGTCGATGTCACCCTGACCAGCTTCGTCGCGCCATTGCACACCCTTCCTTTTGCCCTTGTCTTTGTCGGATACGCGACGATACGGCAAAGCAGCAGAGGCCATGCTGGAGCGGAGCGACTTACGCGGGCTTTTGTGCGCCTTGCGGAGGGGGGAGCTAGGGACGGAGGCACCGTAGGATGAGGAACGCCTCGATAGCCTTGGTTTCCCATGCTGGGGGGCAATCGGCCCGGACGCCGCACGCCCGATGCCCAGTGTTGTCGGATACCCCTTGAAGTTGTCGAGGGACGACGGGCCTTGTGGAGCGGCGCCAACGGCGTAAGCAGCGATCGAGTGTCCCAGGAGAGTCTTGAAGACCTCGTCATTACCCTCCGCGACATGCTTCAATGACGAAGACAGTGCCTTGACAGTCGCCTCCATGCCATCCCGTCCCTCTGCCACAGCCGTGCCGAGGATGCGGCTTGCATCACCCAGCATGACGGTACATCTGCTCACCATTCCAATGAGACTAACGACGACTTCCGCCTGGCGCGTGACCGCCTCCTGCAGGACCTCCTGCCGTGCTTCCGCCTTGACGCGCTCCATCTCAGCTTTGCGCCACCGAGCGTCGAGTTTCACGTTGTCGACCGCGAACTCATCTAGCTTGTCTGACCTCCGCTCGCCCACGGCACGGAGTGTGGCATCGAACATCGCCGATGAGTTGCTCGAACGCTGTACGCGGACATTGAGAGCTGATTGCGCCTTGATGACCTCTTCCTCGGGGCCTGCAAGCGCCTTCAAGAGCTCGCGCTCAGCCTCCAAGTCTGACGGAAGAGCGGAAGAAGACGAGGCTTGGGTGTCGAGCTGCGCCAGCCGAGCGCGAATGACCTTCAGTTTGGCTTCGGCAACTGCGATCTTGCCGGCGCAACTTGCACCATCAACAATCGAGGGCTGCATCTGATCGGCTTTCTGCTGCATATCGCTCTTGGCCCGCTCGACCTCTGCAGCCGCCTCCCGCCTCTTCCGGCGGTCTTTCTCGGCCTCTAAGTCTCGTTTGCCCGCCACCTTTTGCTTAAGCTCGGAGACCTCTAGGTTGAGGCGGTTGATCGCCTCGACGTATTGCCCGACATGCCGGTCGACATTCACCACATTACGGGTGACCACTTTCGTCTTGATCCTCGTCGCGCGCTCTGCATAGACTAGAGTGTTCTGCGTGTCGTCGAAGTGAAGCGAGGTCGGCGCGATACAGACAATCATGACGGTCTTGCAGTTTCCACCGAGGGAGAACTTGAGCAAGCGGGTCAGCTTGCTGTTGCGGTATGGGACATGACGTATAGCACCTCCACTCTCGCAGAGAGCGTTGATGCAGTTGCCGAGAGCGAGAAGGGACTTGTTGATATTCGCGCCCTCGACCATGCGTTGTCCCATATTCGTCGTTGCAGCAGCCCGCTCGCTGCCGGCAAGGTCGATAATAGACAGTGTGCCCATCATCCGTTGTTCAGTGATGCTCGCCGTCCGCGGAGCCTGCGTGACATGCACCTGCAACACAGCATGTGACCGCGACGACGTCTCGTTAGCGTGTGTGGGCGACTGTGTTCTACGTGAATTGCCCAGCAAGACAATCTCTTTGACCTCATCGGCACTCCTGGGCCGCAATTCGGTAAGCCCGACGACCTTGACATTCTTGTCCTCGCGAATCTGGAGGCCCCCACGCGGCGTTGGAGTCCCCGGCTCTGCCAGAAGATCACGAATTTCTTCGTTATAGATTTCGAGGAAGGTGACGACTACGTCAATGATATTTTCCTCCCTTTTGTCTTCAATTTGTTGGAAGAGGTCGGCCATTGTGAGGTAGATGATACCAGGATCGGCATCTGTACCGCTAATAGTGTGTGTTTTACCACAACCTGTAGCCTGATGAAAGTGGTCATGTTGAGCAGACGTCCTGAGTAGGACGGACAGTTGAGGCTCACACCATAGGCAAAGATAGTAGCGTTGTATCCCTCCAGTAGATTGCTGAGTAATGGTTTGGCCGTGCCGTGGTATACATCTTGTTGACGCGCCTGATAGTCGAACACCCTGTCAAAGATAAAACGCCTGTCTTTGTAGCGTTTAGTACCCGGAGGCACGAAGCCACGCTCGACAAACGCTCTCGACGGATCCTTCTCATCGGGGTCGAACGTCAGGACGCGGTCATCCACGATTTGGATGACCTCCCGGAGCGGCGCGTTGGTCGCCGTAGACTTTGCCGGTGTAGAGAGTGCGCCGTCGGTACGGATGCAGTTGTCGTATGTTTGTTGGGGGAGTCGGGCTCCTTCCCAAGAAGTCGGAGGACGGACGCGGACTTGCAAAAGATGGGCTAAACGCTGTGGCCGGATGCCAGGGACAAAGAGTGGACCTACCTGCGACGGTGATTGAGCCCGCAGCAACCATGACTGTGTGTACTCCTCCTGACGCTGCGCTGTTCGGTAGCGGCCTGGCGGGAGGGACGGGCGTGTGGCGGAAGGAAGGAAGTTGAACGTCGAACCTGTCGCCAGCAGCAACCAAACTGAGGGCACGCGTCGCCCCACGTGATCGCGACTCTTCACCTTCCACCACCATGTCGGACACAATTGCCATTGCGTCGCCCGCCGATTTTCATGTCCACCTCCGACAAGGTGATCTTGCAGCACTTGTCACGAAACATGTGAGGCAGGGTGGGTTCAGGCTGGCGTATGTGATGGTAAGAGCAGATTAGCTGCTACCGTCGAGTGTCAGTCGATCAAGGGTCTCCAGCCGAACCTCAAACCGCCCATTGCGAATGCTGAGGAAGCTCTCTTGTACAAGGCACAGCTACAAGCTATCGACCCTACCATAGAGTACCTGATGACCCTGTATCTTTCGCCCGATCTCACTCCCGACGAGATTCGCAAGGCGAAACGCGCCGGCATAGTGGGTCAGTCCTTCGCCATCGGCACCATGTCCTCTACTCGCTTCTCATCTCGCCGCAGGGGTCAAATCGTATCCTCGTGGTGTTACCACAAATTCTGACGGTGGCATCGAGTCTTACGAGACGTACTATCCGGTGTTTGAGGCGATGGAGCAAGAAGACATGGTCCTGAATCTGCATGGTGAAATCCCTTCTGACGCTGCCACAAACACCTGCGTAATCAACGCGGAGCCCGCGTTCTTACCTCATCTTCGCAAGCTGCATGCACGGTTCCCCCGTCTCCGAATTGTACTAGAACACGCGACGACCCGGGCGGCAGTCGAATGTGTGAAGAGCTTGGGTGATACCGTAGCTTGCACCATAACCGCGCACCATCTGGTTCTCACTGTGGACGACTGGGCTGGCCAATCCTGGAACTTCTGCAAACCTGTCGCTAAGTTCCCGGACGACAGACAGGCACTCCGGGATGTCATCAAGGAAGGTATGTCCTACGTACAGGAGGCGCCTATATCGTCCTCTGTGATCTAGCATATAACTGCGATTGCCCAGGGCACCCGCGGTTCTTTCTTGGCTCCGACTCAGCTCCACATCCACCCCACACAAAGTCTACCGCGACACCCGTGCACGCCTGCGCTGCCGGCGTATACACCTCGCCGATATTGCTACCACTTGTTGCACAAGTCCTTGAATCCTTCGGTGCCCTTGACCGATTAGAAGGGTTCGTCAGCACGAATGGTCGTATTTTCTACCGTGCGTCAGCCTCTGCTGGAGAGAATGTCGTCATTCGGAAGGTGCAAGGCAAGCGCGTAGAAGAAAAATGGGTAGAGGGTGAACAGAGTGTTGTACCATTTTGGGCCGGCCGAGACCTTAGCTGGGAGGTCGTGGAGTAGTAATTAACATGCAGTATCATGAAAGCAAAGGTGTATGCTATCTCATCGTATATTGCGATGGTGTTCGTAAGAAGACAGTCGCTACAAACACATTCAGTCATAGGGTTATACACATCAGGAGGTTCCATCAATCCTGTCAGACCCGTATCCGCTGACTCGGCCACTAAGAGATGATTCGCTGAACAGGATCGAGAAGGATCGAGATCGTCAGCTCGATCAGGGCCGGCCTCATGAAGCCTTCACCGATCAATATTTGAAACAGGCGACCAACAGACGCTTGGGCTGGTATTGACTGTGATCCCATTCGGAAGCGCATTTGCGGCACCCCTAGATGATCAAGGGGTCATGCGACCTGGTGCTCACATTGCTTCATATGCTATCGAGTCAACGAGGACTGGTCGCGCGGGAGTAGATCACTGTGCGAAAGGTGACTGTAATATCTGCACGGTACCGCGGTGCAAGCGCTGAGTGTACATGTATATAACGGCCGCTCGACGATAAACTCACAGTCATTTCGCACTCCTCGTCTTGCAGCTATCTCCACATCTCTATCATGTCCGTATCTGAAACCGATGGATATGCGCCCGTCACTGTTCACAATGCCGGCAAGCCCTGCCAGACCTTTTATAAGATCGTCGGCGATCTCTCCTCTGGGAAGATCCCCCTCATTGTCCTGAACGGTGGTCCTGGCTCCACCTACACCTACGTCTTCTCGATTAAAGACATCGCGACCCTGACGGACCTCCCTGTTGTCTTCTATGATCAGATTGGCGGCGGGAAGTCCACGCACCTACCCGAGAAGAATGGCGACGTCGACTTCTGGACGGTGCAGATATTCGTCGACGAATTCCACAGCCTCCTGCGGCACTTGAACATCAAAGAATACAATGTACTGGGTCATTCGTGGGGTGCCATGCTCGGCATGGAGATCGCCATCAGGCAGCCCGCTGGGCTGAGGAAGCTGGTCCTTTCATCCGGACCTGTATCCATGGAGCTGTGGGTGCAAGTGACGCGGAAGTTACTAGAGACGTTACCCGCCGATCTTCAGGTGAGTTACATCATTATGAACTGTAAATACATTGCTCACAGTATTTGTAGCAAATTATCCGCGAAAACGAGGAGGCGAAGACGTATAATTCGCCCGAGTACAATGCCGCGATGCAAGAGTTCACCAAGCGATTCGTATGCCGACTCGATCCACTTCCGGAAGAAGTCACGGCTGCCTTCAAGGAGATGGAGGCTGATCCGACGCCTTATGTCACAATGTGTGTTTGTCTTCGCTGTCGAAGTGTGCCTGAAGCTAACCTACCTCTAGGCAAGGTCCGTCGGAATTCACGATCACGGGCAACCTGAAAGATTGGAGCGTCATCGACGACCTACACAAGATTAATGTTCCAGTGCTCGTCACAAACGGTGCACATGACGAAGCGCAAGACCCAGTAGTCGCCCCTCTTTTCCAGCACGTCCCGAGAGTGCGCTGGTACACCTTCGCGAACAGTGCACACATGGCGCACTGGGAGGAGAGGGAGAAGTACATGCAAGTAGTAGGGGACTTCTTGACCCAGTAGAGAAACACACTACGACTGCAACTATAGCAACATGATCTCCTCGGCATATATGTGTCTATGTATTCTTGATTACTGTGCACGAGAGGACTGGGGGGTTCCGAATATGTATCTGTATTCTATTAGGTGTTAGCATATATTATCTGAGAGGCCGTCCGTCCGCATTACCTCGTCCTGGTGCGCCTCGAATGAATAACGCGTTGACCTGCCATAAGCTTGATACGTTTTGCAACTATGCAACTAAATGATACCCAATTGATACCTCCAGCAGACGAGATACATGTGACGCAGGCGCGTCATGGCGCAGTTGACTGATATGAGATCGTCGGGTTCACTCATATGGTTTGATGAAAGATGGGTCTCGCCAATAAGTTGAATCTTGAATGCTGAACGTCGGATATTGACTAGTCACTGTCGAGCCTGGCTTCCCCAAGGTCGCTCGCGTATAAGTAACAAAATCGATCGACGGGACGTGCGGGTGCTACCGAGACGCGTGGTCATTGTGTCAAAACTGTGTTTACATCCCGGCGGGATCAGCGATCATGCCGCACACTGTACATGTGGGGCGGCAAGTATTGTAGGGCGACTGAGGAGAAGCTGTCAGATCATGCGTGGTATGTGCGCCTGCAGGGCATCATGTCGTGAGGGATGCTTAGGTCGAGCGGTCATTCGGGACGCATCATCGCCGTTGTTGACCGTAATATATTGAGCGCACTGTAGGACTCATAGGATAATAGGCCGCCTTGAGTAGCCGTTGACGCGCACGTGTTGTGCATATAGAGGCACACAATACCCTCTGCAAAAATAACCATGTGCCCGAGCTATTTTTCAGGCCAGCGGCTCGAACCAAGACGTCGTTCGACGAGGTGACGACGGCTCGAACTTAAACATGTTATGGACTCACACTGGGTAGATGTTGAGCTGGATTCCGAAAAGGGTTTAGCAGCATTATGGTAGATTGCACAGCATCATGCAACGTATGTCAGGTTACTGGGATCACTGTCATCCCGTGCGATGTACTTCCTCTCGATCAGGTTCTCTAAAGCCTGTGGTGGCGTCAGCGACAGCGCTCCTTGAAAACGTCGTGACAGACCTTTTTGACGTCTGAGACCTGGGGCATGAACCGCTTTGACACCTCGGAGACGATCGACTGGATCAAGAGCTGTTCTTTCAATGCCCGTTCTGTTTTCATCACCCTTGTACGGTCGTCAGAAACGTGTGTGCGTAAGGTAGCACCAACAGCGGGCTCATACCGAACTGCAGTGACCACAAGCAAATACTTCCGGTATTTCCCTACGGTCTCTTGGATGGCGCTTCTTTCGGCCTTCTGCTCCGGATTATTATCGGATGTCAGGAGATTGACACGAGTCCTTTGTGAAGTGTAATCTGCGCATGATGCATGAAGGTTTCATTCTCATCACAGATAGATGTATATCTCAATACGCACTTAAATTCAGCTCGTAACAACCGAAGCCATCTTTGATCAGTGCCAACTTTTGTGCGGCCTGTCAGCAGAGGCTTCAGGTTGCTTTCTGCGATGCCCGTCGCCGCGATGAGTTCGTTCAAGCCAAACGAGTCTTGGTCGTTATATTGTAAGAGAATGGACATCTGCAGGAAGCTCGCAGATAGGATATATTTCTTGTCGAAGTAGTTTGTCTGCAACTCGCCTCTCGAAAGGTTCCATAGCCAGGTCAATTTGCGCCCCGTGTGTCTTTTCAGGAAGAACTCGGTAAATGCGGTGCACATAGGTTGTACAGCGGCAGGGACCAAGGTGCGGTCGGAACACTGGAGAGACGTGGGCCACGTTTGGCTATTTAAGACCATAGCCTGTAGGGCAACTGCCCCGGACACTCTCCCTTGATGCATTAGCTTTTGGAACTGTTTTGTGAGCTCCTCACTGATAGTCAAGTCTATTTACATTGTCAGCGAGGAACAAGCATCGAGAGCGTCATACGTCCTGACCTGTGATCATACGGCGTAATTTGCTACCATAATCATGCCCGCAAAATTCTTCCAGCTTTGTGATCATGTGTAACTCCATATCATGCGAAACATGTGTTCCGTCAATCAGGCGTCTCGCTAGCGTCGTCGCGTGGTAGGTTTGGAACACGTCCTTGTCTTCGATGAATTGGAACACGGTTATCTTATATCCCAAATGTCAGCACGTCTGCTTGAGCAGCATACTGGAAGTACCGACCGCATTGTCAAGGACACTCTGCGAAACTTCATCGCCGAACTTCACACGCTTACGCAGCAGCGTATCCATATGGGCCGCCAGCCGATCTGGAGAGACACAAAGAGAAGTGCCGTGCGAGGAATTTCCATTGAGGACTGCCCTGGCATACTCGTCGAACAATATGGCGCATTCGGCGATTGCATGGTGACTCGTCAAGAATTTCTCGCGGGTCTCCGTAAAAATGTCAACGAATGATGCTGTGTACGAGAGGGAGTGCGCCTGACCGTGTTGTGCGTAGAGGGCCGTCTGTTTACAAGGGAAAGCTTTGTCGAGATTGGTTCTGATCTCGTCAAGCACGAGGTGCAACGTCTGGTGATTCGATCGAAGCAGCGAGAAAAGATGCTTCATTTCCTCTTCACATCTCAGTATTCTGTAGTATTGGAGGAAGAGGTATTTGTGATCGCCAATGAGATACTTGGCGGCCACCTGGAGCATTTTGGTGGATGTCCGGTCTGGGAATCGTTGACCGATATATTGTTCCACCAAAATGCACCTGGCGACCTCATGCAAGTATTCCGCTGTCGAGAACGCCAAGAGGGCTTCCTGAGAATACTGCCTGTAGAATCGCTCCGTTTCCTCCAGAAGAGGGCTCTCGATGTGCAGGCTGTAGACGTTCTAGGAATCGGTTTTGGCCGCTGCATCTTGCACATCGTCGGACAAGACCAAGGCCACAATCTGTTTCTGAGGGCCCCAATCATCGAGTTCGCCATTTCTCTCGCGGGCGATTGATCGTAGGATAGCCCCGCTCACATGCTGGACCCAAGCTATATTCGAATGCCATTGAATCAAAGCGAGCTGACAATTGATATTTAAAAATGGTTCCGAGTCGTAGCCAGTATCAATGGCACTTACAGTAGAGGTATGATACATCCTCTTCTTTTCTCGCGTGATATACACCTGGTGAAAATGCGTAAACACTAGTGAGACGGATGCAGTGCGGGAAGTATAGTTTTCGTAATGCGCGAGATAGGTTGAGAGTACTTCTGAATCACGGAGATTCAAAGATATAGTACGCTGTTGATAATAGTATAAGCAGTCAGCAATTTCAGGTGCCCATTGAGATTGAGCTCAATCACCGCAGTGAGGGTTTCGACGTAGGTAGTGAACAATTGGCTGAGGTTGCCGTAAATCATTTCTCCTCTAGGATGGGGCATAGCATGGCAGAGTTCGTACACCACAGTATACATTGTTAACCAACGGCAGCTGGCCCTGATTTTCTTGGCATCGTTCACGGAAGAAGACATGTACAGATCAATGCCGTTTTCAATGAACGTCCAGTCAGCATCAAAGTTGTCCCGATGGTAGGAAGAGACACGGCGCGTGGGCTGAGCCATTTTCTGATTTTTCAGTGAAGCAGTGGACAGGACATGAAACAGGCTGATCCCCGACGCAAAGTAGGAAAGTGGCAAGGAGATAGTAGATCCTGATCCATGATCGCGCTGGGTCACAGCTGGTCACAGGTCATGAGCCCAGCCACAGACGCGACGCGTCACGTACTTTCGTCAATTCCAAACTCCTCTTGGCCGCTCTACAACACATCGCGTTCATACATCCAAACATTTCGTTCCGGTTACACCATCTTTACCTCCGCATAGGTTACTTCCGTGGACATGGAAATGGAGGGAGAAGTCAGCGACTACTTGACGAAACAAATCTCGATTGAACGAAACGTGGTACGTATGTGGTGCCTTGCTCCTCAACTGGATCTTCAATGAAATTAGGTTACATTCCGGTCGCTCAGTCGGCACTTCAACATACATGTGAATCTAGCTAAAAAGTAAGTCTGGTGTGTAAACTATCGGAAACGTGGACATTGATTGACAATCCGGGTCTCCCATTGCTCGTCCCGCGCCACAGCGTACTAGACGCGTATTATCGCGCGTCCAGAGACTCCCCAGATCCTTCATCCGCGACATATATGCTAACTGGAGAAGTGATCCCCCCTGCGAGTCTGAATCATAGGATGGACGTGGATGTGGACATGGGTCTTGAAGAGCCTGACGACGACTCGGAACTCGTTCCGCTGACGAAGATTACACTCGTCGGCGAGCAGGATTTGAAAAGTAGGTCCATTTATTCCACTTGATCACCGATAACAGATCAGAACCATCTGTCCAGACGCGAAATCACAGTACTCTCGTATACTCTCGGTCCACGTGTACAGCTTGTCTCCGTCGCCTTTGGTTGTACGTCTATACGTTCTATTATATAGACTGGTTGATGTCTCACACTAGGCCACGCCATCAGGATGCTGGCCTCATATGCTCTTCTCTGGGAAAGGCCTACGAAGCGGAAGCCAAAATGTCTGCAGAATCATCAGCCTTACTTGGCCGGATCATCGGGCCCCATGTAGTTGTGCGTTTTCCTTACAACGTGTATGCTGGCACCAGTTCTCAGTGTCCGCAGAGAGGCAAACCCATGCCTCTAGCCGCCTCTACATCGAAAGTACCAGCGGCGGGAATTCAGAAGCAGACTGTCATGACCCAGAAGTCCTCAAAGCCCATAGAGGTAAAAGAAGATACGAAGAAGAGTAAAGAAGAGAAGCCGGCGCTCAAGCCTAGAGCGTCTGTTACGTCCGGTACGCTGGATTGGAGCAAAGCAAAGGAGAAACAGGCGGATGGCGGTCACAAAGTACAGAAGGTGGCGCCCGCACAAGCTGATACGAAGGCCAAGAAGGAGATGCCGGCAGTCCGGAACGTGAAATCGCATTTGGTCCCGCAAAATGAGTTGTCTCGTTCGGCACCTACTGAAGACACTAGCACTGCAAAGCCCGAAACCAAGGTTGATAATCGTTAACATTGCAGATCCTGTGACATTGACAAAACACATAGAGAGGCGTGAAGCGTAAATCCACATCGCCAGATGTGTCTGATTCAGAGGGCGAGCAGAGTGCACGCAAGCCTGTACTGACAGACGGTAAGCCGACCAAGACAAGCATTGTACCCCCACGTCTGGTCAAGGGTGGTCCCAAGGTGAAACATGATGTTGTATCATCTCACTCACAGTCTGACAATCTATACAGCAGGGTGCAAGACGTCGTCTACTATCCGAGTCGGGAGACGAGGAGCGTCCGCTTCCAGCATCCACTTCGGCGAGGGGTAAGGTGAAGGCGAAGAAAGGCGTCGTTCTATCCGACGACGAAGAAGACGAGTCTGAGCCAGTAGTGCGACCCCCTAAAGGTCGAGTTCCGGCCAAGAGCGCAGCGCGTTCACGATCACCGCAGACGGACAAGAGTCTCCGGGCAATGATGGATATTGATGATAGTATGTCTCATGGTATCAACCTCATTGAAATTTTGCTCTCACCATGCCACAGGCGAAGTCATCAAGGCGTCTCGTACATCTCCTGAGAGCCAGCAGGAGATAGAAGAACCTGAACCGAAGGCAGATGACCCTGAGATCGTGGACGACTCGGAAACCGAACGCGTCAAGGCGAAACCACGAAAGAGGAAAGAGAAGAAGATCGTCCCCGTCGGACAGAATGGTCTGAAGAAAAAGCGCATTATGAAGACCAGGATGCGAACAGACGAGAAGGGATACATGGGTACGTCCGGCGGAGCTGTGTTTCATCCATCCGAAAGTGTGGCTGACGTTCCTGGACAGTCACCGAAGACTACTCTGAGTACGAGTCGGTTGACGAAGAGGTGCCTGAGGAAGACGAGAAAAAGCCAAGGGGAAAGAAGACGTCAACTGCGAAGACCAAGCAGGTCATCGAGCCGAAGCCCAAGCTGAAGCCATCTACATCCACCAGTGGCACGAGTCGTGGTAATCTGAGGAATTTCTTCGGTAACACTGCGGCGTCGAAGGACGGCTCTGCGACTAAAACGAAGAAACCTCAACGGTAATAAAGGAATGGATGTTAGGAGTAGATTGATCAGGCGCCTGTCATCGCTACTAGGTTATTTGTCTTACCACCAAGCTCATTCACCAGCTCGATGTCGTTAACCACCTCTCGACCTGCGCTGTCACGAAGGAAGGCATCTGCAATTCTAGAGCTTTTGTCGACACAGTAGCCTTCAACACAACTGAAAATCAGGCAGCCTAAGCAGGTCGCTACATCCCGATACACAGGTGACATACGCTATAACGCGAATTTCTGGACCAAGTTTGGAATTGGCTCCGCAGCAGATAAAACTGTTGCCGGGCGGTAATCGAACATGCCTTCATTCTAATCATTTCTAAGACTACGACGTACATGATCAGCTATATATTGTGTCTATTCGCTCAACGGATTACTACATGCATACACCCGGAGGGTGGCATCCTATATACCAGTTCAAATGCGGGGGCCTAAGCTCACCACCGTTGCTCTTGAGATATTATGAATTCCATTGTCTGTAGCCTCTGAACCATATTCACGGCATCATACTATCGCTTCCATTGCCACATTACCGTCTTAATCCAGCCATAAAGACATTGTGGCTGCGTAGCCTTCAGGACTCGTTCGCGTGTTTGATTAATTTGCAGAACACAATTATTCTGAGATGTTCTAAGTGAGGGACGGGTAAATGGTATCGATCATGGCTGACCGGTGACCGTCGGTCCGCGTCGTCTTGCCAGTTTTCAGGCCTCTGTGAGCAATGCCCGGATTTGTCCTTTCGGCCTCAAACAAGTCTCACTGTACGACGATGAATATAGGTCGGGCTCATGGATGTAACTCCTAGATGGTAGAAATATGCGCACTGGCTACAGAGCTTCAGAAACTATGGGTCATGTATTCCTATGCACGCTGGCCCGCAAGCTCTGCCTGTATCTGCCTTAGTACCAGAGGATCCGCTTTCGCTAAGTACATGCTCTGGAGACGAGCTGGGCCACCACAAGCCATCTCAGCCTCTTGCATACGAGCGGCCACGTAGGTCGTCAACTTCGTGGTTCTTACTGGGTCGTGATCGAAGAGCTGGACAAGATGTTATGTGAGGATGACCAACGCATCTCTTGTAAGTTGAATATACGCACAGCTTTGCGCCGCTCGTACTCTAAAGTACCTGCTGTATCCTTGAAGAATGAATCCATTGGCTGGTCCCAGTAAATTGTCAACGGTGAGCCGTCACTACTAACGCTGATCAGTGTCCAATCAATCTCAGCGTGGAGGGAGAGGTATCAACCTCAGCTGACTGCCTTGCGCCTGCGCTTCCTTGATTTCGCCGAACACGTCGATCCAGAGGTTACAAACTTCCGACGACAACCTGTCTAGGACTTCTGGACGCCCGGTCGAGACCAGGCTCGCAATACCCATGGCGGTCAATTTTCGAAGTCGGGGCTCGGACATGTTATCAAACTGTCACGATACAAGCCGCACTGTCAGCCAAAGATCCTGTAAGCTACGCGGAAAGAACATACTCTTGTCCACCATTGATCGAGGATACATTCCCACAGTTCTGTCTCCGCTTTGCTACGAGAGTTAGCCGTGGCAGATATTAACTGAAGGAACATGTGTTTGTCCGCTGTAGCGATCCGGGCGAGGACATATATGTATTCTGTCAGAAGGATGGTTTGAGCCTGACACTATTGTCAGCGCTTGCTTCAATCAGTTTCTTAAGGCATTACCTTGTCCTCCAATAGGGTGTCTACGATCAGGGCGAATAGCCCAGAAACATGCATAGCTTCACCCCATAGCGCCGCAGGAGCGATCTGGAACAGGATCGTCAAACTGGTCGCCATCTCATGGACATTGACAGCCACAGCTTGACCAATTGCTTTCACGTAGGCACGCAAAAGGTCAACTGCATAGAACTAGACACACTGTCAGATTTGACAGTGATTCTACAGCGACAAACGCACCTGAAGCACGCGTGACGCATCCAAGAGATAGTAAGACTCTAGAATCATGATGACGCTGCCTAAGAGATCCAGGTTTTCCGACAGAAGGGAGATCGCGAGAGGGAAGAGATCAATCAGCCCGGGTACGCCATTTGCACCCTCAATGGAGACAGCGTTGTGGAGCGCCGCCTTCCACAGGATTATTGCATCTTCATCTAGATGCAATTGCGCCTAAAGCCTTGTCAGAGTAGGACGGGGCAGTGATGCGTTTCTCACTCACCCCAAGAGAGAGACCTTCACGAACTAGTGAAACGACCAGTGAGTTAAGGGACATAGAATGCTCTTTCGAAGCCTGGTGAATCGATCGGGAACAATGAGCTGGTGAGGAACATGGTTAAACGCATAACCATTACCTCAATGAGTTTAGTGACTGTAACAAGTAGCGAGGCCTTGAACAGCCAGTCTTCTCCGGCGGTTGTCCCTGGAAGTGGGAGATCATGAGGATATGTATAACAGATGGAGAAGTCCTACTTGCAAAGTTGAGGCAAGGGTTCCACAATAATTGTTGTGAGTGGCACTATCTAAAGCAGCATGAGCCTGCTATGTATGAGTACATATGGATATCACATACTCGAGTCCCAGCACACTCAATGACCGTATTGAGACTGGCTGCAATCCGGCGTTTGCTCTCGAGGGTTTCAGTCTCTGCAGTGAGCCGTACGAGCTCGTTCACAGCAGAAGGAAGGAATGGTTCGAAGACATTGACGTCAAATTGCAGGGTCTGCGCATCCGTCAGCCAAGCCTCGTGAAACAAATCGAGCAGATCTCATACGTCGACGCATTCTCTGACAGCAATCGCTGCTGTCAATCGCACCACTTCGTCTGTGCCCGGGCCCCGATCTTGCAGTAGGTACAGCAGTACTTGCCAAACCGCCGGGTCCTTGGCAGGATAGCACTCGTCGGAGATCCACTTGCCAATTAGCCAGGCGATGCGACGCTTGAGGATGGGATAACTGTCGGGACGATGAGAAGATTATTCAATGCTAATAAAAGGCCCAAAACATACCTCGAGTTGGTTTCTCGGGCTTCTGCATTGAGAGTATGTTCCAGCCATTGATCGAATGGAATGACATCCTTCATTCGACGGGCGCAGCGGCCCACAGCACAATAAAACGCTTCTTTTTGCAATACACTGGGGAGATCGGTAGGATGTTGTACTATGTATGCATTAGTTTATTAAATCGCGCGTCGATCTGACATCGGTGCATACCAACAATCTGCTTAAATGTTGTCTCAAGGAGAGGCGTGACGTGCTGGTGATAGTGGTTTGCCAAGGTCACGAGGACGCGTTCTGCACAAGGCTAGCAAGGATGTAGTGAGTATAAATCAAATCACAGTCGACAGATGTCAAGATGTTGGTACTCACGCGGATCTCGAAAACCCATTGCTCATTGTCCTGCTCCTCAACGTTGACCCAACCTTCTGGGTCAGCCATCCACTCCTCTAAGTCTAATGGGTTTAACGGAATGTAGCGAGTCACCAGAATCTGCACCGCATTCTCAACAAATTCCTTAGTGAGAGCTATGGATCGTTCAATATAGTTCCTAGTGACCAAGAGACAGAGTACCTCTGGCGTTTTCTGTACCATCCTTTTTCACAGGCGCCCATTGGCCTAGGCTCTCCTTAAACAGAACCATAGCCTGCACGAGGAAACGGACAGGAAAAACGGCATATGATGTGTCTAATGAGGGCGCGGGTATATGAGTACAAAAATCAACGTGAGACGAAATAAGATGAGATACCTGTAATGTACTCTTGTGGAGCACTTGATGCTTGTACAACCTTACTCCAATAGTAGAGGACCAAGTCGCCACACAAGGGCAATGAGACAAACCGGCTGGCATGTTTTTGTTGCATCTGTCGAAATAGTTTCCCGAAGAGCCGCACATGACGTGTTAATATGTCTATAGAACGCTGCCCGACCACGTCTGTCGTTGCTGACTGAAGCGCAAGAACGAGATTGATACGTAGTTCGGATAGAGTCTGGAGTTGAACGGCTGAAGCTTGGAAAAGCTGTTCTGTCTGTGTGCATGAGTCAGTGTTACGTAGGTCCCAATGCACACGACGCAGTTACCCAAGGGCCGAGTCCTCGCTCGTCATGATTCGTGGTACGATTCCACGACCATATGGCAATCTTAGCGACACATTTGAAGACAAGATGGGCAAAAAGTAAGTCCTCGGCCGTGCGTGGTGAGACGATAGTTGCTGGCGTGAGAGAAGAGACGAAGGATGCTGTGACTCGACTGTAGTGCTCTTGCAACACTAAATGTAGTTGTTCAACAAGCTGGGGCCCTGTCATGTAAGAGCCGAGCTCAATTAAGGACAGGTAACGTCACGTACAATTCCCATGGCTTTGATTCCCCCAGGCAACTTGACGCCGGCCAGCTCTTTGAGGATGGCATTCAGCACTTCTAGACTCCGACGGAGGACAAGAGCCTGGCCCGTGCTTGCTCCAGCGTACCGTTCCCTCACATTAGCGTTTATCACTTCGAGTAATGTGGGCAAAAGGTTCGGCCTTCTACACGTCAGTAATGGTGAAAGCAGCGATATAAATAATGACCACACCGACCAGTTGTTAGGGAGGTCAGAGCGTGCTATTTTGGCCACGATGAACTCATTACACTCTGAAATCTGGATGGAAATAAGCAGCGCACTCGAGTGGGTATGTGCACAAGTCCTGGCTCACGACGTCATCGCTTTCATCAAGGAGTGCAAGGCATCGACCGCGTATGCGGGTTCTTTGTTCATCATTCAAAAGTCTGTGATCCAGCATCAGAATGGTCGGGCCGTAGCATAATTGGGTGACTTGCTTTCTCGACTTCCAATGACTGAGTGCTGCATTTTTGAATTGGATGATACTTTGCTGACGAACGGCTAAAGGAACTGTCTTCTGTGCAGCAATTTCATGCAGAGTATCATAAGCACCCGGTAACTCGAGCAGCTCCTTGAGACGCGCTGCAGACGCTTGCACTTGACGTGGATCTTGCGAAGCAGCACCGCAGACAACGTCGTAAAGTTCCTCAGGCGAAAAGGTCTCAGTCTGAGCGGTATGCCTCAGAGGCATCCTGGACGACGGATAGATGGATTGTGCAAGCTTGCGTATGTCTTAAGTACAAGAAGGCAGTCAATAAGGACGGGAATGAAGCAAAGTGTTCGGATGCGATGTCGGGATGAGGCCAAGGTGAGGCGAGTGGGCGGGTGGTAGAGCGCGTCCTGATGCCATGCGCCGTGACACGCGCCTCGACGCGTCTTGACTTTTGACCGTCACGTTCATGCGTCGCGTCGCGTCGCTCTTCGCCACACGCGTTCTTGGACACCCTCGCGTCTGGTTCGTCCAGCCGACAATTTCTCAGCACCGTGGCCGCACCATTGCGAGAATGTATAACGCAGCATCCTTGTATTCGCAACCCAGTACTACCCAGCAGGCCACGGACGAAGTCATCGCGGACTCTGAACCGGAGAGAGAGGGGCGTCGCCAACGTGACAAGCAGCTTAAGAAACGCGGCAAGAAGACTAAGCAATCTAAAGAAGAAGTCATCGAATTGACGGACAGTGACGTTGGGTCTGCAGCGCCTGCGACGAAGGGCATTCGCGCCAGAATTATCATCGAAGTTACGGGTACGACCTATATTACCAGTCAATGATTGTCTCTGAGGGATAGCTATATAGACGAATCATTTGAAGATCAACACGAAATTAAGCGAACGATCAGGTTGCCTGCAAGTCCTGAAGCAACATCCGACAACGGTCCTATAGAATTTAGCGGCAAGTTGATATTTCTCTTACATTTAGCGAAGTCTCTGAACTTCCCCCCCCACGTTGCTACCTCCCCCCTCTTTACGTAGATGGCTCGCGTGAAACTACTTTCCCTTCGTTCCAGGTACGACCACAAGTGCCGCTGCTGACTAGACTAGGACCGTATGTTACATCGGCTCCTACAGCAACTGACAACCGCGGCGCCGAGATCCCTGATGATGATGGTGAAAACATGGTCGAATTGCAGATTGCAAGACAGCTCACAGACATTTAGATAACTCGTCCGGAGAGCCCGAAACTAGACAGTTGAAGTCTACTTCACGTCTACCAGCAGTACTCAACAACGAGCCTATAGAAATTAGTGGCAAGTTGTCATTGCTTCCAGTCGTGACGGTGCTTTGACCGCCTCATAGATAACGCAAGTGAGACGACATTCCCTTCATTGGGAGCACTGCTCCAAGAGCAACTGCCGACCAGACGAGACCCGACTCCTGGCGCAGCTGTTAACCATGACATCAACACATCGGGCAACGAGGATGAAAATATTGGATCAAAATTGAAACAGTTTGCATATATCCTGCCTCCCAGGCTGTCGCGGAACCCCTCTTTAGCGCTCAGCTCTCGCTCGGGATCTATAGCAAGTACAAGTAGGCCAAAGCACCCGTACAAAAAAAGCACGCCGCAGACTGCCTACCCCTTCTCTGCTGAGTTCTCTGACGCTGATATGACGAGGCTTCGCACATGTGTTGGCTGCGAGTGCGCCTGGACCACCCGGAAGACAGTTGCTCAAAAGCTTAAGCACATACGTACCTGTGCGAAGAAGAGGGCGCTGACAAATGAGACCATTACAATCCTCATACGAAAGGAGCTGGATAAAGCACCTCCCACAACTATTCGCGAGGAGCCACAGATACCCGAAACACTACTCGAAGACGTGATGCAGGATACAGGTGCGAAAAGGAAGGGCAAACGGAAGCAAGTGGCAAGCACTGTACAGACTCTGGCAGAAACTCGCGGCGGCATCCTTGGTAGGGCTCGCGAGATGCTGGGCAATTCGCAGCCTCGGCTCTCTGCTACCTCAAACGACAGTATTGCTTCCAGTCGACGCGCTCACCCTGCGATGCCTCCGCCAACACAAGCATTTGGCGAAAGTAGCTTGATGCGCCGCCAGGTCTCCGACGGCGAGCCCGTACAGCAGATCGCATTTGCATCTACTCAAGTCTTCGCTCCCAGTAAACTTGCTACCTCGCAAACTACGACCTTAAACAACTCCTCACCTCGCGCTCTGGGCTCTGAGGCCGCTAAAATGCCACCGCCAACTCAAGCTTTCGCTTCGAGCTCGATCGGAACAACGACACGCTTCATGGAGATGACGAGTCCCCCCAATCCTGTGAGTTCAATTCCGTCGCTCGATACTGGAGTGACTAATAACATCTAGTCCTCTGGGACCCTGGCGTCAAGCGCAAACGCAGCCACTCAGATGCCGCAGTTGGTGAACACTGACTCTCCCGCTGTTGATTCACGATTATCTGACCCGAGCCACGATCCCCTTCATTCCACAACGTCCAACACCCTGTACTGCAACGATGTTGGCATCGCGGGGGGCTCCGCTTATGATGTATACTACGATTACGAAAATCAAGCTCGCTGGAGTTTCGATGACGCCGTTATGCACTTTGATCCACATCTACCAGCTGCTGGCCGATACGAAGTCTCAAAGTCAGCCACGCCAGGCCCTTCGACCCAATTAGAAGCGCGAGAAGACTTGATCGGATGGCTTGGAGTGCATGAAGCTGATCAAGATGGCACAGTCTCGAACAACGAGATTCAATCGCTGAAGACAGTGAGGCAAAAGAAAGCCCAGTCAAAGAAGAAACGAGTTGGAGAAACAGGCAGTGCAGAACCCGAAGTAGTCTCACCCGCCGAGATCACAGAGACCGAGTTTGACGACATGGTGAGGAACGCTATATTCAGGGACCCCGCCTTGCATCTGCGCGTCTTGCGTTACGAGGTAAAAGTGCACACTTTCATTTTGCATCTACTTATGTTAATTTCACATTGCCTTTAGCCCGTCCACTTTGATGTCTTTTTGCAGATGGCGAAGGATCTTGGCTTGCTGCGTAGCCGCGGGCTCGGTCAATTGAAGAACAAAGTTCGCAACTTCCTCGACAAACATGTTCGTAGGCATCAGATCTTACATGAAGATATGATCTCAATTTCTATATAGGCCATCCATTTTTTCGGCGCAGATCCGAGCAAGAGTCGGACGAGGCATTCATAGGAATCTCTAGATATACATCCCGACATGCCTTACATTATACTCTAAATTATATGCCTGTTGAAGGCGGACAGTAGCTCTAAGCAATACCCGTAACGTCGCACAATAGGTCTTCGCCGTAGATCACTTACAACGCAACTTCGGACAGCCCTGCCACCTCGATCACACCGCCGACAAGATGCAGACTGCCCGAAACAAGCACGTCAACGCGAGGACTGCCGGCGCTCGTACGCAGTCGCTTCACCGTCTTGATAGCATCTTCTATTGACGGGAGGATGTAGACCTGTTGTGAGGGGAAGTTTGGAACGAGCGACAACCACGCAGACGCAAGATCATGCTGTGTCTGTAAATGTGCCAGATCGTTCGTCGGTATTGCGTGAGTTGTTAGATCTTGTGAGTAAATGGCTTTTCGTCAGCTGTGGCTCGTGGGTGAGACACACATTTGAGGCTCACCTCCTTTGAAGCCTCCATCAGAATATGTGACGTTTGTGCAAAACACTACGTGCTCGAAGAGCTTGTGAGGATCGTCATCTCGCCCGTGCAGCTGCAACTGCAACGCGATCTTCTCGAGCATGACGCTCAAGAGGCTCTTTCCAGAACGACCATTCGTACAGTTGAACACCAGAACCCTCGTGAGCGTTTTCCTAGCTTGTTGGTAAGTAACCTGCGGACCTTGGCCGGATGAAGTGAGACATACGAATTATCAAGTGGTCTTAAGGTAACCTCTGGACTGACAAACCATTCCACACAGCATTCGAGGCTCTCCTTGGTGTGTGCGCCGTCTAGAAACCATGTTAGGTCTGTATCGTTCGGCGCTGGCACTGTTTGGCAACGGCCGGGCCACTTGGTGCGCTCCAGACCCTCCACGAATGCGCCGGGAAGTGCTGCCTCCTGTACTTCACCGGTCGTCACGCGTAAGAAGATCTTTGCGAGGTAGACAGCAAGATTTGCGTTCTGATATTGATGTTTCCCGGCGAGTCCTGCAAGAGAATTCTCATCAGCTCGATTACCACTCCCGGCAATGACGAGGGCGTGCCTAGCTTAATCTTCGACAAGCCTGGCGTAGGTGGTACTACGGCAAATCCAGATGTCTGAGTGAACCGTGATGTTTCTATGTGTCAAAGGGGATGAGAGCATACTAACCTTGGTGTCTATCGCCTGCTGCTTCAAAACCTCCATGCCCTCCTCAGGCTGATCGACTGTCAATGCGGGAACACCTTCCTGCCACAATAATCAATATCGTAGCAATGTGTCGGTGCTATTCGTCACATTACCTTGTAGATACCGCCCTTCTGCCAAGCAATCTCCTTCAGCGTTTTCCCCAGTACGGCGGTATGGTCAATGCCGAGGGCAGAAACTCCTGTGACTACTGGCTTGGGGACAATGTTTGTGCTATCATACCTCCCTCCCACACCGACTTCCAGGATGGTTGCATCCACCTACGTTCTATATTCAATCTTGATGACCCCATAATGTTAACCAGGGACATACCTTCAATGACAGGAAGGCGTGATAGGCAACAAGGGTCACGAAGCGGAAATATGCGGGCATTTTGGGTGTTTGTGGAAGGGCACACTGTCCAGTACATAAATCTCCGGACAGGTGGATAATCTACGCACGGGCGCTGCTCACCTCGTCATTTTGCTCCAATCGGTCCCAGACATCAAAGAAGAATTTAGCAAATTGCTCCTCCGAAATGGGAGCGCCGTTAATGCGTATGCGCTCCCGCACTGCGACCAGGTGCGGAGAGGTGTAGAGACCTATCCCGCAAGTCAAACCCGGGACGGCCTCACGAAGGCGACATCCTCGCTCACCAATCTTCCACTGAGGCTTTGCATGGCGCAGGATGGAGTCCGTAAAGGCGGACGTTGAGCCCTTTCCCTTCGTCCCAGTAATGTGGACCACATTCAATCGGTTCAGGTCAGAAGTCTGTGGACTGTGATCGTCACGAAACGTTCAGGTGGGAGCTTTTGACCGACTTGCACTGTATCCGATCCTGCCCAGATACTCTATCATCTCAGGTATTGCGAACTCGCTCAGCCGTCCCCCGGATGCTCGGACTGCTTCGAGGGTCGCCGCATTGGACTGGAGAGAGTTGAGGTGGTCGATCGCATCGGCGTACGTCCGGGTCGACATCCTCCTCTTGAAACCGGATAAATAGATGGAATAAATACGTGTGGAAGACGGTGGTCGAAAGACAGATAGGCGACCTAATAGGCGCATCAAAAGCAGCGGGCAGCGGTGGCTCCCATGCGATAACCAGCGTCCGTTCCCTACGATCGCCAAAATCATACTTAGGCGCCCATTTAGACACGGTGCGCGTGACGCGTCTGTATTACTTCGCGTCTATCATACGCGACTATATGCATGACACTGTACTGGACCTGTCTGGTATCTACGTATCTAGACTTTGGAGAAGATGTTGTCCAATGGATAGGAGCATGCAATAGTACATTGTATTGGTCGAGGTACCTACTCAATATTCCATCGAGTTCTCGATGATCCTCGTTAAGTGTTCCCTCCCATCAGCACCTGCAACGTCCCCTATGCCAGGAGCAAGATCCAGAACACGCCTCTGCGGGATCGTGCCCTCCACTAGCTTGCTAATGTCGTCCTTCTTGTATCCGACAGCCTTCAGGCCCCGCGGCAGGCCGAGGTTGTCCAGGAAGCGCGCGATGGCCTCGAAGAGGTGCGCGCCAATCTCGCTGTCCGGAATCGCGGATATGCTTGGGTCTGCGGGCGTCGTACCGTGGAAGATGGCGAGAGCTTCGCGGTGGCGGGAGGGAGAGGAAGGCGCGGTGAATTGGAAAACGGCAGGTGCTGGCAGAGCAACACTAGAAAGGAGTTTAGCTGAGGATGAGCAATTAATATAACAACGGCTAGGTTTACCTGACACCATGTGGAATAATAGGATGGTCAACGTTGTATCCTGAAAACTTGAATTTCGGTCCTTGCTTGTTCAGCCCTGAGACCTAATGCAGAACGTTTCAGATTCTATCCTTCGTTTGGGTCCATCGACACTCACGGGGTAACTGATTCCATGGCACAAGTGCACGCCGGCGTTCCCGAACCCGATTCCTGCAAATGAAGCAGCCAACCTGGGCTAGTGTCAGCAGCGCGTCGGAGAAAGACAGAACACAATACGCACATCATTTGTCGCATGGCTTCGTAATCACCGAGGTCCTTCGATATTCGCGGGAGACACTTCACAGTGGTCTGTAATGCCCACATGGAGAAGATGTCGGCGACAGGGTTGCTACCCTGATATGCTGGTCGGAGGTTGGGGTTGGATGGTCGCGGCATGCGCTCCGTATAGCTATTGTAACAGCGTCATTTGCGGTTTCAGTAGCATCAAAGACTCGGTGAACCTACGGGATGGCCGTGTAACTCTCAAGACTGTGGAACAAGACATCCAGGCCGGCACTAATGTGCAACTCTGCATAGTGCAGTTGGTTAAAGCTAAATCTCTACGCATGGGGCCGAAGAATAATACCTCTTGAGCATGAGCGAGTGTTCAGGGTGTCCACTATACCGAGGGTTGGCTTCATGGCCCTATTTGCGATACCGGTCTTGAAGGACATGGAAGTAATGTCGAGGATAGCGGTACCAGTCGTCTCAGACCCTGTGCCTGCTGTCGTTGGTACTAATACAGAGGCGCACTCTTTCAGTGCCTCTGAACTGCATTAACAGAGGGGGGCATACCTGCGATTAGTGGTCGCAGAGTTTGTGTTATTGGGAGACCTTTGCCAACAGGTGCATTGATAAAGTCGAATAGATCGGCATCCTTGTACACAGAGAACCTGCGGCCGTATTCCAGTCAGCCTCGCCAGTACCAGCAGACAATTCGCAACGCACAAGTTGGCTGCTTTCGCCGTGTCCATAACGCTCCCTCCGCCGACTCTGTAAAAGTTGCATTCAGAAAAGGAGGATATGCATCTTGTTCGACATACGCTAGAAAATGACTGCAGTCTTGTTCGCGCGCCCAGGCAATCGCGTCTCGCCAGCTGGCCTCCGTGGGCTCCGCAACCACTCGATCATAGACCACGAACGGTAAGTCATTTTGGGATTCCAGTGAGGCAATAGCCTAAAGCTGATGTTGAATTACGTCACAATGTCAAAAGGTGACAGCGCTCACCATCTTGGCCGGCGGCAACTTGGCGACGATGGGATCCGTGAAGACGGCAACCTGTACAGGCGTGGGTTAGCAGGATGACCCGAGGCACGGGTAGCTGGACGGAGGCGTATATACCTTGCGCGCCTTCATGTTCTTGAGATCCATGCCGACCTCACGGGTGACACCCTCGCCGAATCTCAAGTTCGCTGCCGCGACCTACAGCGCAACCTTCCTGGCTAGTACGACACGCTCTCACCGGCGAGGTATCATGCCACTCGCCTCGAAAGCATACTCCTTCTCCATCGACGGGGCCTCGACAGGGGTTGCGAACTTGCGCATCTGGTTGATGGCCTGCAACGGACTGTGTGACCCTCCTGAACGGCACCCATGGCAGGGACACGCAGTATGCTGCGCAGCATTGAGCAGGCGGCGGATCGCAGACCTGGAGGCGGGAGGAGGGGCCATGGTGAGGAATACGGTGAGCGAGGAACGTCTAGTTCGACGGACTCACGCTGGAACTTATATAGGACTGGGAGGAGGAATCCCGGGAGGGGAGGATACGCGCTGCACGTGAGCACCTTGTCTGGGGACGGAGGTCATGGGGGCGGGATGCCAGGCCTCGGCAATGGCTGCCACATCGGCCGGTTGCAGTGTGTGGCGTCTGAGTGCGTTTGCACGCCCTTCCATCCGTCGAAGCCGAGAACTTGAAGACGGACTTCCCTATCAGTGAGGCCGAGATGACGAGGGTGTCGATTGGAACACACAATAATCCAGTTACGCGCTCACATCTAGGATTTGGGTCCAGCCCGGACGGCGATGACGGCCGATCACCCATTGTTGCGTTGTTGGGAATGAGGTCGACCTGTGCGCAATAGCCGCTCGGTACTCATCGTTCTCGACGACGACAGCGGCGAAGGCGGCGGCGACGATAAGAGCGTTGCGTTCGCGGTCGTGAAGGACGCTACAGACAGCGATCAAAGAAGCATTCCCACAGCAATAGCTCGACGGACATAGCCTATCGTGTCTGCCTTCTCTCCGCGCCAGGCCACCCAGTCTGCACGAGCCTTCGCTCCCCTTGTCTCTACCCCGCCGCCCCTTCGCCTGCCCCCAGTCGCTCGTTTCTTCCCCCTTCCAACCGTCGGCCGCTATGAGGCCGCACTCGCTGTCACTGTGGCTCGCGCTTTCGGTCTCACTCTGTGAAGCTGTCCGGGTTCCGATAACACGACACAAGGGCGCGTCTGCAAGCACGGACCTGCACACAAGAAGCAGATCCGTAGGCTATTCGCGTCCCGTTGTCGACGCTGCATCATCCTCCAACAGCAATGACGGCACCGACCTGACGTGAGTGACCTGGCCCTGGCATGGAAGGGTGTACGGCTGAGAAGCCTCCGGGGACCAGCACTGTACATGACCTCCTTTATATCGCCAACGTGAGTGCTCCTCTAGCATGTTTTGTGACGGTTCCAAACCCGCTGCCCGCTCCAGGTGACGATAGCCGGCACCGGTACGCTCCTCGCGACCCGCTGCGGGCGCCCTCGGACTGGTCCCTAACGGCCGTGTATGTAGTATACCCCCTTCAATTGGATACCGGATCGTCAGATCTCTGGACGAAAGCTTCCTCGAGTCCGATCCCAAACACTAAGCAGTCGGCGAGTCTACGCCTTCGTGTGTCCCCCGTTTGATTGACTGATGGGATGTGTTGCCGGCAGACAATATCGTACAACATGACTGTGCGCGTCGTTTCACTGAACGTCCAGGTCAATCCTGAATTCTCCTCTTGGCATTATAGTATGGCATTGGATGGGCCTACGGCAATGTCTCATGGGGCACCGTTGAATTCGCTGGGTACGTCTCGTGATGGATCACCGGCTCAGCGCGTTGTGTTGACTCGCGTAGCATCGAGGTCGAGTCGCAAGCATTCATGGACGTCACCGCTGCGTCAAACCCTGCACTCTCGTATGGCGCGAATGGGATCATTGGTCTCGGCTTCGACTCGCTATCGACGATCGACGCACTCGTCAACCACAGTGGGTCTGCTACAGGCCGCACTTTCCTTTACAATGCATTCCAGCAGAACAAGAGCGAGCCCAACTTCATCTCCTTCACTCTTGAAGATGACGCGGACCCTGATGACAGCATCCAGGGTTACTTGCTAGCGCGCGCGCGTGCTGGACCACGAGCGTGCGAGAGATGACCGAGTGAAAATCGAGAGATAGGCCAAGTGCGAGGGAATAGAGGGCAGTAGAGGGCAAGGGAATAGAGGGCAGTAGAGGGCAAGGGAATAGAGGGCAGTAGAGGGCAAGGGAATAGAGAGCGGTACAGGGCAGGGCAATAGAGAGCGGTACAGGGCAGGGCAATAGAGGGCGGTAGAGCACAGCGTGTACACACAGTATCCACAAGCAAATATATTTCATAGTCTACTACAGCCTCCACTCCCCGCTCCCATTCCAGAGCTCCTCACAGGACACATCCCGCGCCCTGTGTGTTGTGCCCGCCGCGCCCGTGTCCAAGCCACCGCTACCATCTCCCGCAGTCCGCCGCCGACCAGGACGTCTATGAAAGCACCTTCCGCCGCCGCTTTCCAGTCCCCGCTGTGCTCCAATGTCTCCTCGACAGACCGACACACCAGCCGCGACGTCAAGGCCACAGTCCGCCCGCGCGCAAGCATGTCCTCCAACTGCCCCGCGCACATGCTGACGACAACCGACACTGGCCAAGCCCGGTCAGTCGTAAACACCCCGCGCACGTCCAGAGACCGTCACTGCCGGGGACGTCCAGACAGCCCGCCGCTCACGCGCGATATACGCACCGAGCGCTGCGGTGGGCCGCCGTCGCGGCCAGCAACACTGACCGGACCCGGTCAGCTGGCAGCGCATACAGCGGGAGCACACATGACGCGTCCGAACATCTGAAGACCGCGCGCGCTGAAAGCGCTGCAGTGGGACGCCGTGCTGGCCAGCGACACTGACCGGGCCCGGTCAGCTGGCAACACACAGTGACCATCAGCGGAAGCGCACACAACGCACCTGAATGTCTGCAGATCCCGCGTGCTGACAACGACTCACGCTGACCACACCCGGTGAGCCGTAGACACCCCATGCGCATCCAGAAATAACCACTGCCGTGGACGGCGAGACAGCCCGCCGCTCATGCACCATATATGCACCAAGCACTGTGGCAGGCTGCCGTGACGGCCAGTGACACTCCCCGGGCCCAGTTAGTTGTCAACGTGCCGTGCGCGTTCTGAGACAATCGCCAGTGGAAATCGCGAGAGGGCGCACCACCAATCCACGGGCATACACATTGTGCACCGCCGCCGCAGCTAACGACGCTGACCGGGCCCCTTGACCTCGCGATGTGCCCTCGGACGACCCGCGCGCAGAAGGACGTGATTGGGCGCCGACGAAGAAGATCGCGATCCACGCTGCGACGGACACACTTCAGAACCAGATCGTCGTGCCGCGCATGTCAGATGTGCCGCCATCGCTGACACTGGATGCCACCGACCAGCCACTGTCGTCCTCCCTGCTGAGCATATCACGGAAGAGCACGTCATTGAGCTCTCAGGAGTGCGACCAGTCGCTCGTCCAGGATTCATTCCATTCAGCAGTGTCGAGCATTGACTGGCACTACCTGAGTCCAAATTCAGCAGCCTTCCTCGACTCCAGGGGTATACACGAGATGCACACATTCCAGTCGTCGCCCGGGACATCACCCCTGGACACAGCCGCTCGCCGCAAGGTCCCATTTCTGGGTGTGTCAGGGTGGGCACAGGCGAGCCTGATGGTGGTGCAGCCATCCACGGAGAGCGAGGCGTCGACGTTGGTGGTCCATGGGATGCACAAGAAGTTCTACACTGCGCCCGAGAGTGGAACAAAATGTGCGTGGCGAAGCAGATGTCGCTCGTGCAGCCGCCGCCGGACTTGCGAATCTCAGTGCAAGAGCATATCGCAGGACACTAAAACGCTGACCAAGCCCAGTCAACTGTCAGCGCACAGCGGTCATCAGTGGAAGCACGTACGATGCACCCGACAGCCGCCAAGCTCTGCGGTGAGGCGTAGTGACGGCCAACAATTCTGACCAGGCCCGGTCAGCCATCCATGCCCCATGCACATCTAGGCTTTCATCACCTTGAGCGTGCTCCCTCCTGCAGTGACCAGCTAGTTGTCCGTGAGCACGATCATGCTCGCAAACATTGGGCCCTCGCACCTTGTACCGTCGATCGTCCCCGCGCACCCATCGACAGTGACCTTGAAGTTTGCCTCCCGGATACCCGCACCCGCTCGCGTTGATGTACGGAGATCACGAACACCCGGAACGACTGCGTGCTGGAGCCGTCCAAGAAGCCGCCCACTGTTGCCCGACGCAAAAAGGACCAGCCATCATGTCAGCCAATGATGTTGACCAGACCCGCTCAGCCATCAACACCACGCAGTGGCAGGAGCACGTATGACGCACCTGACAGTCAGAAGATGACAACCAGGGATGCACTTGATCATACAGAGTTGTTTGCAGTCCGTAATACTGTGAGGACCGTCAGCGCATGTCCCATCCCAGAGCGCGAGCTGGATTATGGTTTACCTGATCAAGGCATGCTCCGCAATGGCATGCTTGGTGTCCAGGGTTTTCACTTACTCGGAGGCTGGTGACCGGAGGAATAAGGGAACAAGTGGAAGGTAATAGCGACAAAAGTAGCAGGAAGGTCGCCGGAAATGAATCACACAGTGTATATATAATATACACACATAACACATATCATGGCCTCGGCCAGACAATAGCCAGCGGTAAGAAATTCACATTGGAAGTACGTAATCCCGATCATGGAAGATGCAACAGTGTTGATGCCTGTCTCTCCCACGGAATTACCCTAGTTGTCATGCCGCATGAAAGCAATTCCTCAATTTCATAATACCTATGGTTACCAACTCGAGGCCTTTTGATCGGCCTCTCCAAGGTTCAGTTCGGTCCAGGTTTGGGCTTCTGACCCTCCGACGAGTTTGTGAGGTCAGTCACAATCCTGTATTCTTTCAACAACATTCCTTCATGTCCGTGACCGGGATGGCATGCCATCGGAGCAGGTTACCAGCTATCCCTATGCCGACCACAACCAATGTGCCTGCCACCTTGATGCTGCCTGCAACGGTATCCCGTGGTGGAGTCTCCATGCTGAGATATGCCGTTGCGGCGCAGCCTTGGTGCGTGCCTGGCGGAGATGTGCACGTCCACGGCTCGCATTCACAACAGTGTCTCGCTTGCTTGCTCACATCCTTGCATATTTGCAGCGCAGCAGCGCATGTTGTAGCCTTTTGGCAGAGCCCGCATGCCCGCGTTGACCGGGATCACAGAGGTTGAAGACGAGCCTGTAAGCTCGCCTTCCGCAGGACAGACGGCGCAAACGGTGTGGCATGCAGTGTGTGTATCCCGCTGAGCAGACCGCGTCATGCCGTAGCCGCACGCAGAACAAGGCCGTATGTGGATGCTAGGACGTGCGCTGACCGGGCCAGGGGGCAAAATCGTGTGCTAACGCTTGTGGTGGTGTTTGCGCGCTGGCTACACACACGCACGGCGTCCCGGCGGCGGACACACAAAGCTCGCCCTGCGCGTTGAGGATCCCCCGGACGCGACGCCAGCGTGCGTGCTGCCGTGCGAGTGGGTTGGCAGGCGATTACTGCCCGTGCGGCGCAGAAACCAGATATGGGTATGCGCGCGCGTCCTGCCGTTGGTGAGTTCTCCATGCAGGGATGCATGTCTGGTCCGAGGGTGGTAGATGCCGTGGCAACACGCGAGCGCCCCGGTGAGATGCGCGTAGCTCGGTTGTTGCAGGATGCTACGCGAGCAGTTGCGTTATTGTACACGGCGGAGCCGAGTTGCCATGATGCAGGAAATGGAGTGTCCGTGCGTGGGTTTGCAACACAGCAGTTGCACGCATCTTGACCAGGGGACTCACCTGCACTCGTTGCGCATCTCGACGGCACCCTCTGCTATCGCACCGGAACCGTGTCTTAGCCTGAGAATCCCAGGACCTGCAGGTAATGCGATTACTACACAAGCTCGGGGTGAATGAGCGCGATATTGGGAATATGTACACAAATGGGCGAGTGCAGCAACGATGCGAGATGATGGACGACGGGCCCGCGGACCAATAGAAATCCTGATAGAGTACGAGTGTTTGCACTTTTAGCTGATGGCACGGGGGACGACAGCGGGATGTGGTCATGGCTACCGACGGTCGAGAGTGCGCAGGGAGTCAGCGGCTGAACATTGAGCGCGTGCGCGTCCTCCCGCTGCTATTGCAGCGACGAGGATGCGCATTGCAGCGGGATGACTAGAGGCGGCACGCACGGACTAGATCCCGCTGCCGCTAGGATGTGCGACCGACGTAGTTTGACAGTGCAGGCGTTGTCGCCTTTGCCATTCCCTGCGTCCTCTGCCGCAGGCGTAGTGGGGTAATTCGACGGCTGCCGACAATGCGCCCTCATCGCCGCTCTGGATGCGGGGACAGTCGTCTAGATGTCAGATTGTTGGCTGCGCGCGTGTTGTGCGTGCCGCTCGGCATTACCTTTGTTGCCGTTGCCATATTCCGCCTCTCGCCTTATTTCCCGACTGATGGTGTCTGACCGGGGACACAACGTCAGCACTGGATCTGAGCGTCGGAGCAGCCTGTGCGTTGCTCTGGCACCCGGCGCGATGCACACTCCCCGCCCTCAGAATTCAGCCGAGGCGCGCGCCGTAGCAGTGGCCAGTTCGCGAGAGACATGGCGAGACGACGGCCGGCCGGCGTGCGTCGCGAAGAGCCAAGACGCCGATCACGCAGCGCGGGGTGACGCGAACCATGGTGGCAGGCACGCGAACGGCGTGAATGTGAAAATGCGCGGGTGCGGGGACGCTGCGTGCGACGCAGGCATCGCCACCGTAGCAATAAGGGTAGCGGGCGTGGCGGCCGGTAGATCTAGGCGGTGCGTCCGTCCGCGGGTCTCCGTGCGGGGATGCACGTCTGGCCTGGTCCGATGGTGGAAGACGCCGCGGCGGCGCAAGCCTCACACCGCGCCCGCGCGACGTGCGAAATGCGCGTCCTCTACCGTGCACATTGCGCCGCGCCGTAGTCTCGCTTGCGACCGGGGATGCGTGCAAAGGAGCACTGTGGTTGCGCCCCCGCCTCCCGGGGCCGTGCGTGGACGTCCGGACACGCAGAGCCCGGGCCAACGGTCATCGCGCGCGCGGGCAACGCGCGGTTGCGGTGTCCAGCGGCAGGACGCGCGGACACCGTGCTGGGCATCGAATCGAATCGAGAATCGAGCATCTTTCTCCCGAGAGCACCCTCGGCCCTGCGCATGCGTTGCCAGGGGGAGTGTGCGCGTCGCGCGCGTGCGAAACGCACGCGTTCTGCCGTCGGCGGGTTCGCCGCGCTGGGATACGGCTCTGGTGTGCGAGCGCAGGGAAGGTGCACAAGCTCAGGGCGAATGAGAGTGATATCTTGACGGAAGAAAATGGGAATATGTACATGCATGCGCGACTGCAGCAACGACGCGAGATGACAGACGACGGGTCCGCGGACCAATACCAATCCAAAAATAGCGTGAGCGTTCGCACCTTTAGCTGACAGCACGGCGCATAGACGAATGCACAAGGGACGACGTCGGGATGTGGTCATGGCTATTGACAGTCGAAAGTGCGCAGGGAGTCGGCGGCCGAACATTGAGCGCGTGCGCGAGAGAACCGTGACCGCATCCTCCCGCTGCTATTGCGGCGACGAGGATGCACATTGCAGCAGGATGACTAGAGGCGGCACGCACGCGCTAGATCCTGCTGCCGCTAGGATGTGCGACCGGCATAGCTTGACAGTGCAGGCGTTGCGGCCCTTGCTATTCCCTGCGTCCTCTGCCGCAGACATGGCGGGGTAGTTCGACGGCTGCCGACAATGCACCCCCGTCGCCGCTCTGAATGCGGGGACAGTCGCCTAGATGTCAGATTGTCAGCTGCGCGCGTGTTGTGCGCGCCGCTCGGCGTTATTTCTGTCGCCGTTGCCAAATCCCGCCTATTGCCTTATCATTCCTACTGGGGACACAACACCACGCACTGCATTTTTGCGCCGGAGCATCCTGCGCATTGCTCTGGCACCCGACGCGATGCACATATCCCGCCCTCAGAATACAGCCGAGGCACGAGCAGTAGCAGTGGCTAGCTTGCTAGAGAGCATGAAGACCTCGCGAAGGACATAACCGGCATGCGTCGCAAGGAGGGACGGCATGTCGGGCGCATACGTGAAAAGCCAAGACGCCGATCACGCCGCGCGGGGTGACGCAAACCATAGTGGCAGGCACGCGCGGGCGCAGGCACGGGTACGGCATTGATTGTGCGGGGACGCTGCGTGCGACGCAGGCGTTGCCACCGTAGCAATAAGGGGGCGTTGCGGCCGGTAGATCTAGGCGGTGCGTCCGTCCAGGGATGCACGTCTGGTCTGGTCCGACGGTGGAAGACGCCGCGGCGACGCAAGCCTCACACCGTGCCCGCGCGACGTGCGTAATGCGCGTCCTCTACTGTGTGCACACCGCACCGTGCCGTAGTCTCGCTCGCGACCGGGGATGCGTGCAAAGGAGCACTGTGGTTGCGCCCCCGCCTCCCGGGGCCGCGCGTGGACGTTCGGGCACGCAGAGCCCGGGCCAGCGGTCATCGCGCGGGCGGGCAACGCACGGTTGCGGTGTCCAGCGGCAGGACACCGTGCTGGGCATCGAGAATCGAGCATCTTTCTCCCGAGAGCGCCCTCGGCCCTGCGCATGCGTTGCCAGGGGGGAGTGTCCACGCCGCGCGCGTGCGAAACGCACGCGTTCTGCCGTCGGCGGGTTCGCCGCGCTGGGGTACGGCGCTGGTGTGCGAGGGCAGGGAAGGCGCAGGCGCGGCGCACGGGAAGCCCCGGTGGAGATGTGCACGCGCGCGGGTCTCGCGTGTTGCGGGAGGCACAATGGCTACGCGACCGGCTGCGTTGCGTCGTCAGCGGGGCGCCGTGATGCGGGGAGGTGTGCGTCCGTGCGTGGGTGCGCGACCGGAATAATAGCGTGGGAAGGGGGCTGCGGGGAGGATATAAAGACGGTCGCGGAGGGGAGTGGTGGCCGTCGTGCACCAGTCGGTAATTTGTTAGCGTCGACTCGTGTCTGTGTTGGTGGTCAGCTGGGGTCTGGTGGTGGTATGTATTTGTGTACGTATGCCCGCTATCTGTACTAATTGTTTTTAGTTTGTAGGCATGGACATTGTACTGTACGCGAGGTCCTTACGAATACTTTGACTGGATGACGGCGGGAAGTGCGAACGTCCGCAGCGTGCGGGTGCGATGTGCGCATGATGAGTGGCTTCGCGCGTAAGGGATCAGCGGTGCAGCTTGCGGGGAGAGCGGGCGAAAGAGTAGTTGATGACCGGTTGCTAGTGAGACGTGGCGGGAGAGAAATCAGATACCGCAAGCGAGCAGTACGGATGTCGCGGTGAGGGGCATGCGTGCTGAGGAGATGCGGATGCGGTGTGTGGGCTGTACGCTACAGACAGACCTGATTGGAGAACGCTGCGGGAGGGCGCGCGCGCGACGGCATGAGGTTGGAGTACGGGGGACGTTGTGAGTCGGAAATGTGTGCGCTCGTGTGAAGGCGGGTGGCAGAAGCGCGAGCGTTGAGAGATGTGCGAGGCGCGGTGGTCAGTCGCAGCGTCCACGGCAGAATGATAGTGTCGATGGCGCGCGATCGGGACGCATTGTACACCAGCTGTTTGCATACAGTTTTGACCAGATGAGCAGACAGCGACGGGACGCGGGCGCGTCCGCAGCGTGCGACGGGGCGTGCGCGCAGCCTTGCGCGCCGGAGGAAGACCGAGCGAGAGGCCGGGTCCATGGACGCTTAGTCGGTGAGAGCCGAAAGCGGGCGCGCGGAGAGATGTGCGCGCGGAGAGACGTGCGCGCACACCAGAGCGGGTAAGGCTGGCGACCTTCACGCAGCACAGAGACCAGCGCGTCGATCAAGCGTGCCTGCGCCGCACATGCCAGCGGGTCAGCGGGTTCGGCGGCACACCTCGGCGATAGCGCCACAGCCAGCGGGGGAAGCGGGGGAAGCGCGTAGGGCGAGCGACGCACCTGTACAAGTATGTGAACGTGTGCGTCCACGGCTGCTGCTCGACGTCACGCGCGCTGACCTACGGCACCGCCGCACCGCCGCCCTTTGCGCGCGCCGGTAAGCACAGCGTGCGCTCACCTAGCCGTGCGATTTCGGGGCCGACTTGATGGACCTGGCCCGCTGCCCGTCAGAGGAGCCATGTGTGGACACAGCGTGGACACTCACAGCATCCCCGCGCGGCGTCAGCGCGGCTACGTCCTTGGCCCCGCGCAAGCCTCGGCCCCGCGCAAGAGGGAGGGATGCACCAGTTCCCGGGAAGCTCGACGAGCTCTGTGGACTTGGCGCGCACGGGCGGCTTCATCCACATGTGTACCAGCGCGCTGCAGTCGCGCAAGTCGTAGGGCTGCGAGTGGCGCGGCGCGTGCGTGCGCAAGGGTGCAGGAACGAAGAGAGGACGGGGAGAGGCGCACGCGCGAGGTCAGCGTGCCGCGAGCGGGAGCGGGAGCGGGCGCGTGCGCGGAGGACATGGCGCGCTGCAGCCTGAGACGAGCCATGCTTCAATCGACGACCGGACGCCGGTGGGAGACAGCACGCTGTGAGATGGGGAGCAGCGAGGACAGACAGACGTCGATCGAGGCGAGGCGCGAGCGAGCGTCAATCGAGAGGACGGGGATGAGTTCGGTGCCTGTCAGAAAGGCGATCGCACGACATCTGCGTTACAGTGTGCGGCGTCTGAGCGGGCGTTTGCACCCCGCGACTTCCCTGTCAGTGAGGCGGGTGTCGATTGGAACACACGCGCTCAGGGGATTTGGGTCCAGCCCGGCGATGACGGCCGATCGCCCATTGTTGCGTTGAGGCCGACCTGTGCGCTATGGCCGCTCGGTACCCATCGTTCTCGACGACGACGGCGGCGACGATAAGAGCGTTGCGTTCGCGGTCGTGAAGGACGCTACAGACAGCGATCAAAGAAGCATTCCCACGGCAATAGCTCGACGGACATAGCCTATCGTGTCTGCCTTCTCTCCGCGCCAGGCCATCCAGTCTGCACGAACCTTCGCTCCCCTTTTCTTTACCCCGCCGCCCCTTTGCCTACCCCCAGTCGCTCGTTTCTTCCCCCTTCCAACCGTCGGCCGCTATGAGGCCGCACTCGCTGTCACTGTGGCTCGCGCTTTCGGTCTCCCTCTGCGAAGCTGTCCGGGTGCCGATAACACGACACAAGGGCGCGTCTGCAAGCACGGACCTGCACACAAGAAGCAGATCCGTAGGCTATTCGCGTCCCGTTGTCGACGCTGCATCATCCTCCAACAGCAATGACGGCACCGACCTGACGTGAGTGACCTGGCTCTGGCATGGAAGGATGTACGGCTGAGAAGCCTCCGGGGACCAGCACTGTACATGACCTCCTTTATATCGCCAACGTGAGTGCTCCTCTAGCATGTTTGTGACGGTTTCAAACCCGCTGCCCGCTCCAGGTGACGATAGCCGGCACCGGTACGCTTCTCGCGACCCGCTGCGCGCGCCCTCCGCCTGGTCCCTGACGGCCGTGTATGTAGTATACCCCCTACAATTGGATACCGGATCGTCAGATCTCTGGACGAAAGCTTCCTCGAGTCCGATCCCAAACACCAAGCAGTCGGCGAGTCTACGCCTTCGTGTGTCACCCGTTTGATTGACTGATGGGATGCATTGCCGACAGACAATATCGTACAACATGACTGTGCGCGTCGTTTCACTGAACGTCCAGGTCAATCCTGAATTCTCCTCTTGGCATTATAGTATGGCATTGGATGGGCCTACGGCAATGTCTCGTGGGGTACCGTTGAATTCGCTGGGTACGTCTCGTGACGGACCACTGGCCCAGCGCGTTGTGTTGACTGTCGTAGTATCGAGGTCGAGTCGCAAGCATTCATGGACGTCACCGCTGCGTCAAACCCTGCACTCTCGTATGGCGCGAATGGGATCATTGGTCTCGGCTTCGACTCGCTATCGACGATCGACGCACTCGTCAACCACAGTGGGTCTGCTACAGGCCGCACTTTCCTTTACAATGCATTCCAGCAGAACAAGAGCGAGCCCAACTTCATCTCCTTCACTCTTGAAGATGACGCGGACCCTGATGACACCATTCAGGGTTACTTCTCGATAGGTATATACCCCCAGCTTTCAATTGGCCGCGGTGACACATTGTATGACTTTAAGGCGAGTATGAGCCCAAATACGCTGCAGTCCAAAACAGCTCGCCCATCTCGACATGGCCCGTCAGCTACCCTACTCGGTGGACTGTCTTGCTCGACGCTCTACTTGTCGGTAACAAGTCTGTGTCCGTGTCAACAACTGTGTCCGGTGCACCCTCAGACAAGGCAGTTGTCGTTCTTGACAGCGGGACATCATACACGTCGGTCTACTCTCTCGTGCATGTCTGATAGGTTGCTCAAATCGGGACAGGTATGCTCCAACAGAGATCTGCAATGCCATCTATGGCGGAATCTCTGGTGCGAAGTACGACGCTGACCTAGGGCAATGGGTTGTGCCCTGTGATGCCGAAGTCGACATCGCCTTGCAGTTTGGGTATGTCATCGTTATCACTAGCCTTCGTGAGCTCACAATCCAATCGTTGCCAGTCAGGGCGTCTACCCCATCAACCCCCTCGACGTCTCCCCACAGAGCCTCACAGATTCGTCTACCTGTGTAGGCACCTTTATACCCCAATCAGTCTCCGTCGGCGGCGGCGAGTTGTAAGTTGAACGTGCCTTGCAGAAAGTGTATTCACAAAACATCCTCATAGTGACTGGCTGATCGGCGACAACGTCCTGCGTTCTGTTTACGCCATCTATGACTTTGGCGACTACGACTCAGCGGGCAAGATGGGCAACCCATACATCAAACTCTTCTCCCTGGTCGATCCCGACCAGGCTTCTGCAGACTTCCACTCCATCCGCGGCGGCCAGGCGCAGAACGTCACCTACAACGCCGCCAACACCACAACCTCGGGCTCTGGCTCGACGACGGTCGCGCTCTCCAACGACGTCATCACATCCCTCGAGCGCGTGAGCAACTTCATGCCCGCCGTGCTCGCGCTCATGGCGTTCAACGCGCTCGTGCTCATCCTGCTCGTCGTCGCGGGCGCTGTGTATTTCTTCCGGCGGAGCGCACGGGGCAAGACGCGCGCGCGCAAGGCGCCCGGGCGCGTCGCCCCGATGCCGATGAACACCATGTCGACGGTCGGTCTTATGAGCGGGGACTCGCCGGGCGGCGCGTACCAGCCGGTGTCGATGGCGCTCTCGGATGACGCGTTCGTGCCGCCATCGCCCGCGTTCTCAAGGCGCATCTCCGGGCTGCGGCCTGTATCGGAGATGCACGAGCGGCCAATGTCGGTCGCGTGAGTTCCGCGGGTCGAGGACTGAAGACTGCGGTGCTACGGATGCTTTATGTCGTTGCCAGATGCTGCCCTGGTGGGCATGGACAGGTTGCTGCTGTCTCTGCGTGAGACGGAGATATACGTGTAGGTACATCGAGATGGACGATGGCTTTCGCCCGGTAGTTGCTTTGAGCTTATCATGTGAAGTAGCTACTAGTCTAATTATCACGCATCCATTTCTCTGCTTTCACACTTGCTGGGATACTTGACCGTAACGTGGAATCTCCGGACGAGGTATGCATGCACCATGCATCTGCAGACCGTTGAGACTATGCCATCATTTCATATATAGATCATGCATTCTACAGTCGCGAGGGTCGTAGTGTTCGCCGAACACTGAACTCTTGGTCAACGGCGCTGGCCGTAGCATCGAGACCACGTTGGCTGCCCAGTGGGGACTCCTCAGTATGAGGAGTGCGCGTGGGGCGAGCATATCGCCTGCATTCCTTTGCCTGGCTTTTGATCTTTTTCCAGCGTTCTCGTTCCTCCTCCGAGCACATTTCAGGCTCCTTCGCAACCACCTCGTCCACGATCTCCATCAGGTCTTTCGCCAGTTTCGCCAAATAGTACTCTAAATCGTTCATGAATTGAGACGACCTGGACTGATCAACGAGTGCCTTCGGCCTGTGGAGGAGGCGTTCGGCGCCAATGTGGTCTATGATCCGCAAGCATTGGCGCATATTGGCCAGTTCCTGAGATGCTAGTGCGGTGTGGGCGATGTGCGCCATGGCGGGGGTATCGAGCTTGATGTTCCTCCCGGGCGACCGCTTTTGCATCTCAGGCTCCTTGACCCTGCTGCCATCAGCGAAATCATCCGGATTGTATCCCGTCATAAGCTCGAAGGTCCTGGTGGCGCTAGCCCAGTCTCCATTCCGCCAGCACACGTTCAAAACGAGTGAGAAGGTTAAAATAGTGGGGCGCAATTCGACAGCATTCCGCGCCGACGCTTCCTCTTGCAATAGCCACTCGAGTGTCTCCAGCGCCTGCGCCGACGCCTCGTCGGACCCCATCATACTCATACCAGCAAATAATCTGATGACAGTTTCCACATGGCGGTGGGTAATTATTGCTCTGTTGTCGGGATGATCGACAACCTGACGGAAGAAGTGTACCCCGAGTCTGTATTTCTGAGAGCTGTTGCACAGGTACAGTACCTCTCCTAGGAGGTGCGTCGACAGCTGGACTCGAGGGGGCTGAGGTGTCTCTCCGGGTTTTGTTAAGCCAAGATAATCGCGAACGATGTCGAATGCAAAGAGCTGGTCGGAGGGGGAACCTGAAGTGAGGGCTGATATAGCGGGTGTGATGAGGTGAGAGTCAAACTCGAACTGTGGATTCTTCTCTGCAATCTTGAGCATCTGCCGCCAGAGCAGTTTGACATCGGAAGCGTTGCGAGCGCACATAGCTGCCTGAGCCTCGGGACCGCCAGATGTGGCTCTGCGCCACGAAAGGCCTCGAAAGAGAGCAGCGAATGTGAACTGGTTAGGCGCGAGAGGGCCTTCATCGGCCATCGCGTGTAAGACATCGAACATTCGCTGGTATAATCCCGCGTCGGTGAGGATCTTGATGTAGCCCGTGACAGGAGCTACGCTCAGCTCTGGGCTTGCAGGATCAATCGCCTTAACGTGTTCAGTATATTGCTGATAACTATCGTGGAGCCTGTGCACATTTTCAAGCATCTTTGTATGTTTCGACCAATCACCGAGGCTTTGGAAAGCGCCGAAGAAAGTCGTGAACGTCTGCAGAGTTGGGGAGAAGCCACGACGTTTCATCTGGTGAGTGTCAGTAACGAATTAACAGGTCGAAACGTCAGGACGTACATCGACATAGAGTTTGTATGCCGACTGGTAGCGTGAGGCTCGCAAGAACTCTCGTATGAGGGTGTTCCACACCACGGCATTTTGCGCGTCGAGAGGCAGATTTTGAAGGTAGGTAGCTGCTTCATCATGCTTCCCCTCAGTACATAACTTCGTCACCCGCTGAGCGGTAACGCTTGGGCGTAACAGGATCTTCTCATTATCCCCCTTCGACCAGAAACGGTCTCGCGACTGTGATGTATTCCCCAGACGCGTCCAATTCGATTTGAATGACTTCGGATGCGGCCTCTCATCCTCCTTCAGCAATGAAAGGTCGCCTGACTGTGACGATTTCCCTGGACGCGTCCACATGAATGACTTTGGATGCGGCTTCTCACCCTCCTTCACCAAGGGTGTATCTTGCGACTGTGACGAATTCCCCGGACGCGCCCATCTCGACTTGAATGATTTTGCATGCGGCCTCTCATCTTCCTTCATCAAGAAAGGATCTCGCGACTGTGACGAACTCCCTGGACGCGTCGATTTGATTGACTGTGGTTGCGGCCTGCTCCGCGTGTCCGTGTCCCGAGGTTTGAAGGAACTTCTCTTTTTCAAACCAGAGTAATGCATTGGTTGCGGTGCCTCAACTTCTGACGACAGCGCCCTCGAAAGAGTGTCGCGTAGGAAGACAGGTGTTCTCAGACATTTCTGTGCTGTAGCCAAAGATGCAGAGGCATTCTGTAGCATGTATATGAGAGAGAATTCTAAGAGTCTTAGAACTTGACCACAGAAAAGAGCAGTGCGATCTGGCAAGAATGGAGGTGGATGAGCAAGAGACTGTCTCTATATGAGCGCTAGCAAGCAGTACAGACAAGCTCGATCTCCGCTAGCGCCTGTATTATATAATATCACACCTAGATTCGTCGGGCAGAATCGACTTGGGCGAACCTCACCACTACGACAAGGCCAGCATGGTCTCTCTAGCACGAACTATCCGATCCATACGTCGGGTTGGCCTCAAGGAATGGTGGCATCAGATGCAGTACATTGGTGATGCCAAATCAGGGAATCTTATGGGCAAGGACCAGTGCGTATTGAGTCGTGAAAGCTAGAACACGACTGACACATTACTGTGCAGATTTGGTAACCGCTACTTCGAGAACTTGAACGCAGAAGAGGAGGTGCCTGGTGAGTGCCCCTGCATGCATATGTCAAGTCTTAGTGAACAGTCATAAGGTCGCCACCGCTGGGTTGATTTCGCTCAGGTGTGTTTCGGCTTGTTTGACCATTCCATACGCGCTTCAGTCTAACATACCATTTCGCATTAGCACGATTTCAACGCCACTCAAGTTCCTGCCGAATGGCACTCTTGGTTAAGCCACATCCGTAAGGATCCACCCCCAGAAGATCGTGTCATGCAGAACCTATCCCCCCCATGGAAGGCGGTACGTCAACCCACCCTAGTACATATCCACTCAACTCATCTTTCATACCTTAGCCTTGGATAGAGAACCTTACTGGCACTCGTGGAGTATACAGGGCCTTCAACACGACTAAGCCCAAGATTGAAGCTTGGCAGCCCAAAGTGATCCCTCGAGGGCAGTGAACTCGCACATTCCCTATATTTCATGAGTCCTGTGCAGTTCACTGTTTACTCTGGTACATGCCCATTCTCTTGGCATAACATAACTTCTACGACCCTTTCCGCAATTGCAAGACTGGACGTCAAACCGGGACTTTCGATCCCAAGTAAGGTAATCATAGGTCGCCGTTCTTTGCCTTCAGCTTGAACCCCAAGGAATGACCCTGGATAGTGAGTGTGGAACTCAAAGTCCCGGAACCCACCTTGCGGCCCAACTAGCTTTGGTCTAACCCCGCAATAGTCGGGCTGCAATCCTTCCCTCACCACTCCGGGTAAATAGTCCGTTACAGCTTCATGCATCATGCCCAATCGTGTGTCATCCGGGACAAGATACTTCTGCCAGAAGTCGGGATCAGCGCCATGCACAACAGCTTCATCGCTTGCGCTGGAGGGTGGCGGGTTCAGCCAGTCCAGATCGGGTCCGAATTTAATCTTGCCATCTAAATCGAGCGTGAGATGTGTTCCCAGCGACTGGAAGCCATGCATTGTGCGACCAGTCTGGGGACAAGGGTAGATCAAGTGGGAGACGTGCTTGATACCAGGGCCTCGATATGACGCGTACGAGCCGCGTCCGTAGAACATGGGTATGCGAGATTCCCTTGGAAGCAATGAGTTGAGGATGAGGTGCGCGGAGAGACCAGAACAATTGATCAGCGTCCGTGCAAGCATGGCGTCGCCATCTCCTTCGCCATCTCCAGTGACCGTCTGCACCACCCAACCCGCGTCAGACGAACGCGGGTCTCCCCGGTGTGGGTCGACCCGGACAATGCGGGTCTGGTATGCGACCTCACCACCTTCTGCGTCTGATATGTCCTTGTCGAGACTCTCCATGAATGAATGCGAGTCGACGATGCCGGTCTCGGGGCTCCACAGTGCAGCCACGATCTCATTCGAAAGGTCGGGTTCGAGCTCTCTCGCACGCTCCCCGCTGATAAGCTCCGTGGGAAGAACCGGGTTGTCGCATAGATGGGCCGGCGTAAGTGCTGGCCAGCAGATACCTCGGGCTTTGGTGTGCAACCCCTCGATGTAGGCGCGTTGTTCAGCGCGTGCGACGACCAACTTGCCTACCTTCTTGTACGGCACGTTCTGCTGGTTGCAGTACTGGTACATGAGGTGCCTTCCTCGGAGGCATAGTCGTGTCTTCAGGGAATCGGCGGGGTAGTAGAGTCCTGCGCCACAGAAGTGAGCAAGGCTGAGCTTTGACGACCTCACCTGCCTCACCTGCATGTATCACTTCGGAGTTCCTTGAGCTACATCTGTGTTGAGTACGATTCCTAAGCGATGCACCTGGTAAACCAAACCGCACCTGATCTCTTCTCCCGGCCTGTGGTGTCTCTCCACCAAGAAAGTGGCTTTAGATGGAAAGCGTTGTACCAACTGTCTTGCTATGGCTAGACCGACAACCCCTGTATATTGCTGATCTTTCAGAACATCCTTATTTTCCTGATAGCAGCGCGTATTGCATACCGCCTCCCACAACGAGGTAGTCGACTGCGAACTCGGGTGCCTGTACACGACTTGTCAATCGGGGTGTACGGACTTGTGGTACGAGCTGCTCATCACCTTGTACTTGTATCTCCCATTGCTGTTCAAAGCGGCTGCAAGGCCTCTGACTTGCATGATGTTTACTCAAGATCGGGGGATGGCACCATGGTCAGCTCCCCGGAAGCAGTACTTGTTTGGAGTCAATTTCGTGGGGCCGGTCAGGGCGCTTAGCATCTGATCTCGATCTCGATCGTATACATCGAAAATCCACTGATTGCGAACCTCAACCTGCACACTCTTTGCCTTGGGCTCATTCCGTAGCCGCAAAACTTCTGCTCTACTACCACTCTTAGAAGTATAAGAAAAACCCGCTATGGCATCTAGCTCTGATACTCCACTACCCCAGCCTATCCCGGCGGAGGAACGGCTCGCGACATTTGACAGTGTTCCTCTGTTCATGAAGTCATTGCCAGAGGACGCAGTGGATGATCCTATTGTAGGCGCTCTGCAGAGCTTGGCATTCGAGGGCACACCTGATGGTTCATATCCGGACTTCCTTTACGCCGAAGTTTGACTAAGGCTTTACGTAGAAAACGCGCTGAACTTCAAGGAACAAGGGAACGACTACTTCAAAGGAAAGCGTTATCGTGAAGCTCTGGGGTTCTACACGCAAGGAATCGATGCTAAGCCATCAGATACTGCTCTGCTGGAAGCGTTGCTGTGCAACAGAGCTGCCTGCAACTTAGAGCTCAGTGAGGCAATTCCGTTCGCGATGTTTGCAAGACGTGTTGACGACGGCGCGCACACAAGAAAATTACGGCGCAGTATTGAAAGACTGCTCAAAGGCTATCCTCACGAACCCTCGCTCCTCAAAGGCGCACTATCGCTCAGCTCAAGCTCTCGTAGCGCTGGAACGCTTCGATGAAGCTATTGATTGCTGCGATCGCTGTCTAGAGTTCGACGCAGAGAACAAGGTCGTGCGAGCACTTCGCGAGAAGGCATCACAGCAAAAGATCGTTAAAGACAGAAAGGAGAGGGAGAAGCAAGAACGTATACGTAGAGAGGTCGAGGAGAAACGTCGCCTAAGAGCCGCTTTCAAGGTGCGTCGTGCCCTCCCCGATTAGGACAGGAGCTCATAGGGTGTCAAGGAGCGCAATGTGATCGTCATTCCACGGCCAGACGGATCGTCAAGCAACCCATACGCACCTGCGTTCGACCCCGAAGATCCGAAGAACAACGCGCTGATCGTGCCCGTCTTCTTTCTGTATCCTCAATATGCAACGTCGGATATCATATCACAGTTTGTAGAAGACACACCGTTCTCTGCGCATCTTGCGACTATGTTCCCTCCGGAAGCTGCACCACCCGAATGGGACAAGAATCACGAATATGTGACGGACAACCTGGTGGTGTACGCCATAACGTACAGAAAACGGCTGCTGAAAGTCGGTAAAAAGATGACGCTACGCGACGTGTTTCAGGCTTCCAAATCAAAGGAAAAGGAGCCTGTAGACGGACTGGAGTTGAAAGATGGATGCTTGACGTTCGTCGTACTACCTAAGGGAGACATAGAGAAGAAGTGGATAGAGGACCTCAAGAAGACGAGAGGGTTTTGATCATATGTATTATTGTGGCAGATCTCATGTTATATCGCTAGTCTAGCAGAAAGAAAGTGCTACTTAACCAGATGGAGGCCAGTGCAGCCTATACAGCACGTTTCCGCAGAATACACTTCGTAGCGCAAAATTGGATAAGCGCCTGTGGTCCTCGGGGTCCGAGACCGGCGCTTCACGTGCCGTGAGCGTAGCAAACCTTTCAAACACCAGGATATCGATCAACCGAACTCGACGACGGCGGTAGGCACGGTGAGTACTCTGTTCATCCTGAAATGCTGTTGGAGAGGCTTGCAGAGTGTAAGGAGATACGCTGCGAGATCGAGAAACCAGGAATTTGGGCAGAATGGGATGGATGGGTGTGTTGGGATCCGGATGCTGACAACAACCTCGCGTTGTCTACAGGCCCTCAAGACTCAACATGTCTGTCCAGCACAAGATCCTCCGTACCGCCAACGCCCCCACTACTCCTCCTGATGAGACCGAGACCAGCGTTGCGCAGGCTCTGATTGACCTCGAGAACAACGTTCCCGAGCTCAAGTCGGAACTCCGACCTCTGCAGATTTCTGCTGCCCGTGAAGTCGACGTTCGTGGCGGCAAGAAGGCCATCGTCATTTTTGTCCCTGTGCCTCAGTTGAAGGCATTCCACAAAGTTCAGCAGAGGTGGGTTCTACTCATATAATCCAGCAACGCAAGGCGCGTTAAACATTACCTTTCTAGGCTGACCCGTGAGCTCGAGAAGAAGTTCTCTGACCGCCATGTTGTTTTCGTTGCGCAGCGCCGGGTGCTGCCCAAGCCGACGCGCAACTCGCGGGTGAAGCAGAAGAGGCCCCGCAGCCGCACCCTCACGAACGTCCACGAGAAGATCCTTGAGGACCTCGTCTTCCCCACGGAGATCGTTGGTAAGAGGACGCGTGTCGCCGTCGATGGCTCAAAACTGCTGAAGGTGTACGTGATATCGCGTATTCATCGGCAGCTGGCGCTGATCCGATGCCGTGTGTAGCTTCCTGGACTCGAAGGATGCGACATCACTCGAGTACAAGCTGGACTCGTTCTCTTCAGTATACCGCCGTCTGACAGGGAAGGATGTCGTGTTCGAGTTCCCCGTGCAGGCGCAGGAGTAGGGGAGTGTTGCTGCCGTCTAGGGATCCATGCTATGCTATCGCTCGTACATCAAAATGTATCTGTATGCCGCCGTATGAGCATGCCGGTCGTTTTTGCATTTGAATTGCCGTTGCTGTCATGGTCCGAGTGTGGAACGTAATAGCAGATGTTTAAATCCCCGATGAACAGCAACGGAAAGCTTATCGCGGATGGTCCGACGCGGTACGCGTCTGTACGCGGTGCACGTGGTCTTGTGTTCCTTTGCTCTGCCCAATTGCGGCATGTCTCCGTGATACTCTGCAGGTGCCGCCCGTACCTGGCTGAGCTGCAGCTCTACCTCTCCCATAATACAAGTACTCGCATTGCTCGGTGCTTCTCCTCCTTTTCCCCGCCCGCGCGGCATACCCCTCACGACCCCCGGTGCACGGCCATGAGTATCTACCCGCGCATGAACCCTTACAGCAAATCACGATATGACCAGGGCATCGACGCCAAGATTGTAATAATGGGCAACACGGGTGCGTGTTTCTTGATGCAGCGCAAGGTTCGAGAACGTGGTCTGACTGCGGTGCTTGCGCCTCTCCTGCAGGTGTTGGCAAGACCAGCCTGTTGCACAGATATACCCAAAACAAGTTCGATCCCAAGAACACGACCTCTACGACTGGTGCTTTTTTCGTAACGAAGAAGGTGTATGTGGACGGCATTAAAGTCAGACTACAACTATGGGACACAGCGGGCCAGGAGAGGTTTCGAAGCATGGTGGGTGTGTCCGGCTCCCTTCGCTACGCGCTCTGATCGCTATTGTTTTGCAGGCCCCAATGTACTATCGCGGGGCAAACGCAGCACTACTGCTGTATGATATTACCAACGCTGCTAGCTTTGACGACGTTCGAGGATGGTTGGAAGGTGCGTGACGGTGACTCTGATTGACGGAATCGACCTCATGCTTCCATTACCTCTCAGAACTCAAGAAGAATTGTTCACCTGATCTCATCATCTACATCGTGGGCTCAAAGGCTGACCTACATCGGCAGCGCCAGGTGACGTCTGACCTTGCCCGGCTCTCCCTACATACCTGGTTTCCACCACCTACACCGCCAAGTCCACCACCGCCTCCACCACCGTCCACCTTCTCGTACATTCGTCCCCGCTTTACTTCCTTCCCAAGCATCCGCTCGGCACCTTCGCCCACTGCCGCAACTAAACCCCCATTATCGTCCTCCATTACCACCGAGCACCATTCGGACCCCCGAGCGACCGGCATGAAGCGCTCTCACACCACCGCCCTGACTCGTCCGCGAGCCAAAAGCGGAAGCCTTCTCCTTCCTAGCGCAAACTACGACACCGCCATTCGCTCGCCACCATCATCTCGTTTTGACTCGCAATTCGGTTATCGGGCCGCTGGTTGGAACGAGATCGCTGAAAGCAGCAGCAGTGGTCTTGATGAGGACGAAGACACAGACGTAGCAGACGATCAGGAGTGGGGTCTTCATAAAGACATGGAACTTTTCGAAGTTTCCGCGAAGGATGACCTAGGTCAGTGCTCGCGCGTGCCGTACACTCGGACCCAGGCTTACTTTGTGAGTCGATAGGCATCCGAAATCTGTTTGATACCCTGATAGCTGCAATCATCGCGAAGAGAGATGTCATCGAAGAAGAGAACGAACTGAAGAGAAGAGATAGCGTGTATCTCACCCCTGTCACTGTCCCTGTCTGGGCTGCCCAGGCGGACGCAGAGGAAGCCCGAGAGAAAGCTCAGGCGGCTGCAGGATTCTCCTGGAGCTGCTGCTCGACGTGATATCCCAGATGCCTTCCTCACACTAATCCCGCACTCTCTTCTTCGCAGCTACCGTAGCATATCACCCTCGTCAATTCTCGTCATCTTCGTCTCGTTGTGCTCGTCTCAAACATCACGGTTATCGCTTTTGTCTACTGCTCATACGCTGCATGATCACGTTTCGTATCTTCTTCTATTTTCCTAGGCTGATTTCCTCCATCGTCACAGTTGTTATTGCGCTCATCATCGCAGGATATCCTTACGTCTTATCTTATGTTCGCGTTTCTTGATTCATCGTCATGCCTCGTCATGTCATACATACCATATGATAGTGACGCAGTTCGAAGGATGCTGGAAGTAGGACTGTTTCGCTAGTTGTCCTATCATACGCCTGTATCTAATAGTACTTCCCTGCTTCTCACCATATACATACCCGACTGCAGGACACTTATCAGCGCCTATCGCAGCGTATTGTCCCAGTCGGCTCGATCTGGTAAATATACATGTACAGCTGAGCCGCCCAGTGGCTAGCGAGACATCTCTCTCGACCCACAGCCGGTCAGTGCATCCCTTGTCCTCTCCTATCTCTTCAGCACATTCATTGAGCTACTGCGCTGTTGTATCACTCTCTGCCGACATCGATGTCTCTGATCCCTCCAAATCCGACTGTTGACTCAACAGAGGATAAGGGAGACGTCTGCACTCGCGAGCATTGTTTCCGTTGCTTCGACACGCTGTTCTGCGACCTCACCGACCACCAGCCACTGCCATGTCAATTTCCTGACGAGAAATAGTGAGTCGGGAGCGCCTCTCACGGACTCTACTCTGACTTCGTCAAGCCCGCTTTTCGTAACATGGAGCACCCGATCCTCTCGCCCGGGGCGGGCGCCCAGACTAAGGGGGTGCATCGGCACCTTCGAACCAGTTGCTATAAGAGAAGGGTTGGCACAGTATGCCCTCATCAGTGCATTCCAGGACTCGAGGTTTGCCAGGATAGAGGAGGCAGAGCTTGAGAGTCTCGAATGCGGGTATATTCGTCCACGTCTCTTCCCTCTGGGCCACGCAGTGAATGCACTTGTCTTCTAGGATCTCGCTGCTGACCAATTTTGAAGAAGCGACATCGTACCTCGACTGGACCATTGGAGTACACGGCGTACGCATAACATTCCCCCACCCGTCTCTACTAGCGGCCCCTCCATCACCGTCCAGCGCGCCTTCCCCTCTGTCATCAGCATCTTCTGTCCCTACCAGAAGTATGCTCAGGCATAAATTTTCCGCCACCTATCTTCCGGAAATTGCGTCGGAGCAAGGCTGGGACAAGTTCGAAACAATCGACAGCTTGATCCGGAAGGCAGGCTGGAACGGACGAATCACTGAGGACATCCGACGAAGCATCAAGCTAAAGAGGTACCAGAGTCAGAAGTGCACCGTAAGCTGGGAGGAGTTCGTGGAATGGAGGTTGCAGAACGGTGGAACGATGTGAACGGACACTGTCTTGGTTAGAACTGAACGATCGGTCGTTAGGTTTCCTGTGAATCTGCTGTATATTACCTGACCATATGTACTAGTTGATTTTGCGCCCGTCATAGATCCTCCTTTTGAAGTGCTCCAGCCTGCCTCCCCAGCCCCCGCCGAATCTCTCTTCGAGCTTCTCCCAGACCTTGCGTAATTTCGGTTTTGCATGATCACTGAGCGTGTCGAAAGCGACCAGGATCCAGTAGATGGTTCTCTCACTGGGCTTTGTGTTGTGCGGCAACTTCACAAAGGTTTCGAAGAGAGCCTCGAGATTTGTGATTGTCCAGGCAGAGGACGTGAGCCTTTGCGTAAGGCTTCCTGCTGGGGGTAGATCACGCACTCTCTTGCCGTGGCGGGCAAAGCCAAGAAAGATGGCCCGGAAAGCGGGCAGCGTCGGGGAGTTGTCCATTCCAGATGAGTCGGGGGCAGCGCCGCCAGCAAGGAATGCCGACTGGCCTTCCGCAGACAACATGTCCATGAACACATTCAAGCTCTGGATGAGGTGTCCGTGATAGGCGTAGCACTGTATGAGAGTATAGTAAGTGGTTGCATTGGGTCGTAGATTGACGGGGACTTCAAGTCCTTCCATGACGGCGAGCCGGTGAACTGCGTCATCAACATCAGCTCGATGCGACTGAGAATGTCTGAGGATGCGATAAATTAGGGCAGCTACGTCGATGTAGCCCATACCCCCATACGCCCAGATACATGCATTGAGACTGTCCAGGTCGAGATGATGTCCTTGTTCCCTCATCTTGAAAAGAGCGGCGCGCACACTAGGCATGTCATTCTTCCGGGTGAAGTAGCGGATGAGGGCGAGGTGCGTAATGCGATTTGGTGGTATATTTGATGCCTCGAAAGAATCCATGGCATGCCTAAACGCAGCTTCGTTAAATGTGCGGCCTGCGATGTTCACTAGCGTCGTGTGCGTGTAGATATCCGGTGGGATGGCTCGACCAATCACGGGAACGGAAGGCTCGTCTCGCCTCGCCTTCGATCGCGAACCGGGAGATTTGCCAGTGACCATGTCGTGGTACATGTCCAGAGACGATTGGAAGTCCTCCACTCGCGTTTTCCTCCAACCTTTGCCAGCCATATCTATGAGGGCATTCCACTCCCAATGGTGAATGCGACCACCCGTGTAACGGAGGACAGACAGAACGGACAGCATGCGCAAAAACAAAGTCCTAGTCCGAGGACGCGTGGACGACAACATCCGGGCTAGACGATGCAAGAGGGCATATGGGATGGGCAAGGTACCAGAGGGCGGAGACGGCAAAGCGATTAATCGCTCGTATGCACCCCAAGCTTTTGACGTTAGCGACGTGTTCGCCAGAATATACTGGAGAGAATCCCGGTCTTGGGGAAGTCCATCTGTACTGGAGTCAAGCGGACGGTCCTTATTCCTGAGAGCCTCGAAAGACAAAGGATGGTTTCCCGACGTTTCCGAGCCCGTGGCTAGTCCCGGAATAGATGAAATGCTCCCCGGCGCAAAGACCGCTGGAGATGCAGCTGCGGCCTTGTTTTTAGGGTGACGCGAGGACACGGCTGCGGCAGCGCTGACGGCGAGCATGAGCGGAGGGATGCGGGACGGTCTTTCCGTTCTCGTGTCTGTCTGTTTGGTCGTAGTCGATTCCTCCGTATCGGCCATACCAAAGCTCGGCGTAGACAAGTCGCTTTGGTAGATAGTATCACAGAGCAAGCTATCATTGTCGGGCTCGCCCGGTGCCGCCGCCTGGTGAGCCTCTTTTGATAGGTTGTGACGGAGGGGCAAGGACAGGATTCGCGACGTGACATTGTATCGAGTGAGGCCCAGAGAGGACACTCTCAGCATCAATGAACTATGCAGTCATCCTGGGTCAATGCCGGTCAGCACCTGGACGCACCTGGACCGTACACCAAGTAATCGGAATAGAACATACCGCGACGCGATGAGCACTACCAACACCTCGCAAACGGAAGGACGCTGTCACTCTCGCCGATACCGTCACGTCGGAAGGAGGAGAACGAACAGGTCAATTCACGAGACCGCGCGCGGAAGGTCGATGTGCCAGCAACCAGATCGCGGCAGGAGAGAAAAGTCGCGCAGAAGTAGACGCCAGCAGCAGACGCCGTCAAATCACGTCGCTGGCTTTTGAAATCTACTTATGAGCTCATATCTCTTACATAGTGCTCAGTGAAGACACGCGCAAGACTCGCTCAGAGGATCCGTGGCTCAACATGGTGGCAAAGCTGGCATTGACGATACAGAGCATAGCATATGGACGTGGTGCGACAAGGCCTAAGTACGTGTGAAAGAAATACATAGTGCAGAAAATCACGCCCGCGCCTTGAGCGTACCCAGGAACGCTGCCTTCTCCTCGAATGTCTGGAAGGCACCGTGCTATAAAGGATACAATGTGAGTGACATACATGACTGGAACTGATAAAAGTACGCACCCCGAACTTCGACGATGTGTCGATGAACTTGAGCTGCACCTTCTCGAGATCCCGACGGGATGTGTGAACCATGAGCGACTTGCGGATGGTGATGACACGCTTCTTGGTGCCGGGAATAGAGCCCTTCAACATGAGATAGTCGTTCTTGACGATACCGTAGTGGGGGAAACCACCCATGGGTGTGATCACTTTCTTCGTGATGTCGTGCTCAGTCGATGCGTTACCAGTGTCTTCACCAGAGCCAATACGGTAGATCTTCTTGTTGAGTTCTGTACGGTGGTGGTAACCGTCTGGAAGCGTATACAGTGGTCAGCTAAATACAAGGCTTCGAGAGTGACAAATCTACGCACTTTGACCCGCACGAGCGACGGAGAACATGACCTTTGAAGGATGCCATGCACCGATACATGCGACTTTACGCAGACCCTTGTGCGTCTTACGGGGGAGCTTCTTGGTACCCCACCTGTGGGTGACACCCTCGAAACCGTGACCCTTCGTCACCGCGATCACGTCGACAACTTCATCCTGCTCGAAAACCGTGCTGACTTCCACAGGCTTCTCAAACAGGCCGTGCGCGAACTCGACCTTGTCCGCGACCGAGCCACCGTTCACCTGGATCTCCATCAGGTGCGCCTTCTTCTGGCTGAGACCCGTCTTGCGGATTTGTGTGTGCGCAAGGACACGGACGACCGTGCAGTATTTGCGAATACGCTCAAGTTCGCGGCCAATAGACTTGCCGCCATCCTCGGCATGCTTCTTGGCGTAACGAGTGAACGCCTTCTTCTTCGAGCGGTACCAGTTCTTGTAGAAGCGACGCTTGAGCTCGTCCGAAAGATGCGAAGCCCAGACGGTTGTAAGAGTACGGAGACCACGAGGGGTCTCGACATAGCCCACAACACCAACAACCACCATCGGTGGTGTCTCGATGATGGAAACCGCCTCAACAACCTCCCTCTTGTGCATTTCTAGATATTGAGACCCCTCAGCAATTGCTCTGAAGGAAAGCGAGAGGACTACGCACTGGACCCGGGTCGGTCAAGATCACGAACGACGTGGGTCATTCCTGCCTTGTAACCCATGATCGCGGTCAAGTGGACCGGCTTCTTGGCGTCATCCTACGGGGCTTGGTTGGACTATGATGTTGTCTTTTACATCTATAACACTCACCTTGGGGAATGCCTTGACCTTTCCACGGTGGCGGGCGGCCCTCTTACGGGGCAGGAAGCCGAGGGAACCATGGCGGGGGGCTTCGTACTGTCAATCCTTCGTCAAGGCTGGTCTAATGTTACGAATATGTGGGACAGACCTTACGGTGACTGTGGGGAGCGTCAGCAAGCGTGAAACATATTCTCTGCACGACGTACACACCTCATTTTGGGGGGATCTTGACGGTCGTCGGGGGCGTGCGCCTAATTCGGCAGGGTGTACAGTCGAAATGTTGCTGGTGGCGGTGGCTTCGAAAAGCTATACAGTTGACCCACATTTGGAGATCTGCAGCAGACTCTGTCCCAGTGCATCACGTGAGCGCGACACGATCTCCGTGACTTCCAAAAACGCGTCTTGTCACATGTAGCCATTAGTCGTGTGACGGTTCGCCGAGGCGAGCGCGTTGCGACACCCCCGCCATCCATCCACAACGGTCCGGGCTCGCTGTCGAGAATGGAGTCGAGCCCCGACGCGCTAGGCGTCTCCACCAGCTCATCGCGATCCGCATCCCCCCTGCGAGCAAGGCGCGTTGCTGTGACTTACGGTCGTCGCCGTGAGCCACCTTCCGACGCAGATACCTCTACATCCAGCGCGTTCTCCTTATCATCTCGTGCTGATCCATCTCTACTACCGTCGTCGAGTGCTGATGAGGAGATCCCTCCGAGCTCAGATATTGATGACGCACTGGATTATTCCATTACGCATGCGCGCGATGACGACGCTAGTGACAATGACAAGACTGGAGACTCCTTTGAGTTCCCTTGGAAGAGGCGGCTACGAAAAGTCGACACATACTACGCTGAGCGTAATACTATGCCTGAATTCAGTGGCGCATACAGAGATGGGGGCACAGGCGCAAGCCCTAGTTCAAGTCGGGGTGGGCGCCACATCGTCTCCAGAACTTCTACATCTAGGGATACCTCTGACGGGGAAGGTTCTCTTAAACCACTTTCCAGCTTGCTCGAATTTTCGCAAGTGAGGCAACAATCTCGTTCTCCATCACCTGTGATACGCCCCCGACATCGGGCCAGAGTGGCCACAGCCGGGTACGACTCAGACGAGGATGTTCATGACTCTCCAAAGCGGTATTCGTCGGCTCTTAATTCGGGGTTGTCCCCGGCGGCTCAATCTCGTGAGCCTTCTCCCGCCACCGATCGGGGAAAAGGCAAGGCGAAGGCTATTACTCCCGAGGAGTCTGGGGAGGATGAGTCTACAGCTTCTGTAAATCGACTTAGGTCGAAACGCAAGCGTCCGACCACTCAGCCCAAAGAAAGGCGTACAAAGGTATGCAGTGTTCTCGATGCACCCGTGTCTCAAAGTCTGACGTGTTTGGAAGGCGCCAACGCGAAAAGAACGTGAAGATACTCAGAAGGCGACGGCACGCTTGCTTGCTGAACGGTCCACAACGGTTGCCCGAACTCAAACGAGAGAGATGCGGGTCACCGACCTACTCCACAAGATCGCGTGAGTTGATTAATAGGATAATCATAAGCGTCTAGCCTGACATCGGATTGGACAGGTTTAATTATGACTCTCAGCCACCGAAGTCCGAGAACGTTACTTCCGATCCAATTCAGCCTTTCTCTTCATCGCCTGCTGTCGAGCACATCGCCGATCATCCTCGGCGCTCAGGTCCTGACCCGTCAATTTCCGCGGTTCTCGAGTGTTCGCCGAAAATGCCAATCACTGCGACCTTCATCCAAAACGGCCTCCTAGGTGCAGTTCCCATTGAAGTGTCACCGTTCGGTCACAATGGCAGTGATGACGAACGTCCTGAAGTGAGCGCAGTCCTCGCCGAGCATGAGGCACGGAGTGCCAAGCAGACGAGAGGGGAGGAAGCCAGGCGACGCCTGTTGGAGCACAAACGGCGTGCCCTGGAACGAAACCAACAGCATGCAGTCATTGTCGCGGACGAAGACAGTGATCTCGAGATTGTATCGGAAGACCCGCGGCTCGTCGCTAATGATGAGGCACGGTCCAGAGGAAGGCAGAGTGCCCGGAGCACGCAGTATTCATTGGGGAGGCAACTCCAACTCGCCCACGCGGGCCCGTTGCGACGTTCGGAGGTCCGTCATTCAGATGCGACAAATGGTCTTGACATGCTCAGGATGGCTTCCGCCCCTGCCTTCGGCCGTCCAGTCAAAGAGACCAAGGATATGGCATCCGTTCAGCTGAGCCATGGATCTTTGAACAAATACCTCTTCCGGAAGGTGCAGGGGCAGGCCGGCGAGGAACGCAGGCTCAAAGAGGAGGAGTGGGAACGTCGCGGCGGCAAGGTCAGGTACAAGATCGTCGATGACCGCGCTCAGGACGCAATCCTTGGGTACATTGACAGAGGCCTTTCGGCAGAGCAGGCTCGGGATGAGGTTGGACATGCTGACGATGACGATGACGAGGACGAGGACGAGGAAGCTGATCCTACTTATGACGACGGTGATGACGAGAACATGCCACCGGCTCAGGGAATCGAAGACGATGCATCAGAGTATACGGCCCCGAGAGAGGGAGAGTCTGAGGCATACGAGGATGACGATGATTGGGAGAATGACGGCGGGTTGCGGTATCGTTCTTCGAGGAGCTCTTGCCGAAGAATCTCGACAGTCCACTCGGACCAAGAGGACGAGACAGATGATGCAATCGGGATGCCTGATGAACCCCGAGACTTTTCTCCACAACGCCGCCGTGATGCTTCCACGACTTCGACTGAACTAGAAGGGACGGACAAAGAGAATGACTACCGGATGGTGTACGCTGCTGGTGAAGACAAGGAAAACGCTGCATTCCCCACGTCATCATCAGGCCCGCGTTTGGCGTCGGACAGACGCGGTCTATTCGACTTGTATCTTCGCGACCAATCGCCTGTGGAAGTGCTTGAGGAGTCCGATGATGTTCCCATGGAGAACACTGTTGAGGACCGCAGGCCGCCCCTCAAAGAAATTTTGGGGGCGGAAACGGACGATCCATTCGCTTTCTCAAGTCCCGCTCGCAGACTTGTATTTTCGGTGGATGACGAGTCAGAGCAGTCTACTTCGGACAAGCCTTCGTCGGGGCGCAAGAGTATTAGAGATGACGTAGGCTTGCAGGACACTCTTTCTCTTTTGCAGCCGGCTGCTCCATCAGAGTCTGGCTTCTCTCAATTTTTTGAGTCTAGTGCAAACGCCGGGGCACCTTCACCTGCGGTACCGAAAGCTCTTCAAGCTGGCGGCTTGTCGCAATTTTGGTCCCAGCAACCGGTGAGAATAACATAATGCCTTGTCTTCGCCTTACTGAAATGGTGCGTATGTAGGTGGATGCAGGATTCGAGCGCTTGAGGCAAGAGAAGCAGGCCCAAGAACTTGAACTTACCCTCGACGCAGGTCTTCAGCCCGCTCTTGACATAACACAAGGTCGTCGCAAGAAGGCGGACGAGATTTTTGAAAAAGAACAGCAGATGCTTGCGGAAAGCGCCGCCGGAAAGCAGAAGAGCAAATCGAAAGACTATATCAATGAGCATGGGTATGATGACATACTTCCTCCGCAGGAGTGACACTGAGACTCACGTACCTTACTTAGCTTCCTGACACAGACTGCACAGACGCCGAGACTTGCTATGGTATCACCACTCTTTACTCGGACGCAGGCGATTTCACCTTTGACTCGCAAGGGCCCTATGGCCCCGCCATTGGTCCCTCGACAGCCACTTGCTGCCATCGAGTTGGGCATGGAGGGAGACGTGGAGGAAGACCAGCCTAGACGGCGCCTCGTCAAACGCCAAAGCTCGCCGACTAGAAGTAACAGTCTCGAAGTTCGTGATGCTAGCCCATCCCCGAGTCCTAGCAAATCACGGAATAGCAAACCACGGAACGTGTTCGATGTGATGCAGCGCGCAGCCAATCTGCAACATCGAGATGCTGCAAAGACCGAGCGCAGATTGCAGAAGTCGGAGTTTATCGAAGGAGAAGCAGAGGAATCCGATGACGACGCAATGATGGGCTTTGGTCCTCGTAATAAAGTTGACGAAGACGAAGAAGACGACGAGAGCCAGGACCAGACTTTGACTGAGCTTGTCGACGACGCTGCGATGGATGCAGAAACTCTAGCTGAGCATGCTGTTATCGAGAAACACAGGTATGAAAGGCGTCCCTGGTGCAAGTCGCTCATTGAATCTTCGTTTCTCTTCATAGAGAGCATCAGCAAATCGATGACGAAGCCAATGAGAAGCTTCAGAAGGATGTCGTCGCCGGCAATTGGAAAACCAAAAGGCGTGATCGCGGAATCGGCTTCGAGGATAGTGATTCTGAAGACGACGATGACGATGACGCTAAGGCTCGCCGGAGAAAGATGTCCAAGAAGCGTAGGATTGAAGACGATAGTCTTGAGCAGCTTGGTGGGCCATATTGCTAAAGCCGATGAAAGGTTTCACTCATCGTCCATCAGCCAAGAACCCGGAAACATTGGCATTCGTCCAAGCTTATCATGCAGATGATGCCGACGGAGATGACTTTGCTCACCTGCAGCAGGACGAGATGACTCTGATCAACGAGCAAGATCAGGAGAACGTAGAGGATGACGAGCCAGAGTATGTGTCGACAACGGAGCTCACACGGCAGCTTCGTGAGGCTGCGCAAGACGTTGAGGTGAGCGGTGGGCTAATTCCGGATGCTCACCGTCGGACTCATCATTTTAAATCAAAGGCGCATCGGGCGTTCGATCCTCATGATGTCTCCTGGGTAGAACAAGACGCTGACGATGACGAGGGTATCATCCCTGTCAAAGAGGTCCAGAAGCAATTTAATCCGCGTCGAGGTGCTGACTTGGACGCAGCCTTGGAGGTGAGTCCCGTAGTTTCCGATCCAGTCAGCAGTTCATCGAGTAATTTGTGCCAGATGAAACGCACCGTTGCAGAAGACGAGCGTGATCGCGCTCGCTTGCAGACTTGGGCCAAGGGCGAATCGCGCACAGCTGGCTCCAGTCGCTCAACAGGTATCTCTGCAGTCACTGGTAGTGGTAAACGCAAGCCGGGCAGAGGTCCCTTGTCCGATGGTCAACGCGCAGTTGCAAAATCCACAACCCGGGTGTCGAAGAGTAGCAGCGCTCTGTCGGCAGTGACGACTAGCAGGCGCAGCAAGTTCCAGAATTGAGCCTGAGGCTGGTTAAGTTCACATGATATCGCTGTGTGTCTGGATGTCGGATATCTCGCTTTGTATATGCACTCGCACGTCGTTTATCTCGTCAATATGTAGCTCGCATTGTTCTCTGCATCGCAATGTACCGTTCGTTCTTGCAATATGACTATTATAATGTGGTTCGAATTGAGATAATTGTACCAGATCCAGCAAACGGCAGCACACGTGAGTACGTCAACGCGTTTTGTCACGACTGGAAGCCACTGGGCGCCCGTATATAGGGTTTCAACAGCACGCGTTGGCGTCACATCGTCCCTTCTCTTTACTCACCACCACCATCATCCCCTGTCGGCGGTGGCGGCGGCACTGAGTATTGGCATCCGGGCTGTGTCTCACAGCGCTACGCGCACTTTATACACCACAGATATTCTTCAGGAGTATCTAAAGATCTGAATATCTCTGCACTTGAATTGTAATGACCTTCGACACGGCCAGTATCGCGAGGAGCGATGTGCCCCCGCCATACACCTTAGAACCCCCAACAACGTCTCCACACAGTGGAGCGCAAAACCAGTATGCACCGCCTTGCTTGTTTAAATATATTCATGATAGAGGCTGGTTTTAGGAGTTGGGACTCATCAGGAAGGGTTGGACCGTAAGTATATAGTCGTCTGATCCTAAACCCTCTGAAATTTGCCCAGGAACCCCAACTCGGCGAGGTACCCACTCAGCCAAGGCAGAGCCCGTAGCTCTAGTAGTCTGCAGAATCCCGGTCTTCCTTCTTACAGTTATACTGGGAGTGCACAGTAAGTGTACATGACTGCACAGTATAATACTTTCATCATGAACTGGGTTTAGGCATGAACGCACGCCGCTGAACCCAAGTCAGCACCAAGGATACGCTTACACTTCGTACAGTGTCTCGGTACGGGAGGTACCCTCCCGATGGACCTCGTTCTATCGCTTTATGATCATGGTCCTTGTCATTGCGGTCATCTACCAGATGCATGAACACCGGCAGACGCTGTCTCAGTATCCTCCAACACTTGCGGAACGCGAAGCTATTCGACGCGAATGGGAGGCGGAGCGCGTCACATATGATACCGAGGTTGGCCGCGTTCGGCGCTCGTGGGCCCTCGAACGCGTAGAGCATGATCGCGAAAGCGAGGACATGCGGCGGGAGAGCGAGCAGTGGGAGCAGGAGAAGGACGGGTGGAAGTACGATAAGATCGAGGCGGGCCGGCGGCTAGGACTGCATTGGGACCAGGTGCAAGCTCGTCGGTGCGTCGCATTCGGGACGCGCGAGTATGTCGCAAGGATGGAGTTCGAGCCGAGAGAGGCGTGCGACGTGATGCCTGTGAATATTGGCGGACGTATGGTAGATTCCCCAGGGTTCTGTGAGAACACGGTAAGCGAAGTCACTGTCAACGTTTGGGCGATACTGATCAGGTGTCATAGCGTTGGGATGGAGATATAGTTGCCCACTGGTTTGTAGATAAAGATGAAGGTTGTATGCCACATTGGGGTCGGGTCTACGATAAGGTATGGTCACACCTTGTTGTAGCATTTCATTGCTGCTCACATGGAATATAGGGCTGCGTTGCGCCAGGCCTGCATGTTAGTACTCCAGGCTTGAATTGGTGTTTTGGCATTAAAATTTCGTTCTGCTACTACTCAGCGCTGGGAAACACGGTTGTGGGGCCTCCATTACGGAGAGGACTGGCACGCTATGTGCAAGTCCACGCCTGCCGACGTTGCGGGCAGACATTTTGACGGCCCAACGTATTGCCAGAACCGGGTACGTGCCTCCGAGACCTCACACTTTGTATGGCATTCATGCTAACAACATGTTCTAAGGGTATCTTCTTTGGCATGGTGGGTATGTTCCACGGCACAGACCTTACGTGCCCGTAGATGATGCCAAGATCTCGTGGATCCGAGTGTATAATATTCTTGTCAGCTGTCGAATTGCAACGTTACATGTATCTCCGTACCTTTGTATTCACGTCCTCCGAGACACACGATGTTGAAGCTCGAGTTAAATTGTCACTTGATACTTGTAATAGCGGCGCTCGCGGAGTTGAGCTCAGCCGCTGATCTCGATCGATCTCATCTACAGACATAGACGCCAACAGTAGGACTGTTCGACATTGCTCAAAGTCTCAAAAATGTTGAGTATTACCGCTAGTACTAGGGGCAACCGTGGTTCAGTTCTCACCCCTTACTCAATACCACCTCCGTATACGAATTCCTCAATCGACATGCTTACACCTCACTTGTTTCCAGCCGAGGCTAGTCTCAGGCTCCACATCATGATTCTAGGTTGTGTACCCAGGGGCTAGTGCTCACAGTGAAGAACAAGTCGCTTCAAACACCGATCTTGGAGTGTGAGGTCATTCTGTACTACGGAAATGCTCAGTTTCTTCTATCAAGGCAGCACGAGTTCATGACGATCGAATTCAATATTATCAAATCCGTGACGCAAACAGTCCGTAATAACCAAAACAATAGATGGACATAGTACGACGAAGTGTTCTCCAGGAGACCTGAAAGAAGCTCCTGCGTCTCAGGAGACGACGACGCTAGGGGATCGCAGCCGTCTAAACAAAGCCATTAGAGTCTTTCCTCCTTCGGAGCCCCATCTAGGGAGGGCGTTAGCACGCGCCAGAATACAAAATCAATGACTTACTCCCCGCTCGCTACCTCCTGGCAACACCGTTCAAATTCTCCGGATACGGAGACTTCATCCCATTTCTCTACTACGTAGTCCTGGTGAGTACATTCATGTTAGTTTGGAAGTGTGGCAGTAACAATCAGCGGTTATGTACGCTCACCTCAACCAGCGAACGCAGCTCATCCCAGGCAGAGGTAGCGAGAAGCACGGCGAAGCTCGACTGTGGCGTGATGGTAGACAGAATGTGCTCCAACGCGAGCGACGCAAGCCCGGGCATGGCATAGCGGTGAGCAATTTGGTACATTGACAGCGCTGATGCGGGTGTAGGAGCAGGTGTAGGATGAACGTGAGGATCCGTGCTGGACACTGTCGGAGGATGAGAGCGTTGGCGCGGCTGCCGAGGAGAGATAGGATAATGGCCGGGTGAGGTGTATGCACCAGCAGGAGGCGAGATAGGGACGGGGACGGCCTTTGTTGAGCGCGAAGTCGCCGGCGACGTTGTACTTGTTGACGGTAAAGCCAGCGTGGAAGGACCACTAGGGGTCGATGCCGGGCCAGAGCGGCGAGCTTGAGATGCAGACAGCCGAGATGATGCGGAGGTCGCCTTGGACGAGGATGGAGTCCTCTGGCTTGTGCTCTGCATTGCCGGCACAGGCTGACCAGGACCAGACTTGGTCCTCGACCTAGGGCTGCCCCCATTGGAGACAGCACTCTCCGCGCTGGTGACGCTTCTGGCATCACTGACACCGCCTGAGCTTGATGGCTCGAGAGTCATACCCTTCGAGAATGTCTTCCATTCCCATTCGTCGGCTGCACCAGGCGTGCTGATACCCCGGGCACTCCAGCCTGCGCCAATGCCGTCGACGGCCTCCCTCGGATCGTCGTCCTTGCGGAAAAGGAGCCAGTTTGCATAAACAAACTTGAGCAGCCAGTACATGGTAACAAAGTCGGCTTCCTCTACCACGATGGTGTATACCTTGCGTTCACTGGGGAACAAGTGACCTTGTCCATTTTCGGCAAAGGCAGAGCTTAGCATGGTAGCAAAGTACTCAGATCGACGCGTCAGAATGTCAGAATGGGCATAGATCACGCGTTTGCGGGCGATGATTCGAGGTCCAGAGGGTGGATCAGCAGTGCTAGGCGTGTTTGGCGGAGGATCTACTTCATGGACTTGGCGCTCAAGACAGACAAACTGTACGTCACCTGTATCTGTGGGCTATCAATATAGAACATACTCGAGCCGCAATGTAATCGTATATACTTACTGGGGTTGTCAAGAGAGGCTTCTAGTCCGTCTAGGAGATCTCGAGGAACATAATATGCAGATGGCTGCTGTGGAAAGAAAGGCCCTACAGGAGAGTGCATCTGGACACAAATGACGAAAGAGTCTGTTTCCTTGATTCGGGAATTTTCCAAAAGCGATGACAACGGTGGCAAAGGGCATTCTGAAGGAAATTAATGTAGATTAGTAATCGAACTAAATTGTAGACTGTTGACAAAGCCAACGCCATCGACTTTCTACGCACCCCATACTTCACTCTCTTGTCGAAATACCCAGCCATTGTGCCAATACTCCCACACCCACTCAGCTCGCGCGCCTCTTTCACCCACACGGTCATCTTGACATTTTATTGCAGCGAACATGGTCGTGCTCATCTCATAGCCTGTGTTCGCGTAATCGACCATGAGTGAAGTGATGAACAGTGACAGTATGTGAAGTGGCGTTCTGTCCCCTTGAGTGACTGTGGCCTCCGAGCTCTCCGGTAGAGGCGTCCTGGCTATTTTCTCTACCGTCATGTTTCGAGACACCAACGGAGACAAGATAGCGCACCTATCTCAAGCTTAAATTTTCCATCGCCTAGTTCAGGGGATTCTTTCAATATCTCAAAATCACCCAGGTTAGTGGCTTCATCTGGTTCTACTGGTGTGTCCGTAGTGTCCGAATTCTCCACGAAGTCTCTCAATTTATGCACGTCTCGGACAACCCATTCAAACGCCTGCACGCTTGTAAGCTCCGCTCACCATTCTGCTAGCAGTGTTGCTCACAGTGAAGGACCATTGTCTCATGCTTGCTTCCTCCTGAAGATTTGCATGATCTATCATCACGGTCAAACCGGCACCGCGCTTGGCGACTGTTGGATTGGAGTGCGTTACTGTGCTAGGACTCGACATGGATGATCTGGGGTCCCAGATCTGTGGTATAGGCGTTGAGCTTGACGATGTATATACATAGGAAGACGATGGCGACGATCTGTGTGTGTATGTTGACCACGGCCAATGTGGTCGCGAGAGTGGCGAAGGTCGTCCTGGAGAACCAGACACAGATAGAGCCCTAGATGAAGCGCGTAGGGGATCAGACATGGCAGTCATACACTATGTACGGGGATGGTCTGCGTTCGTAGACAGATGAAGTGAGAACAAACGGGCTGATGCATGAAAGGGATTGCGCAAGTGCTCAATTAACGAAACGCGCAATGCACCCACGGCCCGCAGTGCAAGCGCGTAGCGGTCACGAGACCGTTTTATCGCGTCTCGATCGCGACGCGCCGTGTTGTGTGTTATCTCATACTCATACCACGATGTACTAGTAAATAAGGGAGTACTGAATGCGAAGCGATGCGCTTCCGGATACAACTTAAATTGAGTCGCATCCATTCTCATGGCCATTGAAACATCATTTCTACTCTGCGTACTGACTACGTAGTGTAGACGAAGAATATATTCCTGGGTGTCGCGTTAGGAGACCGTGATGTATGGAGATATGTTAGTTGGAATTACTCACTGCTTGTCGGTCAAATCCAAAAAGGCGTGCCTTTCGCGCTCCTTTTGAACATCTTCTTCCGACCATCCCCTTCTAGCCGTTTCTTCCTCTAGCGCGATCTTCCTCTTCTTGTTGAGCCTCTGATTGATCCAACGGATGAGGAAGGAAACGAAAAGTTGTGTCGTCAGTAGGACCATGATAGCAATCTTCCCAGGAATGTATGCTGGCGCATCCTTAGGTTGGAAGATCTCCGTGCCGATGATGTTGCCTACACCGAAGGCGACCATCGTAAGTGAGTTGATGGTGTTCTATAGATGGCATAAGAGATCATCCGCGGCCCCAAAGTACGTTAACACAGGGAACTCACCTTTTTCGTATGGCCGCTCGTGTTACTAGCATTGTAAGCATAGACCGATGACAATGCACTCCCGAAAGTTGATGTGAGGTAGATACCTGCGAGACATACGTCAGGATTCAAGCATACAGTGTAAAGCCGACTCGCTCACCAAAGAGCAGGGCCCCTTTTTTGTCAACCTGGCCGTTCAGGCCGATCAACATGGCCGCACCAACAATGGTGGGAATCAAACAGATAACAATGGGCACCATGCGGTCTCTCTGTGTTTAGAGACTTTAGGGAGTGTGTAGAGGTTCTCTTGGGAAGACACTTACCGTTTTGTCCGAATACCAGCCGCAGAATAATATCATACATGCAAAGATCGCACCACCTGGAGTGCCCAAGATCAATGTCTGCTGCGACCTGGGATCGGCAAGGCATCAGTTTTGTGTGGTCCTTACGAGACTAGACAACGAACGTATATCCAAAGCTCTTGATGATAATGTTGCTGACTACATCGTCATGTCAGCCGGGATAGATCTGAAGACCCAGAAATAGACTGACAGTTTGATAAACCACCGGATGGAATACTCGCTATGGTGTGGGTGATCAGCTCGCAATCCCTCACCACTCCGACGAGTACGCACTCAGCATGACCGTCAACAAGATGAGCCAGGTACGGACGTCAGTCAGTGCCTCGATGATATGGTCTTTCTTCCAGTGCCTATTCTCTGTGCCCGATTGGCCGTCACGAACGCGTTCAAGAACGGCGATTCGTTCCTCTTTGCTGAGAAGCCGCGCGTGAACAGGAGAATCTGGAAGGAAAAGCAGGACGACGATCCCGACGAGAATAGCGAGCCCTCCTAGCAGGATGTAGATGATCTTGTACGAGGCTAAGTGTGGATCATGCGTGTGCGCGACACCGTACGCAACGCAGCCACCAAAGATTTGGGTAAGACCGTTCTAAGGGAGGCTTCTCAGTGCGCTGAAGGTTCTACAGCGAGCTGAACATACCATGACGTAAAATGCAGCAACTCGTTTTCCCTTCGTGGAGTCAGCATGCGTTCGCGTACCTCGAAGATAAAAAATACGTACCTGCTCCTCTTTCTTGTAGAACATAGAGATGATGAGGACGAGGATCGGTGAGACGCAAGACTCGCACATGCCTAAGCAGGTTCGCGATGAGCCAGTGTAAGCCGTCTATTTGCGGCTGATAACATACCGAGAATGAAACGTAGTGCGAAGAATTGCTGGAAAGTTCGTGCGACGGCGTGCAGCATGACAACGGCACCCCAGAGGAGGATATTCACTCCGAGGAACTTGGCCACCGGGAGCTTCTGAGATATGTATACCGATGGGAATTCCCAGACCAGAAACCCTGTCGCGCTCGCTTAGTTCCAAGCGTAAGATATTGAAGTCATCAGACGTACCGGCATAGAAGGCGAGTGATATAAGGTTGTAATGCTATGTGTTAATGGACCACATGAGCGCCCACTCTTGCGCGAAGTTACGTGGACCTCACCTGACCCGTGATGGGAAGACCCATAACACTGTAGACAATTGATCAACGCCGAGTCCTTTCGCGTACAAAGAGTTCCCTACCTCGCGTAGTTGAGAGACGTCTTGTCCCTTCCGCGAACTGTTGATCATCATGCCGCAGCCATCTAAGTGATATCAGACGTACAGAAATTGCGTGAAATAAACGGCAGCAGAGATGGGAGGAATAATCATATCCTAACAGGGTGATCGTCATACGTGCCAATCGAGTACCACTTGTGGACGACGTACGAGCTTCCTCAGTAATTTGCGATTATATTCGTCACTGAATTGCTGCGTCCTTTCAAGGCCGACAAGCTGGAGAGCCTCGTCACCGTCAACTGGCCGCTTCTCTGGCACATCTTCCACAGCCGGGAGGACGTCAGACTGGGACAAATCCTTCCCCTCCGCGGTGGGTTGGACCTTCTCATCGAGGGAGCTGCGCTGGGTGATAGAAGCCATTTCTCGTGATAGACGTGCCAAAGAAGCAGGAACTTCGTGTGTCGCTTTGGCGGGACAAGGAAGCCGAAGACAGTTGTCTGAGCCGAATGCTCAATATATAGTACCAACGCGAGCACCTTCTGGATCTACATATGGACACCCCCTGACGAGGTACCTGTCGGTTAGATCAGGTCCCTACCTGCGGAGAGATATTTGGCGCACGATATCAAGCGATAACATGTACCGGGACGCCGTCGGTGAAAAAGCACCTTATATGTGCAACCTGTAAGGGGAGATAAAACATATATAGACGCATAGATAGCGGAGCAAGGAGAGACGTATGATGCGCGAGCAGTTCGAACCTTGGCAGCCACAATTGAGGCGTCTGATCATTTGACGCGGCTGCCGAGGCTCAGCCGGCGTACATGCACTTCAGAATATCTGGCTGTCCTGGAAGTGCCGAATGCGGACGGGTGGCAAATGACTCGAAGCCGGCAACTAAGCGAAATTGATACATCTGACGGTCGAGGGTAGGAAGCCGAATTGCCTTCGCCTGGCTTTCAGGTCGAATCAGGGTCAAACCACGAGCACAGCCACAGGCACACGTACTATGTTAGCCTGCGGAAGGTCTTCCTCTAATTGCGAAACGAAAGGCACGGAAAACGCGATTCATTATGAGATTCCGATCTAAAGCACAGATGCAAACACGATAGCGATGCGACTAAAATACAAGATGCATGACCGCAGTGTCCCCTGATGAAAATGGTGCTGCTCAGAGTTGACTTCGATAAGTCGTGTCAGATCTTGGTTTATCATGGCTAAGCAAGATCAGGCCACACGCCAAAAGCGGCTCACAGCTTCTGGATGACGATCGCCGACGCCGCGCCACCCTGAATACACCAAATCAGTACGCTGAGCAAGGAACAGTCGATCAAGGTAACTGACCCCATTGCACACGCCAGCAGCACCGTACTCGCCAGACTTAAGAGCGTGAACGAGCGACACGATAATGCGCGAACCGGAGTTGCCGATGGCATGTCCGAGAGCAACCGCGCCACTATAAAGTGGCCGTCCGATGAGCATATATCCATAGACCAAGAGGATCATGTAGACTCACCCGTTGACGTTGATCTTTGCGGGGTCGATGCTGAGGACCTTCTCAGCGATCCTGACGACTGCCGAGAACGCCTCGTTGATCTCGAACAAAGCAATGTCCTCCGTCTTCAGGTTCGCCCGCTCCAGAGCCTTGGGCAGAGCAATGGTCGGTGCAATAGGGAAGTCGATTGGGTCGACACCGGCATCAGCGTATGCTATGGATTCCGCATCAGTCCTGCTGAAGGGAATGCGCGCTGAGAGTACGCACAGATAACCTTGGCCAAGGGCTTGACACCGAGCTCTTTTGCCTTCTCAGCAGACATGAGGATCAGTGCGGATGCGCCGTCGTTCAGGGGTGACGAGTTCGCAGGCGTGATGGTGCCGCCCTTCTTGAATGCCGGGTTCAAGGTAGGGATCTTCTCATAGATGACACGCTTGTATTGCTCGTCCTCCTTCACGATCGTGTCACCCTTCTTGCCCTTGATGGTGACGGGGGCGACTTCCGCGACGAATGCTCCTGACGCCCATGCCCGCTCCGCACGCTTGAACGATTCGACAGCATGCGCGTCTTGCGACTCGCGGGTGATCTGGTGCTTCTCGGCGGCGAATTCACCGCAGTTGCCCATCGCGAAGTCGTTGTACACATCCCACAGACCGTCATTCTGGAGCGCATCCTTCGCCTCGAACTTGCCGAAGGCAGGGTTCTGACGGGGCAGGAGGAATCTAGTTGGAAGCTTGCTCAGCAGGGGGCAACTGAGGGAGGAAAGGCTACGTACGGTGCATTGCTCATGCTCTCCATGCCGCCAGCTACAACGACACTCTTGTAACCAGTCTGAATGCTCTGCGCAGCGAGCATGACAGCCTTCATGCCGCTTGCACAGACCTTGTTGACTGTCGTCGCGTCAGAGCTAGTCTTCATACCAGCACCGAGGGCAACCTGGCGTGCTGGTGACTGGCCAACGCCGGCCTGGACGACATTGCCGTAGTAGATCTCCTCCGCAACAGCGGGGTCGAGCTTGGCCTGCTCGAAAGCGTGTTTGAGCGCAATGACACCCAACTGGGGTGCCGTAAGCGTCTTCAGAACACCGTTCAAGGAGCCAACAGGGGTACGGGAGGCGGCGACGATGACTACTTCGTGAGACGACTGTGCGCCGCAAGATAAACAACAAATGCTGATGCACAATCGACCAACTTACCATGTTGCGAGAGAACGATATGATGGGGGTGCGGTGGGAGAGGGGACGGACAGCTAAACGTGCAACAAACATGTTGTCCGCCTTCGAGCAACTTTATACCCGACAGCACGCTTGAACGGTGGGGTGAGCCGACCAATCGCCTGTATCAGATGGTCGATTTTCCTCAATCGTACGACTTGCAAAGTGCCCCTAGTGGTGTGTTGTGCGGCGACACTCGAGGACGTAGTGAGCTGATTCCGCAAGCCATGTCTCTGCGCCGTCGTACGTCCTTATAAGCATGTCGGTGTAGCCGATCTCATGACCGAGCGACGCGGTCGAAGACGGCACCGGACAGTGGAACAGTGGATTAAGCAACGCGAAAACACATGACTGCGGCGGCTATTAGGGTGGGTACAGAGCCTACGACATACGATAATTATATCCGCTATACGAAGAGAGGTGCATATCAATGGAACAATCCCCTCATGCACCACAAAATACAACCAGGGTACAGTTGTGAGGACATTATTGGGCCCTGCCCGTTCCTTGTGAGCACAAGACTGATATACGAGTGAAGCACACTGACATGGTTCCAGAGTGCAGATTTACTACTTGTCCCAGTATCACGAACCACGTTTGTATCCATCGCGACAGGCGTTCCTCCTCCGACCCACCGTCAGTCCGTGACTCTGACAGGAGCTCTGTGACTGCCTCTGCAGTATGGCACGGGTGCAGGTACCAAGATGGTGTCCCGAGCACAGGATGGTCGCCTTGCGAAAGCAGTGGGAAAGTCGATTCTTGAGCCGTCAGAGCAAAGCCAGAAGAATGAGTGCCGGCCAATATATGTTGCCTGAGGAGGGGTAGCTTGACGATCTCGGACAGGGGCAACGGTGCACCGCCTACAGAAGTTCACGTATGCGTTCTGAACTGCAAAGAAAAAGACATACTGGCACTATGTGCAGTGAAATAGAACGCTGGTACTTGGAATGTAGGGGAGAATACGACGTGCTGCTGGGACGCAACCACGTCTGGAGCGGCCGCACTGGCGTCATTCTCATCATTCTCCTCGACTACTTCCCATTCATCTTGAGACTCTTGTTCGTCCGTAGCCTTCTCACCAGAGAGCGTATGTGGCAGCAAGACAGAGCGTGCCATGTACCCCATATGTGGAATAGACTAAGTGTACTTGAGCGAACCTTGCAATAAACAGAAACAGCCTCATCGCACAGTGTGTTCCTTCCAGGTCCAGCCAGAAGGGTATGCATCGCACGAGGATGTATCGTGGAGGACGCTGCGAGCCTGACGTGCGATATAAGTCCTGCACGCTGTCTCGAATTGCATGTGGGTGAAGGTGATCGACATGGTGTGCAGGAGATGTGGCGTGAGAATAGCGGTACAGCTCCAGAACAAGGTTTGCAGCCACCGCGGATTCCCACAGCCAGGTCGGTCGATTGCGCGTGCTGCACCAGTACACGCCAAAACATAGCCCGTCCAAGTGCCGGTGCTCGTCCAGTCTCTTACGGTTTCTTTCGTTGAGACGCACTATACATCATGGCCGTAGGAAAGGTGCGCGCGTTCGGATGGCTCCTCGTTGTCTCTCTAATCACTTTTCGTCCCTAGAACAAGCGGTTGTCGAAGGGTAAGAAGGGCATCAAGAAGAAGGTCGTCGACCCCTTCACGCGCAAGGGTACGTCTTGTTACGCTGTTGAAATCAGGCCAGTCGACTCGACGATCCCGTCTAGACTGGTACGACATCAAGGCACCCTCAATCTTCGAGAAGAGGAATGTCGGCAAGACTCTTGTAAACAGGTCATCTGGCCTTAGTGCGTACGCTCAGCTTCGTGGGCTTTCGCCAGTTTTAACCCTACCTCAGAAAACGCCAACGACTCATTGAAGGGTCGTATTGTCGAGATCTCCCTTGCCGACCTCAACAACGATGAGGAGCAGGCCTTCCGGAAGATCAAGCTCCGCATTGACGAGGTTCAGGGCAAGAACTGTCTCACGAACTTCCACGGCATGTCGTTCTCGAGCGACAAGCTCCGCTCTCTCGTCCGCAAGTGGCAGACGCTCATCGAGGCGCACGTTGACGTTAAGACGACCGACGGCTACCTCCTCCGCTTGTTCGCAATTGGCTTCACCAAGCGTAGACCAACGCAGGTCCGCAAGACCACCTATGCACAGAGCTCCCAGATCCGCCAGATTCGCCAAAAAATGTTCGAGATCATGACGCGAGAGGCAAGCTCATGCGACCTCAAGGAGCTCGTGCAGAAGTTCATCCCTGAGGCGATTGGCCGTGAGATTGAGAAGGCGGCGCGTGGCATCTACCCCCTCCAGAACGTCTTTGTTCACAAGGCAAAGATCCTGAAGGCACCCAAGTTCGACATGTCGAAGCTTCTTGAGCTGCACGGCGAGTCGACGGATGTAAGTCATCGCAATGTCAACTTCAGAGCTTCCACATCTTAATGCGACTTTTCATTATTAGGAGACTGGCACCCGGGTCGTGAAGGACTTCAAGGAGCCGGAGATCCTCGAGTCTGTGTAATGTAGTGTCTACCTTCGTATCATCTATGCTTTTTTCTGTCGCGATACGGGTATGATATCTATGCACATGATGAGATCATGCTGTCGTTGTTGTATGATTAAGGATGCATGCAGGTTGAGTGAAGGGACGTCCTTCTGCTCATCGACTGAATGTTGTAATATGTTAGCGAGCGCCTGACATGGTGGTATAGCTGGAGGTCCTCGCCACATCTCGTTTGTTCATCTGTAGCAAGCGTACAGCGGATGCCAGACAACATTGTACTTCATGTCCCAGTGCGCTCGTGTTTGTTTTGGAAGTTTTTCTGGTCATGCGGGACGTGAACACAAACTTTCGAGCTAGCTCCTGATATCTCCTTGTCCGCGCCGACATCGCAAACTATCGCCTACATTGCTTCCCAGGTCATGTCGGACGTCGAGCACCTCAGAAGCCTTCTGAAGGCCCATCCTGACTTCCCTAAAAAGGTGAGGGTCCTTTTGAGCCTGAGCAGATCGCATCCTGAAGATTGCATCTATCCACACAGGGTATCGTCTTCCTAGATATCTTCCCCATTCTTCGGGATCCTGTAGCCTTCGAGACGCTCATCACCCACTTCGTATACCGCTTGACGTCTCATACCATCCCGAACTCGCCGTCGAAGAAGGTAGATGTTGTCGTCGGGCTTGATGCGCGAGGCTTCCTCTTTGGGCCCATCATCGCCTTGAGATTGGGGGCCGCCTTCGTGCCTGTGAGGAAGAGGGGCAAGCTTCCTGGCGAGTGCGTGACAGCCACGTACGAGAAGGAGTATGGCTCCGTGAGTGGTCTCCGAATGCCGGAGGACTTAAATTATTGAGGTTGCTCGATCTCAGGATTCGTTCGAGATGCAGGCCGATGCTATTCAGCCTGGACAAAATGTGATCGTCATCGACGATTTGATTGCCACCGGTATGCCCAAGTAGATGACTACTCGGTATCACGATCTCATTAAATGACAGGGGGTTCGGCGAAGGCGGCAGGCGAACTGGTCACGAAGAGGGGCGGCAAGGTCCTAGAGTACCTCTTCGTGATCGAGCTGACATTCCTCAAGGGTGCTCAACAACTGAATGCACCTGTATATTCGATGGTGAAGGCAGATGATTGAGGGGACCCCTTAGACGGCCTAGGAACAACGCGTCACCATGTACTATAGGCAGGCCCATTGTAGAAGAGGCGACGTGCGACTCACACCATTAATCTTGTATTCAACAGTGGATGTCCGTTAAGATACAAAACGCGGTTCATGTCCCTAGACGCGTTCTTGAGCTCTCCTCTATCGTTCGTCGCCGGCTGTGCCTCTGGTTCCACCGCCACCATCACATGCCCGAATCCCATCTGCTCCGCCGCATCAAGCATATTGGTGACAGCCTCGCCAGCGGAGTGCTTAAGGACGACTACAACGGCATCCTTGATGGTGCTTTCGAAGCCGGCTAGCTCCTCCGCACCAGCCGAAGGGTTGATCATGAGTTCTTCGTCGCTGACCACCACGACACCTGAGGCTCCTGCCGTCCGCGCCCCTACCAGCTTTTCGAGGAATGTGCACTTCCCTCGCTGTACGAGGACTGCATCGCCTTCGAAAACACGTGAGTACGGAAGACAGCCGTACGAGTTTGTTGGCTCTCGCGTGACGCGCACGCCTTCTCCATGCCCGAACTTCAGTGGAGGCTGGCCGGGGACGGGAGGAGGAACTGTAGGGTCACCACCAAAGAGGGCAGTCGACGCAGTCACGAAGACCTCGGTAGTCATCTCGTGCATCCCAGGTCGAAGATGGGACAAGGGGTCCACGTGGTCCACGTAGAACCGCAAGTCTACGTCTGGTATTCGCGAGCTGCTACCCGCCTTTGCATCCACCGGTGTCACGCCTAGGTCGGGATCACTCACGTAGACCAATTGACCCGTTTTAACAGCATATGGCCCGACTGTAGTTGATACAGGGTTCAGTGACTGTTGAGTCTCATGAAACGGTCAGCTCACGTTTGGTTAAGTCATAGCCCTTGCCATCCAAGCGGTTGACAATATGTGCACGTATTCCCGAGATGTTGTACAGGATGTAACCGTCGCGCACGGGTGCGAGCTTGTCAGGACTAGGATCGAAGTCCTCTGGTACGTATTGCCCTCCTGCTGACAGAATGAAGTCGTATGACTGGATGGCACATCAGGATCACCAAAACCAACGAAGGCATCCCACTCACGAAGAGATTGACTCTCGGGATTTCACACCAACCGCTCGGGAACGATCGCTTCGTGTCCAGATCAGATGGCCGCACGCCGATTAGTTGGCGAATGTACTCCGTGTCGGCACGCGCACGGATACCAGCTGTCAGTCCTGTCTCGCCTTGTGCATTATCGTATGCGACGAGGGGCAGCTCATATGCGGGACATTGATGCTGTTCCGCTCCGCGTAGTTTACGCCGCACGGATGAGATCGGTCTAAGGTAGTTCTGGTCCAGCCATAAGACATGTCCTTCCGTTGTCATGATGTGGTTTGAGTCGTCGGCATGGATCGGGTTCGCCTCGTCGAAAAGAAGGTACAGATACTATTCGATAGTTCCCTGTTAATGCATGGTCACTTCCTGGTGCCGAATATACTGACCTTGAGTGTTTCTGATAGCACAAATGACTCCATGCGATCTTCTTGAGCATTTGTGCGGAGATCCTTGATGCTGGCGAGGCCACATTTGACCTTGGCGCGGGTGGTAATATCGTACAGAATGCGACCCCCAACATCCAGATAGAATGGATCATGAGTAGCCTATTGAAGTGTGAGTACTACTTCCACTCTGGCAAAATCGAGGCAGACGTACACGGTACAAATACCAAGTCGACTCGACGAACTCTTGTTGACAAGGAATCAATCAATATCGATGTCCGCATAATATGTCAGCGGACACGTACCTGGTCGTAGCGGGTACTGCATCGACGTTCCTTGTCGAAAGTTCATGTCCCATATCTCTGGAAGCCCAGAATGACCTCTCCAGATATTCCAGTCTACAGCAAGTATCGTGAGCGACAGTCAGGACATTCGGATTGCGCTTACAAGTCATGTGAGACTTGATGGCATTCTCGAGATCGCCTGCCAGGACCTGTAGGCCAGGCCAGAAGGCTGACAATGAATCGAAAGTACCGTACATTTGGTCGCCCTGCATGATGTCATGTAAGCGCACGGGTGTGTAATTAGTCCTCATGTCTTACGGTATGCATATTGACACCTCGATACTGAGAAAACGTCTGTGAGAGCACCTCTTCAAGACTGAAATCTGCGTACCCAAAACCCATCCGGGGCTCGTGAATAGCGCATGACAGCAGCATATGCTTCCTGCCAGACGTCGAGGAATTCTACCTCACCTACATCCCAGGATCATCTCACGTTAGACTCCACCCCGGTGAAATTGTGAGACCTCTTACCGCTCATGACGTACCACTTAAGTGCGTACTCGAAAAAGGAATCAATGCCCGCCCCTATACTGCTGACTTCCGGTTGTAACCATTTCTATCAGACGAACAGCATATGAGTGAGCACACATGCACACATGCGAGCGGTACAGACCCCTGTCCATGTATTGATCGTGTTCCCGACTAGACCAATGTCGGATTTACGATTCCAAATGGCAAAAAATGCCTTGATAGCAGCTTTCTCAAAGCGCGAGTCTCCAGTGAGTCGACTTAGGGTGCCAAATTCGAGAATGAGTGAGCCCGCCCCAGCGGTACCTAGAGGTCGCTCAGCTGGCTGCTGTATTGGAGAGAACTTGAGCTTACATGAGTCCAGGGCATCGGTTCTCAAGAGTCCATGTTTGAGATTTATCTGTCCACACATCAACATTACATTCTAGACCACGTGAACTGAGTCCAGTACCCTCGCGTGCGGCATGCCAGTTGGTGTATTGAAAGCAGGAAGTAGCCTTTCACCAAGGTCGTGTGCCATATCGAGCAGCTCGCTGCGGTACCAAGGCAGATGGAATGGCCCATCTGTTTGGCTTGCGTATAGATGTCCAGATAATAGTCCTCCTAGTACTCTGATGGTGGTCTCGAAGACCTGAGGTTTAGTATCGACATCGAACGATACCCAGTCGATGACGTTGCGCACGGCCGTCTCGAACCCTGGACGATCGTTTAGAATCACCAATGTGTCGAGGGCATCGATCAGAGTTACAGAGAAGTTGCCGGCGACATCGTTGGTGGCAATGTTTGCTCTACACGAATGCGGTCAACCCACCGCTCGGGTACTGTGCTTCTAAGTGGTACGTACGGGTTTTGCCAGTCAGGCCCTCTACCTTTGCAAGACAAAGGTGCAAGCTGACAACTCAGTGAGACATGTATCACACACGTAGACTAGACGAACGGTACCTCATCTTGAGGAAATGCTACAGTAATCGGCGAGATTAGTGGATATGGGTCTTATGTAGCGCAGGCTAGCAGTGTCGGTGACACACCATAGCTCATATAACTGTCAAAGCCGTGGTACCAGAGAGAACGGACTTGGTCCCTGGCGTAACCTTGACTACACGCTCAGAATGCTAGGTCCTACGTGCACTCACCTCACTTCGAGTTTTCTGGACGTTGTCCACTCAGCGGCCTCTACCAGCGGTGAGCTATGCTCGTGTGTCCATTTGTGACACTCTAGGCCAACGACCAGTAGCGATAAAATAACTCTCGGCCAATACGTCGGCCACTTCATAACTTAGGGTATTGCGTTTGGTAATCCAGATTAGTTGTGTCGTGATTCCATGAATTTATATGAGTTGCAAAATAGCACGAAGAGACTTGCAACAGACGGTTGAGATGGGCAGCTGGACGGATGGTAGGGATTGAAAGGCAGACAGGCCGGGTTGGTGGCACTCGCAGAGGCGTCGAGGTAGTACTTGAGGTTGGTGATCGAGATCGACGTGGAACCCGAATCTCGATCACCTGACCCACTACCTCATCGCGCCCGCCATTGCCCTTGGCTTTGTGTCTGACTTCGTCTTACCGACGAACACTCACCTGTTAAAACATACAGAATTGCCTCTACATCGAATATGAGCACAATTATTGACGTCTCTCCCAAACTAGGAGAATATATGCTAAAGGGCTGGGTCAGTGTCGAATGTCGAGAGCGTTCACCATAAGCTAACACGGTCGACGCCCTCATCAGATACTGACAGACGACATCTGCAAAACCTGCACGAAGTGCCCTATTATGCGCTCCCCAATATCACCTATTCAATTCTTCTGCGCCAACTGCGACACTGTCATTCCAGCGTCCACCGCCTCTTCGAGCCTGCCCATCCGTCCTAGCACGACGCAGTCACAAGTTAATGACCAGTCATCCATCAGTAGTGCGTCAAGTGGCCATTTGTCTCGATCCTCCACACCGCCCACGGAGGTTTCGAGTACTCTTAGCTCTCCTACGTTTGCACCACCAATTGATACGGAAGAGATCTTGCGGCGGAGACAGCAATCTGACACTGCTTCTGCCGAGATTGGGAAGCGTATGCTGAGAGGCTGGGCTATGCTTGCGGATGAATGCCCCAACAATAGCTGCTACGGCATTCCACTTATTCGACCACCCAAAGCGGGCGGCGAGAAAAACCCACGCAAGGTCGGTCGGTCACCCGATATTATTTTCGTGTCTATGAAAGAATACTCACCCTGATTTCAGGAATGCGTGATCTGCGGCACCGTGTATGTTGACGAACAAGACCACTTTGGAGGGACTCGTCTGATTCCCCTCAGTCCTCCTACCCATTCCTATGAAGCCGGAAGCAGCCAAACTGCACCCACTCCTTCTGATATCTCTGCGTCATCGTCATATGCTGGTCGTCCTGCGGATTCCAAGGGAAAAGCGGTGGCGACTTCCCATATTGAAAGGGTATGATGCATATCTCTTAGGCTCGTGTGATGGCTTAAGTTGGCGCAGTCACCATCCAATATGACTGTTCAGGCTCAGTCGTCGTTTTCTGCCTATGTATGTCCCTTCATTAGTCACGTGCGTTTCATCTGGTCTCACTACCGCGCGTGCAGCCTGCCGGCTCTTCTGCCCTCGACTCATCCGCGCAGTCCCTAGAACTCAGCCTACACGCCTTGTCAGAACGTCTCAAGGTCCTTGTCAGCGGTGCAATCATAGATCCCTCGCTCATCGCGCAGACTGCGGACGCCATTACCAAGGTCTCTCAGGCACTCGCTCAAGTGAGACATCTGCAGCGGAACGAGGGTCAGCTGCCAACAATATGAGAAGGGGATATGGTGTTGAGATCTGGGCTAGGGTATACTAAGTGTGACAGTGTGGATATCATATCGCTCAGTACTCTTCACAGGCAATACAGGCGAGAGCAACAGCACAGACTCGAATTGCGGTTCATACGCTCGTATATGAGAATTGGTTTGCCATGGTTCCTTTCCTTTAGACGAGATCACACTTCGCCGCCTATAGCCACCGGTGCATCAGTAGGAATTTGGTGCGTCTCATTGCTCTCCTTGCACGCGGGATTAAGAATACATCCTCATGCTTATCATTCGGTGCTGGATTCATCCAGTTCGAATCTAGATCACAGCCGGCTGGATGCAGACGTGCCCCGTCGAAGCACAGCGTATGCCCATGCCATGTTCTTTCAATTCAAACCTATATCGGCGTTATGTGATCGTGTTGGTCCGTCGTGTAAGGGGCTGTCCGCGACACCTCTGATTCTGGATGCAGCACGAAAACCTCATGTCCTCCACGACGTGTGCTATATGGATTACTCCACCCATGAGCTGCGCGCGAGTCCGTAGCCAAGTTTGCATTGCCTCGGATCCCCATCTTTGCGATATCCACCATCTGTTCCAGCTTCCCGACTACAGTGCTCAAGCTCTTGAGTGCACGTCGATGTTTGTTCTGTCCGACTGATCTCTCTCCTTGACAGTCTATTCATTCCATTATCCATTTTGCTTCTGCTTCCTTTGACGTTTCATGATGCCTCGTCTATTCCCCAACCTCAGCCGCTCCTCGAGGGAGAATACGCGGGACGAGTATGCTTACTATGGGGGTAACCCCGACTATGCTCGGCAAGACTATGCATATGACGAGCGCGGGTATCCGAGTGAACCCGTCCGGGCTCCATCTGCCTGGCGCAGAGCCTTTTCGAAGAAACCCAAGACCAGTGGAAGGGTACGCCTGGTTCAGTCCATCGACTATTCCGGTACGTCGACGAGCTGACGTCTACGCTTAGGACTATTACGGCGAAGGGGAGGTCACTGTGAGTCGCGTGATGGTCTACAGACCGCGGCATTCACACTCACACCTGCTTCCGCGCACATCATTCAGGGCTTTCACCGAAGCAGATCGCACCGACCGAGCGACGTGTATCCGGAGGTTCGGGCCGGAATGCCGTACGCGCCATCAGATGAGACCGGGTCGTACGTGAACATTCCTTCGCGCAACCACAGCCCGGTGCCCATCGTCCAACGCGAGAGCTCGCTCACTCGCCTGCAAGAAGCGTTTGCGGACCACGGAACATACTCGCCTGCTACGCTAGAACCGACAACACCCATGGCATCAAGGTACAGCCCGCATCACGCACCAATGTCGATGTCGATGCCGATGTCGATGCCAATGCCGATGTCAACGCCCATGCCCATACCGACCCCACAAGTGGTCGATTTGGGCGCTGCGCATGATATGCATCAGACCGAATATGTCGACGGCCTTCCTCGGGATGGCATCTATCCCGAAGTGAGGCATACGTCGAGACGACACCGTGAGCGCCACGACTACTATGAACGATCGCCTTATCAGGTAGTAAGTGCGCGTGGAGAGGGTATGGTGATCGGAGCTGACCTGGCGTCCTGTCAGCATACACAACCTTCGACAGTGCAGTGGATGCATGGCCGGCCGGAGGACGGGTATCCACCTGTGACAGTAGTGGTACAACGAGGTGAATATGGCGAAAAAGACACGTACTACATTATACCTGGCGGTGCTCCAGTGATATTCGAGGATGATGATGGCAACGAGATCACACGGTAAGCAAAGCTGAAGTGCCTCGTTTTGTCCCTGCATTATTAAGTCTAGATTGGGGTGTGTCGCGCAGTGTCGGCGATTTCAGCGGAAATTATAGGCCTCGCCCGCAGCGTCCTGTGATCGTCCAGGATGAGTATGGTCGTGAGCTCTGTCGGTACGTCACATCTGCACATCTGCAATTGATCACATATGAGGGTGCTGAGCTTGTGCGCCAATGAACAGAGCTGGATTCGACGAATACCATGGGTGGAACCGCTCGGATGACGGCTACTACGGATCGGGGCATGGGTCGTACCGTCGCCGACCTTCCGGGCATGAATATGACAGGGACTACAGCTCGTCTCACCGAACTTATAATATACGTGACTATGACGAATACGACGACAGAGGCTACCGGTAGGCTCATTCTTGTCGTGAGTTAAGGCACTCTTATTGACCGCGAGTAGCAGGAGACCGTCGTATGATCGCCAGGGCGAGGCGGCGCCTAACGTAGTTTTCGTCGACCCCAGCGAAGGTTCGTCTTCGGGGTAAGCAAAAGTTGTTGTCCGTTTGTATGCCTGCGCCTGACATATGGGCCCTCACAGACGTACTAGGTCGGGAAGCTCGTCGCACAGATCACGGTCTCGCCGTCGCGATGACTACGTCGATCTTGGATCGCAGCATTACGGGTCTCCCAGTTTCATCGAAATCGACCCGCACCGCACCAGACGCCACGCGTCAGGGTAGGTACATTGCAATTTAAGGCGTCAAAAACAATACTCAGAGCGGCCACATTATAGCGGGAGTTATAGGTCGGGTGGTTCCTCCAGCCGCGACTATGTTTACTGATATGCAGGCCCGTGGCGGATATATGTTTTGGACAATTTGTCATGATCTTTAATGATTTTTACGGAACGGATGGATGGAGGTGATCGTTGTTGACCCAACGTTTTGTATCTAGCTGGATATTCTATGCTATCAAACCCCAGAGTAGCCCGTGAATCTGAAGCTTCGCATTAGTATCAACAACCATCAGGTAGATAGATGATGCCAACCACGCGAAGAGAATCTGAGCGAGCGATGAATAGTAACAGTGGACTCTCATCGCTTGCCTCCCCTTCCCCTTCCCCTACCTCTACTCCCGCCCCTGCCTCTACCCCTGGGCTTCCCTCGCCCTCGGCTAGTACTGCCTTCCACTGTGCTAATCTCCGCTTGACTGAGCTTGAGCACTCCGCCTCTGAAAGAGCCAACGCCCATCTTGAGCCCCCGTTCTCTCTTTGGCTTATGGTTGGAAGCCTGCGACGATGTGTCGTACAGCTTCTTGAGTGTCGGGTGATAGTTCCCTAATTGTTTGGCCTGGGGGATACTACGTAAGTGACCAGCAGAGGTTGAAGACAACGAACACCAACCTCCTCGAGTTCCTTTTGCTGTCTTTCTTTTTGCTTGACTATCATGCCTTCCCGCACACGCTTCGCGGCCTTATTCCGCTCTGCAGCGCGGACTGAACCTTCTCCCTTGCCAAGTTTGACTTTCCCAGTCGCCTCTAGTACACGACCAGCGAGCGCCTTCTTGCGCTGTGCTGAGGTGAGGTTGAGGTCTGGATCAAGCGATCCAGACAGGATGCGTGTATGCACTAGGCGATGTAGTAGGGCATCATTCTGTGCGTTGGACCTGGAGCAGAGTACGTCAGCCTTCCGTTGTATGCATACAAAGAGAGAGGGCCTACAGTTCCTTTGCCTCATCATCATTCTCTTCATCCGACGGACTATCTGTCACCTCCTGCGTAAGCTTCGTCACTTTAGATGACTGAGAAACGAAAGTCAGGAACGTTTGTGATGTGAGTGTACGCAATGTAGAGCTTACCCACCATGAATGCCTTCATCTGCGCCTTGCTCATTTTCTGGGTGGAAGGACCAGGTTGGCTCGCCATCTCCGAAAACACAACGACATTAGGCTGCGTCGCGGAGACCTGGTTTGACGAGAAATCGTCGTCTGAAATATAGACTCAGGAATTGGGAATCCATAGCTTGCCGACGAGCGTACCGAAGTCCGCATCATTAGGTTCCTCTGACTCCACCTCGCCGTCCTCAGCGGTGTTGCCGAAGCCGGACCACTCGTCCTCCGATTCGTCCTCAACCTTTTGCTTTTTCTGACGTACTGTCTCCGTCTCCGAGGCCTTTCTCTTGCCTTTTACAACGGATGACGTTTTGAATGAACCTAGAAATTGCTGACCGTGCGCCTCGAGTAGACGGATTAAATGGTCTTTGTCCGAGCCAGTAGACATCCTGGTCAATGTTTATGATGAGTAGAAGCTGAGAATTATAGGTGCCTCAGAGAAGGGAGCGGTATCCCTGGGCGCTTGTGTGTTCGATCATGCCGATCATTGAGCGCGCCTTGGTCGCACGCGACGGACACGTCCTCTCATCACTACTCTGCTGGGATGGCCAAGGGTCGGAAAGCTAACACAAAGGCGTCTGGGAAGAGCAAGTCCCCGGAAAATTTGGAGCTACCTGAGGAAGAGCAATGGCGCATCATCAATGAGACGGGAATCCTGAAGAAGTTCCCCGGTCCTCGAGCTTCCGACGTTGGACATGAAGAGGAGCAGACACCCTTTGCTGACGAGGTGTTCAATGCAATGCTGCTCATCATACCGATGTCGTTCCTCCTCTTGCTTATGGAAATGTAGGTATTTGCCGCATACCGTTGCGCGTTAGTTGACTCCGCGCGATGCATAGTCTTGTGCATTGGCAGTACGGTCGGAGACCCACATATGAGGCGTTATGGGATCGGATGTTGCCAGGAGTGCCAAGTAAGCTGCTTGCTATATCATCGGCCTTTTACTGCTGACATGCTGAGACTGCCTTAGTCCTGAGTTTGTGGATATTCTATAGTACGTTGTGCCGTGCATCCAAGCATTCTGGCCTAAGTGCATCGTCTTTCAGCTACACGATACAAACGGCATCGCACTCTGCAGTTCATTTTCTTTCTCATCTCACTAGCCGTTGGTCCGCGTCTCGTATGGCTGATCAACCGTGCATCTTGGCGTGTGGTCATGAAGCAGGTAAGCCCTATGTTATCGAGTCACACTGGCGATGGCGTTTTGAGAACCACCGTTAGTGTCCACCGTTGGCCACTCTGTGGGTTTACACGATACTGCAGCTCGACCTTGGCCCAGCTTCTCTAAGCCTTGTAATTGTGGCGGTTTGGGGAAGGTTTGCAGGCATGAAGATTATACAGTAACTCTTCAATGTAGGACATTGTCGACAACAGGTTTCTGGATTGCTTTAGTTCCATTGCAAGATGTAGGGCGAGCGACAGCACGATTGATAACCTACGGAGAACAGTTCACAAAGCTGGGAGGGGGTAAGAAGCCATCGACAACGACGATGATCACGCAGTATTCAACATCTTGATTATTTCATTCTTCAGGCGACCACGTAGTCGGCCGGCCCATTCTCGTCAACATCGCCGCGACCGCGATTCCGCCACAATCAACGCTTTCCAACAAATGGACGTCCTTGCCAAACACTTGAATCACTTCTCGCCTGGTATCCTTCAGCCATTTGAAGGCCAACTCGGCGTCGATGTGCGCCGCCACCGTCCTGCAGGCATAATACTTGAGACGCACATGGCGTGCCGTCAGGCCCTCCTGTTTGGCCCAGTCCATAACCTGCTGCAGCTCCGCCAGAGTGTATCGTGGAGGGGTCGGATCGGTCTCGCTGCACGCAATAAATTCCTGCAATATATCCTTGATCGCTTCGCGCCGCGCATCGCTGTTCTTCACCTTGGCATGCGGCAGCGAGCACGTCGAGCACGTGCAGCTGAAACCATACCGTTCCTGCAGGTGCTCCTGCCGCTGGGCACGCGGCGCATGCTCGTCTATGTACGCCACCGTGATCTCCTCGGCCTCCGCGATGTCACGCATCGCGTGGAAAAGCCCGGAGAACGTCTTCTGCGAGAAGTGGAACATCGTGTTCGGCATGCAGTCGTGGTTCGCGCGCGACAGCGTCGGAAAACACCCCGCGTGGGCCGACATGCCGACGTCCAGGATCTGCCCACTCAGATGTATGTCGAACGCGTTCACCCGCATCCGTGCGGATACGGGGTCGTTCGTCGTGTCTGCATCGGTGATCCGCGTCAAGGCTCAGGAACGTCTCGCGGTGCTGATTCGAGAGTCCTGCTAGCCCCGCGGCGTAGAAGTCTGTATCCCCGTACTTTCGTCCGTCGGGGCAGAACTTGCGGTGAGAGACGTACATGGGCCGCTCGGCGACGATGAACTTGCCTGCTCGGATTGTCCGGGTCGCGAACATTCCGTCGCCTCGTGCGCCCGCCACGGCGATGCGGCACGGCGGCGGCTTGTCACTGCTTGGCGGCGGCTTGCGGACGAGTCTAGACAGCTTGTGGATATGAAACATCAGGCTGACAATCGTATGTTCGACAATGCCAGCGCTCGCGCCATCCTCTCTCACAGGCGCGAAATAAATAAAAAAGGCCGCGCTGTCAGGACCCCGCACGTCATAGAAGATCACGCGTGGATCGTCCAAGATTACTGGAGATTTGACGCTGTCATGCGCATGAGGAGATCCTCCGTTTCTTCGCGCTTCGGTTCGTACTCGTCGTCAGCGTCCAGGGATGATGCTTTCTCTTCCCGGTCTTCGTCATCGTTATCTTCTTCGTCCTCGTCTTTATCTTCGTCTTTGTTCTCGTCTTGGCCTTCATCTTCATCTTCACACGTCTCGCTCTCCTCGTCTTCTTCCTGCTCCCTATATGCATCCCTTTGAGTGTGGACATGATTCGCTCGATAAGGACTGAAGACGACGGTGTGCTCGCAGAGGCTGTCGATGGCATATCGGAGTACGCGTCCGACATACATCGCCATAGCATTGATATGTCCTTCTCCAGGGCGTGTGTATCAATAGACATGCCAACAATCTAAGTAGATGCAGTCGTGAACGGTTTGTGGCCTATTGTGGTTACACGACCGGCTCAATAATTGCAAGCGTAACGAGAATCTAAGTAAACTTTTTGCCTTTGAAGGCTATTACTATTCATCCGGCCTTACAGTAGACTGCGCATCTACACATACTAATACACGGTAATTACTAGATGGCGATACATTGAGCTTTTACACCTCCCGATCCGCAAACAAATACCTCGGCTCTATAGCAAGTACCTGTAGTCCGGGTTCAGATCACCCATTTTTGTCTTCTCGTCCTCGGTCAGATCCCCGGCGCTGCCCCGCGCCGTCGCACGGCCTCGTCTCCGGTTCTCGACAATGAGCCCAACGAAGTACACGCAGTCAGCAAATGCGGAGAGCACGATGAACGCGATGCATAGGCTGTAGCCTGTGATATATTTCGGCGCATCCTCTGCGAGGAAGGCGTACACGGCGATGATACCGCCAACTGTTGTGTGGTCAGATGCTGTCATGGTGAACCGAGGACAGCACTCACTGTTGCCGAAGCCGACCTGCCATGCCGTCCCGACCGCTCTCCGCTGGTGGCCTGCCACTGCCGTTATATGCGCATCAGCACTCATTGCACTCCTCATCCAGGAGCAGTGCGAGGCTCACAATTCGTATTGAACCAGCACACCATCATCGGCATTGCCGTATACGTGCCCATCGCCGAGAGAAATAGCGCCGCATACTGCAGGTGCTTATTGTCATGTACCGCAACCAGAATCGCAAAGCCTGCGAGTGCAATCGCGGTCGGCACGAGCACGAACACGAAGCGGTGCCGCACATGGTCGGAGAACACGGCGACGAGCATCGCGAGCGCGAACGCGCATGCCCAAGGTGGGACGGAAAGCAGCTGTGTGCGGATGCTGCTGTGCCCGAGCGTCTGGATGATCGCGGGCGCAAAGTAGGCTAGCGCGCGGCGTGAACATCAGAGCATGTGGGCGCGGGAATGTACCTACCATAGCTGTACGCGGGCACGACAAGTCCGAAGTACATGAATCCGCCAACGATGATCTTGTCTGCGCCTCGGTGTCAGTCTGCGGCCCGCGAACAAGACGGTTGGTCACGTACAGTCTTTAAAGACAGACAAGACACTTTTCAGGGTCAATGGATCATGCCTGCGCGACTCGCCTACGTCGGCATGCAAGCGTGCTTTGATGAACTCTTTCTCCTCTGGTGTCAGCCATGCTACCTCCTCGGGGAAATCAGAGATGAAGAAGAACAAAGTCGCGGCCACCAGGCATGTTACGACACCCTCTGCGCGATGTCCCGTCAGCGTATGCGCACCTCCATGGACACCAGCGAGAGCATACCCAGGATGAAGATCCACCGCCAGCCGCGATAGCCGCGCATGCCGTCCATTTTGCCGATGGCGCTGGCGAGCAATCCACCGAAGGCGCCTGCGAGAGTGGTCGATGAGAAGAAAAACGAATAGCGCTTTTGTGCTTCTGCCCGCTTGTACCACCTGCGAAATAGGATGTAAACATCAAGATGGGAGAGGTACAATGTGCGAGCATACATGGCAATGAGGTAAAAGCACGCAGGGAAGACGCCGCTCTCGACCAGACCTAGCACGGTGTCAGCGTTTGATCTGGAAGTGATGCTAAATCCCAACGCACCCAGGAAGAAACGGCATGCAGCGAGACCACTGAAGTTGTGGACCAACCCCTGGCAGATGGACACCAGGCCGAAGAGGAACATGCATAGTGGCACTTGTAGACAGTAAGCATTAGGGCATCAACGAGAATGTAGTGACATACACCATACGTGCGGCTTGAAGTGCTTGAGCAATGCATTGGACGGGATCTCGAAGAGGACATAGGGAACAAAGCTGACAGGTTATTAGTGGGTGATGGCTGAGGGGGTGAGGTGATCTGGGTGACATACAAGACAACCAGCGCTGTGTTGTATTGGTTTCCCTCCAACTTCAGGTCAGTCTTGAGGCCAAAGACGGCTGCGTTGGAGATGTTCACTCTAGAACATATAGAACGTGAGCAAAATTGGGGAAGAGAAGAGCGAGGGAAGAGGAATCCGTACCGATCGAGGAAGGCCAGGAGATAAAGTACACACAGTACAGGAATGACACGCATGTCAACCTTGCGCATTACCTTGGCCTCGTCGACGGTCGGAAAGCGCGTCTTGAGGTCAAGAGCGGCCGAGGACTCGTCGTGCGCATAGCCATGCTTTTCGACATCCCCGGTCGACGCGTGTGATGATCTCTCCACTATGCGTCATGTTAGCTTCATCTGAGCAAAGCACTTTGCATGGCCACGTACGGTCGTCTGCGCTCATGTCGGCGTTGGTGTGGGGACGTCGAGAAGGGCGACATGGCTGCAGTGGGTCTTTATGGAGCGAGTCACAGATGACTCGGAGTCGCACAAGCAGGGAGAATGTTCGCCACTGGCCCGAGCATGGCCGGCTTGGCAGAGCTAGTGCGCCCTGCTAGCCCACTTCAATATGATCGCCGGGACAGTATGCACGAACGCTGGCTTTCTATTGGCCCGATCCCCGCTTCCATGCAAACTCGTGATCGGAGGCGCTTTTCGTATACATCTATTAAACTCTCCTGTCTGATACAGTATTCAGAGCAACGTAAGTAAGCTAATAGCGCAACTGTCATACGCTCACTGCAGTAAGCTATTGCCTTCATGTCGTCTCTCAAGCGAAATAGAGAAATCCAGTCTTGACAGTATCTTCGGTGCCCTGTCTGATTTCACCAAATGCATCAGACATGTCAGATGGATCAGCGTCAGAGCTACATTGTTTCATGTCACATTCTCCAAGCATTGCAAATGCAGCGTCCGAATAGGCTCCAGGAATGGCATGGAATCAAGCGCTTTTGCTACCCTCCGATGTTCGATTATTATAGTTGCCGGAAGCGTGGGAAGCATCAATGCCATACGCGTTGCAAAGGAGATAGTGCGGCAGGTACGGACGCATAACTGAAATATGCAAACGAAAACTATGCGATTGTTACAAATGTACAACCTTGGAAAAGGTGTCAAAGAAAGCCCGTGCGAAGCGCTTTGTCCGACTCTTCTTGCGTACAGGTGATTGCAGGACGTGAACGCTAGCCTGAAGCAGCGGTGCGTATTCCGGGATTGGTTTGGAACTTGGCAAGCAGAGATCTGTCAAGTTGGGACATATCTTGCGGATGTAGCTTTCGAGTTCCACGGGATCATCGACAGACGGACCGCCGACGTCTAATGTCTTGAGGGACGACACTACCTTATAGTCGCCGTCTGTCTCTAGGGGAGCCATTACGGTGAAGGGGAGAGATAGACATTCTAGCTCTAGCCTCGGTTTATGGATAGTGGCAAGCATCGAGAGGACGCCCAGAGTGATTGCTGCCTCTTGATACGGTTCGGAGTCTATACAGTCAAGGCGCAGCGTGCGCAGGTGGGGACAACACATGACAATATCTTTGATGGCTGCGTCATCCAGATCAACGGGACAGGGGATGTCCAGCTCAAGTGTTTGAAGATTGCCATGCCTGAACAACGGTGTTAATTGAGCCATAGAAATGCAATCCCCCGGTGGGCCCGATACGTCGTCGTCGCTACCCGGTGCTAACAATACCTTGATATCCCGGAGAGAGGAATATCGGGTGGCGAGCTCCTCGAAGAAATCTCCGATAGATTTGACGTCGTAAGGTGACTCAAGGTCGACATAAATGCGACTGAGCGGGGACGAACAAAATGTCTTCATAGCAGTTCTTGCGGAGTCCAAGTCCGTGACATATATTTGAACCGACGTCAACGCGAGGAATGCCGAATCCTCGCTCGTGAATGCATTACAGCCAAAAAGCTGGTCAAGATCTGCATTCCGATGCGAGTAGATATTGAGGCTCTTTAGGAGAGAAAGAGACCCCAGCTGGCCGAGTAGTGCTTTGGTCGAGTCGCACGAGGAAGGGAGTTCGCACTCCAAATGCTGCAGTTGGCCAAGATCACCATGTTGAAGCATCTTGATCACGTGCTCCGAGATATCCGAGCTAGAGTTCTTTTGAGGACCGACGATGGACAGATGGGTCAATTGAGGAGCCAAAGTGGGTAGGGCTGCCATAATTGAGACGGTGCATAGAATTTCGTCGTCGTCGTCGTCGTTGTCGTTTACGAGTGGATGTAGCGTCAAGGACCGCAAGCACGATGTGATATATACTGGCGTGTACCCAAAGGCGAAAGCTTCACTGTATGAGTAGATGCTCAGGAGATTGGGCAGCCATTGGCGTCCAAGAAACATCATCAGATCCGTGTAGCATTGGTTGCTTAGATACTCCAAACCCTTCTTCCAGTCTGTAACGAGACGGAGGTCCTTGATTAAGGAGGCATAATATTTGAAGCGCGTGAAGTCCTCTGGCATGAAATACCTGGGAAAACTCTATGACAGTGGCTCAACTCGTATCAAAGGTATTACTAGGGACAAATGCTTACCACTTCACCCGCATTTTGCACCCATGCATCCGCAGGCATACACTTGACGAGATTGACGAGGTTAAACTGTGTATGCCAGACCCTAGCAAGAGCGTGGTCGCAAAAGGCGTGGCATGTTAACGCTAGTGCTACGGTTGAACTTGGCCGATACGGAGGCGAATCATCGTACGGATCCTCGATTTCAGGAGGCTTTTCATCTTCATATAAAAAGTCGATAATCAGCAAGACCATATCAGTGATTTCCAGGCACGGATGCATGTTGTGTAGCAAGTCGAATGGACGAGAGGAGGTTGTACTGCTGCTCAGTCGGACTGGCATGCGCCGCGTTTTATGCTGGAATTCCTCGCGGAGCTTAAACAAAAGAGTGGCTATGTGAGCACGCGGGCTGTGCGAGGCTGGTGCTGTTGTCGTTGTCGTTATGGTCCACGCCACAGTGGAGAGCTGAGCGGTGCATGTGCTTGGTGGCCACCGCGGCGGCTTTGTTCATGCGGTGACGCCGATCTGGATCCCGATCTCCGCTTTGCAGTGTCTTTGGCACCGTCTTCCACTCTTGTCTTCCCTTAGGCCCTTTCCATGTATATTTACACGCCGCGAGCCTGTAACTTGTAGACGTCGACAATCGACATACCCAGGAAGGAAGTGCACACAGGAACTGTCCTGATTGAGAGAATGGGCGGGAGTCGTTGCAAACGCATGAAGAAACAGCATGCTACAGTACAGGACAATAGCACATCATGCGAGCAAATAAGGTTTGATCCACCTACGGACGCATAGTGGCGGGACGCCACAACTTGCAGCAGCAGACCTCGGCCGTCTTGCGCACGCTCGTAGCGTTGCCGCTTGCAGATCGGTCTCGTCTTTCTCTCCCTCATATTTCACTTACATATCGAAATGTTCATAGTCGTCGCTAAGGGGTTTTCTTTGTTTTTACGAGTCGTCAATGCACATACCAGCCTAGCTGCGACTTGAGGCTGTCCCCGCAAGAGGCGGGCCCAAACACAGATAGAGCACACCCGCGCTCCGTCGCGGTCCTTCCACTCACATTCGTATCCTACACGCTCTCGTCTTACCTCCGCCCTCCGCCGCTCTCTCCTCGTCGCGACGAGGTATTGAGCGCCACTCGTTGGATACCAGCAAAACCCGATCATAAGACGGCAAGTCTCCGAACGTATGTATGATACGCCTGAAGCGTGCATTTCGGTGGCTGACACCTTGATGCATGCAACAAGGATCAGAGTCTAGGAATACGAATACACCATCAGTGCAGTTTTATTGCCCACAGCTACATCATACCGACTCCATTTCTGCGTCTCGCTCACGCCTGGTAAGACGCGGCCGAATACTTGTGCACGCACTCTAAAAACCAGCGCATGTCCTCTGGGTCGACACCTGGTGTGATGCCATGCCCCAGGTTCGCAATCCAGCCCTTCGGCGCCCTCCCACCGCGGAAGCTCGCACACATACGCCGCACCTCGCGCTCGATCGCCTCGCGCCCACCGTACAGCACGTTTGGGTCCATATTACCTTGTAGCGCGACTACATCTCCGACGAGCTGCCGCGCCTCCGAGGGCTCGACACACCAGTCGATACCGACTGTATCGTACCCTGCATGCTGCGCGATTGCCGCGAGCTCGCTGTTCGCGCCCTTCGGGAAAATCGTCATTGGTACCGGCGGGATGCCCTCCGCCTTGAGCTTGTTGCGCACACCCGTCGCAATGTGCTTTAGCGACGGCAGCGCAAACTCCTGGAAGTGATGCGGCGCGAGCTCTCCCGCCCACGAGTCGAACACCTGCAACAGCTGCCAAAGCCGTCAGCAACCACGCAGATGTATAAGGCCAGGAACGGATGGACGCACCTGTGCGCCGGCCTTGACCTGCCCGACGAGAAATTCGACACAGACATCTGCAATGCGCATGAGGAGCGCCTTGCTCTCTTCCGGCCAGCGGAAGAGCCAGCCCTTCGCCTTTTGGTATGTCTTGCTCCCGCCGCCCTCGACCATGTACGAGAAGAGAGTCCACGGCGCGCCGCAGAAGCCAATGAGGGGCACCTGGCCCGCAAGCGCGACACGCGTCTGAGTGAGCGCCTGGAAGACATAGCCGAGCTCCTTGTCGACGTCGACGTGCGCGCGCAGCTTGCTGACGTCCGCGGGCGTGTCAAGCGGCTCGGGGAAGAACGGCGCGGGATTCATCTGCACCTCCATGCCGAGCGCCTGTGGAACGACGAGGATGTCGGAGAAGATGATCGCCGCATCGAGCAGGCCCGCGTAGCGGCGCACGGGCTGGAGCGTGATTTCGGTCGCGAGCGCGGGTGTGCGGCAGAGTTCGAAGAAGCCGTGGTGGGCGCGGACCTCGCGAAACTCTGTAGGGGCGGGGTAAAAAGTTGTTAGATCAGTGTGTGGACCAGGAGTAAAGGTAAGCGCACCGGGAAGATATCGTCCTGCTTGCCGCATGACCCATACAGGAGCGCGCTCCGTCTCCTCGCCTGAGATAGAGCATATGGTACTCGTGAAGTATCGAGCGTAGCGAGGACAGTACCTCGAGCAGCCCGAAGGAGAAGATCGTTTTTGAGGGGAGGAAAATCAGGCATGTTCAGGATCTTATGAACAGACTAATTGAGGTTGTAGAGGCTCGGAAATCGGGATCGGCGGTCGGATACGAGCTCTAAATATTGTAGCATCATCGAATACTCTGTGATTGATTATGGATAGTTGATAGGCCCCTTACGCTGGTGGGTCAGAGTACCTGACTCTTACGGCCGGATAGCGGTCTTCAGTATCCGGGAGACGTTGGTATGTGAGAGCAGACTGTAAGCGGGATTATGGAATTCGGCTGCATTTGGCGGTGGCACGCGCTCGATCAGCGCGATCGGGTGTGAAAGCGCGTGTCCTCCGCCACAAATATTCCTACCTCGTCTACGCTCTACTAGCATGCCTATACTCAACCCTACCCAACTTGTCGACGAGTGAGCGCACTAAAAGATTTATTGACTCTGTGTCCAACTCCTTGTACAATCAGATTCAAGAAGTCGGGGGAGTATGATCGTCTCCGACGAGAACTCCTAGCTCAATTTCGCGACAGCGTACGTTTCATCAGGCCTACCAACACCTGAAATGCCAAAGAATACCTGAGTATGCTGCTGGTACAGGAGGGCATGAACACTCTGATGACCCGTGCTGAAGAGATCGCGCGAGAGAAACTGGCAGCCGACCAGAAGCTGCAGTATATGCCAGAGGCCATCATTTCCAGGGAACTCATGCAAGAGCTGGATAGGTGAACCATATTTATGTAATTTCTCCGTATAAACACTGAGAAAGCACTATCGTAGGTATCCAATAGTCGAGCGTGCAGTCAGTGACCTACGAGCACTCTCTAACCCTACTCTTGCGTCGGGCATCCGAGCGTCTGTGAAGGCGATTCTGCAAAGAGACCGTAACGGAGGCTTAGCCATAGGTGCGTGATATAGCAAAGCAAGCTTCCGCGAAGAGCCAGTCATTCTCTTCCCCCAAGATGCACCGCGGCCACCAGCAGGCGAGGTGTCGTCCACGCCGGAGATACCACAGAGCGCGTCACAGGCAGTACCAACGGCCACTACGGCCACAGAGGACTCAGCTCCACATACTCCCATTGTTCCTGCTCAAACAGACACATTCCCGGACGAGAAGACCCGTGCCGTTCGCTTTGAAGTCGATGGCATTAATGGTCACGGGGAAATCGAGCAGGATGGGTCGAAGGCCCTTGCGACGGACATGTCGGCTACTCCTGGCTAAGGGGAAATCTCCCGGTATTGAGTTCTCTTCGGCCGTTCGAACAAAAGGAAGGATCGTCACAAGTACTCCAGATAAATGGCATCAGAAGCCATTGCACATTCATGAATTGTCGGGACGATCAAAACGGACTTGACACATCTCGGAGGGTAGGGATCGTGAATGGACATCCATCAAACAATTGCATCGTGTACGTATGTCATTGCTATGTGAAGGGAAGGTGTCGCAGCGGGCAAGGATGGCACGTTTGCAAGGCAGAGTAGAGGAGGATGGACGATGATAGCAACGACTGGAATGGCAAGACCTGTGAGAGCGATAGATATTGACAATGCAGAGAGATCATGCGGAGTCAAGAACTTGGAAGATATATACGTACAGAATCCGTCGGATAGATCGGAACCAGGCCAGCCTGGATTACTGAAGGAATAGATGCTCATGCAACAACGTCCACCGAGCTGAAGCTGCTACGTCTCCGCCGCACGCTACGCAGGTTTGGCCGCTCTGATTTCGACCCGGGGACCACGACAGCCGCAGCATTCGTCGTCATCCACGCGCCGACCGCTGCAGCCGCAGACTTGACCACTGATGCAACCCCCGACACGTCGTGCACGGATGACGTGGAATTATGGTGCGCGCGTTTGGCGACTAACGTGGGGAGGCGGGACGGCGTGGGCGAAGGCGGCTGCCTGAGCTGACGCGTCGACGGTGGTATCGTGCCCTTCGTTGCGGCGATTCCTCGCGCGCTCATACCGTTTGCGAGCCGCGGAATCTTATTTGGACCTGGTCCTATGGCTTTCGTCGTCTTCGACACACCATTCGGGTTGCAACCCTGGCGTGCGCCAACACCGGCGTTGGAACGCGTTGTCCGTGTTGGTCGTTGCTCAGAGGCGCTGATGCGAGTGCCAGGCGCTCGCGCAGATGCAGGTTTGACCTTCGTCCTTCGCACTGGTGGCGGAGCTACACCCAGGGCGGGAAGCATGTCATCTTGCTCGTTCTCTTCATCAGAATCGGAAGCTACACGCTTCGTCATAGGCGTTTTCCGTGGCTGAGCGGGTGGCTCAATCTCGCGAGCCTGAGCAGTGGCGCGAGCGACGTGTTTGCTCGGAGTGACAGGGGGAACTGGTGCTGGCGTTGCGGGAGTCACTATGGGCTGGGGGAGTGAATCATCGGAAACCTCCATGACATCGTCGTTCTCGGCAGGAGGTGTGGCCGGAGCTACGAGAGCTGTAGCAGCTTTGATGGCTGCATTCTGCACCTTCCGCATCTCGTCGTAGGCTGCCCACTTGCACCACTCTAGCTGCTTGAGGTACATATACTGCTGTTGTGGCCCAACAACACACCCTGGCCGAGCTATGCGCATGAAGGCAATTGCCTCAGATGCTGTGAAGCCGTATTTCCATATCAGATATGCACCAACGAGCGTCCCAGTACGACCCAGACCAGCTTTACACTATTACGGACGAGGGTTCACATCAGCCTTCACAGCGCAAATGGATGAACTCACATGAACAGCCACAACACCGCCGGCTTCAACAACTTCGTCGGCTAGATCAATAAACTTCCTCACGATCTCGTCTGTCGGATTTGTGCCGTCGTCAAAATAGAGCTCGTAGTGGTTGATCCCGCGGTCCATGAATACCTGCCGATCATATAGCGGATTGTTGAGTCGCACGACCAGCTTGACGTTCTGCTTCTCGAAGTAATCCAAGCAGTTAAGGAATGGCGTGGGCAACTTGCGCTGCAAGGCATGTTCTCCCTGAGACCTTGTTGGTGAAGACGGCGGCGATCCAGATCTCTCCCGCTCCACCTTCTCTTTCTCCTTCTTAATCCAAATAGGGTCCACGGGCGACGCGAATGCGATGAAATTAGGCGTTAGCCAGTTCCAATCGCCATTCTCCACCTTCTCATAGTACTCATACTCTTCAACGTCAAACTCATTCATATCGCATAGGCCATTTTGCATTGCTTTGTAGATACCCCAGAGGCAGTCTTGGATGTTGAGATTGAAGTCCGAGCGTCCGCGACCGGCGTCTCGGAAGGGCATGAATTCTACCTCAGCGATAGGATGAAATGCTTCCCAAGGCGGCCGCTGCTGGACGATCATCTGCACGCCACGGACAGTGAGGAGGACCGACAATAGTAGCAAATAGACGTGACAACTTACGACGTAGAATGCCATAAGCAGAGCTGCATTGGCCTTTCTGCGCGGATCATTCGATGAGTATAGTACAAGACGATGTGACGCTAGTGACTGGTCCTGCGAACAGGGTATGAGTGCAACGTGTAGCACTAGCAAACGACAACATACCTGAAGGAGCTCATGAATCAGGATGCATGCTTTGTACACCATAGCCAGGTTCAATGGCCCCCAATCTTGGAAGAAGGACAAATACAGCAACTGGTCGTCTATTGTGAAGTAGTAGTACTTCGCATCGTCGTCGGGTGTCGAAGTGGTCCCTGTAGGCGGCGGCCCACGTATCCGCGGCGCATGATCCTGCTCGTTAGCAAAACGATTGAGCACATCAGCGCGGGGAGCAGGGTTCTGAAAGGTGGTGAAATAGAGCCTAAGCAACGCGGTTCAAGTTCAACATGGATGCTGTGCTGTGGGCGATAGCACGATCACCTTCCACCAAAATGGCATAGCGGCTCGCACGAGTTCGCCATCGTGCACAACAGTTGATGACGACGTGGATGAAGACCTGGTTGGAAAGAGCGGTGGTGAGAGTCGCGTCTCAGGAGCAGCCTGGCTGCAGAGGCCGGATGCAGCAGTGCGGCGCGTGGTCACGGGACCGACACGCGGCGTCCTCCCCTTTTGTGCGCGACCAGCTCGTGATCGTGAAATTGGTGGTGTGGCGTGAATGCCCCGTCGACGCGGGCGCTGGTCTAGATTTAGCCAGAAAACTCCTATTTTAAAGAAAAGGATTTTTCCAGGGCTTGATGAGGACAATAGTACAGCTTGCAACCTGCGTACTGTGGTACGAAGACGCGGTGGGAATACTCCTGTCGCCGGTCAGAAACCGAAGTTGTCTCGCGGAAAAGGCCCGTGTCAACTGGGCGCCCACCTTCTCGGCGCGTCCGCCTGGAAACGCTTAGGCCGCTATGGTTCTGTCCATTGGGCCGTGTGCAGGACGGATAAGATGGTATACAAAAGAACGCGTACATTGCGCCGAAGAATAGAGGTATTGCAGAGGGGAACTTGAGAAAACATAGGAGACCTGCGAGAGCACGTGTGCAGTGGCAACCCGTTTCCGGAGACGCGGCGCGTTTGTCATTTGCGCCGCCATCCTCCCTACGCGTCTGACGGATACATCTGTCCTTCCGTCGCGGCTATCCTTGCTGCCGCCCTTGTCTTACCCTGGCTTCCTGGTATACAGCACTCGGCCATAGCTCCTTGTAGTCCGTCACGAACTTGAAGTAGACCAAAATGCCCGACATCACGATCTTCAAGGTATGTCGTGCTTGTATCCAAGGTACCTTCTCGGACAAGGCAACTAAGGAGCCTTTCCCCAGGCCACGTACAGTGGCATTCCAGTATACGAGATGTAGGGTCTTTCTTCGTGTTCCGACGCGCCTGACCGTTGACCTTCTGCAACAGGATGTGCAAGGGTGTCGCCGTCATGCGTCGCCGTTCCGACGGGTGGATGAACGCGACGCAGATCCTCAAAGTCGCAGGGTTTGACAAGCCACAGCGTACCCGCATTCTTGAGCGCGAAGTACAGAAGGGGGAACACGAGAAGGTCCAGGGGGGGTATGGGAAGTACCAGGGTGCGTCTTACGTCGTGTGAGGACATGGCCTGTTGTTCAAGTACACGATCCACAGGTACTTGGATCCCCCTGCCCAGGGGCTTGGAGCTAAGCCAAGCGCATGGCTGTGAAGACCTCCTTCGACCGCTCATTGACTTTCAACCGGAGGCAAATAGCCCTCCGTTAGCCCCAAAACATCTTGTGGCTGCCCAGGGAACCAAACCCAATTCCAGAAGAGGAGGAGCGGACGGCCACGGTTCTTCAATAAACACAAGATCTTCACGAAAGAATCAACCTACCGCAGCTGATGGCTCAGACATTGAGACGCTTTCCGCGCGTGGCTCAGAGGATGGCACGATGACACCCTCACCATCTGAGGCGTCGTCGAGCTCGCGCACTCCGTCCCCCATACGGAGTAGCCCGGTACCGTCGACTGTCGCTACAAACGGCGTCGATGAGGACTATCGTTCGCCTCCACCGGAAAACCACCGGAAGCGCAAACAGCGCGTGTCTAACGACATTCATGAGTACGATGCACCGAGCGAAAATGGCGCGCATGATCCGTCGACATACGGCGATCAGATACTAGAGTACTTCATATCCGACACAAACCAGATACCCCATATTTTGATAACCCCCCCTCTCGATTTCGACCCCAACATGGCCATCGACGACGATGGTCACACTGCCTTGCATTGGGCTAGTGCCATGGGTCGTGTTCGAATTGTAAAGCTTCTATTAACTGCCGGTGCCGACATTTTCAAGGTCAACAAAGCAGGTCAGACCGCTCTGATGCGTAGTGTCATGTTCGCAAACAACTACGACGTTCGCAAATTCCCGGAGTTGTACGAACTACTTCACCGTTCAACGCTCAACATCGACAACAGCAATAGGACTGTATTCCATCACATCGTCGATGTCGCGATGACGAAAGGCAAAACTCATGCCGCGCGATACTACATGGAAACCGTCCTCACCCGCCTAGCCGACTTTCCGCGAGAATTGGAGGATATCATCAACTTCCAGGACGAGGATGGGGAGACCGCTCTGACGATGGCAGCGCGATGTAGAAGCAAACGGCTGGTCAAACTCCTCATCGACAACGGCGCAAACCCGAAAATCGCGAACCGCGACGGCAAAACGACCGAGGACTACATTCTAGAAGACGAGCGGTTTCGTTCCTCACCGGTCTTGCCGTCTCGCGCATTGGGAATGTCCTTTCGCAACGCGCAAGCGGGCTTTCCTCCGACCGGGGCCCCTCCTTATTATTCGTTCGGGCCTATGAATGGTGATCGACCTCCACTGCACCATTCCTCGACCGGCCAGAAGGCTGCGACTCGTTGTGTCAATGACGCTACGATGATGCTCGACAGTCTGGCCGGTGCTTTTGATCAGGAGCTTCGCGACAAGGAGCGCGATCTTAACCAAGCGAACGCCCTCCTCGGCAACATCCAAGCTGAGATCCTGGAAAGCCAACGTTCGGTTGCACACCTACGAAATCAGGCGCAGGGGCTGCCGCAGGCAAAACAGCGCCTCGGCACGCTCGAGGAGGAGTTGCGCATGAAGATGGGCAAACGATATCGCCTAGGGTGGGAGAAGTGGTTAAAGGATGAGGAGGAGCGCGAGAGGGCAATCCGGGATGTGAATGGCGGCCAGCTTGAACCCTCGCCAACAGATGAGGATGTATCCGACTTGCTGGCGCTGCACGGGGACGTCCCGATGGACCCGGAGGCGCTGAAGACGGAGTGCGAGAAGCTGAGAGCAGAGCTCGCCGTGTACAAGAAGCGGAGGAAGGAGAAATTCGACGACCTCGTCAAGCTTCAGGCGGAGGCTGGGACGGGCGGACGCATGGCTGACTACCGCCGACTCATTGGTGCAGGATGCGGCGGTGTTCCACCAGGCGAGGTGGACAATGTGCTGGGCATGCTCCTCGAGGTGAGCTGCAAATATGTTTCATCGTTTGCGTAATAATTTCTGACTCGATTATTTCAGACATTGGAATCGGAGGAGCCCAGCTCATCGTCGATGGCTTGGAGTAGTGCGCCACGGCAGGGTGCACAAAGCTAGTGTTATGGTTTACTGGTACACCGTCCTAATCTTCGCCGGGTCATCGTCGTATCTATATGTCCAGTTTGATAGTTTGCTTGTACTAGTACTAGATTTGTAGCATTCTCCATCATGAGTGTAATCATCAACTGAGAATAAACTTCTTCCCTTCCTGTTATCCGTTTGCTCGGTCTGCGTCCGTAAGCACAGCTGAGCAGGACGCGTTCCAACGCGACTGCGTGTCTGCAAACGATCGGGAAGACCAGGTGACCGCGATCGAGTTGTGTGTCCCCGCTTACATAAGTCAGATTGGATCTACACGTTACGATTTGCCTAGCTTGTGAGCAAGCTGCTCTCCTGCACCTAGTGCTCACAGTCGTCCGACTCTTTCTGCGCTCCGCCTAGTTATGGCCCTCAGCAGAGCCCAGGTGCGCGATGCTTGGACGAGCATCGGGTTCACGCGCGACTTCCGGCATCTGCAGCCCGTCCCGCGCTGGTGGACACAGCGTCAGGGCTGGTTCGAACCGAAGACCCACGTCGTCAAGCCGAAGGACAGAATAAAGTACTGGAACATCGTCCCTGGGGACCAGGTGCGCCTGCGCGGCGACCCGACGGGCACTGTCTATGAGGTCAACATGATCAATCGGCTGAGCAACCGGGTGATGTTGAAGACGGAGCAGGACAAGGTGCGTGCGCCATGCATTAGATGACACGGCCGTGCGTGTAACCCTCCCGCATGGGCGGTGTACAGAGCGAGGTGCGTCCGGAGGAACAGATGAAGCGCGGGAAGAACGTCCCGTACGCAAAGTGCCAGCTGTTCATCGGGAAGTTCGAGTTCCCGCCGAAGGAGGGCTCGGCGGAGCCGCAGACGTTGCCGTGCGTGCATTCGTAACGGGGACTACTGTCTGACATTGATAGGCTGCTCCTTAGCGTCTTTGCGACGCGCCTTTCTACGTCATCGCCGTCCTGGGCGAAATCAACATACAGATACGAGTGGAGTCGATTCGCGGTCAACACTGTGCCGCGACTACCACACCTTGCGGGCGGGGAAAAGGACCGAATACACATTTCGTGGCCAAAGAGGGATAAGCCCCCCGTACCAGAGCGTGAGTTGACTCGCATTTTATACTCTGGGAGATATTTCGGCAGGCCGCCTCTGCTGGTTGTAGGGCAGAGTCGTGTCTGCCATTTGCGGCAGGATGCTGGCGTTTTCTCCGCAACGGAAGAGAGGAGTGCCCATATAGGAGCACACCATGGCAAGGGCCGAAGGACCCTATCTTATTGACAGACCAAAGCCGCTCTTACCGCAAGAACTAGACTCCGTGCTGATTTCAGTTGAAGTCGGCGTCTCGGCGCGGAATTGTGTAGGGTCCCAGGTCAGCCTTCGATGTACGGCATCTCCGACACGCACTTGAGTGCGTTCCACTCGGGCAGGGCTTGGTGTCTAACGGTTATTGCATATCAACTGACTGTTCACGCCGTCTGCTCAGTGCTGCTGCACTGGAAAGCAGAGGCGTCTGTCAAGGCGACCACAATCTCTTTGACGCTCAATCCATTGAACTTATCAATCCTGAACTGACGCTTTGATTACAGCCGGACCGTACGACACGAGAGAAGATGCCGTATTAGAGATCACTTACACACCTCCGGCTCTGCCTACTTACATCCACTTCAGAGAGCCCGCTCCCCGAGCGCCAACCGAAGATGAATACTTCAATGCGGTCAGCAAGCCGAACTCTGACTCTTACGATGCGTCGCAGCCTTTCGAGGTGTTTTTGTCAAAAGAACTGGCCAACCCCCACTCACGAGCGAAGAAGCAAGCGCGCTGGCAGGCACACCAGGAGTACAAACGCGCGATGCTGAATGACATGATCGCCGCTGAGCTGAAGGACCTGCAAGGGCGATCACGGCGTGAGGCGCGAGCGGAGGCGATGTGGAAGTGGCGGCACACGCTGGAGGAGGAGCGGAAGGGTGAGCAGAAGCGGAGATGGAAGAACCGGGGTGCAGAGGCGAGGCTGGGACACAAGAAAATCCGCAAGGCGCGCAAGGACGAGAAGAAACGGGAGCGTCTGCGGAACCTGGTGCTGCCAGAGGCGCCGAATCAGGCCATCCCTGGTGCGGAGAGCCGTGCGGCATGATGTCCTCTCAGGATCAGCCATGGCTCTCTTTAGGGAATCATGTTGCTCTGCTGTAGCGTATTACAGTCGGATAATGCTTTGCGTGCAATGGGGTGCACTGTTTCCTCGTTGCTTGACGATCTCGCCTTGCGCTGCTTCGTAAGGATAGTGTAAGCCAAATATAAGCAGTCTGCCAAAGCGAGGTGGCATGTATGTGCGCCTGTTAGGAAGGCGAGATCGGATCGGACGGCGGCCGAGTATGGAGGAGCTCGACCGCTGCTCTCGATTACTCAACATGTCAAATACCCATATGGCCTTCCTTCCCTGCTCTCCTATATCTGTACAATGCACGGCCTTGCTTCATAGTCCTCCAGCTCGTCGTCGTCCTCAATGTCCACCCACTCGTCCGAGACGCTCCCACCCGATGTCGAGAAGACCAATGACGTCAAGAAGCAGCGCGCGAACGACACCCAGCCGCCTACACCCCCCGAGACTCATGAGGACGAAGAAGGCGTCCCCCCATCTACGATCGCTCCCTATACCCTCTCAGACGACAAGTATAGAGTTGTTCTAACCCCCGATGAAGATCCAAAGGCATTCTCGGCCCTCAGGAAGTGGACCATCGTTCTCGTGATCAGTTCCGCGGCCCTGTGCGCGACCTTCGCCTCCTCAGCTGTATGCTATTTTTTGTGGTCCGTTGGCTTCTCTATTCATTCAGTTTTTTAGGCATCGTTCACAGAGGAGGGTCTCGCTCGGGATCTACACACTGTCCATGAAGTGACCATCCTGAGCATCAGTCTATACGTCGAGGGTCTAGGTTAGCCGCATGCATTGTGTACCACCGACTTTCATCTGACAATTATGTGCCAGGCCTAGGGCCTCTCCTCGTTGGACCTCTTTCGGAAGTGTACGGACGAAACATCGTCTATCTGGTGTCCTATTTTCTCTTCTGGGTGCTGACATTCCCAACAACCTTCCCCCCTGATATCGGTATGTTTAATGCTACACTCAGCATTCAGTCATGGTTGTGATTGACTTATTGATTGATGCCAAGCCACCTTCCTCGTCTTCCGTTTCATCACTGGCTTCTGCAGTTCTGCGTTTCTCAGTGTTGCCGGCGGCAGCGTCAGTGACCTATTTGTAAGCCAGAAGGTCGCCAAGTACGTCCAATTATTGCTACCGCAGGATGCGATTGGATGCTCACGCTCTGGTAGTCCCATGGCCGTATATACCATATCCCCTTTCCTCGGACCCGTCGTAGGTCCCCTCATCTCAGGGTAAAGCTTACATGCTCTCGTCTTTGAATAACCACTCAAATAGCTCCCCATAGGTTTATCTGTCAAGTGAGTGTCCGTCATGCATTATGGAAGTGGGCTTATAATTCGGTTGTGTCAGCATGTCGACTGGCGCTGGACTTATCGTGTTCTGCTCATTTGGCAGTTCGTTACAATCCTGCTCCTTGTCTTTGTATGTCAGCTCCGGCCCTCAAGTGCGTTGCGGACGCTGATCAAGTCTTCTAGCTCGTACCCGAAACATACGAGCCTGTGCTCTTGAAGAAAAAGGCCGCGAAGTGTGTCCCGCTTTTAACCTGCAATATTTTGACTCGGTGCTGATTTCGCTGGCTTACAGGCTACGCAAAGAGACAGGAGATGAAAAATACTGGGCCCCGCTTGACAGGCGAGAGGGTAGCCTTGCCCATGCCATTATGGTCAGCTGCTATACGCCGTTCAGTACGTCTCCAAGGCACCATCACTATGGAAAGCCTCTGATCTTTGCGCAGAGCTGCTTTTTTACGATCGCATGGCATTGTTCCTCGACACGTGGTACGCTATTCTAGCGTTCTGTGACATTGCTCTCTGACGTGTAGTTCATTAAGGAACGCGTTGATCCTGGGTATTTTATATCTTGCCTTCCAGGCCTTCCCGATCATATTCGAGAACGGCCACGGATTCAGCATGCAAGACACCGGCATGTCGTTCCTTGGTATCGGAATTGGCATGGTCGCAGCACTTGCATCGCAGCCATTATGGAATCGGTACGTGCCATCATGCCAACTACCATGTGATTGTTCTCACGGCGCATGGCCTGTAGGTTCCATCATTACGAGGCACGGAAGTACAACGGAGAACCACCCCCGGAGACGCGGCTCGTGATGGGTCAGGTCGGGGGTGTGCTCGCACCTGTAGGCCTCTTCTGGCTTGCTTTCACCACTTACCCTGCGGTACCGTGGATTGTGCCCATCATCGCGTCGGTGCCATTCGGCGCGGGCGTGTACTTCATCTTCACATCGACGTTCACGTACCTTGTGGTGGCGTATCGCCCGATTGCGGCGTCGGCGATGGCGAGCAACAGCGCGCTACGGTCGACGTTTGCGGCGGTGTTCCCGCTGTTTGCAGGCCAGATGTACGATCGCCTTGGGACGGTGGGCGCGACGGCGCTGCTTGCGGGGCTAACCACGCTCATGACGCCGCTTCCGTACGTAGTCTTCGCCTGATACTCCTCCCGTAGGTGTCCTGATAGTCTATCTATTTCTAGATTCATCTACTATAAAATTGGTGCACGGTTGAGGGAGAAGTCGCGCTTTGCGGTCAAGTCATGACTACCCAGACATCAGCATCGTTTACTGAAATGTGCTACTGACGATACATACGTTCTTGTGCGTTCGTCCCTGTATTAGACCAGTTTCATGTCCATACCAGCTACGCATCTTTTAGAACATACAGACCTTATATTACATGTAGTATTGTACGGTACCGCAGGAATAATACAGAAATCTTACACACTTTTGAATCGTATTCCAGTTGCAAATAAAGGGCACGAACGCGGTCGGGAGTGCCCGGACGATGAGCAGCACGCCTTTGCCGCACAACGCCCGCTCGACGTAGTTCCCACGGTCTCTCATCTTGCACAACTCACCATGACGCTCCTCGCCCGTGCCAGTGCCCCCCTCCGCCAGGCCGCAAAACGCGCGCCCGCCTCTACGCCAATGCGCTTTGCGCACGGACACGGAGTGTACCAGGTGCGTAGTATGACCGCTCGCGTCGTTCGCAGGCAACTCTGACGCGAGAGCAGCACCTGCCCTTCGACGGAAAGAAGAAGACGTTCGGGCTCAAGGTCGCCGCGTATCTCATTGGCGGGTTCGCCATCCCGTTCGGTGCTGCGACGTACCAGCTGTGCGTATACGGTGTCGCTGGCTTGTCGCCCACGCTTTCAGAGCAGGTGACTGACTGACTGTTTTTGGCGTGTAGGAAGAAGTCCGGCGCTGCATGACGTGTGGTCCTCACGGAGATTCGCCGAGTCCATAGATGCCACTAGAGGATTCTACAGCTACCGCGAAGCAATAATGAACGCTCTGTATACATGCTTGTGCGGTGCCTTGCCTGTGCGAAGTCGGCAGTGTGATACCTGATAAACATGCGGCAAACACGAGAGCATGCAATGCGCCTGCTATCTACCCGCGACTTTGTCGCTCTCCTCGTACCCGAGCTGCTCCTTCTGCACTTTCTTCGCCTTTTTGCTTTGCTGTACTGTCCTGCAGTCACATGTGCGCGTCATGAAATCTGGGTCTCGGTCTAGTGCGTCCAGAGCGCTCAGTGCTACGGCTCGCGCTGCTGCAGAAGAGAGTGCGTCTTCCGCTATGGCTAGAGTAACACCATGGACTATGACTGCAGATAGTATCCGTGAGCCCAGCAAGACTGTTATAGCTCTGTGTTCGGACTTACCTGTGCAACGCACTAACGTCTGGTCTTTCTCCTTACTGATCCGGTGGGTTTGGCATCCATGCGATTGCAACAGCTCGAACAGTGTCGTGGTCGGATGTGGACAAAGGCTCTGCAGCCTCACATGCTGGTCGTAGAATGGCTTCAACCCTCGCTCGAAGAATTTCGCAACCCCTTCCTCAGAGAACTCATCGGAAATGAGCAACGTTCCAACAATAGATTCCACGACGTCGGAAAGTATCTGGCCGGAGATTAGTTCTTAAGTGTCTCGCCTAAGGGCTACCTTTGCTCACCTTGGGTGGATCCATTCCCAGCCAATACTGGCCGGGCGGCATGTTCCCTCTCGCCGCAGCCTGATATTCTGCTTCTCGAGCGGTATGTAGCTTGTGCACATAAGTTCTGATTGCGGATCCGACCTCGGGCGATGCATGTCGGATGTGCTGATAGATGCCTGAATGTACGCAGAATGCAGCCAGCGCATGGTTTGACACCATTGCACTTTTGAGCAACGTAAGACCGCCGGGGGCCAAGTTCGGATGACGGTCATAAATATACCGGACGACCACTGTGGACATGATGCTCAACTGATAGTCGGTGAGGTGCTGATGAGAAAAAGAGGCTTACGGAAGTCAAGAACAGCATCTCCAACAAACTCCAGGCGATCATAACCGTGACCACCTCGGGCACCGGAAGCATGTGTCTGCAACTAGTATCTCAGGACACCTGTGATGGGATATTTTGGCATCTGCATGAATCACTGACCAAAGCCTGAGCCAACAGCTGCGGTTTCCGGATACGACATCCGAAGATAGTCTCCAAGGCTGTGTTTTCGTGAGAACGAGCAGAGACCGACTCAGAAGATGCAGAAGGCGAAGTCGCCATCTCTCGAGCAAAGTCGGACCAGTGCTCGACGCGCGGGATATTCACGTGCAGCCTCTTCATAGCATTGAGCGTGCCGTGAATGCCACAGCTTAGGTATGCCGCGCCGATGATAGCCTCCACAACATCCGCGATCGTCTGTCGATTTCATAAGGGTGAAAAGGAGTTCACCAGGATGGCAATATTCTTACCTTATCTCCGAGCCATTGCGTGTCCTGTTCGTCCTGTTGCCTTTGTTTCTTACCGCGTTTTACTTTTGAGGCCTAGTTGAGAAAATAAGAGACAGGTGAACTTCCAGAAGCTCACGTACACCAACCTGACTACTTTCTCCTCCTGGGACATTCTGCTGAATGCTTGCGCCTACTTGTGTCTCTGTTCTAGAGGTGGCGCCAGCTACAGCATCCGCGGCCGCCATTGGCGTTGGCTGCCAAGTCTTAATGACGAATGGCTTGCTCTGGATGTAGGGAGGCAAACCTGCCCGAACTGCTCCTGCTAGTAGCGCTTTGTTACTGATGATGTCCTGTCGCGCGACGTGAAGGGCATTCTCGCGAACACCTGGCATTGTTACGAAACAATAGATAGATGCCACATATTTCAGTAAGGCATCACCTGCAATACGCGCTTAGTAGAGGTTGAAGAATGCGCATTGGGCAGTGTGCGCACCGAACAGTTCAAGACGCTCGTAGTCGAATTGGACACTAGCGGACGGAGGCGTGAGGGCGGTAAGGAGAGCAGATTCCTGTATTGTACGCCGGAAGAAAAGCATATTGAGCTCTTTCACGAGGAGCTGATCGTCGATCCTTTTGAGAATCGATGGCACGAGGAGGATTGTGCGAAAGACGCTGTACGTGCATGAGGAATGCGCTCGAAGGACAATCATGGTCGGGCACACCTTGCTGGAATAGTAAGCCTGAAGACGAGTTCGGGAATGAGATCTGAGAGGTGTCTCAGCAATGCATCGGATTAGGTAGTCATGACTGACTCACATTTAGCTGGCGTCTTCGAGGACGGTATAACCTTGACAGTCGGATTCAGGTTGTTGACTGCGTTTGGAACAGGAGACACCTCGATTAGCGACTGATGCTCATCCTTCAGACCTGCAAAGTCCTTGATTCGTGCTTTGCAATATTCCAGGAAGTTTGGATACTCCTCTTCGCGCTGTTGACAATATCGGAGAATTGTCAACATGATCACGTAGGAATATCGGAACATTTACTGGGCTGTCGTGCGCCTTGCTCAGCGGCGTCAAATCTGGCCTGATGCGCTCCGCAAAGAATCGATTCGTGAATTCGACCTTCCTATCTTGAAGGATAGCATCCTCCACAAAGTCTTCGAGGCTCTGTCTCGCGTCCGACAGCAGAGGCACGACGAAGTCTTTTACTGCGGCCCTGACCAAATCCCAGGCGATATAGTTGTCCACATCCGGTATGCCAGAGCTTTCGTATTCGTCGCAGAGGACCTTCGAAAATGCAGCAGCTAGGGGTGCTATGAAATAAGGCATGCTCTCCTGCGAGCAGGTATACGGTTTATTTGTAATTGTTCGACAGGCACGAACAGTGAACTCATGCAAAAAACCGAGCTGCTCATCATTAAGATCCAGAGGCGCAGTCCTGCGCAGGTGAACATTGGCCGTGGAACCGTCAGAAAAGATTGAGAACATCCGGAGAGTAGGAAGAGGTCCTCTTGCGAAAATGAGGATCGGGGCGTTGAACCTGTCTTTCAAAGGGCCAACCGAGACCAGCATGGGATAGAGACGACAGACCGTTGTCCTAGAAGTGTTTTTCCAAAATTTCGGATGTTTCCTCTCGTAACTACGTGTGCCTGTCGAAGCGACAGCGGTACGCCCCGGGCTACCGTCTTGCGTCGTAAATGTGTCTGTTGAAGATAGCACATGGGGCTGCGGGTTGTGAGGAAAATAGCGATCATCGAGAACACCGTGTTCGAACAAAGTCTCGCAAGCTTTGAAACAAGCGAGTCGCCTTGCTTCTGTCCTGGACGCAGTGGAGGGGCCAATGACGGCAGAGACGGGACAACTCGCAGGAAAGAAGACCATACATTGAACAAACGAGTCAGAGCCAGCGTCTTCCGTTTTGCGATACTCGAAGAAACTGCGTGACCAGTACGAGATTTTGTCGCTCTGCATGCTGGCCGCAAGGCGATAAATGACGGTCAGAGCATCCGCCTTGATCAACGTGGCGTTAGTCGTGGGATCCCTGATGCAGGGAGTGCTTTCGTCCTCTTCACTGTCTATGTCCAAGCGGCAAGAATCAAGTGATTCATGCAGTGTACGAGGGGGCATTGTGCCCCCTTTCATGGCTGTGTGTATGTTGGACTCCAGCCATTCCTGCATACTATTGTCAAGATCTTGCCAACGAGAGACCATGCGTCGATGGTCGGCGTTGTCTTTGTTGACCATATGCACAATCTGCCCTTGGGGGCTACAAGTTCCAAACGAGAATGCGAAAGACAGATCGCTCTCCAAGACGTCAAAACTAGGCATTCTTTCAGGAACGAACTACATCTACAGGGAACGGAGGCCACGCACTTGATCCATATATGACAGTACGGCTTATCCGATGTTTGCGACCGGGGGAAGTCCATGTCCTCGAATTGTTTAGTAATCACGAGGAGATTATATGTCCCATTTTTGAAGTATTCCATAACTGACTCCTATAAACTCGTTTAATATCGCACGTCGACGTGAAACGGGGGAACCTACCTGGATTTGTGGATCCACGAGTGGTTCATCTGCTGTTACTGCTAGAGGCTTCAGCTTGCCCAGCGTGCCGACCTGCGCCAAGATGCTTAACATTTCTGCAACCATTTTTGCGATGACCCTGCGCTGGACTTGGGCGCGGTCAACCGGGTTCCATTTATCTTAGAAAGGTTCGACATACCTAAGATGACCGCTCGGAATATTGAGGCAGAGCACGGCTGTGCAGTCAACAATCCCACGAGCACAAGGAATTTCGCCGACATGTTAGTGTTACTTGGCTGCCCTGAGGGACACGGTTCGCGGAATTGCCATTTCTTGACGACCTCTTGGATTGATCCATCCATCATGGTGTCTTTACTTGAGGATGACGAGGATACCTGCCACTTATTGCCCAATGCGAATTTCCAAAACAGCTCGGCGGCGCATGGCCCCAGCTCCGTAAGTACCTCTTGCGCTTGCATGTATAGTCGCGGTGGGATTGACTTGGTCTGATAAACCTCCCATAGTCTCCGGGACAATGTTGTCTCCAAGCTTGTGTATCGATCGAGGGTGTATTCTTTGACGCATTGAGTAGGGCGCCGCATGAAGAAAGGTGACGAAATATAGTGGTCATCAGCAATTGGCTGGCATGCGCTCGCCAGCATGTGCGCCTTGTACCGCTCAAAGAGAGTAATGTCAGTTTCCTCTATGTCAGCCGCTTCTAGTACCACAAGTGCATGCGGTCTCTCTACAACATTTACGGCTTGGTAGAATCGACCAAGTTCCTCGATGTCAGCTTGTAAGCATCGAGCATCGTCGACTACAATGGTGGCGAGTTGTACGACCTGAATGGACCTCGTCCGCAAGGATGACAAGAATGGCTGTGGGGGTTATCAGTACAACTGCATGTCAGGTAGAGCGCGGTTCCCACATCTCGGGCAATTATGATGAGATCCTTGTCGGCGAGACGAGCCCACTCCTTGGTATAATCTTGTTCCGATGTTGACTCGTGGAACACGCCAACGCTGGCAAAATCGCCTGATGTCGCGTAATTCTTGGCGCGTTGTCTCGACTCGTTGGCACCCCTGTTGAGAAGCGAGTCAATGCGCGCGCATTTCGCATTTGGACAGACTGACGCTGCTACAAGCAATACCAGCTTCTTTTGTGAAGGCCCACGAGACAATGATCTCCGGACGTCTTCTATACTTCGCACAAGAGTGCCTATGACGAGCCTGCCGCATACTAACGCTCATATTGAGAACACGGCACATATCCTCCCACTGTACTGTGGCACTGACATTCATTTGGTGCCGCTGCGAAGACAGATACTGGTGCAAGCGTAAGCTAGTCCACCGCCACCACGACAGTGCTTATAGCCTCACCGCCACTTGAGAAGACAGCCTCTATTGTGCCACGCACGTTCAACTTTACGAACGGCTTCGGTGTCCTGGGTCGCACAGGCAGAGAAGTCGGTGGCGACACCCTATCAGTCTTACGCCTTTTCAGTGGCCTATCGCGAGTGTTGTCGTCGCCTGTGGGATCCACTTCATGGGCTGTGCGAACACGGCCTGTGCCGGACCCTGAGACAACAGCCCCTGCACGATGAGGGTCAAGGTTGCTGTTTGATCTGGATGCCACGGGTCTATTCTCAGTCAAGTCCATAAACGTGGCGCATGCAACATCATCTCCTGCGCTGTGAGCGAGGCTGTTCTTCCTCTGGACTTCTGTATTTGTAGTCTTCGTAGCTTGCTGCTCGAGTCCAAACATCGAGTTTCCAAGGCTTATCAGTCCAGGGTCGCGCAATAAGTCACTTGGGGCTAGCTTGTTGTAGACAATTGTAGACAGGGTAGTTGAGGAACAAGCTGAGGCAATTGTGACTGCCCGTGTCAAATCTAGAGATCGAACATATTAAGCGCCCATGAATGAATGCGTCATTCAAGGCCCTGCTCTGCTGCAGCGCCTCCTACAATTGGTTTCAGAGGCCCTATACCCTCTGCCAATGGACGCATATAACCTGCCTCTGCCATGGTCAACAATGCACATCTCGTTGAACACCTCGCACGTCAGCTCGAGAGCACAGAATCTGACCCAATGCTCTTATACAGAGAACGCTTGCCGGCGGATCCAATGCTATTAGCTCGTCTGCCAACCTCCGGTGCGTGTGCAATAAGTCTAGAGACAATCCTTGCCAACACAATCTCAAGCATTCATCCAGCGTGAAGCCGAGATCCTTGCTCCCAAGGCCATCATCAAACAACTACGTCGGTCACCCAGTCCCTCACCACCAAGCTCGCCTAAAGAAGACGAAACTGCTTCGGAATCTACAGTCACTCCCGAGAGCGAAGAGGTGCCACCTGAGCGCACCAGAACCAAGAGCTTCAGCTCGGTATTGTCCTCCGTGTCGTTGTCCTCTCCTAAGTTGTCTCGGATAATGTCCGTCCGACAATCATCTGGAGCTAGCAGTAACAGTAAAGCTTGGAAAGAACCAGAGGTCAGTTCGGCTTTTCCACGTGTTGCGTTCACGCTCACAATGACATGCCCAGCCGTTTGAAATATTTCGCGCTGTGGAGAAGAAAGACATTATGTTCCTTATGGAAGTGCGAGATCGGGCATTCCATGTATGTTTCCTGTCAGAGCTCGGCCCTGTGATGCCTTGACATTGAAAGTTTGACTAGTTGCTCCTCCGCAAGCATGGCGACGCCACGCCCCTGTTGCACTGCATGCGCATTGGCAAGTCGCATCAGGACGTGGCCATCATCCTTTTGGGTGCATTCTCGCGGTATATTAACAACCTGCAGGACGAGGAGTTCTCACAACCTCGGACGAGAATGCTCTTAAAGGCGCTCCGTAGGTCCCTTGTTCTATCTCCCTTACTCACTACTCATATTCAAATGTAGGGGTCAACCTCAGGCTAGCAATCGACCTTGGTCTGCAGACGCAGCAAAGCGACCTCATCGCATCCTTCCTGCAGACACTCATCATGAGCGAAGGTGGGCAGTGGGTGTCCGACGAGGCGGGGGACATCGCTGCTGCGCTTCGCCTCGGGACTGAAGGCAAGCCCGTCAAAACCGCAAACGACGCCGTCAGGCGCTTCGCCACGAGGGAACTGGGCAAAGCGCCGCTCATTGCATCCTTTGAGGACTAGTGCGTTGCTATCGCATCAATACACTTCAGATGGTTCATTCTCTCGCTTTAATAGCGTTGCAAATGCGACCGCGGACTTGGTCATGATGGGAGCCTGGCAGTTGGTTCTGGAGGTTATCGAGGGCGAATCAATACCTGTGAGCCGGCCGGCTTCATGACGCATGCCTTCTGATTCACAATATCCAACTGTCGTTCCACAGGTATGGTATTTTGCGCGAGACGATCGCGTATACAAATGCTTCGTGGACCGCCTAGACAAACATAAAGACGAAATACGCCGTCGCCTGGGGCGTCGGCTACGATGGCAGCTGAGGGTCCTGCGAACGGTGCTCGATGGCAGGGCGAAGAGCTTCGAGGTAAGCCCTCTCGCCGTATCTGCCTTCACCTTATCGAGAGGTTAACATTGATCTCTCAGGGGAAGGTCAAGGAGCTCGCGGAAGAATTTGACCAAGGAGAAGGCGTCTGAAATATCATACGGACATCGACGGACGGATGATACCCATATTCTATTGTAACACAGACTATTCACGCATTGCACTAACCACTGTATTGTACCCAGGTTCCGGCAACACATTTCATCATGACCATGCTTCCTGATTCATACATCGAGCTAGTCCGACCTTTACCATTTTTTGCTCATATAAGGTGCTATCCGGGCTAGAACTCACACCCCGTATGATGGCGTATCATTGAGCATATATTGACCGAAGCCCTTCCCTATGATCCCGTTCACGACAGGGTTATACTTGGAGGGTTAGCTCGTAGAAGGTGCCGTCCGGGCCCAAGCTTGCAGCCCGTGTTGCGGCGTATCATCGAGCAGACAATCAAATTCTTAAATCTCAATCTGTGTCATATACTAGCGTACATCTTTCCCGATGAAATACATTCCCTTGACGAGCATTCACAATAGCATCGCTGATCAAAATTCGCCGTCGCCATACTCCCGTAGATTGGTCAGCGCCGCACGAACGTCCCGTAAGGCTGCGCGTTCGAGCTGCATGTCGTATTCAAGGAGTGCATCAAGGTCCTGCTCGCACCACGAAAGAAGCATGCGGACGCCGCACTCGGTGGTTATGCCGGCGAGCTGCTCGAAGGCGGTGGTGTATGGCACTAAGCTTGGCGTGCAAGAATGCAGGAAAAGAACGAAGCTGTCGTGCACCGCTGTGGACGTTGGACTCGAGGTCCTGGAGGCCATTGTCTTGCTCGATGCGATACTGGCAGGCAAGGGGCTGGCATGGTGGGACCGAATGCGCTCCTGGAAAGGGTCCACTGCAGCGATTTCGGACCGTTGACCGTCCTGTGTATTGAGAATGAGTGGGAGGTCGACCTTCCTGCTGGACGCTGAATATTCTTGAGAGCCGTTTCCAGACATTTCGGCCTGCACAAAAACAGTATCCTGTATATGTCAGATATGCAAAACCGGCGTCGTTTGTCCGCACACAGACGTACCTGTTGAGATTTATCCGCATACTGGATGGCAGCTACATTATCTTGCGCGCGACGTGTCTCGTGGTGCGCTAGGCCTCGAGCCCTCTTAGAGTGCCGGTGCGCCCAGGTTGTATAGCCAAGGTGTTTTCTGAGATACCTTTCAATTGGCCATGCATCCTCGTAGTACTGCCCAAAGAATGGATAGTCTTCGACCGCCTTAAAGTGTTTCTCAGTGCAGTGTCTAAAGGCCATGTTTATCATTTTTGGGGACATCACCTACACACCTTGTCGTGCACGATCTGCAACGCCTGTTGGGATTGTTGGCTCCATATTTTTGTTTCGTCGAGGTATTCCCGTGCAAGCTGCCGCAAATGACCCTTGAATGAACACATTGTCAAACCTGCATGGCGCATTGAGAACGAGGGTGATCGACTTACGGTCAGCTGCGCAAACTTCCAGGGCTTCAGCTGCATAGCCTTCTTCATACCCTCCTGTCCCTTGGGCTTCGGTATAGGCTTTCGGGGCGGCATATCTGTTATGTAGACGCAAGTTGCAACAGCGCCATTCTACCTTATATACCCCCTTGTGTAGAAAGTCATCGACCCGAGCCGAACTTAGTTATTATTCATTCAGGAATAGCGGGAAATTGGCGATTGAGTCGCATCGCGCACTTACCTTGCCCAGAGCGGTCAGTCGAGTCCACCACAACGGTGATGGGTGCAATAAAGGCCACCACTAGAAGTCCTGACAAAAGGGGTGAATAAAATAACGAGCAGAAAAGAATACAGTACATCCATATATCCAGTGTCCCACACAGTGAAGCCCTAATAGACGACAAAGTGTATTGCACACCGCCGCCTTTCCACAGGTACACATATACCTCACTCCTAGTCACTGTCTTCATCGCTCGAAGTATCGTCATCGTCATCGTCCCAATCCGCGCCGGTGGCGCCGTCGAAGACGCCCCCTGGCGGGCGCTCCGTCTCAGGCGAGATGACCGCCTCGAGGTCATCATCCTCGCCCTCGCCGTACTGGGACGCACCTGTATAGAGCTGCTTGTCCAGCTCTGCCTGGAACGCGTTCACATCGATCTCCATCTCCTCCATATCGTCTTCGTTCTCGTCCGCGTCCGCATCAGCATACTCCACCGGCGTTGCTGCCTCCGGAATGATCTCCTCCATGTCGATCTGGCGCACCGGCATCGGCGCGGCGACAGGTGGTGGCGCGGCCGGTTCCGTGACCGGCACCCAATCGTCCTCCTCGTCCGAGTCGGCTGCTGCTGCAGGCGCAGAGGGAAGGGTAACGACTGAGGTTGCGCTAGGGAAGGCAAGTCCGGATGGCTCCTTTGGCAGCGAGGGCATCTGAGACGACGACGACGGCAGCGCGAGATCGAGCACGCTCGTCTCCTTCCCACTGCCCTTGATGGGGGGCGGCGATGCACGCGGCCGTTTCGCGGGCTGGCTGGGCCGGCCCCACTCCAACGTCTCCTCCTCGACGTCAGTTGGGAGTGCCCGTTTGCTGCTATTGGAAGCACCACCCACGATACCCGTCACCTTCGCTTTAGCTGTGGGCGCGTAAACCCCTGACGGGGCTGATGATGCTTGAGATGAGCGAGGCTTCTCCAAGGGCGGCTGCAAGGTGGGTGCCGGCCCCGATCCCGGTAGCGCAAGAGGACTGGGCGATCGCGGCGGGGCTTTAGTCTGCACGTCTGATGCGCGTTGCTTGGGCTCCGTTTTCTGCGCTAGCTTCGATCCACCCTCGCCGCCACTACTCTCTTCTTCTTCCTCCTTACGCACTGCCACTGCCAGTGCCTTCCGCTCCGCTAGGGTTATCCGTCTCCGTTCTGGCACTGACGCAGCCTTATTGCTCGGAGCGGCCGTCGTCGTTGGCGGCCGCGAGGGCGGGCCCTTGCCCTTTGCCTTCGCAGATGCGGTAGGCAAGGTACGGTCGTTCGGCTCGCCTCTTGCATTACGTCGCACACCGGGAAGATCGTCTTGAGACTCTGACCGTGGGACGCGGGATAATGGCGATTGCGGCCGCTGGTGGCTGGGTGTGCTCGCAGAGGCGATGGACGGTGCAGCTAGTGACGTGAAACAAGGTATAAGAAATGAAAAGCATATCGAGCGCACGAGACGTACGTGAAGCCGGCGAGGCCGCAGGGCGTGGTGCATGGAATGTCTTCCTGTCGTACGTGAGGGCGACGTACGAGTCCAGTTTCTCCAACGTAAACGCCTGCGAGCGGACATATCATGAGGCTATCAGATACATCCACACCAACCCCACTCACGTTGATATCCTCGTCGTAAATTAGCACGCAGTCCCACTCGCGTGCGGGGTGCTCCTGGCCAACGAAGACGTGTCCCTCGCCGGTCTATCCCGCACGTCAGCCGCAGATACAACGCATCGAGAAGCGCAAGGCCTACCTGCGTACTCGCGCGCTCTACAGACACAGTCGTGGCCTCGCGGCCTTTCTTCACCTCGATCGAACCGGGCTTTGTCGCGTCGACCGACTCGGGTTTGAAGTTGTCTGCCCGCGCAGATTACCGGCCGCATCAGCCTCGCCCGAGACACACTCGACACAGCCAGGGGACACGCTTGTCTTCACTCACAGCGAAACGAGTAAAAGTCTTTGTGCGGGAGCTTGCCATTCTTGGGAGGTGGTACGCCGCCCTTGCGTGCCTTGAGGGCGCGCTTGAGGGAGGAGCCAATAAGTACGTTATGCTTGCCCTGTACTGGCATCCACGACGTCGAGCTCGACGCCGTGCTAGTCATGATGTGTGTTGTGGGAGGGGTCGACAAAGATAGATGTATTGGAGGAATGAAGGATAAAGTCAAGTTACATCGAGTGCGTCTTGTCGTGATCGGGGGGATGGGGGTAGCGCCTATTGTTACCATTCTGGTGGCCGCGTGCACGTGGCTTGAATTGTCTAGGGATTACCTCTGTCACGGAACAAGAAATCAAAGAATTTAGGCAAGACGGTCGCTACATTTTGCGGTCAAATGGCTGCATTATTATGGCTATGTATAGAACAATACGGGTGGTTAGCTGCAACTGATCTCCTGAGAAAGCTGTCGTACTAAGGCCCCGCGTTACGATCGGCCCTTGGGTCGTATTAAGTAGAGGCACGCCGTCAATGTCATAGAAGGCACCACAAGCGTTGGACCATGCAGGAGGCTTTGAACACGCCCATCCACACGCGTTGGATAGATCTCATGGAGTCAACATCTCCGCGAACATGCGCTCCGTTGCACAGTCATTGACATGGGCGCCATTGAGAAGTGGGCTGGACGCAGCACAACGCGGCACCTGTATGGCCCGTGCCGATGGGGAGATGAAGATCGGATGGGCGTTTCATTCTCCACTTACCGTGTCGTCGGGGAAGGGAGAGACGAGATAAGCCGTGAGATGGCCATGTAATGACGATGTCCAGGGTCATGGGCGCGAATAGCAAACGACCTAGCGGGCAGTCGATGGAGAAACACCGTTTGAACGTCGTTGTGCAAAGCAGCTCGAGGACGACGTTGAGGACTGCTACCACCGCACGCTAGAGGCGCACCGGGACAGGCCCAGGCAAGAGGCCAGGGACGGGGTTAGGAAAGGCCAGAGCGCCAATGGCAGGGATGGAGACGATGACGTCGGACGGCATCCTCCGTCAGCCAACTCGAGCTCTTAGACTCAGCGCCCTCCACCGCCCCTCTCCATTCCCTTCCTCGCCTTTTCCGCATCCTCTTTTCCTCGCACTCGTCCCCTCACACCCTCCAGCGAGATGCCGTCCGGAACAGGCGTCGTCGACGCGTTCAAGAGTCCGTCTTCTATCTTCTTATCGTATTTTCCCAGAATCTTACTTTGGGCACAGATCTCATTCGCCATGGAAAGAACCACCACACTGTGCGCGCTCAGGACGAACCCGCATATCAGGCTGCTTCCCATCAGCCACCATCTGCATCTCATCAACCGAAACAACAGCAGCGCGACGTACCGCACACTGCTGCTCAGCCAACGCAGCAACAACAGCAGACCCCGCACAAGGGCGCTTCCAAATTTAAAGAGCACGCCGAGACCATCGTGCAGGAGGAGCGCGAGGCCAAGGGCAAGATGCCTACTTACAAGGGCCTCGAAAACTACAAGCTCCTGGACAAGATGGGGGAGTGAGTCATTTTGTCTGATGTCCCTATGGCACCATCGTGCTGTGTATTGCACCTCGCGCCTCGGGAACCCACATGAGAACCAGCGCTAGGTGTATTTCCGAGATCTATTGCCACCGGGGTGTCACGGACTTCATGGGTAGCACTGGGGCCTCGGGCTGCACGGCTCAGCGTGGACTTGCTGGCATGCACTACCCTCCATAAGATGCTCTTGCCGTGATGGTGATAATAGGTAGTGAATAGCCAGTATCCACGAGGTCTGGTCTGAGACGGTGGTGTGAACGCATCACATCTCAACCATAACGTTCCGTTCTTGTGTGTACTCGTTTGACCTGGCGCTGACCTCTTTTAAATAGCGGCGCCTTCTCCAATGTCTACAAGGCTATCGACACTAGAACGGGTCAGAAAGTAGCAGGTAATGCCCATCATCTTACAGGTCTATCACGCCAATCCATTCTCACATCACGACCTAGTCAAAGTAGTGCGGAAATATGAACTCAGCGCGTCGCAGGTTAGTGTTTATCCACCCCCTCCCCAAACTCTATTCAACGCCTGTTCCGTCGCCGCTGCCACAGGCCGGTGACAAGCATCTGAACCGCGAATTCAAAAAGAAGCCGCGTGTTACAGAGGTGCTTCCCACTAGGATGCTGTCTTTTCGATGCTGACGCTCTTCTTTTCGGTGTATTAGCGCGCGAACATTCTCAAAGGTATGTCGTCGATGTGGAGGCTATCGTGAAAACCAGTGTTGATGGTGATACTTGACAGAGGTTCAGATCATGCGTGGTGTAAGCCACCCATCAATAGTAAAGCTTTTGGGCTTTTTCGAATCGCAAGAACACTACTTCTTGATCCTCGAGCGTATGTGATATGTGCTGATATCGACGCATTTGGCTGACTTATTTCTAGTCCTTGAGGGCGGGGAGCTCTTCCACCAAATCGTCAAGCTAACGTACTTCAGCGAAAACCTTGCGCGACACGTTATCCTCCAGGTCGCCCAAGGGATTCGATATCTCCACGAAGAGCGTGGTGTCGTGCACCGAGACATCAAGCCGGAGAACCTGCTATTTGAACAGATACCGATCATGTCGAGCCCGAATCCGCCACCAAAGCAGTTCGAGGAAGACAAGGAAGACGAGGGCGAGTTCATCCCGGGCGTTGGTGGCGGCGGAATCGGACGCGTGAAGATTGCCGACTTCGGATTGAGTAAGGTCGTGTGGGACGAGCAGACGATGACACCATGTGGGACTGTCGGGTACACCGCGCCTGAGATCGTGAAGGATGAGCGGTATAGCAAGAGCGTGGATATGTGGGCGCTCGGGTGTGTTCTCTACACACTACTCTGCGGATTCCCGCCGTTCTACGATGAAAGCATCAACGTACTCACGGAGAAAGTAGCGAGAGGTTACTACACGTTCCTCAGCCCATGGTGGGACGCGATTAGCGATTCAGGTCAGCTGGCACCATCAGTCCGTTCAACTTGCTCATGATTCTGACTTCTCATTGCGTCATGTAGCGAAGGATCTGATCACACATTTACTGTGTGTCGACCCTGCGCAGCGATACACCATTGACGAATTCCTCGCACATTCTTGGTGTAATGCAGCCCCCGCTCCTCCACCACCGCCTACACCTTTTGCTCCCCCACTCGACTCTCCCCTACTCGCCGGCGTTCGTGGCCAAGCCGGTGCAGGTGCACGATCACCAGGTATTGCGACGCTAAAGGAAGCGTTCGACATCACGTACGCCGTCCATCGCATGGAAGAGGAAGGCGCCCGGAGACGCGCAGCGAAAGGCGGCGCGAACCGCGGTTTCCTTACAAATCTTAATGAGAGCGATGAGGAAATGGAGGACGCGCGGCTGCCCACCATCCGCGGGCGGCAGCCACCGCAAGGGAACATTGCTGAGGCAGGCCAGGCCGGAATCGGCGCGGGCGCGAAGGCGGCGGCGAAGCGGGCGGTGCAGGATTATGACGGTCGGGCAGGTCCACGCGACCGGGGAGGACGCAAGGGACACCAGCCGTTCGAGTTGGACTTGCATGGCTCAACTCTGCTGGAGCGGCGACACCGACGTGGGGCTCCGGGTGCGGACGTGAGTAGTCCGCTGGCACGCGGGATACAGCAGCCCAAGGACCTGGTGGATGTTCCTGGGAGTCCCATGCGCATCGACTAGGCGTCGCACTGTCTCGCTTTTCCGTGGCTCCCATTAGCGTTCTGCTATGATCGGTGTTCTTATGTTGTGTTCCGCGCCGCGCTGTCTCCGACCTGTTCGCCTGTCCATTGCCTTCCACCGTTATCCACTTTACTGGGCTCTGCCCACCATAATCCACCCACCGCATCTCATCCTGTAGCCCGTGCCCTTGTCCTTTCCGCCGACCCTCGTAGCCTCCCTTCTCCCGAATACCGTGTTTCTTCGGCCAGCAGTACAATAAGCCCCGCTACTTCCAGACGCATATACACGCAACACCATCATCCATCAAACACATGTGTTCCTCGATCCCCCGCACTGTTCTCCGCGGAGCCGCGCTGGTTGGTCCTTCGATACTCATCGCGCCCCCGTGCCCTTCCTGTTCCCTGTTAGCAATTATGGATTTTTGGGCCAACTCACCGTTGTGCCGCCCTCGGCTGCGAATGGTACTTTGTACCCTTCCGGAGTTCTAGTGCGATTGGTCTAGGACTCCCAGTATTCACACTGCACCTTCCCACATGGGGGTGTTCTGCAGACACGGGACATGCTTCGACTTCAACGGTCGGTACCGAACGGCAAAGATGCGCTCAAGGCGGGTCGCGGACGTATACAATAGTAGCATCGAACATCAGGATAATGTATTGTACAGTAAAAGTGCATAGAAGAATGTATAGCAGACTATATGCACTCATTCGCCGCACTCATGAACCCAGTTTCGGTTGTCTAACGCGATCACGTGGCGGGCGCGTCGATCGAGTCAAAGAAATATTGATGGCGACGTCATGGAACCCGCGTCTCCTACTATCTGTCGTTCTCTCGCCAGAAGAGCAGCGGGTAGCTCGGATCTTGGTACACGTCAATAGACTCATGGCTCATTCGCCGCATAAGCGCATACGGAGTCATCGAGGACCTATACATACTAATATATGGACACGGTCGACCGCGCTCTGACCCTTCGTTCGCCATCAGCCTTCCAACATCATGAGGACACTCATTCCAGAACCATCGACAACTGCAAAACGCGGACTGAAGAAAGCGATGGGCTTAGAGCATGATGTTGAAAAATTTATGGATATGACGGTGAGTCATGTCGCATGCCACGAAAGGGAAAGGGAGCTATGTATCTAATAGTGATGCTCTAGAAGTGCCTTCGTGAACTGAGCAGAGAGATGCTCGACGAGTCGCGGTTGCTGAAGGACCAAGATCGCAAGGCTTGGTATGAGTTTAAGTTGCAGGTATATGCCGGTCTCCCTGTACAAAGTGCTGCGCTGGCTTGGCATGAATTGTCGAATCTCATCATTCGACTTCAATTGCCAGGCAAAGAAGACGTGCCCGCTGCTGATGAAATATGAACACGCGTGGCCTTTGGGAGCATACATGCATAGATACCTCTATGATCTGAACATGCGACGTAATAACGAGCGAGTCTTCGGCACCAGTGTCGCAGTCAGAGGCGGAGCATCGGATGGCGATGAAGATGAACCCAGCGATGAAGGAATCCTAGATGTAAGGTTACTCACGCTTTCATCGACCTCTTCTGATGTGTACAAATTCAGGAGGATGCTAGGCCCGAGACTCGTACAATAACAAGTACAAGGCTAATTCCTCCGCCGACTAGGAGTGAGGTGCCCTTCGTGACATATCTGCGGAACCTTAGGCCCCCGCTGGATCAAGTGTCTGTCAGCTTCATTGCTGGGGGAGTAACAGACGAAACGTCGTTCCGCAATCTTTCGAATCTTCACGAGGGAGAGCTCAATGCATTTTTGAGAGAGGATCTCGGACTCACCGCCTACCAGGTTCGTCAGGTCAGGACCGCCATCAGGGCATTTAACGGTGGTCAATTGGCGTATTGCGAAAGGAATGCTGCTGGTGTGTTACACTGACACCTATGAGTTGCTCTGTCCGAGGTCGTCGTATTGTTTCACGGCTCGATGCAACGTGTATTTCTATTTCAAATGACCTACGTTCCTTTCTTGGCCAATACTCGCTCGCTGCAACGTAACATGTATTTCTCTCGGGCCCTTGGAAAAGTATATTTTGCTTTACATAATATTCCGATACGTTGAATACATCTCGCTTCGTGACTGTAATGCTGAACGGCGATCGTCATTGCGGATTTCATACATACAGGTTGATGCGTATTGCAGCATCACTAAGCAAGTATCGCCATCACCAAAGCTCGTATCGGTACCCCCCCTTCCGCCAGCGGGGTTCAAGTTTTCGAACGCCCGAACTCCCCGTCCCATCGAATAAAGATAAAGTGAGTCATTTCTAAATTGCATTAACAAAACGAATTGATGGGAGACATTCGCCGCTCGTGCTTCTAGCGGTTGTGCAGGGACACGGACATTTGAATGGAGAAGTCGAGCCACGGCAGGTATACACAGGTCTGTTCTTCGAAGAACACCTTATGGAAAATGCCAGAGTATTCCTACTTCTCCCTTGCACCTCTTACATATCAACGCAACGGCCATGAGGCGCGGCGAACTTGTTCCCCCCGTCCTGTGTAACATGAGGCCACTAATTCCGGAGCCGTCGGCGGGCAAAAAACGCTGCATGCCAAGAGCCACGCGTTTGAGTAACAACATGGTTCGGTACAACCACATGACAGTAAGTCCGTCTGCAATAGCGAAGTCATCGCCGCGGAGCTCAACGCCGGACCAGAGGCACTTGCGCGACTTAGGTAAAGAGATGCTTGACCAAACGCGCCAGGTTTCGGAACAGGATCCGGAGGCATGGAAAGCATTCAGGGAAACGGTGAAGCGTCATATGCTACTGTGCTTGTGCGGCCCGAAGGCACTGCTGACTGCGATTCAAATTTCTGGTTTCACAGGCCATAGAGACATACCCTTTATTGTTGAGATACGAAAATGAATGGCCGGTGCATGCCTACATGAAGAATTACCTCTATTTCAAGAACTACAACCGCAAGTACAGGGCACGGCAGAAGTCTGCTTCCAGCGGAGCATATACAACTAAACGATCGAGCAGGGAGTCTAAGCGATGTGTCGCAAAGAACACGCAGGTGTGTTCTTCCATGCAGCTGCAGATGTGATTTGCCGATGCTCCGTTGACAGAATCTGGTGGTTGAGCCTAATGGTACAATGTTAGCATCAAACGAAGCCCGTGAGGTACGAACCCTCCGAGAGGTATTGCGGTGTATCGACTGACAATTATCACAGGACTCCGAAACCGGGTTCACCGCTTTTGGCTCGGACCAAGACGTGATACCATTGCCATATTTTACGTATCCGGTTTCGTCGACTTCCGGGACAGTCTACGCCACTGCACAGAGTAACCCCGAACTCTTCACAGCGTACCTCCGCGGCTGCAAGCCCAACCTAGAGGATTTAGCTCCCAAGCTTTTGGCTGCAGGAGTCTATAATGAGACTCGTTTCCGCTACATCTCTACGTGGCCCGAAACAGAAATAGTCGCTTTTCTCAAGGCCGATGTAGGTCTGGATCCTTACCAGACTCGCCAAGTGAAGATTGTTCTAAAGCAGCAGGGTTAGAAGAGTAGCTATGCGGAATTCAATGAGTTTTCACAGTACGTCATAGTTATGCGATATAGCATGGTGATCTATATCGAATACCGGAGTGCCGTTTCTTGAAAGTGATATTCTCGATATCAAGTATCCACGACTTTGGCTTTCTAGAGTTTATCGACGTTTCGGTGACGTTTAGATTAGGCCGCTCGGACGTGATCTGTCATTGCCTAGTCTGGGTCGGGCCTAGGCTCCTTCCCGCCGCTGTGGGGGGCTCAATCCGACGAACTTGAGGCAAGTCCAGTCAATGCAAGGCCTCCCGCCACACTTGCGCCACAATCCGGCTACATCCGGGCTAAGATCAAACTTTCGATCTATTCACTCACATTTATATTGACCTCATACCCCCATAATTGGGGACTAACAAGATTCAAAGGTACGCTACACGATACTCACCTGAGCTGTGGCAATACTTCCATTTTTAACTTACACCACATAACCATTATTCAGTTGGAGTCCCCTCTAGCTAATATGGGAAGGAGCCTGAGCCAGGCCCTGAATATTTCACAACTCATGTAAGAACACACCCCCTCAGATAATCGACCTCAGGTGTAACTGATTGTTGCGGGTCGATTCGGAGACAAACGTCTGACGGCAACCGTGACTTCGCAAACTCAGAATGTAGCGTTTCCGGGTACCGGAAATTAAGACAGTGCTTCGACAACTTGTCAGCGCGGTAATATATATCAAGCTGCAAGCCGACTCTAGTCCAAGTCCACCAGTCTCTTCATCCACTGTGCAGACTGAATTTACCACTCTCTTCAAGTTGATGCCCATCAGTGCAGAGCAGTTTCTATCAAGGCGATGCGCCCGCCAATTCCAGAGCCAGGGTCCCGCGAAAAAGAGGCGTTGCAGAAAGCAATGAAGCTGCGGAAAAACACGGCCCGTTTCCGCCATTTTACGGTGAGCAACAAGTCGTCATACTAATTAGGCATCATGCTGATTGACTCGTAAACATCCAGGCTCAGATGCGATGCATCTCTCGAAAAATATTTGACGAGTCTGTCCCATACCAAGGCCAGGACCCTCGGAAAACCCAACACTTTATGGAAGTTGTACGTCGTCTTCGTCTTTGTACGAGTATCTCCGGCGTCCGATGACATGCTCTTTCTGCTTAATACCACTTGTGGCAATTAGGCACAAGCCCAGTATCCGTTTTTACAAGCATATGAGGGCGCCTGGCCCGCGCGATGCTACCTCAAAGCACGCTTGAAACAAATATCGCATATCAGTAGGACTTGGGTATACGAAACACGGCGACTAAACTTGTCAACCCCTCAAGCGTTCGAGGTTCATGAAGACCCATTGGATGAAGACATCCCCGTAGTAAGAGTATATGTCTCCTAAGGCCTCTGGCAAGTACAATAATACCGTTTATGCAGGACGCAGAAGGCACTCAGATTCCCAGCACTTTTACGCCTCAAGTCACCCCGTGTCGCCTTTCAAGTCACACACAGAGCATAGTGAGTATTGAGGTGGTTCAGTCAACAAAACTTCATTCGAATGTGACGCCGACCGCAAAGGAAAGCTCGCCTACACCCAATTTATCGATGCGCCAGAGCACCCCTTTGCCGACCGCGGACAATTGCACGATCATGGGTGGGATGACTGAAACCAAACATCTGGTCTTCGTTGAATTTATGCAAGCTCGCGTCCCAAGACTAGACCATCTAGTGCCCAAATTCATCGCGGCTGGGATTCATAATGAGAACAACTTCCGTTTTCTCGCAGAATGGCCTGAAGGAGAAATTGATCACCTCCTCATGAAGGATATGGACTTAAATACGTTTCAAGCGCGCCAGGTTAGAATCGCACTGACCACTAGACCCAAGACCTTATGAAAGAAGAGCTCACAACGATAGTACAAGAATCATTCCACATCGTTGTTAAGGCGGTGGCGAACACCGAATACCAAATCTCATGTTGTGACATACGGGCTCTACTCTTGCTTAGATATTTGGACTGCGTGGAGCGTAGGTAGCCGGGTCAACATACGTAAGATCACTGTATCACACGGGACACTCTTGGCGGATAAGCAGGGCTATTGTTCTACATAGAAAGCTCTCACCGGCCGAGCGGAGAGTCATGCTCAAACGCGACTGATCGGAATGTTGCTTTACTTTAGCGTGATACACCCTGAATAGAAGATGACTCACATCTTTGTCAACATCTCGAAGCCCAAATCAGGATTCTGGGATAGAACCGAAGCAGGTTACAGTCTGTTATAAGGTAATGGTGGCATACAGCAGACGAAGAGTTTGGTGATAAGAGCTCTCGCCCGTCTGTACTCCACTTTTCGTTCTCGCAATTTCGTGAGATCTATTGTGATTGCGATGCCGAGGCAAGTTGGTCGGGGGCTACGAAACGCGATGCGCCTCAACGACAATTGGGCATTATTCCGAAGCTTTACCGTAAGTGCTCACCATTACTGCAGCGATATTCCCGACTAATCTATTTGACAGGCCCACCTTCGAAAGCTGAGCAGTAGATTCTTGAATGAAAGTACAACTTTCCGGTACCAAACTTCCGAAGCTATTGCCGCTCTCGTGGCCAAGGTTCGCAAATCCGTCTCTGTTGTGACGGCCGACAGTGAACACTTTGAATCCAGATCGCGGAGACATTTCCATTTCTGCAGAGCTATCAAGACGCATGGCCTGTGAAGGAGTATCTCAAGGGTTATCTGCGCATGTCAAGGTTCAAGCTGTGGCAAACTAAGCAGGCCACGAGGATGGGCGACAAAGCTAAAGAGAATGTGGCGTCAGTCATATACGCCAATATAAGCCATAGCCACAGCTTGACGGCGATCACGGCAGCATTCAAGGCCAATGTAACAACTATCAGACATTCGGACCACTTCGAACAACCCAAAGTGAGTAGCCTCAGGAATGAATCACTAGACGTACATTCTCGCTAATAACGCATGGACTACGCAAGTGCCTGGATACCAATGAACGGGCAAGACTCATTGATGAAATGCCATTATCACCAACGAAACACTATATCAATGAAGAGATAGTGTCAATTGTGACAGCATCTGGGGGCATGGTGTCTTCGTTTACCACATTCCTACGACAGACCACTCCAAACCTAGAGCACCTGCAGCCAAGATTCGCCCAAGCAGGCGTTAACGATGAGACATCGTTCCGAGGTCTATCGACTTGGCCTCTCCCGGAGATGGATGCATTTCTGAAAGATGACATGGGCCTCAGCCTCTTCGAGTATCAAGAGGTCATAAATGCATTGTTGTTCGACTACAGAAAGGACGCCGTTGTCTAGCTTTGAGATAGTCCAGAGCCTCAGTAGATAAATTTCCCACTTGCTGCGCTCTGTTGTGCAATATACGTCTCAAATGGTGATTTGGCTTATCCCTCGGGAAGAGTTATCGCATTGCGGCTGTCTGCTAGGCTTCTAGCTCGAAGGCCACAACTTTGCTGAAGAAGCGCTGACAGGAGGAATACCCACCTTGACAGCAGGGGCACATGTGCATTGACTTAACGGAGCCCACGAGCTGAAAGACCCGATTAGAACCAGCACTGCCGCAGGATCGTCTTTGCTAGCGATACCAGGATAACCCTCGAAGATATATAGCAAAGTCCTCCACGAGAAGCGCTGTCGAGACGAGTAAAGAGGAGACTGGACCGAATGCGATGATGATAACGGACAACGAGACGCGTCAAGCGCGTGCAAGGAACCGTGCGCCAAATCCGGCGTTGCTGCCGCGCCTGCTTCACCTTCATCCTCAAGGGTTGCCTGCGGCCCTACCAAGCTCCTGTTCCTTGTGTATTCTCCTCTCCTTCAGGCGGTCATACGCGTGGAACGATAACTTGAGCCCATGGCTGAGCATGGCGATGGCAACATCAAGGTCGTTGTGCGATGTCGGCCTCTCAACTCCCGAGGTTCGTGTTTGCTCACTTCCGGCTGTAACTCTAACACTCATTTCATACTTGCTTAATCCCTATCACATAACATGCATTTTGCAATAAACAGAAATCGCCCGTGGCGCGAAATGCCTCGTACGCATGGAAGGCAACCAGACAATTCTCGACCCTCCCGAGGCAGGGTCCGCTGGTGCTGGCCGCGCGACTGAGAGGAAGCCGATGAATTTCGCGTTTGATAAGAGCTATTGGTCCGCGGGCCCAAGGGATGAGCCGAACTACTGTTCACAGCAGACCCTGTACGATGATCTGGGAAAGGAGCTGTTAGATCATGGGTTCGCAGGATTTAATGCGTGTATCTTGGCCTGTACGTTCTTACACTGCTCCGCTAAGTACACGTCCTGACTCTTTGAGAAGATGGACAGACAGGTGTGCAGCTTTCCTCGGTGAGCTCTTGGTCGCGGTTTTGACTACTCCCGCAATGTATAGGTTCTGGAAAGTCATACAGGTGAGATACCCAACTGCCTGCTTGGGCCACAGTCACTAAAGTTTTCAATTCTGTCGTCCAGCATGATGGGATGTAAGTGCTGGAGTCTGTCGGTGGAGTGAATGCTTATTCCAGTCCCCTATTGCAGACGGTGCGGACAAGGGAATCATCCCACTTACCTGTTCAGAACTGTTTACCCGAGTTGAGGATAAGAAGGCGGCAGACCCAAATGTCAGCTTCACCGTCGAGGTCTCGTACATTGAGGTTAGTCCGCTCGCATATGCTCGAGCCGTGCTAAAATTCTGTGCAGATCTACAACGAGAAAGTTCGTGATCTTCTGAACCCAAAGAACACAGGGAATCTGCGCGTCCGCGAGCACCCTAGTTTGGGTCCTTACGTTGAAGATCTGTCCAAATTGGTGGTCAGTAGCTATGACGAGATGATGCAGTTGATGGACGAGGGAAACAAGGCACGAACCGTTGCTGCTACAAACATGAACGAAACGTCAGTACCCTTTCACGATTGGTTGGACTCTTTTTGTGACAAGTATGCACTAGTTCGTCCCGTTCGCATGCTGTATTCACCCTCATCCTGACTATGAAGCGACATGACGTTGACACCAACCTCGATACCGAGAAGGTTTCTCGTATCAGGTGAGCAAGCATGCATAATGGACTCGCAGTCGTCTCATAAGCGCAGCTTGGTCGATTTGGCTGGATCCGAGCGTGCAAACTCTACCGGAGCAACAGGACAGCGACTCAAGGAAGGTGCTAATATCAATAAGTCGCTGACGACGCTCGGAAAGGTTATTGCATCTCTCGCTGCGGCGAGTCAAAATGAAGGTAAGAAGGGAAAGAAGGGAAAAATGGACGAGTTCGTGCCGTACCGAGATTCTGTATGCGTAAACGAGATTATCCAATAAGGCAGCGATACTGACAAACTTCTTTTCATAGGTCTTGACCTGGCTACTGAAGGACAGCTTGGGCGGTAACTCGAAGACGGCCATGATCGCGGCTATCTCTCCGGCCGATGTCCAGTACGAGGAAACACTCAGTACATTGCGGTATGCCGACCAGGCCAAAAAGATCAAGAACAAGGCCGTGGTGAACGAAGATCCCAACGCCAAACTTGTACGTGAGCTCAAGGAGGAGCTGGAGATGCTTCGAGGTCAGAAAGCATCTTGATATAGAGCGCATATGACGACTCATAGGGGTCCTTTTCAGCTCGTGTCTCCGGTTCTTCGAGTGAAGCCGTCTATGATCCCAAGATTCCTGCCTCCCAGCAGAAAGTCACTTACCAAGCCAAGGATGGTACGATCAAGACTGTCACCAAGGCAGCATTGCAGGAGCAGCTGGAAACGAGTGAGAAGTTGATGCAGGGTCTGAACGAGACATGGGAGGAGAAGATGCAGCGGACACAGGAGGTTCAGAAAGAGCGGGAGAAGGCGCTTGAGGAACTAGGAATCTCGATTGACAAGAATAATGTTGGCGTGCATACCCCAAAGAAGGTACGTTCAAAAGCAGTCTAACAGTGATACATACAGCTGATTATCTATGCGCGCTGTAGATGCCTCATTTAGTCAATCTGGTGCGTAGTAACATGCTACCTGAGGGGTGGAGTTCTAACTGACGGTGCCCCTTGACACATAGAACGAAGGTACGTATTATCATTCTTGTCGCAGAATCTCATTGACAGATCGTGCCAAATGATCAGATCCGCTCATGAGCGAATGCTTGATTTATCAACTGAAGTCAGGACGGACAACGGTTTGTCGACGTTTTACACGCTCGAATGACTCTCTGACCGTGAATCGCCCAGGTTGGTCGGCTTGACAGCGAGAAGCCCGCCGCGATCCGGCTTAGCGGTGAAAGCATTGCTGAAGAGCATTGCTACTTCGAGCACAGCGATGGAAAGGTGACATTGCATGCCATGCCAGATGCCGTGACAGTATGTCTTCTCGATTGACACATCAGGCGGCTTTGATTAACATTTTCCATAGTTCCTCAACGGTCGACAAATAACCGCTGGACAGGTAGGTGTCTGCATGGCGCAAGCAGACCTAGTAGCACGCTGACAATCCCGAAACAGACTTACAAGCTGCGGACAGGCTTCCGTATTATCATGGGTATGTTGTCCTTGTACGTACTAAACAATCCTGCTAATTTCCTTCATCCAACTCCAGGCGAGCACCACGTCTTCCGTTTCAATAATCCTGAAGAGGTTCGCAAACAACGCGATCGCTTGGCGAAATCAAGTATGCATATGAGTATCACTGCTACTGACTTACAACACGGTGGTACCCCGGGTGAAGGACATACACGTCCAGAGTCGCCCGCTTCGTCTGTCGAATTGAATGATGTGGACTGGACCTTTGCCAAGCGCGAGGCTGCGTTTGCAAGATTAGGGCTGGACCCTACGCTCGACAACCTGCCTGACGAGGACTTGAACAAGCTCTTCGAGAAGATTACCAAGGTCAAGACAATGCGGGACCATAACTCTAAGCCGCGCCCGGAAAGTAGTCTCAGCCAGGCCGATGATATTTGGAGCGAGACGGGTCGTCCGGCCGCAAGCGATGCATTTACGGACGACACCAGCGTGGACGCAATGGCCAGTCATGACAGTCCGGACGTGGGCGGGTCGCTGAAGGAGGCCCAGAACCAACTCGAGACACAGCGCATAGAGTTCGAGTCGCGCCTGCAGGCAATCGCTGAGTCTTCGGAGGCCGAGGACCTCAAGATAGAGAAGGAGCAAATGGAACATCAGCTGAAGTTGGTTCAGAACCATATGAAGCGGCTGCTGGACGCAAGAGCACGAGGGGAGATAGACGCAGAGCTGGAAGCGTTCGAACCAATCATATACACAGCCAGGCAGCTCAGGCTCATTCGGAAGACCCTGGACAAATGGAGAGCACACCGTTCGTTCTCAATGGCTGAGGTTGTGTTATCCACTGCTGTCTTTGTGAAGGAGGCGAATATCATCAGGTGTGTGAAGTCCGCCATTGCACAACGCCGAGATTGATTGGATTCCCCTTCCAGCAAGGAGCTCAACAAAGATGTGTCATACAACTTCACTGTTGCGTCTGGCGGCTCACTAGCGGCGCCTGTATCAGCCATTGATTCGATTGCTGGTTTGGATCTGTTTGGCGATGTGGTAGACCCTGTGTTAGCTTCGGCTACCCAGCCTTCAGTCGCGGTGAAGGTGTTGGACAAACGCAACAAAGCAATCTATGCCTGGTCTTTAGATCGATTGCAGCAGCAGTTGCAGCGCATGCGCAACCTAACTACCTTCATCGATCGCCCCTCTTACTCTCAACACTTCTCTTCTGAAGAGCCGTTTTACGATTCACCGCCGCCGGAATACTCATTCATTGGCAACGCCCTTCTCTCTTTGGCGCCACTGTCTCGCCGACTATCGTCTACATCTGTTGTGCCAATCTTTTGCCGCTACACAGCCGAAGCGATCGGTTCATGTCGTATAGACGTAAAGATTTCCAACGTAGTTCTCTCCTCAAAGCACGCTAACGCATCGGCATCGTCGACTCGGCCACCATCCCCAGTTCCCGGAACGGTGCCACCGGGAAGCAAGATCAGTTTCATACTGACCGTAGACTCAGTGAAGGGGCTATCGCATCACGATTTCTCGTCCGCGCACATACAAGTTCGGCTGTCATCTTTCATGGGGCCTTTCATATCGTCTGAAGAGGTGTACCCTTCCTCGGCAATCGATATGGACACTGCATCCCTTTCAGACCTCAAGTTCCGCCGTAGCTTCTCCATCGTCGCGTCATCCAGAGTTCTCACGTACCTTCGGCAGGGATATGCACCAATCGAGTTCTTCGCTCGCTTGAATGCCACATACCTGGAGCGTATGGAGCGGTGGGACGAACTCCGAGAGCAGCGGCTACCCCCATCAACTCATTCGCCATCGCCCGACAGCAATTCTGCTAATCTACCGCTGATGAGGCGGTCCGAGACCGACTTCGTCGTGGAACAGACTCACGATGTTGTGGCTTGGCTGCAGATTAGCGAACTGGCACCAGATGGGATATACACTCCCGTGCCTGTAATCTCCCAAGGTAACCTCGACCCGGGCGCGTTCCTCCTGCATCAGGGCTTGCAGCGTCGGATTGTCTTGTCTCTGTTTTCAAACTCGGGACGTCAATTACCGTGGACGGAAGTTACACGAATACGTATTGGTAACATCCGACTACTCGATGCGAAGGGACGCTTGCACGACGCAAGCTCCAAGGCGCTTGTGACATTACCTCTATTGCAACAGCAGGCTGTTGACTTCAAAATGGATGGTACTGGCACTCTCTCCGCAGAAGCCCTATGGGACACAAGTGTGCACAATTCTATCCTGCTGAACCGTGTCACAGGCTCCAATCAGCGCATTATGCTACAAATCAGCTGGTCGGTGAACGTAGACGTCTGCGCTGAGCCTGTGCAGTTCACGATGGATACAGCCATGTCCATACAGTCACGCGATGCGCGACCTCCCTCTCGCTTCATGTCCCTTCTCGGTGCAACCAAGATCATACCGAAGACTAGCACGGTGTTTACGGTCCGCCTTACGCCACCACTAACGCGTTCGCCGAAGGATCTCTGGCGCCTTGACACTGCAGAGAAGTATGTGCGTGGTGAGGAAACATTGGGTGTTTGGAAGCCACGCGGTGTCTCTGTTGTGGAAGATTACAACAAGCTGATCTCGATGGAGCGAAGGGCGGCCGATGTACAGGCTGTTAGGGTCATTCTCGCCACATCCCCCACTAGCCGCATCATGCAGTCAGATGCAGTAGTATGGGCGTCTGAGGGCCTGATGCGCAAGGCGTTGAATCTCTGGCAAAAGAAGTTCGGACATCCAGGCGAGGTATGTGAGGTCAACCTAAGTCATGCATTTAACGTTCAACACTACGCAGATTGTAATAAGCCAAGATCCGGTCGATCCGGATGAGTCTAGCGTGATGTCTGGCAAGACATCTGGTACGCAGTCGACCGAATCCATTAAGCTTATGTCCTCTACAAAGGTTGTTCCGCGCAAGTGAGTTCGGGACTGTCCTCGCTCACCTCTCTCCTCATTGTTATCATCTACATTAGTGACGGGCCAACAAAGAAGGGGCATATGATGATCATGGTAGACGCAAATGAGAATCTCTGGGAGAAGCGGTGGTTCGTGCTCAGAAGGTAAGGAACACACTGGCCACACGTTACTAACAGCGCTGAACGTATGTTATACAGACCATATCTGCACGTCTATGCTCATTCAAACGAGGTCGAGGAGACCGCCATCATCAATCTCAGTGGCGTGAATATTGAGCGCAATCCCGAGATGGAAGTTCTGCTAGGGGTCAGTCGCATGTATATCTACCCTTTACCTCCCTGACATATTACGCACACACAGAAAAAATTCACCTTCACCCTCTTTACTGCTTCTAACTCCTATGCACTCGCTGCGCCCAGTTTGAAGGAGCTGCAAGCATGGACTTCTAAATTAGACCCAACGCGGGTCCCTTCATGACACTCACGACCATTTCTGCTATCTAATTCTGTGTCGTTATCTGCCGCTCCTTTGTTATGCTCCATCGCTTGGTCTCGGATTGGCTTATGTTCTCGCGCATCTATACCATACACATTCAGGACCCCGTTACATTTACTTGTACATCTGATATCCCTATTACAGCATACCATCGTCCCATATGTGTATTTCCTCGTAGTAAGATTCCACGTTTCTTGCTGTTGCCGTACGTGTCAGGTGTTGTTGATCCGAAGAAATAAATGACAGCACGTTCTAGAGTATCCTAGAACTTGTGTCTCGCAAATTTGGACAGGGAATATCTCACCAAGCGGTACAATCATCTCAATCATCTCATGCGGTTGGGAATACGGTTATGGCGCATTCACTATACAACCAATAAGCATATCAGTGAAGTATAAACAGCATGTAGCGACTGCATAACAACATATAAGAGTAAAGGATCGTTATGAAAAATGAACAGCCGGGGATGAGCCCATGACTTCGGAGTCCATCGGAACGTCATGAAAATTGTTCGTCTAACTTTGGCTGTTTAGCAGGAGGCGTATCAGAATTAGACCTGACCAAAGAAGCCTCCTCCCGACGCCGCTTCGACCAGCTGATTGCTGGAGTGTTTGAATTCGCTTTCATCGAACCGTTGATTGGGGGTGTCATGCAGTGTTCCCTATCCTCCTCCGCAGGGGCGACGACCTGGTCCTGGGGTCTATTTATGTGCTTATATTCACGTGTAAGACTGTCGATAACTAGGACAAACAGGTCAGGATACGATGAATAAAGCCCTGAAATGCTATCACACTTGCCTCCTTGGTTCCGGCGATAGAATTCGGCCCACGCCCTCTTAGACCGATGAGGATACTGCAATTACTTGGTCAGCTCCACAACCTTCAGTCATAATCTTGACTACACTTACCTTCGCCTCGAATGACATCCACGAAGAGGCTCGAGATGCATTGCCCCATGTTGCATCGCGAGCAATGAATTCAGCCATCGATCGCATGTCAGTAGAAACATGGTTTAGCATCCGACGTGCAGGACCATGCGCGTCGTTGAAGTACGCCTCCTGGGCGTCGGACTCGATTGACGATTGGGAGGCGGCTTCGCACTCATCTATATCATCTTCTGAAGGGTATATTAGCTCATATCCGTCGTTGAATACCTGACGTTCTCTATCAGAGCGCTCCTCTTCACGAGTGACGACATTAGCTTGAACGATCAACTCGTCGACGGTTTTCCGACATGTGTTGCAAACAATCCGTCTCCAAGCACTCAATGTACGACCAGGGAGCTATGATAGCAAGGGATGAGCACGTATTAATCATATATTGGAGACAGGACCGTTACCTTCTCCGCTAACCGGGCAGCCATCCGTTGATAGCTTGTCCCGGGATCCTGTCTTAGCTGCCACTGTATCGATCTGACCAAGAAGTTCCTTTCCTCATGTGTAGTCTTGCGACCAGGATACATATCGACAGCCGGAGGGGGCGTAGGTGAACGTGACGGAGGTGACGGGAGATGCACGACAGCGCGCTTCCGAGAGCGACTGCTAGGAGTCACCCGTTTTCGCGAAGTGACAGCCTGTGCTTCGTGTTGCCTTTCCAAAGATCCGGTGGAATTTGGCATTGCTGCATTTTCTCGACGTGCGGATATGACTGTTGGTATTCGTCCATCTTGATCTCGCGTATACCCCAATCCAGACGACCTCTGCGACACAGGATGTGTTAAGTCGTCATACTGGGTGTGCCGCGGCATAGGAACATAAGACCTGTGCACACTGCTAGAGGGGCCTTGAGACTTCCGCTTTATAATGAGTGCGTCCAGGTGCGCTTGGTATTCAAGATAATAGTCCTTCCATGAGCCGGCAGTATGATTGTTGACCTAACAAGACTTTAGTATCAATGCTTTCCCTCAAAGATTAGAGCTACTTGTGCATACACCGTGCAGACCCTCGAGAGCTTGACGTGTGGTAAGACCTTTGCTTCTCCCTGACGTGATGGCATCTATGCAGATTCTCTCATCGTCTTCCAATGTACCTGCGAAAGTGTCCAGCTTTGTTGCATTGGGCGCGTTATGCGCGCTTGGAACCTGCCCACAAAGCATCACCAGCTGCTGCAGGAGAGACTCCATAGTATTATTGAGGTGCAAGCCTCCGGGCGCAGAAGAGGGGTGATCCAAATGTCGCTGAAACGTCGAAGTCTGCTCTAGAAGTTGCAAGACAAATCGTGACGTGGAGTTGCTCTGTTGGGGAAGAGCGGGAAGATTATTCAACTGAGAAGAAGCAGCCAACGCTGTAGCGAGAGCGGACAAGGGATGGGAATGGATGCCTTCTCCCATATTGACCGATGATCCAGACGTGTTTGTTGCATGCGATTGAGCGTTCATACAGATGCACGTTCGCGTTGTGCAGCCAGAAGATGCTATCCAGATATTGTAAGACACGTTGTGAAACACTGTACGCAAAGTTCACTCACCCCGTCTGGGAAAGCTACTAATAGTTGAATCACTTACCCTGAAAGTCGGCCGCAGGCTACGCGACGTTGTTGAAAAGCCAGGAACACGAGAAGTGAATAAACCTCAGAAGTACCTGGTACGGCAAACGGCCTTATAGAGAACTGGAAACTGAGTGGTGCACTCGGACTAGTTTTCCCCAGGCAGGCTGCAAATAGAGCTCCCTTTTCTGAGTGAGGGAGGACAGTCGCTCTACATTCGGACTCGCTCAGGTCGCGCGGGTTCATATAGGCACGTGAGCGCGTCTAATTCCAGACTGCAATTTGCCGCCGGAATTCCTGCCGAAAGTACTCTCAGTATTCAAAACGTATTGCTGCAAAGTAGCCTCACGCTCGCTCTTTCACTATAATGGTCCGCCAATTCAAGCATCACGAGCAGAAACTCCTCAAGAAGGTCGACTTTCTGAATGTACGTACTCTTCTGTCGGATCCCCGATTCGCTCTCATACTGCGCCCGCGAGTAGTGGAAGCAGGATGCGGACCTACGGGAGATCAAGGTAATGCGCAGGTATCACATCCAGGACCGAGAGGACTATCATAAGTGCGTACTGTTATATTGAAATATTTGGAATCAGCAATGTGGACCCGAATGTGACCCTCCGTTACAGATACAACAAACTTTGCGGTTCCGTCCGCTCTTACGCGCACCGCCTGTCCATTCTCCCCGCACAGGACCCCTTCCGCACACGGATGGAGGGACAGATCCTGTCAAAACTTTACGACATGGGGGTTCTTAACTCGACGGCGAAGCTCAGCGACGTCGAGAACAAGCTCACAGTTGCGGCATTCTGCCGCCGCCGGCTCGCCGTCATAATGTGCATGTCGAAGATGGCGGAGACAGTCAGCGCGGTATGTTCTAGCACTGCGTGTGTGGACGGGGCACGTCTGACTTATTCCCGCTCGTCGGATGCAGGCGGTCAAGTTCATCGAGCAGGGCCACGTCCGAGTTGGACCTGACACGATCACGGACCCCGCGTATCTTGTCACGCGGTGAGTGTACACTGCCTTTTTCTCCTACGCTGCTCTGCATGCTCATTATCTCGCCACAGGCATACGGAAGACTTCGTGACGTGGGTAGACCAGTCTAAGCTGAAGAGGACAATCATGAGATACAACGATGAGGTATGGGTTGCGTTGGCTCCTTCTTGACCCCAGCTGACGTTGTCCGATACCTCAGCTCGACGACTACGATCTTCTTTAGCATGAAAGCGAATGAAGGGATGAACGGAACATAGTTTCCCATCTGCTCTTGCACATACGCCGCCCACAAGCATCGGCGCATCATGCTCAGACAGTGCATGCAGCGCTGCGACTTCAGCATCCCCGGCACTATGCTGCGATGCACCGAATACCAATGTCTTAGGCACGAGCGTCGAAGCGACTCGTTCTCCTACCCAGACAGCAGTGTCCCGTCGCGGACAGGCCCAGTCTCATTGATTAAGACGTACAACCACTTACACACATTGGGGATGTACATTGTGTAAACCATTTAGATCTATGTTTGTTGCAGGAATCTTGTGAACCTGCGGACTGAGAGCCCTCGCCCTGCGTAAGTAACACTCTAAGCAGAATGTCTTCCATAGCTTAGCCTGAGTGCGTGAACACTTCTTACAGTCTCCACACAAGCTCACCATCCAAACAGCAATCTGAAAACCTTGCGTGAGAAGGTATTTGAGATTAAACTCGCTCTGCACGCTTATAAACAGCCCTCTGCACACATCACTAGCGGATAATGCCCTGACCGTATTGCCTACATATAGCCTGAGACAATCAACCTCACAGTTCAGTTGTCGCCACAAGCTTCAAGAACACCGAATAACGCCCCTGAACGCGAATTATCTCCAACAAGGAATGATGCATGATTGTTTACGAATTCAATACGGTTACGTACAATATGAACTGATTTGCATATGATGCATACTTACGGATGCATGAAGAGTGCTCGGAAACGAGGCAGAGTGCCAAGGCCAGTTATGCTGGAAGCAAGGCGACTGGAATTACCAGCCACCCCCGCCGAATCCATCATCGAATCGGTCGTCCATAGCACCGTCTTGAAAGCCTGGATACACCAAATATAAGCGGTATTTAGCAATCAAGGGCAGCACAACCAACCTTGGTCGAAGGCTTCCTCGCGCTCGTGGTCCTCGTGGTCCTCGATGAGGTCCCCAATCAGCAGACCTCCCACCAGTGCCGCGCCACCTAATCAGCAGCGAGTGCATGTCAAGATTAGTGCTGATCGCAGTATAGCGTCACGCACCCGCAGCAACAGCTGTGCCAACGCCAAACTTATGCTTCTTCGGTGGCGCCGCCTGGACGACCTCTACAGGAGCCTGCTGCATGGAAGGACCTCCACCAAAGAAGCCTAGAGTTCACGGTTGAGCATGCGCGAACAATGGCGCCGGGTAGGATGTAACGCACCTCTCGACTCGTCGGGCGGCATGCCGCCATATCCGTTGTCGGGGCGGTACGATGGGCCAGGCCTGTAGCCGTCGTCGTAGCCGCCACGCGACGGAGGGCCGTAGCCTCGCGGGGGCTGGTCGTATCCCTGCGGGGGTTGGTCGTAGCCCCGCGGAGGTTGGTCGTAGCCACCATACCCGCCAGAAGATGGGCCTTGCGGCGAGTATGGTCTTGGGCTATATCCTCGGTTGCCATCAGGCGGGGGAGGGCCTAGGGGAGGCCCGTAGCCACTAGGGCGAGGGGCCGGAGGTGCTGTGGGGTGAACCCACGACGGACGCGGAGGGTCTTCGCGAGTGTTCACGTAGAACCTGTGCGATCGCACGCTATCAGTCCTCGCCACATCTCGCCACTAACCTGAATAAACATACCATGTCTTGTAGCTAGAAGGTAGAGAAATCAGTTACAACTGCACGATAACAGGGCGGGGGTGACGCACTTGTAGTCATACTGCTCGACCCAGCCAGGAGGTAGTGGCCGAGTGTCAGGATTTCGGGGGGGTTCACCAGGAGAGGCGTAGCTTGGACTATATGATCTGCCGTACGGAGGTGGTCCCGACATGCTGGAGGTATGCAGAGGTAATGCAGAGGAGATGGTGGTGAGGGATAGATGAGGGCGTTTCCAGCGGCTCGCTTTATATATCACTCGGCAGTGGCCCGTGGCTGTCTCTCCGGGGAAGCTGTACGCAACAAATAAAGCTTGGACCCGCCACAGCTTGTGCTTGCATCACCTCGCTTTGCTGCGCAGATCCAACATATGACTCGCCACGAACGACTCAAAGGTATCAGCCTCCGCTTCTAGGTGCAATCGTGTGATATCCAAGCGTTGATTGCAGAGTCAGGGTGCTTTAACAGGACACCCAGGCCACCTTGATATCGATGGCCCGGATATCTACTGAATATCCTCGAACACTCCAGAATGTCATAGTATGCAGCTTATAAACCGACGATCAGTATTCACAGAGAGCCGAGGCTCATGTGCGATCGTCCTACAACCCTTAATATGCGATGGAGAAGTGCTGCTACACGCTGCGTGCAGGTAATAATGTCATGCGTGCCTGGTGCGTCACTGGTTCCGAATCGTCCGATAGGATCTGACCGACGCAAATGAAATCTTGTCGTAGGACCTGGTACATGGCCGGCAAAGGTTCAAACGTTCAGATAACAATAAAGCATCGCGACGCATATGTTTGGATTCCAACACTAAGTGCAACGCGCAATACACACATTCAAGGTCATCACAAGAGAACACACAACCCATGCGGGCAGAACAAAAATGGTCGCAAGTATGCAATGAAATCAAGCCTTCGGCACCTTGTGCTTCTTCTCCTTCGCTGGCGGCTGCTCTGCCTTATGTGACACTGCCTCTTTCTTCGATTTCTTCGGCGGGGGTTGAGTCTCCTCGGCGTCCTCCTCTTCATCGTCGTCTGTGCTACCATCAGATGAAGTCCCATCCTCGTCATCCGATTCCTCCGCATCCGATAGAGGAGTAACGGCTGGGGCGGCCACGAACTTCGCAGGCTTCGATACGGGCTTGGTCAGAGACTTTGGGCTTACAACTTGAGCCGGCATTGCCTGTGAGGATTGAGCGTTATCCGCTAGGCATACCATTGTGGACATACCAAAGGAGCAGCGATGGGAGGAGCGACAGCGGCAGCGATCGGGGCGGCACCAGGAGAAGTACGTCCATCGTATACAGCTTTCTGTTGCAACCATTCCTCCTTCTTCTCCTTCTGACGCAGTTCGTACGACTAGCACACAGGTCGTCAACTTCTACAGCCGTCTAGGCAGACGGCGCACTCACCTCCTTCTTCTCCTTCGGCATGTTTTGCCAAAGAGCTGCAATCATAGAGAGCAGCTCATTATTTGACAGGTTCGGATGCTCCTTTTTGAGCTCGTTGCGAACGTCGTTCTGAAAGATGAGATAAGATGACGCGGGTCTTTTCGGTGCGTTAGGATCTTTTGGCGGCTTCCTCTTCCTCTTGCCGTCAGTGCTCATCTCCTCTGCTGTCCTCCGCTTCCTGCCTGCGGGGACTGGTGTAGCAGGTGGGGGAACTGGATACTGACCCAGGGGTACAGGCCCACCGAAGGGAACATGGGAGAGGGACTGAACAAAATGTTCGGCCATTGTAGCGCAGGTCCGCATTTGGTCAGCTACGGCCTTCAAGCTACCGATGAGCTGAAACGTGAAAAGGATGCGGCATTGAGCATGCGACAGTTTGTGGAGCATTGTCGTGTCATCGACGATGACGACGACGACGAACACACCTGCATTTTCTGGTAGTCAATCTGCTGGCCATCGGGAACACCAGCCATAGTGGAAGAAGCCGGGAGGAAGTAGTTGAACGCGCCGGGCGCGTCGTGTCGCTGAACGCAACTGGTAACAAAGGCCGAAGAGGGGGGTAAGAAAAATGTGAAAGGAGGTTGATGGGGGCAGTAGTCGTCTTGTAAGCGTTGTCATTGTTTGGTTCACTTGTTATTTGTACCATTACAAATAGTCTCAAACCCCGTTACTTACTAGTCTTTTTCTAGGCTTATTTCACGTGAAGTCTATTGTTGCGCTAGCGCCATGTGAAGGTATGGAAAGGCTTCAGCCGCATTATGCTCTGTCGCAGAAGGAGCCAGAAGAGCTACTATCAGGCAGAATTCACAATCCCCGATGCTACCGAGTGATGCACAGCAACTGGAAGGGCCGGAGGCGATACGATAAAGCAGAGCGGTTGCTAGTAATACGAATAAAGCGTGAGAAAAGGGGTTGTAGAGGCGATGGCTATATGAGGCAGGAGCAATAAGCGGAGAACGAAAACGGCGGTATCGAGCCTAACCTCTGACCATCATCACGAACAGTGAACACGGCGACGCACTGGCAAGGTGATAACTGACGAGGGCAGTCAGCGACGCAACTTTCTTGCATCCTTCCGCATCTCGTTCGCAGAAGAATAAGCTCATTAGTGTTGCTGTATCCGCTGAGAGCGCGTGCAAAAAGAGTCGTTACAGATGGAATACACGAATGGGGCATGGCTGCAGCAGACAGTTCCTGATTTGCCAGTCGTCCCCGATGGGCAGCACCATGCGAACGACGATTGGAAGGACCCATCCTCCAGCGTCCAAGGGGTGTCGGGGACGGTGTCCGTCGCTGGGCAGGGCATGGATTTGAGCGACTTCGGCCTAGGAGATCTCTCGGGTGAGCACGCTCGTGAATAAGCGCCCTTGGCATGCGGTCGTACTCATTGTCGTCTGTCTGCTGCAGTCCCGTCCTCGTCCTCCAGCTCTGTCTCTACGCCATCTACGTCGTATTTCGGCTTTCCCCAGCAGCATTTCTTCCTCCCAAGTGCTCCCGGGTCCTATAATACCGTAGCATACGGTACGACACAGTGGTCGAATCCAACCCCTCAGCTGCCGTTATCGAGCTACTCTTCCCTCAATGGCGCAACCAGTGCGACCAGTGCATCCTCGTTGTCGCAACAACAACAGCAACAACAGCAGGCGATGTCCTCGGCGGCTCAGTCTCCGATGATGATCGAGTACGTGTCCTTTCACCAGCGCTGAGCGTTTCGCCATCTCACTATTGAGTAGCCCGGCCTTAACATTGAACGGTTCAGCGTCACCTCCCTTGCAACAGTATCAGCATTCGCCTCCTTTCCTTTCCTCGCAACCTCAACAACGCACTCAGTATCAGTACCAGCATCAACCTCATCAGCCTACATTATCTATTAATCCTGCCTATGTTCACTCGCAATATCAACAGCAAGCCTCTATCCCACGTCCTCCGTCTCAGCAGCATCAGCATCAACACAACCAGCACCAGAATCACGCTCCAACTACACTGTCTCCTTATGTCTTACACTCACCTCCTAATCCCTTGACCGCTTCGCTTCCACCATCTGCATTTTACAGCACAATGCCACCCCCGAAGCCGATAGGGCCGACCCCCGAGCAGCGAAAGGCGACATTCATGTCCACCATCAAGCCTCTTTTGACGCCGAATTCATTCACCGGCGCCGGCGCTGTAGCTCAGCTGGTGGGTCATATCGAGGATTACGGTGCTCTAGACGTAGATGCATCGACTCGGCTCGAGATTCTGACGAAGATGAGGGACAACGCTGGTAACCACTACTTCCGTGCGTGGGTAGAAAATGAGGGGGCGATGGACGTGACGAGGGAATGGCTAAAGTCGGGATACACGGCAAAGGCTGATAGCCAGCTGGTGGAGACCATCATGCCCTTACTGCATGTGAGTACGTGTCTTACAGTGGCTACATGCTAGCTAACGAGGAAGGTTCAGATCATCGATCGACTACCCCTCACTCTCGAAAGCCTGAAGGCCTCCAAGCTTGGCAAGATCATTGTACGACTCGTCAAGGAACCTCCAGCTCCTGGTGAGTCAAGTCTCCCTATACCTCATTCTCTTGCCAGCCGGTGTCTCCCACCGGTATGCCCTTTGCTGGTATCTTGAGGGTGTGCCCTTCATGCATCCTCCATGAACTAAGAAACGTGTTGTGAAGCGGTGCCATTCCATTAGTTACAAGAGAACCTACAGTACATCCATATACTACCCTCATCCCCCGTAAATGAGAAGCAATCAGTAGCTAACGTGCATATTGCGTTTCCTGTCGCTTGCTATAATAGCGATCAAGGATATGGCTTCCAACCTCGAGCGTAAATGGCGGCAACTGCTCGTTGCGAGTCAGGAAGAATCAAAACGAATGGATGTCGATGATGGTGTGTCATGCCGTATGGTGCACGGTCCATTGGTCTGATGACTCTACAGATCCCAAGGGTAAAAAGCGGAAGGCGGATCCGTCGATCTCTAAAGCAGCACCTCCGTCTAAGAGGCCTGCTGTGTCTGCCCCGGGGACATCAATAAAGACGGTTGCAGTGAAGAAGGATGTCAAGACGGTTGTACGGGAGGTAAAGGATGCGAAGTCCGATTCCTCATTCTTTTCAGCGCCGAAGCCGAAGCCAAAACTACCGAGCTTCAAAAAGGCATCTCCTGCTAGTACAGCAGTCAAGAAGGAACCGGATCATAATGTCGCGCAGCCATCATCCATCAATCCATTCGAGGAAGCACTCAAGTCAATGGCTAAGACGCGCAGAGACTCCCCTGCGACGTCAACGCCTCCGCCACCGGTACCGAGCTCATCAGCACCCTCGGCCGCGCCCAGTCTCACGGTATCCGGGAAGCCGAAGAAAATGGTCACGTGGGCGCCCGAGGGCAAGCTTGAGTTGATCAAGCTCATTGAGCGGGCGGTGTACGACGATGATCCTGCAGATGTCAGCGCAATCTCCCTCGTACTCTCATATGTACAGTACATTAATTGCAGACATCGATGTCTGGCACACAGGGCACGTTCTCGAACCATAATGTCCGCGATCTCGATCGAGACGAAGGTGCCGCGCTACACGCCCACCTGTTCGAGGAACAAATGGAGTGGACAGAACCTATTCGTAAGCCATCCACAACGATGCAGGTGGTGCTGTATTAATGAGGTCCTTCGCAGCGCTTGAGACGCCACTAAATCTTGACTTTCCGCGGGGGGAGAACAGTCAAGAGAAGGCCGTGCAGGAGGCGCGAGAACAAAGTGCCCTTGTTGCTCTATACACACTTCCGAACCAAATACCGGAGAGCCCAGCGGAGCCTTCTACGCAGATTCCAGACGAGCAGGTCGACGAGGGTGTCAGAATCATGCTGACGGGAGCCGAAGTCGATGTTGTCTTCTGGAGTGGCGGCGCGCCGGCTGTGGTTGAGCCTCCTAAACACTCCGTCGCGGAGTTGGTGAACCAGCTTGCCGCCGGCACGACAGCAGATACATCGGCGGTCGGTGCATTGTCGCAGGGCTCTCAGCCGCAAATGGATCTCAAAGCTTTCGGTCTCGATGCGAATGCCATGCAAGGAGTGACGAGCGATTTGAATCCTGAACAATTGCAGCAGCTTGTGCAGGCGCTAAGCCAAGGCGCGATTTTCCAGTCGCAGGCCCCCGGACAGCCGGCCCAAGGCGGTGATTGGAATTCCGAACAATACTCTGATTACGACCGAGGAAACTATTACGAAGACGGTGCGCGTGACCGCCGCTGGTCCGAAGATGGCTGGAGTGAGCGAGGAGGCAGTCGTGGTCGTTATCGCGGTGGCCGCGGCGGTAGAGGCCGAGGCGAAGGTTTCAGAAGTAATAAACGAAAACCATGCAGTTTCTTTGCAGCAGGAAGGCGAGCACCGAACCTACAGCGAACTTCCAAAACAGGAAACTAATAACAATGTTCCTTCCCGATTGTAGATGCCGTTACGGGGACCAATGCGACTTCAGCCACGAACCTATTCATTGACTTCCATGTACTATGTACCCTATTCATCTGTATGGCGTTCATGCATTGACATTATATTGGGGTTTATGCAAATTACAAGCGGAGCAGGCAGAGTTCGGAGTGCGATGATGGTGATACGGAGGCAGATCCGAATGGGCCGACATCCCGGTCCCCGTACAGCGCGTTCAATGGTCTTGGCCATCACAGGCGACATCACGCGAAATCTCGAGGATGATAAATGATTAGTATACAATACAACTGCTGTCTCAACGATAAATATTGTAGCACAATGGTAGAACAACGCTGAAGCTGTGAGCAGATGGCAGCATACGGCTGACAACGATACTACTACAATACGTGGGATATCTATGCGGCAAGTAAGGTACCAATGGATCTTGATGCAGACCGAGCACAAAAAGAAGAGAACACAGTCGCTACATCAATACCTAACCACCCTGAGTCCGCCCCCTTTTTCTTGTCGTCCGTTTGGCGGGTGGCGCCTGGTCAGCATTCGCCACGATCGGCGAGCCGTCCTCAGTCCGAGTAGCCTTCCGCTTGAGCGTGGCGTTCGGCATCGAGGGGGTTGTAGTGGGCCCTCCCGGTGTCGCCGCTGCCGCCGGTGTAGACGCGGATGCCGACGGTGTTGAGCTGGACGGTTGAGATGATACTTGCATCGCCGGCTTGTTCTGCTTGGAATCGACAGCCGCTGGAGCGATGTGCGGAGTCGAAGGGGCAGTGGCTTGGTTCATCGTAGAGGACAATGACGTCGAGGATGAGCCTGCCCCGTCAAACATACTACCAGGCCCCGGACCAGCTGTACTGCAGCCACCACCTGGACCTGGCGGTGGCCCGGGTTTCGACATGGTCATTGGTTTTACGTCTCGTGGCTGCGAGTCCCGAATCTGTCTTGCTAGGTGGGACAAGGCATCTGCGATGAAATAAGTCAGATCGGCGCACGCGAATCTCATCAAGTAAACGCACCTCGAGGCCCTAGCTGGTGTTCGGTCGAATAGTGGATCAGATCCGACATTTGAGACACGCTCTCCGCCAGCTACAATGGTACGTCAGACAGTGAACGAAACATGCTCAGAGCGTTGTGACGCACTTCTAGGCATCGCATGGTCGCCTGCGGGATCCCGAACGCATTGACAGGTTCATGTGGCATCGCGACCGAGACGCGCCTCACGTCGTCCAACCTCTTCTCCTCCTCCTCTCGTTTGGTCCCCATGGGCCCCATCGCCAGAGCGTGGTGAGATGGTGATCCATCGATGGACAGATTGCCCACCCTGTCGACGTTGACCATCTTTTCATGCGATGTAGCATCGAATGTCAGATGCTCGATGCGCAACACATAGCTCATCGGTGTTGGAGGCTGACCAGGAGACATTAGGGGTACAGCTGCAACGTGGGCAGACAGGGGACCATTCAGCGCGACCGTGTAGCCATTGCTATATCTGAATATCCACGAAGCTGTGGGACATTCGATGATACCATGACCTGGCGCAATCGTTTTCTCGCGTGCGTTGTCCAATACTATCGACATAGACTTGACACCCGACTGCGCCGTCACGAGAAAGAAACGCGGGAGGATCGGTGTTCCGATCTCTGGCACAGGTAGTCATAATGAGGTCAATGAGGAGCCGAACCGTCAATGTGTGCTCACTTACCGAACGGCTTGGCCTCCTGCTTTTGGCCATCTTTCCATAGTGTGATTTTCATCATGGCCCGGTGCGTGAAATAGTCCTTGATAACGTCCTGCCAGTGCCTGTAGTCCTTTGTCTGTATCGTCGGGTTAGGTTCCGAAACGTTTAGTGCGTGATAGATGACACCCACAGCCTCTGTTTCGAGCGCAAGCTGCCCGCTGAACTGCAGTAGTCGCAAGGTTCCCTGGCCGAGACCAACCACGAACTGCATTTGAGGGGGCCTGCATACGCATATCTTAGCAAGAACGCGCATCAAATTAGCAGAAAACACTGACATCATTTGTCGATTCGGAGCCGCTTGCGGCTGCTGTTGGAGGGTATGTTGTTGCAGCTGGTGCTGTTGCGGAGGATGCTGCTGCTGGCCATCTGGCTGATGCCCTGCGGCTGTCGGTCCCTGTCCGTTCGTCATCGATGGCGTCAGAGGTGCAGGCCCAGGAGGTTGGCGCGGAGCTATGTGCTGCTGAGCATTCTGTGACGGCTGCGGCTGTGGTGGTTGAGGCTGTTGTTGCGGTGGGCCGGGCTGATTTGGCGGCACCATGGATATCCGTTGCGTCATGCCGGGGAGCGGCTGCTGGCCGACGCGTGGCGTACGTGATGAGCCGGCTTGCTGGGGCGACTGCCTCTGTGGAGGCCCCTGCTGCGACTGAGGCCGCTGTACCTGGCCCATGTGCGAGTTCATCTGGTCAGGCACGCGAGGAGACTGTCGCGGTGGCATACCCTGTTGATGCGACTGAGGCGGGAGCGAAAATGGGGGATGGGACACGTTGGCGTTGTGAGAGGGTGGGCGGGCGGGAGCACTTTGCTGGTTTGAATGCATGTTGAACGGCGCAGGGAGATTCTCGTTATTCGGACCGAATTCAAAGACCTGCGACACTTGCGCGGGCGTGGACATAAGACCAGGCCGCGAGCTTGGCCTAGGACCGTTCATCTGTGCGCCACCAACGTTCTGTGCGAGGTCGCCCGCCTGCATCGGCGGCGTCGGGGAATGCTGGAATGAAAATTGAGCGTTCTGTTGTGGTAGCCGAGGGACCTGCGGTACGTTTGGCTGCATCTGCCCATTCTGGAAGCTCACGAACATGTCGGTCTGCGGTGGAGACATATTCGACGGCGGCATGTTTGCGCCCATATTTGCGGCTGTGTGCGGCTGTGTATGCCCGCCGATGTGCGGCGACGAACCAAGCTGCTGCTGCGGGTTATGGTGCTGCATCGACATCGCGCTAGGGAATCCCGGGTTCTGGTGCATCTGCGGTTGCATCCCACCTCCTGAATGCTGCTGAGTGAGCGATCCGGGCTGGTTCATACCACTCATAAGCGGCGCCTGTGTGGATGGCGTCCGACTGCTGTGAGGTGGCAAACCCCCGTTCATAGTCATTGGGAGATGCTGCTGCCTGTTTATCTGCATACCCATGTCGGGGGACATGTGAGTCTGCATGCCAGGATGCTGGGGCGGCTGCTGGATGCGCTGCATACCGTTCAGCGAATGCTGAGGCTGGTGGACTTGCCGCATATGCCCGGGCATGTTCTGCGCCGGATTCATCCCTATCCCGCCCATCCCACCCATACTCTGCGGCATTCCGCCGATGTGTCCCGCAGATTGATTGAGACCTTGAGGCTGCGAGGCAACGCGCCGTATTTGTTGTTGCGGAATCATACCGTTAGGAAAACCATTCATGCCCTGCACTGAATTATGGCCGTTCACGAGAGGCGGAGCGGGCCCGCGCGGAGGGTTGAGACCTTGAGGAGATGCGCCAGGAGGCACATATTGACCGCGGAGGCCGTTGTTGGCTTGCATGACGTTGAGTTGAGCGCTATATGTATTCTGAGGGGCGCCAAGGAGGGCCATGGGAGCATTTGGATTTGGCCCATTTTGGAGGAGGGCGGGCTGGCCAGGCTGTGCTTGAGGTTGCTGAGGGCCAGGATGTAACTGCTGCTGCTGCTGCTGCTGCGGGAGGAAGTGGTTGTTGAGGACGGCGGCGGGCTGTAGATGGGACATGCCTGGGCGCAGCAGACCTGGGCCGTTCATAAGTGAGAGCGACGACGGGGCTGGGCGAACGTGCAAGGGTGTGTGCGTGGATTTTGACGTGCGCTCGCATGCAGCGTAGGCGTGGACGGTGGATGTGCGATGGAACGGGAGGCGAGATGCGATACGTGAGAACGCGCGCTGGGGAAGCGGGGAGGAGATAGAGGGGGTGAGGAAGACGAGGACGTTGTACGCGAACGACGCGAACGGGGACGGCGAGGGCGGCGACGACGGCGGGGAGAGGGCGGGAGGTAGGCGCGGCGGGGAGGAGAGGAGGCTGCAGAGCAGAACGGGGCCGGAAGTGGACGAGCGGCAAAGGGCTCGCGGACGCACTCACACGCTGCTTCTATACACCCCACGAGTCGACGCCCTGATTCCGATCCCCTCCTACACGTAAATCTTATCAACGACCCTCTCGTCGTCGTCGTTGCTGGCGTTGCCGACGATGATGGCTGCAGCGACAGTAAGGATCGCGGTGGAACGTCGTCGCGGCGCACGCGAGATACACTACTCAGATTACGCCGTCCAAGTCTCGGCTGCCTTGCGAGCGCCGCTCATCGGGGTCCTGTGACGGCCGTGACGGGCACTTCCATGATCGCATAATTTAGCACGATCCTCTCGGTACATTGAATGAACGAGATCAAGAAAGGAATCAACGACAACTGCCAAGGGCTCCTCGCTATGTAAAGGACCAGTAAAGCCCTGCGGAACCGAGTTCGTGAAGGGCATATCGCCAAAGGAAGGCACACATAGTGTGCCGTCGTTGATGCGCCGGGCTTATTGTAATTACACCCTCCGCCCTGCGAGCCTGCGTTCTCATTTGACCTGTTGTCCTGCGTTCAGCTGAGGACATGGACATGGTACCTTTCAGGAAGCTGAGCTTCCATAACGGGGCGACGAGGACAATATGTACGTGACGTTACGTGCATCGCCCGCGTGACGCTGAAGGGACCCCAGAAATACTGTCCAAATTGACCGGATCGAAATGCTTCCGCGTTGCTTGCCTCCGCTTCACAGCCCCGCGAACCATCAACGTCGTCGACCGGCATGTATACCATTTTTCCTTTCGTCACAAACGCGTCGGGCGGCCAACAACAACAGAGGCGCGCCTGCACGCCCAACGACTTCGGACGCTGGCGCGCACCAGGCATGCATTGCGCACCGCAGGCCCGGCGTTCCGCCCGTGCTGACTCTTCCCTCACGTAAGGTGACTACAGCCTAACTTTGTCCACTCACGCAGCATCGGGATCGCCCTCGCCATCGGACTCCCTTCTGAAACCATTGCAATTTCGTCCTTTCTTCCTCGACGCGGGGCTTATCACCGCAATATTGTGATTCTGCCGTATATGACGCCGGCGGCGCGCCCTTAGCTTGAGGTAATACATAATCAACACCAATGTCATACAGTACTTCAGTCCGGACAACCTTGAGAGTGCGAAGAACCTAGATTAAGATCCGAGACGATGGTCAAGGTCCGCTCCCTCAGAGATACGGATAACCGCCGAACGCACCTAACTTGGCCGATTCCATTAAGTGATAACCTTGCCAGCTTTCCCCTCCTCTTTGTCCTGTATTGACGAAGAGCCCCCATCAGGATTTAGACTATAACGTGCTCCCAGCATTTGCCATATTGTCGTGCGCGAGTTCCCATGGTGGCCTTCTTAGATCAGCGAAGCCGCAGCGTCTCCCGACTTGCCGGTCGGGGACCTGCAGTTAGTGCATGCCAACACCATTCGTATTGAACGTGGCCAGTGCGTGTTAAGCTTCAGACTTCGTCCACTCGGCTGGCCAGGGGCAGTCAGCCGACCACGATACGGGGGTAGCGAAGGTCAGATGGCCAGCGATCAGGCTCGAACGCTCTGGCTCTGGCTCCTTCCGTAGATGCCGGGGGTTGCCCGATCCTTTTCATTGAGCAGGTGCCAGACTAGATATCGCGGGTGCTCCGTCCGGGATTCACGTCGTGGTGTCAGCCACTAGTGATCGCGATGAACATGTTCTGGTCTAGTCACGGTCGGATGTGACGACGACGTTGTAGGCGCGCTGCCTGGAGCCACCGCCAGGCGTTCTCCAGTTTCCCACTTACGGACATAACATGGATATCCAGGTCTAGATTGTGGCCGCAGACACGCGTCATCGATCATACGAGCGTTTGTTGATTTCCAGTTATCTAAGGCTATGGAATCCGGGCTTCGTGTATGTGGCTCGGGGCAGTGAGGTCTCCAGCCATAAAGGGAGTCTGCACTGGTTGTAGCCTTATTTTCCCGTCTGCCCCGCGCCCTTCGAGGTGCAGGGAATCGCATTTCAGACAGTTTTACTGTCTTTCTGTCAGCCTCCCAGACCAACCATTCACTTGCCCACAACAAGTCACCTCTTCACGAACACAGTACATGAGTCATCTTCGACATGACCAACGACCATTACTCTTCCCAACAAGATGCTGCAAAAAATGAGTGCGTGTATCCTTGCTCAGCGATCTTACACCGAAGCTGACTGGAGTCAGATATCTATTGGAACCCCATGTTGCAGAAGAGTGCCGACGGGTCATGGCCTCTTTCAATCGGAGGCTGAAAGATGCAAATGTCAGTCTCAATCTTACGCCGCCTGACGCGTGAAAGTCCTCATGTGTCGCAGAAACCTATCGCTTACTGGGATGATGTCGCGCGAGAACACTTTGCGCCCAACGCTCAGATGAAGCTGACATTATGGAAGTGCGATGGGTCGCCCCGGCAGACACCAGAGGCTAAGCCATACGGTTAGTGTGCGCCTGCTCCGCCCAGAGTCTGCCAGAACCTCAGCAAGCATTGATGCAGTCATAAAATTCCCCCACCTTTCGAGGTTTTTTGCGACGTTCGCTGAAGAAGATGCACGTTCCATGGAGTTCTGCACCAATGACACAACTCTGCATCCTCGACAACTCGATGAAACCGGCTCGCCTCTGATCGCATATAGTAAGGCTATGTGGATATTCACGTACGGCGGAGGCGAGCGGGTTTTCGCAGAGGGGCCTCTCAGCATTTTCTTTAAGCCGTACGGAGATGGGCATTTCATCATCCGCAACATAGCGTTCGACGCAATAGAGCACAGCTCGACTCGCACCGGCCGCGGAGCACAGGTGGAGAGTCGGGTCAACTTCTTCGGCATGCCGCCGTCCACGCTACGATGCTTGGACGTACGTAGCGTGCGCACGCTGGGGTCCCTGATCTACGCTTACCTTAGTTTCTTAGATGATGACGGTTTGCTCACGTATGGAAGATATAATGAGTTTCTGCGACAGGAACTTCGTAGATCCTTACGGCACGTCCTTTCTGTCCAGTCGTAGACTATCGACTGACAGAATTGTTATGACACAGAGGGAATGCGCCAAATGAATCAAACGCGCAACGTGCCGACTGCAGGCATGAATAATACCGCAGCTGGCGGAATCTAGTTTCCCCACTATGAGCTCACTAGCAGTGCCATGGTTGGCCAAAACCGCTACCCGTGACTGATATTGGCTCATAATTGCCTGCACATGACTCGGATACTTAAATGCGTAAGCATAATACAACAGCAGTCAGGCCGTGTGTGGTACCCATTGCATTCCAGGGGAAGGTGCACTTATGGGAAACGGCGCCAGCGTTGAGTGGCTTCGTGTAAAGCATGTATTGAGGCGTCGATGAGGCAAGGTAGCCTGCTAGTGTGTGCCTCTTGCGGATCCTCCTCCATGAGGTGCTGCACTAGGGTACACAGTACTCTTGCAGTCCTCAGCAGCATAAATTAAGATGATTTGCACACAATGATCCAATGAGACACCCAGAGCCAGGATTGGAATCTTAACACGCGTTTCACTGTGATGTCACATTCCCGCATCGTGAACCCCTTGGGGCCACGATACGCCTTCGTCGTCTCCTTCAATATACTGTCGAATACAGTCGCGTCAATAAATACATATCAACCGATGTTGGTTTGTGGATGCATTGGTGCAGCAATTGCATGTCACTATTGGCCCGATTATCGCTAGAAACATGACATATTTCAATTGCATTGACGAGATGAACATCTGGCGTATGCCTGGCCAGAACTTTCGGAAGGGCTTTATAAGTAGTATCCCTTCGACTTTACTTTCGGCGGCATTGACGGTATGTGATCTTTACAAAAAGTTGGTAATTATTCCTGCCGGCCTGCACACATTTATTAACATGTAGCGGTATTGTACCGAGAACAGAACATGCATTGTTTCGGGACGTGTGGACATGGTAGCATCTCGCTATCGGAGGTGATCACAGGTCACTTCGAAGATCCATGCCTGTTCCGATTCTCTGATGATGAAACTTGGCTGTTATGCACTACTGGCAGTCATGGGTAAGCTCTAGGCTTGTCTCGTACCCAGACCCACCGTATTCGCGGTGGCGGGGTGCGGATACGATGGGTCCGGGTACGAGACAAGCTCTAGGCCAACAATTGCTAGCAGAATATCTAAGCTCGCTATGCCGATCTTGTATATGTGTGTCTTAAGTCGATGTGCTTCTTTCCGGATTGGAACGTACATGACAATGAGAGTACGGATGTATCGTGTGCGCAAGGGATGGTCAGACATGGGTATCCGGAGCCGGCGTAGGTTGATGGAATTGTCTACTCTGCTCTCAGGAGACTAAAGGGATGCAGTCACTGGGGTTTTGGCGCCGGTTCCTCAACTCGAGCGTTGAATAGCCTCGTGTTTGTCTCGATGCCGCGAACAACTTGGCGCCCCAGCGCTATAGCACTCGGATGTCACTTGAACTCCTCTATGCACAGATCTTCTTGCAGCATGCTTATGGTAGCATCTACTGCGAGTTCAATATCGTAATCGAGGATTCTGCTATCATGAGGTGGGCTGTTCCGTTGCTCTTGCAAGCTGCACTGTGCACATGGTGACGCACCGTGACTCGTGAGGCTGGTGAGCCATTTTCATCGTATGAGAAGGTCCACGCAATCTGAACACGGATCTTCGATTTAATAGACCGGATATCCCTTGAGAAGTGATCAGTCTTAGAGACTGGGTTTACGCGGTCAAGATTTCACAGTCGGTTTAGCGCCCGCTGTCGTGCATCGAATGATTGAACGATTCGTCGACGCTTTTGTTTCAGCCTCTCCAAGTATCACTTCGTTCCGATCTTTACAAAGGTCGTAGACAACTGAACCCCATTTGTGCAGACAGATATGTAAGCTCAAACTTCCAGTCTCTGCTCCACCGTCTGCTCAAACTTGTCGACCGCAGCCCGGATCGCCCGTTCCTTCTCAGATGCACAGAGCATTCTGTACTCTTCGGACGCTCTCCATCCCTTCCATGCCGTCTGTTCTACAACGTTCCACCACTCCTCTCCATGAGGGTGACCAGGCGCCCCGGCGTATCCCCACGGCTTTGCCGTGTATGGCTGAACATACGGGTTCAGCACCACTTCCAGCGTCGGATTGACTGGTCCTGTAAAATGGACAATGTATGGGTTTTTCAGTAGACCCATGTCTATATTCTGGCGGGCCTCTGTAGGGAGCTCGGCGTATGTCGCGATACCTTGAGCATTCCACTTCAGGGACACCTCCGCCCAATTTGCCTCAAAATACGCGTTCAGGAGATCTTGGTCGCGGAAACGGCTGGTCGTATACTCGCGAGCAGCGCCCTGTAAGGCTTGTAGGGTGCGTCTGACGGCGGCTAAATCCAAGAGAAGGACCCCGGCGTTGAAGTACGGCTTTCGGACGGTACCACTGTGGCCCTCTGGAAAGCCAACGTCGATCGCCGCACCTATCGGTTTCCCCCTTAGGTCTGTTGACCATAACCCCCATATGTCTGCGCGCACTAATACGTCGGCGTCCAAGTAGAGGACTCGTTCGACAGGTAGGACGTCGATCATGTCGATCTTGGCCCAAGTCGCCTTCTCCTTGCGCTCAGAAGCGTAGTCAAGTGGTATGAAGACCATGGTCGCATCCGCTCTCCTCGGCATGGAACGACGAAGCTTGTCTCGATCGTTGTCCCCAAGGCCGAGGTCAAGGACGTAGATGGTGAGACGACTCTTGGTGTGGGCGATGACGCTGTGGATGGCGACGGCTGCAGCCATTGCGTATGCGGGGTCGGTAGCGATGGCAATGTTCATCCCATAGCCGAAAGCCTCGCCAATGTTCTGGTGAGCCTTATCTTTCACAAGGAAGCCAATACGCATTGAAGAGGTCTTTCGCAGGATCATCTGATACTGCGTCGGGCTCGACAGCACCTCAAACTCCCCGGAATGCAAGGTCATGAAAGAGTCGATGCCTCGTTTGGGATGGTGGATGCTCTCCTCCGGCTCTGTGTCCCAGTGGTAGTCATCGAAGATAATGATTGCACCTTTCCTCGCGAGTCGCCAGCAGAGTTCGCCATCGAGGAAAGTGTCGTCCGCCTCATGCGATCCATCTACGTATATCCAGTCGTACCCGGCATCCGGAGAGGTAGTCTCTTCCTCCAACAGCCTCATTAGGCCGGGGATGCTGAATTCGTCGATGACGCGAAACGGTTTGCCAGTGATGGAAAGATTGTGGGTGATATTGGTATAGCGCTCGCGACCCGCCTCGGTGCTCATGAGATCGAAGTGATCGATACAGGTGATGTCGCCGCTGTTGGTGCACAGCTCCGTCAAGAGAAAAACAGCAGAGCGTCCCTCCCATGACCCGACCTCCAGCACGCGAGGACTCTTTGACTCGACAAGCGGAAAGAGCAAGCGCCAGCTGTCGACGTTGACGGAGAACCAATCCTGAGTCGGCGTAAATCTGTACTCGACGTTATCCTTCGTCGACATCATGTGGCTGATGAAAACAGGCTCTGAGATTGAGTCGAAGAGTAAGTGTACAAGTCCTGACAAGAACGCGTCAGAGGACACCTACTTCAGCTAAGGAGGAGAGGATTGTGGAAGACGGTGGGCGGAATCGAGGGCTAGAGTCAAGACTTCTCTTCCAGTGTGAGCCCTATCTCGCCCCGCGTTGTTTGTGTATCAGAAGCCGACCACTGCATGTCATGCTGACGAGATATCTTGGGTGCAGAACCTTGTCCTCTGCTTCTGGCCGTTCCCATATCCTCGCCGTATGGCTCAATATACTCTTACTGGGTAAGCCTTCATACAATTTGATCTGTGTGCGAAAGACCCGCAGTGCTTCCTTGATGACCCCACTGAACTTTCCAGAAAATCAGACTGACCGTTTGGAACAAAATGTTGGCTGCAATATAAGTAAGAATACCATAAACACGCCAGTCAACAGCACTCGGAATGGGTCGCGAGGTCAAGATAGATTAGTAGTCAAAGGTGTGCCCAAGTATCAACCGCGCTCGATGAGTTCTTTCGTGCACAGTAGCACGCGGCTCCGCAGCCGCTTGCTACTGTATGTGAGGCCTATATCGAGAAAATCAGTGTGACAAGCCGGTCTGATGGTCCTTGCGGGTCTAGCATGTACATCTGCGCCGCCTGAAGTGCAGTCATCCTCCGCTGAATAATTAAAATGAGGTGTCAAAGCACATTCGCTCTAAACACACCTACGCAAGAGGGTCATCGGCTCAGTTTTGTCAAAAGCCTCGTTGTTGACCCAGAACTGCAGTCGACGGTGGGCGTTACCGTCAGCTCACAAATTGACCGGACGCCGTACATGCGCTCAATGAACCTAATATCGCAGAGGCCTTCTCAAATCACATTCTCAGCGCTGTTCTAGTTCTGCCTCAATGAACTGGCGACGCAGCAGATTCCGAGCTCAAGGCTCCGTGAGATAGAACGGCAATTGTAAATTCTTATCGGCCAGCTAGCTCCCAGAAAGGACAGAAGCTTGAAGCTCACCTTATACAAGGGAGCGGCTTACTCTAGAGACATCTCAGGTCCAAACTCGTTCGGATCGCCCGCTTTCGCGCTGCTTTACACTTGCCTCTAGCAATGCCAACTGAAGAGGGCCTCATTTTGGTAACAGGAGGGAATGGCTTCATAGTGAGTTAGCCCTCTCAGGCAACTTGAGTCCACCAACTGATAGCGCGGACCGCCAAGGGGGGCCATCTAGCGAGACGTCTTGTAGCCCAAGGGCGCAGAGTTCGTGTTGCAGATGTTTGTCCGACACCCTACTTGGAGACATCCGGCGTCGAGCTCGTCGTCGGGAGCCTCCTGGATCCTGTTTTTTGCGCCCGCGCTATTCGAGGCGTTACCATCGTGGTTCATTTCGCTGCGACCATGGGCGGCATGGGAGTCATACACGCTGATAACAATTTTGTGATCTACCACGAGAACCACACGATGACCCTCAATCTACTCTCTGCATCGGTATCATCAGGCATTCAGCGATTCCTCTACGCTTCTTCTGCGTGCGTATACCCCGATGCCCTCCAAGGACAAGGGAATACGGACGTCTCACTCAGAGAGACTGACGTGTACGCTCAGCTTCCGCCGTGTCCTCAAGGCTTGTACGGCCTCGAGAAGCTGCACACTGAGCAGGTACTGCATCAGTACGCCGAGCGGATGGAGGTCAGGATTGCCCGATTTCACAATATCTATGGGCCTGGCGGCTCGTGGAAGGACGGGCGCGAGAAAGCACCCGCAGCATTGCTCCGCAAGATGGTCGCTGCAAAGCTCGCGGACGAGCCGAGCCCAGCAATCGAGATCTGGGGCGATGGTCAGCAGCGACGAAGCTTTTGCTTCATCGATGACGCCGTGGACGCCATCATCCGTCTTCTGCATTCCGACTGTCGTCAGCCCGTCAACATCGGGTCCGATCGCGCAGTCACCATCACCGAACTTGCGAACATCGCCGCCCGAGTCACCGGCTTGGACTCGAACAGTGCCCGTTACCGCTATCTTACAGACAAGCCGGTCGGGGTGGGTTCGCGGAACTCGAACAACGATTTCGTTCGGCGAGTGTTGCAATGGACCCCTGCCACATCCCTCGAAGATGGCATGCTTCAGACAGGCCGCTGGATCTTGGGGGAAACTAAAAAATTACTCTCAGGCGCGGACAGTGCGGAGCGTGCAGACACGCTTCGCCGACTGCAGACCAGCGGTCTCGTAGACTTGCGTTCACATGCGCTCATGTTCGCAATACTTCTTCCCATCACGTCTCGTGGCACTGCCGACCCCAGCGAATGTCTCAAGCACCTTGCAACCTTTGCGCGGTCCCTCGCTTCCACTACAGCATATGATGTCGGACATTCTGGAAGACGCTACGGTTTCCGAATCTATCTCGCCATCGACAGCGACGACGCCTTCCTGCTCGAGCAGAGCGGACCCAACAAACCTGAGCAGGTGCTACGGGCTGAAGGGATCCTCCAGATCGACACCATCGTTTGTAATCACCCACGGGGCCATGTCTGCTCTATCTGGCGCGACTGTGCCCGAAAAGCGTGGCTCGATGGATGCCAGTATTTTGTTCTGATGGGCGACGACGTCGTCCTACAAGACATGAACTGGATGTCGGCCATCCACAACGCCTTCACCGAACTTGCCGTTCAAGAGAGCGTCCCCGAAGGTTTCGGCTGCGTTGCCTTCACCGACACGTCTTTTCCCGGTATGCCGACGTTTCCGGTCGTCCATCACACGCATATGGAGATATTTGGTGGCGAGGTCATCCCAGGTTCATTTGTCAACCAGGACGGCGACCCATTCCTCTTCCAATTATATCGCCGGTGGAATTGTTCGCGGATGATACCTTTGCGAATCTCCAATATTCTGGGCGGTAGTAAGGCAGCTCGATACGTAAAGGTGTCGGCGCCCGACTGGACGTTCCGCCCGCTGGGAAACGCGACAGAGACGGTCGAAAATTGGCTTCGTCTGCGCCGGCCACATATCGCTCGAAGGCTCACGCTTGACGTGATCGTCCCTTGCTACAGGGTTGACTTGTCCTACCTGCGCAGATTCCTCGAGCTCCAGCCGTCTCCTACATGCACTGTCATGTATATCATCATCATCGATGACCCGCAGTCGCCCAACATCAAGGAGCTGCTGAGCGAATATTCTCACCGTCCTGACGTCCGCATCAGGATCAATAGGGTCAACTCCGGCGCTTCGGCATCGCGCAATAGAGGCCTTCGAGAGTCTTCTGCAGAGTGGGTGATTTTTCTCGACGACGATGTCACTCCGAACAAAGACGTCTTGATCGAAACTGAGAAAGCCATCCGCGCAAACCCGGACGCTGCTGGTTTCGTCGGGACTGCTTTGTTCCCTCCTGCTGATACAATCGCGACCGCCGCCATCCATCTCGCTGGCGTCACATATTTTTGGGACATAGCTAGAAAGCGTGCGGACGACGACGATCTGCCCTGGGGCGTTACTGCCAACCTCATTACGCGTCGCAATGTCGAGGATCATGTAGAATACGACCTCGTGTTTCCGAAAACCGGGGGCGGGGAAGACATCGACTATTGCCGCAGGAAGAGGAACTATTCGATGAGGCACGGGGGAAAAGGATTTTGCGCGGCGCCGCGCGTCGTTGTGACACACCCCTGGTGGAACAACGGCAAGAGGTCATACTGGCGATTCTACATGTGGAGCAAAGGCGACGGCGCGCTTATCGGCCTATATCCAGAGTTCACGTATAGGGAGGTCGCTCCCAACAGCGCAGAGTCAATACTAGCGTGCGTCCTCATCATCTTCGTGGGTTGCATTACCGCTGTGGGCAATAGGATGAGCTCGCCTGGAGGGCTGGCACTAATCTCGTTGGGAATACGGATGGTTTTTGCCTCTTTTACCGCCAACATCCTGCATGACCTCTATCGCCACCTGTGGAGGGACGCAAACAGACTGACAGACATAAATATGTCTGTCAGGGGCTTCTCACTCGTTCTGGCTGTCATTGAGAGCACTCTCATACGGGTCTTCAGCGAGTATGGTCGAACCGTAGGGATGCTCGAGAGGAAGGAGTATAGGTTGATTGGACGTAGCTTTGACTGGTTCACCGGTCGAGCAGGAAATGGGCCGCGGAACGAAGAGAACCGTAACCGTCTACAGAGGGTTTCTCTTTCGGTCGTTATCTTTGCTACATTGCTATCCGCGTAGTGCCTCGCCTATTTGTGAATCTTAGCTATGGTGGTGTGGTTGCTCCAGAAACAATAAATCTCCTGCAGTTTGGTTTGCTTGTGACCGACGAACTGTCCATATAAGGAATAAGTGGCCCGATCACGACGCGACGTGGCGCGGCACATAAATAAGGTTTGAGCGCGACGCGACTTATTCCTCGCCACTTTCTAAGCAACGGCGGACTGAACTGCCCCTATTCGTCGTGCACTTCCGTCTTTCTCATCATGCGCACAAGACGGCAAGCAGCTAGTGAGATGTCGACGTCGGCCTCAAATCCCTCGAGTGCCGCAACGTCCACATTCACTACTCCTGTTTCGAAAGAATCAAGCCCCCCGACTTCTGTCGCGGACGAGGAGGTCAAGCCTAGTATGGCAAAAGGCAAAGGAAGGGCCACAAGATCAACTGCAAACAACAAGAAACGGGCAAGACAGAGCGACGATGAGTCGGCTATGAAATCTAACAGTGGCGCAAATGTGGCCAAGAAGCGAAAGACGGCTTTGCCAGTTGTTGAGATCACAGTACAAAAAAACAAGGTGCATCAGCTCGACCTATAAATACAAGCTCAAAGCTAATCGGTATGGTGTTCCTGCTTCGCAGACGTCTTCAAGGGTCAGGAAGGCCCGCCAACCTATACCTGATGAGGCCAGTGATGATGAGCAAGTCCAAGACGAGAACGATCATGTTAACAGTGTGGAAGAGTCTGACGATAGTGGCTCTGAGTACCAAGCCTCAGAAGACGAAGTTGCGCCAAATGGTCACAATGCATACGAAGATGACGATGCATCTGAAGTCGAAGAACAGGCTATGCTTCAAGCAGCTATCCAGGATTCGCTGGACACGGCTCGATTTAATGAAAGTCGCAACGTTGGAATGTCGAGTGCAGGGGCTGGTTCTTCGAAGACGCGCCTACCTGTCGACAGTGATACGGCTCTCAGAGCTGCTGCTGCTGCTGTTGCTGAGCGTCGCTTAGCCAATGACCGAGAGCAATCGCACGACAACTCAGATGTTGACGACTCAGATGCATTGTCACTCTCTTCAGATGATGTACCAATGGCCGGGAAGGGTGCATCAAAGATGTTGCAGAACTTGATAAAAGATACCAGCAAGACGGACTCAACATCCTGGGCCCAAACCCAGAAACGTAGGAGAGAGCAACGCCGGCAAGCGAGATTGGAGAAAAGTCAGATTAGCCAAGAGGAGGCGCGGTTGCGTTACAAGCTGGGTCGCAAGCTGACATACGTATGCTCTAATTGGCTCTAGCTCGGCGCTACAAGTGACTAACAGATGCATAGGCCGAGAAATCTACCCTTGCGTTGCATAGAAATCATCCAGATCTGAAAGACGTTTGGGGCGATCTAGAGAAAGGTGTTGCTATTGTCGAGCCTCAGAAAGCAGATCCACCGCTCGGCCTCAAAGTGACGCTACTCCCATTCCAGCTGGAGAGTTTGTTTTGGATGCGGAAGCAGGAAGAGGGTACCTGGAAAGGCGGTATCCTGGCAGTACGTCATTGCATTCTCACGTCCTCAATGTTTAGATCCTGACCCATTCTAACAGGACGAGATGGGGTACGTAGCCTAGCGCAGAACGATCAGGCAGCTGCTTAAAATTGACGCCTCTCTGTTTAGCATGGGCAAGACGATTCAAATGATCGCCATGTTAGTATCTAACGCTGGCATCAAGCCTAATCTTGTGGTCGCGTAAGTGGCCATCCTTCTTCGCCCCTTCCGGTCCGGAAGTAATGTTCACCCTACAGACCTACCGTTGCGATTATGCAATGGAGGAACGAAATCCAAGCACACACAGATGGTCTGAAGGTCCTTGTGTGGCACGGCGCATCAAGAGAAACCGACATCAAACAGATGCGCAAGTTTGACGTGGTCAGCCATCTTGGAGGAGGGTTATATCAACGTATTGCATCCTGACTCTTGATGACTTCCAGGTGCTCACTACGTACGCCGTCCTCGAAAGCTGCTTCCGCAAGCAGGAAAACGGGTTCAAGCGGAAGGGCAAGATCATCAAGGAGAAGTCCCTTGTTCATACCATTCACTGGCAAAGAATCATTGTTGGTGCCGTCTCTTGTGGTCCGCACATGGTTTTGCTGATCACATCTTTCTCGAGTAGCTTGATGAAGCCCACAATATCAAGGAGCGATCGACGAACACAGCAAAGGCGACGTTCGAGCTCCAGGGAAATTATAGATGGTGCCTTTCCGGGACGCCGCTTCAAAATCGAGTAGGGGAGCTCTACAGCCTCGTTCGATTCCTGGGTGGCGATCCTTTCTCGTACTACTTCTGTGAGTACCTGGAAGCTGACTCGATCGAAAAGTCCTGAAAGTCTACCTCCAGGCAAGTCATGCAATTGCAAGTCGTTACACTGGAAGTTTAGCGACAAGCGAAGTTGTGATGGTACGAGATCTTGCCGTGACCACTGTGCTGAGCTCACCGCCATTGTCAGACTGTGGCCACAGCCCGATGAAGCACGTACGTATTCCATATCGCTGGTAGCTACTGAATGCTTATCTCAAATCTTTCAGACCTGCTTGTGGAACAACGAGATTTTGACTCCTATTCAGAAGAACGGCATGGTGGGTCCCGGCGAAACTGCCTTCAAGAAGTTGAAGATCCTGCTCGACAGAATGATGTTGCGCAGAACGAAGGTATGAGCTCAACGACATTGCCGTCCTCGTCCTCAGTTTAAGATGTCCGTACTTTTCAGATTCAAAAGGCCGACGATCTCGGACTGCCTCCTCGTACGGTCGTCGTAAGGAGGGACTACTTCAGCCCTGAAGAGAAGGAACTATACTTGTCGTTGTTCTCTGATGCGAAGAGACAGTTCACCACTTACGTCGACTCGGGAACCATTTTGAACAGTTAGTCACCTTACAATCATTTAATCGCATCCGGTCTTGACTGATATCCGTCCGGTAAGACTACTCCAACATCTTCAGTCTGTGAGTATCAATTATTACTCAATGAAACCTACCATCTTATAATGCTTTATCCACAGGTTGACTCGCATGCGACAAATGGCTTGTCATCCGGATCTCGTCTTGAAAAGCAAGACTAACGCGGGAGCCTTTTCCAAGGAAGAATTTGGAGAAACAACTGTTTGTCGTATTTGCAACGACATTGCAGAAGACGCTATTCAGGCTAGATGCAGGCATATCTTTGACCGCGAATGTATAAAGCAATACCTCAACACTGCTATAGAGGCGACAGTATGTTCTCGCTCACGGTCAGCATCTGCTTGAAAGTCACTAATTCCTACTTCTGCAGCCCGCGTGTCCCGTTTGCCATTTACCCCTCACGATTGATTTGGAGGCTCCTGCTCTCGAGTTAGAAGAGAATGCCAAGCCGCGTCAAGGTATACTTGGTCGGCTAGACCTGGACAAATGGCGGTCATCATCCAAGATCGAGGCGTTGATAGAGGAGTTGACCAACCTGCGGAAGCAGGACACGACCACGAAGAGCCTTGTTTTCAGTCAGTTTGTTAACTTCCTCGACCTAATCGCATACAGATTACAGAAGGCCGGCTTCACTGTGCGTGCGCTCCCAGCCGTCGCTGTGCAAGGATATTGATGAGTTTGCAGATCTGTCGTTTGGAGGGAACCATGAGCCCTCAGGCCCGTGATGCCACCATTCAGCACTTCAGTGCGTCGTGTCCACACATAACCGCTGAGTGTTTACTGACGGCTATGAAGTGAACAACGTGAACGTTACCGTCTTCCTCGTGAGTCTGAAGGCGGGAGGAGTTGCGCTCAACCTTACGGAAGCGTCGCGCGTGTTCTTGATGGATAGCTGGTGGAATCCTGCGGTACGTTTGTTGCAGTACGTAATATCCGAACCGGTTGCCTGATGCATCTCCTTGCTCTAGGTTGAGTACCGTAAGTAGCTTGCGCTGTGGAACACCTCTTCCCATAATTGACTGTTTTATAGAGGCTATGGACCGGATCCACAGACTGGGACAACATCGCCCCGTCCAAGTGGTCAAGCTTGTGATTGAGGATAGTATCGAAAGCCGTATCGTTCAGGTTGGTGTCCTGTGGTGATTGTATCTTAATCAACATTGTCTCACGTTTGTGAACTTGTAGTTGCAGGAGAAGAAAGCCGCTATGGTGGATGCCACACTGTCAACGGACGACTCGGTGAGTTTGATATCGTCTTTCTTCACAGTGACTGCTTCTGACGATCTTGATAGGCCATGGGCAGATTGACACCAGATGATGTGCGTCTTTAACACAAATATCTCTGAGATGCGACAGCCTGCTGACCGACTTTACAAATTTCAGCTCGGATTTTTGTTTAGGGTGGGTCTCAACGCTTTCACGTGTGTGCTTTCGCCTCACCAGCCTTGCAGCTGTAATTTTTCAACGACGCCCATCAAGCACTAGGTGTAGGCGCGATGCACTGTCACGTACTATATACTTAAGGTAATTATGCTTCATATGTTGTCGTTCTCGTATCGCTCTTGCACCCATGTTATGCATAATCAAAAGCCTTCATCTGTACTGTCCACGTTGTATTGCCTGAGCTTGGCGTACAGATACAAGATGTCAGAAGAGTCCCGGGACTAATTTATACGGTGTCTTTCGAGCCCACTCAGCCCATTGCTCCTGGAATGTATCCCTGAGAACATCATCCTCTGCGCTCGTTCTCGCTATGATTCCTAGTGGCATGATGAGAAGAATAGCCAGCCAAGCGAATGCCACGGCCATGCCGCCGAGCGTGGACCACAGCTGCAGGCCCTCTGCCCAGAAAGAGCCGGGCGCAAGCTGTATTAAGGCAATACCGCTAAGAGCCATGACGCTGCCTGTGTAGGCAGGATGGCGAACGACGGTGTAGGGCCCTGTCGTGATGAGCTTGTGATCTTTGCGCAGGGCGAGCTCAAAGGTGAAATGGCGGCCGAGATGGCGATAGCAAATGAGGCGGAGGTTGGAGCCTGCAGCAAGGAGGATCCAGCCTACTACGAATGCAGTCGTGAGGTGAACTTCAAGCATGCCAGCCTGGGCTGTAACTGGACTTGGACGGATAGTAACACCTGGGAGATGTGCCAGGCTCCCGACGGAGTAGTGTGACAATATTGCGACAGTCTCACACAAGAAGGTCAACCACATTGAGGGCTGCGGATGCAGTTAGTCATGGAGGATTCGTCGTTAAGGAGAACCAAGCATTACCATGATCAGGAGCGGCGGCAACCACCTGAATATTTCTCTGAATTGCTTTGACTCGTGGCCAGCAAACTTCTCTTCTTCATGTTCCTGTGGGACACCATGGGGAGGCTTTCCGCACTATCGTTGAGTATGTCAGCCAATATAAACTTATCTGGACGCAGGTTGGGAGCCACATACCACTGCGGCAAAATAAGCCGCAGAGAGAAGCAGTGGGATCTTCACAAGGTGAGATACGGCGGTCATGATGAGAGATACTGCGGGATGCGTGGTTTGAGTAAATCCTCACGGACAGCGTGTCTTATAAGTTCCTTGTCTTCGAAGGGGATGGATGCTCACCGAGAGCACCGGTAGACGGCCAACGGACTTTACAACCGCACATTCCACAGTGTCTCAGCAGCCCGCCGATGCAGCCTACAGCGTGATGATCCGGCGACACCGGTTTCAACGACGACAGCATGCGGACTGAATGACACCTGCAGACGAACGGATCACATACCGGTGCAGATGTCTCGACCAGGATGATGAAATGACTTTTTGGCTGCGGCGATCAATTTCAACGAATGCAGGACTGATTCACAAACTTTGTTTCATTTGGAATATGATCTTCAAGCGGCACAAAGCTATTCGCCTGGCAAGTACGAAGACAAAATCGCCTACCTCCTGTCCACGATTGATATTCATGATAACATCTCGCTCTGAGCGGGCGCTGGGCATAAGATCGAGGATTTTGAAATAAAGTGAGTCATGGCCTCCCAGACGCTTCTGATACATTCCCTGAAGTATATTGAGCTTAGCCCGCATGGTCATGAATCAAATAATCATTAGTATTTTCGTAATGTCGGCGCCGACATCGACAAATTCCATTGTCTTGCATTATGATCGGGTTTCAACTGTCTGTTTTAGTTGAGCCTTATCCGCAACAAATTCGTGTGGAAGTTTCACCCACACTTCGCAGCAGATAGTGGCTGAGATGGTGGCCCTAAAGAATGCTGAATATAACAGTGCTTGCCAAACATAGTACTTGAGGCCATAATCACATGCGCGTCTCCTGGGGCCCCAGGTTTCCCATGGTTCTGATCGCATGGCGCATTACCGGACGTCCGGTTCGCATGCCCATGCTCGCTCATCTCAGTACCGTGATCGTCTTGCAGTGACCCCCGGCTCGCTCTACATAGGCCTCCATGGCTGCCGAAATGAAGTCGTTGACTTTTGACGAGGTATCCAAGGTGAACGATACGGAGAGCTTTTGAAATTGAAACATTTACTTATACCGGTGTTCTACGATGAAGCATAACAAGGAAGGCGATGTGGTGAGTCTATTTCCCGGGCAAACCTACCGGTGATAATTGAACTGAAATAATCACAGTGGATTGTTATTGATTCGAAAGTTTATAACATCTCAAAATTTGCCAACATGCACCCAGGGGGGACTGGCATTCTCTATGCCGAGTCGATAGGTCTGAGTGCATTGATGTGTGATTTATGCATACTCCTGATGGTCATGTCATAGCGGGAAAGGATGCTACGCAGGCCTTTTTTGGCTTGCATCGGCATGAGGTTCTCTTGAGACCACAATACGCACGTCTTCAAATAGGCACCATTGCTGGTGAGGAGCCCGTAGTGCAGCCTCTGGTTGCGGGAGACGTGTCTCGTGTACCTTACGCGGAACCATCGTGGCTGGCCAAGGGGTTCTTCAGTCCCTTCTACAAAGAAGGCCACAAGCGATTTCAGAGAGCAATGCGGAAGTTCGCAACGGAAGTCGTCTATCCAGACGCCATTAAGTGTGAAGAGAACGGAAAGCGAATTTCCCAAGAGGTCGTGGAGAAGCTGTGGTAAGCATGCACGCCGCCGTCTGCCACGTTGGATAATCAATGCTTCGGAGAAGCGAGATGAATATCCCTGCCATGCGTCTCGGTCCCGGGAAGCACCTGGAAGGACGGACATTACTTGGCGGTGTTATTACGCCGGAAGAGTTCGACCACTTCCACGAGGTGACCCTTGCGACTCTCGTAGCTCAACTGAGTCAACTGAGATAAGTGTAGCTGATTGTGAACTTTGAGCTCGCGCGCTTTGGCACGCGGGGCTATGTCGATGCCCTCCTCGCTGGAGAAGTAATAGGACTTCCGCCTGTACTCAACTTCGGGTCGCCTGAGCTGCGGGCGAAGGTTGTTCCCGAGGTCCTTGACGGGAAGAAGTTCATTTGTTTGGCAATCAGCGAGGCATTTGCCGGGAGCGATGTAGCTGGCTTGCAGACGACCGCTGTGCGCGAAGGCGATGAGTGGGTCATCACAGGGACGAAGAAGTAGGCATTTCCGTTCATAGTGACATATCGGGTGAATTTTTAGTTCTGACATCAACTGCCTAGATGGATCACGAACGGCGTTTTTGCGGATTACTTCACAGTTGGTTGTCGGAGCAAGGTGCGTCTTCCGTACCATGGCCGATGTGCTTGAAGTTGTTGTACTCACTCTGAATCTGACCAGGACGGCTATGTCGTAATCCTCGTGCCACGCTCAGACGATGTGTCGACCAAGGCGATCAAGACGGCGTACTCGCCAACAGCGGGTACTGCGTACGTGACATTCGAGAAGGCCCGCGTGCCGGTCGCGAACACGCTTGGCGAAGTGGGAAAGGGCCTGCAAGTCATCTTGAGTAACTTCAATCACGAGCGCTGGATGATCGTCTGCACGAGCCTGAGTGCGCAGCGGATGGTAGTTGAAGAGTGTCTCAAGTATGTTCCTGCCCGTTGTTCGCTCCGAAGTTGAAACGGGAGATCATAGATGCGCATACTGACATTGATAAATCGGACAGATGGGTGAACCAGCGCATCGTGTTCGGTAAGCCGCTGAGCGCGCAGGCGGTGGTACGTGCGAAGCTCGCAAGTATGATTGCACGCATCGAGGCGGGGCAGAGCTGGCTTGAGACGGTTACACACCAGATGAACAACGTGCGTCGGTGCACTACTCTGTATCACTCGACAGTCACCAAAACACCCCCTTGCCCTGTAGATGTCGTATGACGAACAGGCCGACAAGCTAACGGGTCAAATCGGCCTGCTGAAACAGTGCGTTCTGTCATTCAACTGATTGCGCAGGCTGACTGTGGTTGTTGCATTGGTACGGGACAGGTTCATCACTCGCACAGGACGGGAGACAGCTGAGGACGCGACGCAAATATTTGGCGGGCGGTCGATCACGGCGAGCGGGATGGGCAAGCTGATCGAGAACGTGAGTGGCTATGCCTGCTTGATTGACAGTTTAAGTGCTGACCTTTGGGGTGTAATTCGCCTGAGCAGTATCACCGCACATCCCCGTACGATGCGATCCTCGGAGGTCAAGAAGATGTGCTCGGCGATTTGGGGGTGAGGCAGGCCATTAAGAAGATGCCCAAGAACGTCAAGTTGTAGTCTGACGGTAGTTGCGATGATTTACTTGCACATGCTTGCGATTTAATAGTATGGTATATGTGCGTTGCATACATGTCTGTTTGTGCATCGATGGTCAGTCGATGACTCCAGAATGCTTGTTGATCGAGTCAACTCGATCACTCTTCCGGATCAAAGTTCATAAGCTTGTCTCAGCCACCATTTGCAGCCATCTACTCGTTTCCCTTCACTGCTCTTGTCCGTGGGCTCTATTGCAGTCATTCTGCGTGTGCGTGCGGATCTCCGGACAATCAGTCAAACGCGGAGATGTCAGAGGATATCATTCATCCTCCATTATTAGCCCAGACTGACTCAGCTACGAATCCGGAACATGTGCAATGGATGCGGCAAGCTATGCAAATGGTCAATTTACCTTTCATACTCTCTGACTAACGTTGGGATCTTACCGAGGATCTTCGTTAGGCAGAGATTGCATTAGCTCACGGCGAAGTCCCTGTGGGATGCATATTCGTGCGAGACGGCCGGGTCATCGCACAAGCTCGCAATCGGACCAACAAACTGCGTAACGTACGCCCGCAGTGACGACATCCTCGTGTTTCACTCGCACCAAGACACTGAAATCTAGCTCCTTGATGCGGCAGGCAACACGACACGCCGAACTGGAAGCCATCGATGAGATCCTTGCGGACAAGCAGTGGACTCCGGCACTTACCCCATACCCCCTCTCGGAAACGACACTCTACGTCACGGTCGAGCCATGTATCATGTGTGCTTCGGCCCTCCGCCAACTGGGCATCAAGGAGGTGTTCTACGGATGCGAAAATGACCGCTTCGGCGGATGTGGCAGTGTACTTGGTGTAAACGCAGAGTACGCATAATTTAATCGGATTCCGATCAAGTTCCAAATGATTTACTTCTTACACATAGGGTCCCACACCCTGCACACCCTGCTTACGAGGCGAAGGGTGGCTATCTGCGCGAAGAAGCCATAATGGTGCTGCGGCGATTTTACATAACCGAAAACGCCAACGGTATGTGGGACTGATCAGGGACGGCAGGCTGCCTCGTTTAAACCTTCCACAGCCCCGGTTCCTAAATCTAAGGCTAATCGCGTACTCAAGACGACTATCACCCCCCAAACATCCCTGCAATCGCAAGCTTGAAGATTCCGGGGTCGTCCGCAACTGCCATGACCGCGGCATCGTGTAACGCGCTCGTCAACGGTGGTCTTAACCTTGATACGCCGTCCGCCCTGCACTCTCGCTTCCATGCCATTGATTGGGGTACGTCATGGGTATAAGTGACGTTGTGTCGTGAGTAAAACGTCCGCGCATTAAATATGCAGGAGTCGTCATATATGAATGTAGCGAGGGATACTAGGTGGTATGGTACAATATGAATGTGCGTCTATGTGAACCAATAGCTATATACGTTACAGCATACTTTTACGTCGCCCTGTACCGTTGCTCGGGATTCTTTTAGGTAGCCGAGCATAAGGCACTATGGTCAACTAGGGTCGCCGTCCACGTTCTGAAAATTTCGTTGTTCTTTTCGCGCCGCCGTCGTGCGCAAAAGCCATGCGAGGTTCTCGTACACCACGAAGGTTACGCATGTCCCGGGCAGAACCCGTACAAAGTTCGTGCCGAGTCCGCGGTAGAAGCCACGGAACCCTTCCTCGAACCACGTCCGTCTAATGCAAGCTGGGATTGTGGGGTATAGATGTGCCGTTGCATTGTTCTGGACACACGTTAGCGCGGCTCCACAGGTAACAGAGAAGGGCAGCTACTGACCTGAATGCGCGACCGGATTACCTGGTAGGGGTATGTCAGGGCGAGGGCCCAGAGTTTACTGGCACCTGACATGATGGTGTATGATGTATTTGACTAAGGCGCATACATGAGCAACATGGCGGTGCGCGGCGAGAGGAAATGGCGTACCAATTTATCATCCTCAGGCTTGTAATCTTTTCCCTCCTTGGTAAATTGTCGCCGCTTCCGTTCAAAGCCCCACCGCTTCATCTCCTCGTAAGCCATGAATTGTATGGCACCGTTACTGACGCCGAACAGAGCTAGTGTGGTACCTCGATACAGACCGGGAAGACCCTCTGTGCGGTATATCGACGTAAGACCATCTGGGGCGATGAAGTTTGTCAGGGCTGACGAAAGAAGAGCGGCACTGGATAAGGAGCTCACGCCAAAGACCTCTGTAAGAGTCTGGACTCCCCGCGCGAGTGGTGAACATTCGGACCTTCACGACCCATAGAGGGTTGGTCATGATGGCTGTAACAGCGCCTGCGAAGGAAAAAGTAATCAGAAGCTCAAGCATGGCAGAATCTCTAGAATTTGCGAACTCGCTTCCGCTGAACACAGGAGATAAGAGCCGGGCGACAACTTGAAGTTCGGATCACCGCCTGCCGCGCGATTCTTGAGCATGTTGTAGCTGTGCAAGTGTCAGAGCCGGCTTACCCTTTCGTGGCCGGTGCACTCACAACAGGAAGTAGAAGCCCCAGCTGGCTGCATTTCCGGCAATATTGGGGGAGACCCCTCTGTAGAGGCCCCTCCAGCCCTGCTGTTCCTTGATTTCCTTCAAGGAAAGCCATATTTGTCTGCCGATACCACCTCGTGGCTTGTCCGTGGCAACCTGTAACTTTACCTTGAGGAGGTCCAGCGGATGCATGCAAAGCACCGCAACGACCCCCGCGCCGAGTCCGGCAAATGCATGGTCCTATGTATGACGGCGAATGAGCTGCGTTGCGTTACTGAGTTTTCAAATAAGCTTACAATGGCAGGTGTGGGGAAGAAGCTGGGTGGCTGCTGGTACATCCGAAGTGCGGTGGGGGAGGACACCGCGTAGTGGTAATCCGCAAGATGGGACTCGGGTTGCAAGACGTCTTTGCGGCGCTTGAGTACAGTCACATCGCGTCATAGTCGAGAAAGGGAATAGATTAGATTAGATGCTGAGGCGGGAGCTCGTCGCCCGCCTCCTTCCGTTACTTCGACTTATCGCTGGCGGCCCATTCGGTTACAGCATCGTGGATAGGGATATTTTGCACGAGTCCAGACACCTCAAGGTGTCTCCTGCAGGCGAGGATAGCGCATTACAAGGTTTGTCACATCGATGAACGGGTCTAGGCATGTCTCCCTCATATGTGTCTTGCCATAGGGCGTGTCTGTCTCGAGGGTCACGCTGATCCAAATCTGCCGAGTTAGGATCTGGGTGGCGATTTTTGCCCATTTGCCCCGGAGTATCGATATAGATTCACGCTCAGATAAATAGCACATGCTATGCGTGGTGCCTTCTTACGTGCTCCCAACGCTATCGAGCTTATAAGGCGCACCCTCCGTGCTCCGGTCCATACCACTTCTGTCCGAGCCATGCCTTCCCGTACTCAGTGGATCCCCAACCGTTACCCCCAGGCTCGTCGCTCTGACCACGTTGATGTCTACAAGAGCGAGACCAAGGGTGAAGTTCGAGTCCATGATCCGTACCAATGGCTTGAACACAATACCGAGGAGACGGAGCGATGGGTGACTGCCCAGGAAGGCTTCACAAGACAATACTTAGACCAGAATGCGGAGAATCAAAGCTTGGAAGACGAAATCCGCAACAACGAGAAGTTTGCGAAGGTTCGCGGCTTGCTATGCTTATCCTGTTCAATTTGCCCATTTGTTCCAGTTTTCTGCTCCAAGCTTCAAGCACGACAATCGGTGGTATTGGACGCACAACACCGGGTTGCAAGGCCACGCTAGTACGTAATTTCAAGGATATCCAGGCTATTTCTTTTCTAGAACACGCAAGGATGATGCAATAGGACCTGACGATTGACTACAGTCATTTATCGCTCGAAAGATGAGCGTCTTCCGGACTTCAGTAAAGAACAAGGTCCAGGCGGCGAAGTCTTCTTCGATGTACGTAATCACAACTCCACGTACTCCGCACGCAGTTGCCTTACTGGGCCGCTGGACTGCTTCACAGCCCAATCTGCTGTCTGAAGACGGGACGACCGCTCTCGCCACGGCATCATTCTCCCGGACCGGAGAGCATTGGGCTTACGGCCTGTCTCGATCGGTACGTGTTCATCGCGGTATGCTACGTCTTCTGACGGCAGCCAATTACCATCAGGGTAGCGACTTCTTCACGATCTACGTCCGCCCGACTTCTGCTCCCCTTGTTGCTTCCCCGGACGGGACGCGCCCATCCCACGACGAGGGCAGACTTCCGGAAGAAATTCGCTATGTCAAGTTCTCTGGCATCACATGGTCACCCGACTCCAAAGGATTCTTCTATCAGGTACGCTTTCGAGACATTAACGCTACATTGGGCTGCGACGCCGTTGCGTGACCGCCGCTCGATCAGTCCTAATACAACATCGGTATAGCGTTTCCCCACGCGCGAGTCGCATGGTTCTGCAGATCAAGACCTTGCTGGGACGGAGACAGACTCGGACAAGAATGCCACGCTGTACTACCACCGTCTTGGTACTGACCAGGGTGTGTTCATTACATCACACCGAGGGCCTTGCTGTGATCGTATTGACGAATGCTATTTCGATCGTATCATTCGATCACTCGTTAGCCGAGGATGTTCTAGTGCACAAAGACGAGGCGCATCCAGAATGGATGTGGGGTACGGAGATTACGGAACTGGATAAACGCTACCTGCTGCTGACGATCACCCGCGATACCGCTCCGGTACGTCCCGGCGCCCGGCGGTGAACCTTAGACATTCACAGCGGTCTTCCAGAAAAATTCTCTGTGGATCGCTGATCTGAAGGCACAAGCCATCGGGCCAAACATACAATGGGACAAGCTGGTCGACGACTATGTCGCTGAATATCACTAGTACGTGGATGCCGTCCCGACTATCGAGCACTTGGCATGGAGGTGTATTAGTGCAGCGTTGACCCACCCATGTCAGCATTGCGAACGACGGGACGAAGTTCTATTTCTTGACGAACAAAGACTCGCCGCAGTACAAGCTTGCCGTTGTTGATATCGCTGAAGCTCCCGAGAAGCGTGTCTGGAAGGATGTCATTCCAGAAGACAAGGATGCGCACCTTAGCGATGTCCTGGCTGTCAATGATGACTACCTGATTGTGAAATACAAGCGGAATGTAGGTCGTCACCGTAAGGCATTCATCCGAAACAATACTAATACAGCGCACAGGTCAAAGACGAGATTTACATCTACGACACGTCAGGCAATCGTTTGACCCGCGTTGCAGAGGATTTTGTTGGGGCCGCACACCTGTCTGGCAAGCGCGATCAATCATGGTTTTTCGCATCTTTGACAAGCTTTACGAATCCTGGAATTGTCGCACGGTACGACTTCTCCGAGAAGGACGAGGCCAAACGATGGGGCGTCTACAGAAAGACGCTGGTTACTGGTCTGAACTCGGACGACTTCATTGCCGAACAGGTCAGTTGATGTCCTCGTTGTCAATTATGCTACAAGACCAATGATGTATGCACATTATAGGTATGGTACAAGAGCAAAGATGACACCAAAGTTCCGATGTTTGTCGTGCGCCACAAGGATACAAAGCTGGACGGTACCGCTGCGGCACTGCAGTATGGTACGTAGTATTAGGCTCCTGCTCGCATTCCGTTCTTCACAGTCCCTCTCACAGGCTACGGCGGCTTTGCCATATCTGTCTCGCCGTTCTGGAGCTCTTCGATACTCACCTACCTCCAGAAGTACCGATCTATCTTGGCTGTGCCTAACATCCGCGGAGGTAATGAGTTTGGTGAAGACTGGCATCTGGCCGGGACAAAGGACCGCAAGGTTAGCATTACTTCAGTCTCTCCAATGTGATTTATTTTGAACCATTCGCACTAGGCCAATTGTTTCGACGACTTCATCGCCGCGTCGTACGTATGCACACTTTAGCCTCGATTTCATGAGACTGATCCCCCTCCCGGAACAGTGAATTTCTTGTGGAGAACAAATTCGCGGCGCGGGGCAAGATCGCCATCAACGGAGCGTCCAATGGAGGTAGATCAAACTCACAAATTATCGTAGAACATCACAACAGCTGTCGTATTTCTTAGGCTTGCTTGTAGCCGCATGCGTTAATCGTGCACCAGAGGGGCTTCTCGGTGCCGCCGTTGCAGAGGTCGGCGTTCTTGATCTTCTCAAGGTATGCCTCTCCATCGCGTTGGACCATATTTACTGACAGGGATGGTCTATCAGTTCGCTGATTTCACAATTGGTAAGGAGATCGAATTGTTGAGTTAGTTGTTCTCAATTTCAATGTTTTTGTAGGGCGTGCATGGACGGCTGATTACGGGGACCCGCATGATCCCCATGACTTCGACTTCATATATCCCATCTCACCGGTACACACTATCCCTACCGATAAGGTCCTCCCGCCGACCTTATTGATGACCGCCGACCGTAAGTGCTCTCGTGGTCGTGACCTAGGACAATGTGTCAACACACCGAACTTTTGTTATTAGATGATGACCGGGTAGTTCCTTTACATTCTTTCAAGCACGCAGCTACTTTGCAGCACCTACTACCTAACAACCCTCATCCCCTGGTTATCCGTATCGACAAGAAGTCCGGGCATGGCGCGGGCAAGTCGACCGACAAAAGGTATGGAACCTGCTGGTCATGGTTTCTCAAGTGTTGACCGACAATTGTCGATAGAATAAAGGATGCAGCGGATAAACTAGGCTTTATCGCCCAGTCCATAGGGCTCGAGGCAAGACATGGTTAATATCCCAGTTGTTGCGAGTGGGCAAGTGTTGACGGGGACAGTGTCAGACGTTCTTGGGCACCATAAATTATAGCCTTGCTATCTCTGTGTTAGTCTGAATGATGCCGGACAATCTTTTCCGTACATCGCAGTGGCATGCTACTCTCCTGGGACCTAACGCATCCACATCTTCCATTCGTTCTATAAGCATTGTCCTTCGAGTCGGCAGAAAAAAAATGTTTCACGATTCATACAAGGCATACGATTACTATGTTACTTGCCAGGTAATCTAAGGATTGTATACTGAATTGATAGCAAAGGATGCAGAACAAAGGTGAAGTCGACACTGACTCAGCAAGTTACAACCAGGATATCCTATTGGGATGCAAGGCGATGGTCCGGAAAAGTGGGCTTACAATTTGGAAAACTAAGCCATTGTTTCCAGGATCTGCTCATCCCCGATTGCGCACACTTCGAGTTCAACAGATCTAATGATATGGTGACACTGAGAGAAGAATGCAATGAAAGTTCGAGATCAACTATCATCCGTATCCGTATATGGTGAGCAAAGCCATCAACAGCGTGCGAAGTGTGACACGGGCAAGCCCGGACGCCGGCCCAGCATGGACGAGGCCACTGGCAAGAATCTTTGACCGAGCCATCCCCCGTCGACGCCCTTGCAGCGTCCAACTACTTGAGCTCGCTCCTGTGCTGGAGCTCTGAGGCTGAACTGGTAGGGTGGTGTTTTTTGTACTCCGAACATTACCGGCTGAGAGGTGACGGAATAGTTATGCAAGACACATGCCATGCCATTGGTCAACAACGGCCAATACCATACTGCATAGCGTTCGTCGCTCTGCACGAGCACTCTCTCCATGGCATAAAACCCCGCCACGTAATTTGGCTCTAGGGCACCGAGGACTCGCGTCAAGTCGCCTACGCCCATCCTATGGGGCCGCATTTCTGTCTTCCTCTTCCTCTTTCCATTTCGCCACTCCAGCTCTCGCAGGACATTCCCCCGACCTCCCAGACGATGTACATTCTGCAAAGACAGACCTCTCTACGATATTAACGCCAGCTCAAACCTCTCGTGCCGCTGCTCAAGCCGTCAGGCTTTGTGCGCAGGACGGAAAATTCGGTGATGCCTTATTCCTCGTCAACTCTCTGCACTTCTCCATTCACCGTGACACAAACATGTTCACCAAGCATAGCCCGCGTCCGGCAGACTCTCGCTCTCAACGGATGGTGCCCATCGACTTTGGCCAGGCGGTCTCTCCTCGGCTTGCCGCCCATGCGTTTCTTCACGGTTTGCTTCGCTCTGGGTATCCGACGAAGGCAGCGACGTATGCGAGGATGATGATGGAGCAAGGCATACGCATCCGCGCTTCCACGACACAATCCATCATTCATACGCTCACGCCAAAATATGCTGAATCGCTCAAACTCATGTCTTTGACGAATGTCTTCTCTCGGCTGAAAGTGGCGGAAGGTCCAAAGGTCCTGGAGCTACGCTCTAGTCTAATCGGCGATCCCTGCACACGGGCAGCTGTCAAACTTTTGGAGAACGCTCGCGTCTGGGGACAGCAGCGCTCGGAGCGCATGTGGGAGAACGTCATCAAAACCACATTGATGCAGGGCGAGATCATAGTCGCCTCGCTGCTCTTCGTGCTCTTGGTCAAGGACTGGGAGCTCCGCAAGGCTCTTGCTGATGCTGCTCGCGAGCCAGACGACATAGTACAACCGACCAGTAACAAACAACCTTTTCGTCTCCCACCAGATGTTTACGCTCGCCGATCTCCACATCCGTCGGTGCAAATCATGAACCTGATATTGAAGGAGATAGATAAGGGATTATGCAGGACCCCGCAAAGTACCGAGGATGAAGGATACAAGGTGATCCATTTGCAGGCCCTCGCAATGTTTGCCATGCTTTTGGATACCGGTCAGCTACCCCCTCACTCTAGGGCCGCAGTCATACGTTTTCTATACTCCTGTCCCAAGCTCTATGACTTCGTGTGGATCAAGAAGCACAATGGTCGAGCTATTCGCGTCTGCGCATATCCCTACTTCCAGCAGGTCCTCATGCGCCTGATCGAGTCTCTTCGTACCCCGTGCAGGAGTAACGGCATGCGCCTCGATCTGCGGTCATACAACGCTCTTCTCTGGTATGCGCTCCGTCATCGCCTCTCACCCGATTTGGCGTCGCGCGTACTGGATCATATGTGCAAGTACAGGGATCCACCGCTGCAGCCAAACGTAGTCACTTATAACATCCTTCTCCGTGCTGGAACGCTCGTGCGGGAGAACGATATCAGTGAGACTGCATTGCAGGCATTGAGGAGGCACAAACCGAATCACGAGTACGGTATCACAGCTGAGCCTCCTGCACATCGTTCTCGGAAAGCCGAGCAGGATATCAAGGTGGAGGATACATGCGGAGATGATGAGTCCAAGCCGCCGACGGTCTTCTTTGCTGGCTTGCGCCGGCTCGCGACAGAGCAAATGCGGGTACCAGAATCGACCTTCCTTTCTCCCACTTTGGCGGATGCAACCACGCTCAACAGCTATATCACCCACCTGACATCTTCAGGCTCGCCGGAGGTCGTTGCAGATGTCCTTTTCATCATACTGCCCGAGCTGCGTATCATTGACCACCCATCCTGGGGCTCGTTAACCTCAGCACAGCGCGGCGCTCTCAGGCGGGAATCCAAAGAGGTGTGTCTGCGCCGTGCAGTCCGACATGGACCGTACGTCTTCGCCGCTATCCTTAACGCGCTGGTCAAAGCAGGAAAGCTCGGGCTCGCGGAGCGGGTGTGGCTCCTGGCGAAGCAAGCTGAGAGTGCCAGTTGGATCCCTGGGTTCGTGCCAGGCGTCGCGCCTTGGTTCCTACCTATCCACGCGTACACAACGATGCTTCAGGGCTATGCGCACGAAGCGCGGAAGCGCATATCGCGGCTACGCCGAGAGCACGATATGACGGGTATGGCATCGCATGACGACGAGCAGGTATGGAGGGCAGTGTCAGCTCCCGCGGCTGGATGGGCTCGCTTCACCTACGTTGCGAAGCAATGGCAGATTAGGACGAAGACGCGGCGGGCGTCATGGCCCTTCGGCGTGGAGGCATTGCTGTATCGCTGCATGCGGTCTGGTGGGCAGATGGTTTATAGGTCCCTCATGGCGTTACGGGGGTACGCCCCACGGTTGAAGGAGTCCGGCGGTTTGCCTTGCTCAGATGCTCGTTTCTTCAATGCGGCGCTGGAGCTCTTTGGTCGACATCCGACCATGCAGCCTCGCGCAAAGGCGCGCCGTAATGTGCGTTGGATTCGCAAGTCACGCCTTGCCTACACACACGAACAGCAGAGGCGCAGCCCGCGACTATCAAATTCAGGACTGTGGGAAGTCGCAAACGACATGCTTGTAGCAGGCTTTCGCATCCCTTTGGGCTTTCAACACCTGTTACCTGCGGGTCTCGCATCGCGTTCACTCTCTTTAGCCCAGCCTACTCGCACTCTTGATCGCCGGCCGTATGCGTTCCCTCCTGTACATAGTAGGTTCGTTGCTCATGGTGTCTGTGCAATTCGGACTCGAGGTCTTCCGCTTCGGCGCAGATTGCGTCGTGACAAGCGGAGAAAAATTAGATAGATGTACCATTGTATCCAGTGTATTATAATCCATCCGTCTAATAGCACAATGCGTCCGGTGCTCCGCTATTCTCTGGTGCAACTTCATCGTCCTTCTTCCGTTGCCATTTGGGAGGTTTCTGGACCCTTTTTGCTTTTAAAGGACGGACAGGCAACGGTGCTGGGTCGTTGTGGCCCTGGAGGTATACGACAGCTATTGTCTGTGAACCACCCCTTGGCTTCCATTCACTCCCCACGTCCGCCAGTAAGTCAACAGTCTCCTGCACTCGGGCCTCCATCTCCTGCGGCGTGGGCTTAGCATGCCCCTTCTTATGCGCATACACCAAGTTGACCCTATTCCCAGCCTCCAGCTCCTCGCGCACCTTGCTCAGCTTATGTTCCAAGTCGCCGGACGAGATACCCCACGTCAGCTGAATCTCCTTCTCCTCCCGCGGCCTCTTCTCCCGCTTCTTTTCCTGCTGTGCCTTCACCTTATTGAAGGCATCGCTACCTTTGATGATCTTCACAATTGGCTCTGGTTTGGTGGCGACGAGTTCGACCCATTCTTTCTTATTATCGAGTCGGGCAATCACCTCAGTGAGCGGGGCTGGAGGCTCCAGTGCGGACGTGTCCGGGTTGACGAGTCTGACAAGGCGATATGGAATGTCATGATTGCGTGGTCGACCTTCCGGCTTGACCTCAACCTCAGGCTTGACCTTCAGTTTGAGATTGTAGGCCGTCTGGTGGAAGCAAGCGGCGCGCACGCTTGGGCCCGGGAGCTGGACACATTCGCGTAGGCCGATGCTCCGAGACGCTCTGAAAGCCGAATGTATCATCGGCGCGCTGCATAAAACTATAGATGATGCTGGATACCTTTGTAAGGCAGCAAACGACACAAGCAGAAAGGCCAGGGCTTACCGTCAGAATGTTCGGTGGCTGAAATTGAATGATGGGTGACGCGCCGGCGGAAGGATCAGTGCTTGCCATTATTTACGACTCTTTACACCGGTTGATGTCTCGACATAGTTCCGACTCGCCATATTTACTGTAAACTTGGAGCTAATTGCAATACATACGACGCGTTTGTGGTCTCCTCTCAGAGCGGTTGTTGAAGGACATTCATAGTCTGCGATTTTTGTGATTACTATTGTTATTATATTCAAAAATTGGCGATGACAGCGTATTTTACCGTGGGAGAGTTCTTGGGCGCCGTACTCTCGCGTAGAACCTTGCACTGAACCCCACGGTAAGGTTTGAGTTGGGTTTCGAGACATCAGCGACGACGGCTGCCATTGTCAAAAGCTTGCAAACCATTTTGTTCTAGTCTTCAGTCATTGCGTGACGATGAGCTACGGTCACCGCCGCAAACAATACCGAGGTGAGGGTGGCAGGACAACGTCTGCTCCGAGCAGCCTTCCAACCATTGCCCTCCATCAGGTGCCGACGAGTATGACAACGACCGTCGTCGTGAGGTGTACGATACGCCAGAGCAGAAGCTTAGGAAGAGCATAATAAACCTCGGGGAGGTGGTGAGTGCTCTCTTGCATGGCTTTCTCAGAAGCCAGATTCAACCGCCCGAACCCTAGGACCCAGTGCAGGAGTTACCCCGCTTGGCGAAGCAAATTAGAGAACAAGTCCCACTGAGCGTACCTGCTATCTCTGAGGGGTTCCGGATAGGGTATGTCCATGTTTAATAGTTCGAATGACGCATATTTATTGAAACTGACCTACAGAGTGACCGAGCAACCATTCAAAATCCCGTTCTATGCAGCGCTTCTTCGTCTTCTCTATGACCCGGACCCAGATACGCCCGATCAGTCCTCATCAACTGACGCATCTCCCTTGGGAAGGCAGATCTTGGAAGATTATTGGAAGGGATTCCAGGCATTTTTGGACAAGCTAGCGTGGAGGGAAATCCGTCTTTGTGTGAGTACTATAGATGTATTGAGGCCGGCGTCATCTCTGATGAATCTGGCAGATACATTTTTTTGCGCATCTAACAGTAGCGAAGCTCATCTCTCCTGACTCCATGTTCGAGGTCTTGAAGGCGTTCACCGCTGTTTTGGAAGAGTTTGGTGCCTCGCACGGCCGGGCGATGAAAGCCGCCCAGTGTGCCGCGGAAGGTCTTATGATGGTGAGTCGAACTTCTGGTGTAGCATTCTCGGTATGTCTCGGTGCTCATACGTCTCTAGTCTGGCTCTGCCATCAAGCAGGATCCCGCTACGGATGTCTCTCAAATCATTGATGCTATAAGCTCTTATATAGACTCTGTCACGGTCTCCAAGACACTCGTGCAACCCATCGTCAGGTTGTATGGGGAGTCACCATTGGTCGAACACGCCGACGAGGTATGCTTTCACATTCATTCAAACTAGCTGACCCTGACTGCGTTTATTCACAGCTCCTAGACTCTGCTTTGGCTGCCTTGAAGGTTTTGAATGAGAGCGATTTCGCTCAAACAGCAGACAACATTCCTCAACCCTACGCCGATTTCCCGGCACTCCCTGACGAGCCGTTCGACTTGCCCTCCATCCTCGTTCCACCAGAAGTCATTGAGCTTGATGGCTTGACCACTGACACTGGCGAAGATGCCCAAGTCAAGAAGGAAGAGTGGCCACAGTATTTTGTTCGTCTTTTTGACGCTGACGTGAGTGTGCCGTTACATTGTGGCTTTTCTGTCTTCATACGTCCCGTGTCTGTCAGATAACGCCTGATCCTACTACACCTGTGGGATATGCGTTACGCTCAGGTATCTTGGACCTCATCGACATCTTTGAAGTCAATCGCAAGGAGTGTGCTCGGCTACTCCTAGAGTTCCCTAAGTGGCAGCTTCCCGGCACTTTCAAGCCCCGGCCAGGTGCACCTCCACAGGAGCCGCTACCAGGCAAGGATTGGCAGCTGGAGAGCACAATCATTGAGGTATGCACCGATACAATTTTCTTATGTCTCCCTCCTCATGCGTAACGTCTAGGCTGCTCTGGGCTCGGTATTCCTGCTGCCAGAATCAGCTCACAAGCCTGTTTACTACATTGCTCTTATCACGGAGTTGTGCAAGCTGTCTCCCACAACGGTTGGCCCTGCGGTCGGCAAGTCGATACGGAAGCTGTACTCGTTTTTGGCGGACGGACTCGACGTCGAAGTTGCACATCGCTTCGCTGACTGGTTCTCTGTCCACATGAGCAACTTTGGTTTCCAATGGGTGTGGAGAGAATGGTGAGGCATGCCTCTCCAGTGCCGAGCAAGCCGTATTTGACTTACATGCCATACGCAGGGTGCCCGATATCTCCCTGTCTATCGGCCATCCCAAGCGTGCATTCATGCGGCGTGCGATCGAGTTTGAGATACGGTTGTCGTACTACGACCGGATTCTCAAAACTTTGCCCGAACCTATGCAGGCCGCGGACGCTTATGTGATGCCCGAGGAAGGCCCCGGCCCTGACTATGAGTACGATGATCCAGGTAACAGCTAGCGCACAGCTTATCATTTCGCTTGCTAAAGCTTTGTATAGCAAAACCGTATTACGAGGCTGCTCAGTCTGTCTTAAACCTCATGCGAGGTCGCACAAAAGCGGAGGACGTCGTATCTCACTTGGACTCATTGAAGAACACGTTGTCGGAAACCGCTGACGGTGACGTGAACGTCAACGCTGTGCTGCGCTCCATCGCCGTGCAATCGCTCCTTAACATTGGCTCGCGCTCATTCTCGCACTTCTTGAACGCCATCGAACGCTACCTTCCCCTTCTCCGAAACCTCGCGTCCGGTAGCATAGCGAGCAACACCGGGGGGTCGAACGTCGAGGCGCGTATGGACATACTCGACGCGGTGTCATCGTTCTGGAAACGCAGCAAGAACATGGTTGTGATCGTCTTCGACAAGCTGATGCAGTATCAGATCGTCGATCCGACGGACGTCGTTGCGTGGACCTTCACTCACGGAGGCGTTCATCCCGCGGCAGGAGAGAAGACAACCTTCAATGCATTCCAGTGGGATGTACTGAAAGGCGCGCTTGACAAGGCCAATGGTCGTGTCATGATTGCGCGCAGGAAAGTCACCGCTCTGAGAAAAGAAGAGGATGATAATGCAGCTCGGGTAAAAGCTAGCGACAGTGCTACTGCGTCTATGGAAGTTGACGCTGAGGCTAAGCCAGGTAATACGCTTTGCCCTACTAATGCAACATTCAGGACTGACGCTCGCATAGCTGTCATGCCGGCAGCTGAATCACCAGCACTGTCTACTGCTCTTAAGGCATTTACAACACTGACACGGGAACAGAAGGCTGCACTCTCTCGCACACTTGATGGCTTCGTCAGCTATCTTGCGGCTGAAGACCGACTGAGTTCCCTCGCTGGTGACGTAATCACAGAAAAGGCATGGCAAAACCGTGCCAACTGGGATCAGCCTGAATGGAACACATGGGAGACCTGGTGTTGGTATCGTCATTTCAGCCGAACGGTGAGACTCGCCGCTTTTTGAAGAACCTTCGTTGTTGACTTCGCTTGCAGTACTCACCCTACCTGAGAAACTACGTCAACACACTGGCGGATGCAGCATTAACGAAGGTCAGCTCGTCATCTGCCGACCCAGCAGCAGACTTGTTCAGGAAGACCTGGAACATCGCAACTGGACAGGAGGTGTGAATGTACTGACCGTAGCAAACTTCTCCGTGTTGCTCGTGCGTTTTCGATAATTATGTCTATCGTATTATTATAAGGTGGACGCTGCTGCCCATTTCGCTGTTCTCCGATCCACTCGTTGGAGGTGCAATCGTCATGCTGGTAGGATTGAGCTGGTGAGACTGCCGCTCTAACGCGAACGTTCGACGCGCAACGTCCATCGTATATCATCAACTTCGAGTTAGTAACTAATATGCTGTGAAGCCGTGCAGTTGTCTCGTCAAATCGTTGGATCTCTTGTGGTCGGTTTTGCTATCCGTGCGCCCATCATTCTCATTGCTATCGATACGTTCTCGCTGCGTTGTCCTCATGTCTGTATTATTCGGCTCATGCAGTCTTTGCCATGTCTTTATGCTCTCGTTGTTCTTACACCACCACTGTACCAGTACATCGTACGGTTGTCCAGAGTGTTCTATACCTTGTAAATATGTATTACTACTGTAGATATCCCGCATAGTTCTGTATATATGTACAATACCGCTGTACGCCCTGGTCTTCAACACTCCTGTATATCTTCTAGACATAGCTCGTTATTATCAGTGCTCCGCAACACGCAGTGAATGGAGAATCAGTCCTTCTTCGGTTTCTCCTTTAGAATACTCTTCTGTACACCTCCGAGAGAATAGCCCACTGTCCCGAGGAACACGAGGAACGCCCCGCTCCACAACCCGAAAGCCCGCACGCCTGTGGTACTGAACAGCATGACGCTGATGACCAATGAGACCGCCTTGCGTACAACGAGGATCAGGGTCACCGTGAGCGATGAGACGCGAGATGTCAGCCTGTGGACGCCGGCGACGCAGAACAGCTGTGTGATGCTGTTCAGCAGAAGCGGGACGAAGGCCTTGGGTATGAGCAGTCGGCCAGGGGTGATGATGGCATTATCCGCATCTGCAAAATACCATATAGGCTGGCTCGAGTTGGTGTAATGCGGTGAATACGGCAGGGTAATATCGTATTTGGGACCTGCGCTGATGGCGTGGAACTGAGCAAGCAACTCGTTCCGCATCAGGAAAAACATGGGCATGGAGAGGAAGTGCAGGTAGAACATCGATTCCTCCCATGGCGCGGTTTGGTTCTTTGCGACAGCGACCTTGCTTGCACGGCCGGCGCCAGGCGCAGGGCGTCCGTATTTCGCGTACATCCTGTCCTGGACGATACCAAGCAATCCCGAGAGAACGAGGGCGAGTGTGAGGATCGCGATGCCCATTGCATAGCGCAATGGGTCAGCGGCCGCATCTGAGTTGGGGACAAGCGTCGACCGCGATTTCGGCCTGGGAGCTGAGGCGGACAGCGTGGTGACGACGACACCCAAGGTGACTGAGATCACTGACAGGATCTGTAATGTACTATATCTGCAGGCACCCATCCGCTCAATAGAAAAAATGCAAACACACAAGGGACATGCCTACCTTCGGCCCAGTATCACCCAGTTTAATAGCATGCTGATCACCAGCCCGGCGCTCCGAAAGATGATGTGGACCGGCATCGGGATAGAGTACGCAAACGCGGCATTGTTGAGCAGAGAGACAGAATAGAAGATCACGACTTGGACTAAGAATGGCAGAAGGGGTATTCGTCGTGGCTTTAAATGGGGGTATGGCTTGAGGGAAACAAATCTCGGCAGCCCATAGAGCGTGATGAGTAGAAATTGACAGAATGTCAGCAGTTTGCCTGCGTGTGGGTAGTCGTGTGTGAGCTGTTCGAGAGTGAGTGCATTGCTAGGACAGACGCATACTTCAGAAACAGGAGTCGTAAGGTGAAGGCGCGCTCGTACCTGCAACAACCCCCAAATATGAGCGACAGCGTCGGAATCCAGTCCGAGAGCATCGGGACTGTCTGATAACACTTTCAAGGGGAACAGATGGCAGGGGATCACAGTGCAGTCGAGAAAGATTGGGCGAAGCAGCGCGTAGCATGTCAGTGACTGGAATAGGCAACGCTGGGCGCGCAGCACGAGGAGAGGGCATGTCCACGTAGACGCGTTACGTCACGCGTCGTGTTGCACGCGTCTTACTTGCTGAGCGGCCACACGCGGCGTTGGCACGAAGTTATGGCCACATGATGGCATACTGTGCGCGATTATATTCTCAAGTACGTATAGACGTTCATGAGTCGCGGAAGAGAGTGGAGTGAGGCTATAGTAATTGTCCCTGGGGCGTGTAAATACTATAGCAACTGGGGAGGGGAAGGGAGGTAGGATGTGGGTAGGTGTGAACAGTCCATGAACAGTCAACAAAATGAGAAGAGCGCATGGACTAGCGTCGAAGGGAGGGCAGAAGTTGGGTGGTAGATTGTCCGGCAAATCCTAGAAGGCAAACAAAACAAACCGAAGAAGTGTCCGTATCCAAAAAGAGAGGCAGTGGTAGGGGAAAAGAGCGAGGGGTTTGATCGTAGTCGTCCTGGAATCTCTATGGCCACAGCGTACGACGACAAGGGAGGCCAGGGCTTCATGCCTGCGCCTGAGCCTGAGTGCGGAAAAGTGCAGACTTGGAATGCGCAAGCCGACGGAACGCACTGCTGACTCCGTGTGGCTCCGTCGTCTCTACACTGTCTGCGCCATCTCTGTCCTTCTCCTTTTCTTGACCCTTGTTCGTAGTGCCGAACATCCTACTGAGGAATCCGCCAGAAGAGGGCCCCACGTCCGAGGCGTTGCGGGGCATGACAGGCATTGTTGCGCTAGGCGTCAGCGATGACTGAGCATGGCCTTGTGGCACTGTGGCAAAGGTGTTCGCCCTCGTAGCGCCGAGACCTCTGCCGACTCCTGGTCTTGGTTCAAAGTCCATTGCAGACTCAGGAGGAGACGGAGAAGACGCCTGGGACACAGTGCTAAGACCAGAAGGCTTCCTGACCTCGGAGACGGTTGAGTCAGACTTGACGGTGCATGTTGACGCAGTCGAAATCTTCCTTCCTTGTCTGAATGCGTACGAAGGCACCGGCTGCAAGGCGAAAGTACGTTCGGCGACCTCATTCCGTTCCGTCTCCTTGATCTCGACCTCACAGTCAGAAGAGTCCGGCGACGACGGTGCCGAAGAGCCGCTGTCAGACGTCAGAGAGCCAGCCTCAGAGTCGCCGCTAGTACTAGCACTGTCAGAGCCGCTACTGCTTGAAGACTCGCGTGCCACAGGCTTAGGGTGCGGGCTGTTCTTTTCAGGAGAGCCAGAGGCCACGCCGAGGTACTGCGTAGAGATCCGCTTCATGAGCCGCTGTACACCAGACAGAGAGCCACCAGGGGAGGGCAGCGGCGTGTTGACATCGTGCGGCGGTGTTGCTGGCAGCGAGATGTGCGCCTGGACACGGGCCTTGGCGCGGCTGACAGCGGCGGCACGCGCCTCCTTTGCCGACGCGAGGCAAGGCGAGCGAAGCTTAGGCATGAAAGGCGCGAAATGCAGAATAGCCTCCAGCTCGTCGAAGCGTAGGTCATAGTCCAACAAGAACAGAAGCTGCTTTTCCATCAGGTTGATCTCCGCGAGGTCGAACAGACTTGCGTAGACGCCCCAGCACTTATTCTTCGGCGACGAATCGTTGAGGTACTTTGCAGCAACGATGAGGGTCGCCAAGAAGACGCGATGTCTTGTGCAGGGCATTCCTGACACACGACGTAAGCGAAAGCTTATTTGAGCCGAGTTGAACATACCCTTTGCCATCTTGGGCAGCTTCGAGCGGAGCCGCTCCAGGTAGATCAGCGTGGTCAACAATGTCGGCACCTGGACGTTGGAGGCTTGCACGATCATGATGATGAAGTCCTGGAGCGTGGGCAGCGTCGGAGCCTGAGGCTGCGCCTGGAGCACCTCGGTTTCGCCAAAGTTCGCCTTCTGCGGTGTATGCGGAGGTGTGGGCAACGCAGCAGAGTCCTCGCCGAGGCGGATGACGCGGTTCGCCTGGAGCGCAATGTAGCAGATCATGTCATACGAGACCGGCTGGCGCATGAGGTCGACGAGCTCCGGGTTGTGCACAGACCTGGGAAGGAGAGACGCAGGGTGACGACGATCAAGAGACATGATTATGAGGGAGAGTGGGGTATTTTAGAGGTGGGGTGCCCTTCGAGGGACAAAAAGCAAAGAGAAAGAAAACAAATGAAACGCTGGGGAAGAGGAAGAGGAACGCGGGGAACCCTTTTATACTTGAACCAAGCCGATCGACGATGCGGGACAAACAAACGACGCGTCGCGTCTGACACTCTCGATCACCAGCACGTCGTGTGATGAGTTGAACAGCAACGAGTAGCAGAGCAGTAGCAGGGGGCAGAAGCGAGCCTCACAAGACACACACCAGCGCATATATACCGCCCCTTGCAGTCCTGACCAACGCCACTCCACGGAGGCTGACAACGTCCATTGACACAGCACATACACACAGCAGCGCGAGCAACATGCAGCCTAGCGTCACAATCAGCATATCGAGACCAACTATATGAGCTTCACGTATGCAGCGGGCACAAGACCCCTCCTGCCGTCGAGTTCGCCCGTCCACCTGCATCGTGTCTCAGCATGGGCGCGTTCAGAATGAAGTGGAGCTTGCATACCAGTCGTCTGAAGTTCGTTCCACGATGAGAACCCTCTCGCCCTCTTTGATTTCGAGATCTCCCGGATCCTGTCGCATTCTCCGTCAACGAGGGTCTTTCGAACGGTAACAGCCGACTCACCTCGCTGGAATAGTCATACACGACCTCAGCCCAGTCGCCCTCGGGCTCTTGATGGGGCCGCGGAGGTGGTGGGGGTGGTGGAGAGGGTGCCGTCTCCGCTCTCGATGCAATAGATGTAGCTGAGTTTACGCGCCTGACCGGCGGCGGCGCCCCCAGATTGTTCTTTCGAGATGCAAACGCGGGAGGGGTGGGCGGCGCTACCGGCGGAGGAGTCGCTGTCTTGTTCGCCGTTGAGTTGCGCAGCGACGAAAACATCGCCTTGCCCGAAGAAATGTCGACATCTCCAAATTTCTTCAGACGGTGTGTTACCTATTATAAACTGCTTAACGTGGGCGCGGGGTATGCTCACCTTTTCTTCCTGTAGACCTGTGGGCTTGGAGCGGGCAGGCGGGCGAGGGCCTTGAGCAGTAATAGGGGAACTAAACGCCGCGGCGGCGGCGGCTACACGACCGAAAGATGGCCTCGAATCGGCTTCCTCAGAGGCCTTACCATGCACAGGTCAGCTGTGGGCTTGTACTCGATCTCTCGCAGAGGCCCTGTGCTTACCGGTGCAGCTGGAGGGGGGATGGCTCTCCTGAACCCGCTGGCTGCGTTCACAGCGGAAGCGACGTCCTTGGGGCTGGTCTTACTGAACGCACTCTGTAGTGCGGATGCGGCAGCGGCGTGCCCCGCCTCTGGGGTGACACCGCTCGCGAGCAGATCAGGACGGGCGGAGAAGTATCTGAGTGTGCATAGTCAGGATGTCAGTGTCGGGGTGACTTTGAGTATGGCGTCCGATTGTGGCCACACGGATCGCGATCGTGGAGATCACTCAACTCGTCGAGGAGGGAGAAGAATGCATCCTTCTCGTGCGCGGAGAGATTGGCGAAGACCATGTTCGCGGTTATAGAGATACCTGTGATGTCCTTAGATCATTGCTTGGTGGTTCTGAAGAGAGGGGGCAGGTGGTGGTCGCCAAGTACTAGATCTAGTCATTTCGTAGGCGCAACCTTGTCTTTACGGGTCCGGCAGTGCGTGCAGGTACGTTGCCCACGAACTGTCATGTCATAGCCGCAGATGAACGCAAAAGAGCGTCTTTTTAAGGAACACATTGTCTGTCTGGGCGGTACGATGCACCGGTTTTGCACTTATGTATATAGTTGCCATAGCAGATTATCGACGTACAACAGCTAGATATCAGTACCACCGCGACAGCAATCAGCCTTCCTACGATACAGATATTATAACGGAACGATTGCAGAAACCAGAATGCAAGCAGAGGAATGTGGACTGAAGGGCGGACATCACCATATGTACAATATGCACAGCTGCCCGATAGCTTAGACAGTCAACGATGACTCGGGAGAGCGGGCTGAGGATGAAGGTGAAGGCGAGGAAGCAAAGCTGGGCGTGCGCTCCCTTAAGATTAACATGGGCGGTGGCGATGACCAATGCAGCTACTGGCTCCCACTCCAGTTAAAGATGTCGAAATCGTTCAGCCCGCCCTGATCCGGCTGTGGGCTGTTTTGTGCCATTTGCTGATGCGGCATCGGCGTCGCGGACGTCTGGCGCGAGTCCGGGTGATGCTGGCTCGCCGTCTGCGACGACGCACCGAACGGGAACTGCCCGCTGCCGGCGTTTTGCTGCCACTGGGCGCCCAGCTGCACGGGCGAGCTCATGCCACCTCCACCTTGCATCCCGCCCCCCTGCATCCCGCCAAACCCGCCGTGCATCGGCCCTGCGCTATTCGGCGGCGATATGCCCAGCCCGCCTTGGCCCTGGCCCTGGCCCATCTGCTGCATCTGCTGCTGCTGCTGCTGATTCGTGCCCGGCCAGTTCATCTGTGGGAACCCACTGCCCTGCTGCATATGCGGAGTCATGCCCCGCTGTTGCGCCTGCTGCAGCATCATCGCGCGCTGCAGATCTTCCGGCGTGTGCCCGGAGATCCGCTGCGACACGCCCGGCGAGGGCGCCGAGTCTGATGGCGTCCGCGTACTCCTCGCGATGCCAGGCACGGACGGATTTGAGCGGAGTGCGGGGAACTGGTTTCCGTCCACGCCGCCGGCCATGGGCGAGCCGGCCGTATGCGACATGTTGACCTGCGCCATGCGCGCTTGCTCCCGCCGCATCTGCTCTTGTGCCGCCAGCATCATCGGGTTCATGCCGGAGTTCTGCGCGTTTCCTCCACGCATCATCTGCTGCTGCTGCTGTTGTTGCTGTTGCTGTTGTTGTTGTTGCTGGGCGAGGAAATACTGTTTCTGCGCAGGGTTCAAGGTCGCAAAGATCTGCTGCTGTTGCGGTGTCAGGTTCGCGATTCGCGGGTCGATGCCTGCTCCCACGTTTGGCCCGTGGTTCGTAAACGGCATCCCTCCCATTTGCGACTGCCCCTGCATCGGATTCTGCTGTGAAATGGGCGAGACTCTCGTCGGACTTGTGTTCTGGCCGGGCATGCCACCAGACATGCCGGTGTTTTGGAAGTTCTGCATGCCCTGCTGCATGAAACCCTGTCCAGACCCGCCTGCTTGCCGTTGCTGTATCTGCTGGCGCTGCATTTGCTGCCTTTCCTGCAGGATCGCCTGGCGGGACAGGTCAGCCACAACTTCGACGGTGTTCGGCTAAAAAGCACTCACTTGTGCCCTCTGCACGTGCAACAGCTGCTGCTGTATCGGCAGCTCCGCGAAATTAGGCACCGGCCCATCAGGTATTGTATGAGCGGGTGGGTCGGGTTCTGCAAAATCTGCCAATACTGTATCGCATTCGGACCAAGCGGGGCAAGCGCCGCGGCGAGCTGCGCCTGGTTCATCCCGCCCAGCGACGACGGCCCCGCGACGTTTTGCCCTGGCAGGTTCTGCATGCCCATCCCGGGCGTCTGCGGCACTGCGGGTGGGGACATCTGCCGCGCTGCGTCTGCGTGTTGCTGCTGCTGCTGTTGCTGCTGCTGTTGGGCATGGTGCTGTTGCTGGGCCTGCTGCTGCATGGCGGCCCGGAGCTGCATCTGACGCGCGCGCTCGCGCATCTGCGCCTCGTTCGCGTTGCCCATCATGCCCTGATGTACCGCGGGCGGCGGCATCGATGGACTGCCCATCTGCGAGAGCGGGCTGCCTTGCAGAGCAGGAGCGGGCGTGGACGGATTCATGGGATGTGACATCAAGTTCTGGGCCGCTTGCGGACCGGCGTGGTGGACCGAAGGGGTAGCGGGCATTGGGACCTTGCTCTCACCAGTATCGCGTCTCTTGTTGGACAGGTCGGGAATAAACTCGTCGGGCCTCTCTCGTTTTAGCTTGCCGCCGAGCAGGTCTGCCTGAGGTGCGGGTATAGACGCAGGCGCTCGCCGTGCAATCTCCTTGGCAAATATTGCAGGCAAATCAGCATATATCTGCTGTATACGCTCAGTCGACATGAAATCGACCGGACTGGGGGCTGTCAAGTTCGGGAGTGGCCATGTGCTCCGACTCTGTAGACGACACATGAGGACCGGAGATGATGAGATGTTAGCATGATACGTACAACTTGAGTGTTGGCGTCTGCGGCAGCCGCTAACCAGCCGAGGTTTGACTGAAGCCGGGACGCATACCTAGCAAATCTATAAGTAATCTACGGTGGAAATAGGCAGCATCAAGCGTACTCCTCCTGAGGATGGAGACCCGGTGTATGGCCTCGGGCTTGGAATTCCATCAGGACGCTACAAGCTTGTTAGTGCGACGAATGTTCAAACATGCGTGCTCTCTTTACCTGAGCAATTGAGAATTTAATTCAAGAATGGTGACGACCTTGAGATCTAGCTGACCACTCGACGAGCTCCCTACGTTAGCTGTGAGAGCGGGCGATTGACGTGATGGTGTTGAGTTGTTATTCAAAAAGTATTCCGTGTGAGACAGTGTCTTCGACGTCGTGGACGAGGGATGTGTCTGAGTAGAGGATGACTGTGCATCTGGGGGACGCGGAGCCACAGGATTGTTTGGATGAGAAGACGAAGTCTCAGTGGGGGCTTCTCGTGGGGACTGCACTTTGAATGACGATGGCCCAGCGGTGGCATTCGTCGCTGACACCAACTCCTTCGTGGCGTTCTGCGGCGAGTCTGGTTCGCGCTTGGGGTCACCAGCTGCCGGTGCTTCCTCGGACGATTCGGCGGCGGTTCCCTGCCCCTCTTTGGACTCATCTTGGGCGTCATCGTCCGGAGCTGACGACAGCTCGCTCAAGGGGGTCGACTGTCGCGACGCTCGATCCACATCGTCCACCGTCTCTGTCTTCAGGTTTCCCTCCTCTGCCTGCACCGTGGGGACCGCTGCCTGCACCCTTGGCTCCGCTGACGTGCCCTCGACGTTCTCAACTTCTACCAACACACTCCTGGGAGTCGCGGTGTCTGGCGGCGGAGTGAGGGACGAGGTGCTCTCCGCGACGGGGGAGGGCACATCTGCGGGGCTAGAAGGGGATGGCCGTGGCAGCTTGGGGTCCTCCGCGTCGGCCGGGGTTATGGGACCTGGGTTTGCGGGCCTGAGTGCGGCGTCTGGGATTGTTGTTGGGGTGTCCGGTTGGACTTGTTGTTTAGAGGGATCTGCTGCCAAGGTGTGAGGTTCCTGGTGTTCCTGATAGAATGGAGGGGCATTACGGGTGGGCGCTGACCAAGCGAGGAGGGAGGGCTGATCAGCATGGGACGGATCCGCCAGAATCAAATTGGACTTTGGATGACGAGCGATAGCAGAAGAATGGCCCCGATCGAGATGTATCATGGTAATCTGGAATCACCGGATATAGAGGCGAAGAGCGCAGCGGCAGCGGCAGGGCGGGGCCACGCTGCGGGGGTGGGTGAACAAGCGGCCGAAAGGGCCGACGGCGGGGGATCAGGCGGGGGCGGGTGGAGGGAAGGGACCCAGACGCGCACACGCAATCAAACAGCCAACTCTCCGCTTGTTCGGGGTACCAGCAATGCGCCGCGGTGGGACAGGCCGAGAGAGCAGTCGAAGGCGAGATGAGACCTGCGCACGCGGACCGCCCGTGTGACTTTCGCACCGTCCAGCGCCTCCCCACCCGCCGCCACCCCCTCGCAGCCGAGTCGCACCCAGCACCCAGCACCAGCACCAGCACTTGCCCTCCCCGCCCTCGTATATACCCCCGCACCAGCCGCCCTCGGCTTTATATAAACACCGTGTGCCCCATACTCACGCTGCATGATCGATTTCAGATCACGGAATCGCGCCTTCCGGACACATAATGAAACAAACAGGCGAGTGTCATAGGATCGCCTCCGCACCAGGGAAGCCACAACACGATCCCCGCATTCGACGGGAACCTTAGTTGAAGTGGGAAATAGAACTCTCCCTCCGTGCGCCCCTGACATCACCAATACATCCCAAGGCCTTCCCCTTCCTCCATGCTTCGCCTGCACTACGCCGCCAGGCAACAATGTGACCCCTAGCCGTCGCCAGGCATCAGCCCGAACAGCCCTCACAAAATCTTCCCTCATGTGGGAGTCCGTCCTGTCTCAATGTCCACATCACGAACCTGTCTGCCGCCGTGAGGTGAGGGGCTCTGCATCAATCAAGAGACATACACTAATATACCTTATCATCACTAGTGTGCCTCCAGGTGAGGTCTGAGCAGAGGCGATACCGCCGAGCAGCACATGCAGCATACAATTATCAGCAACGGGTGCGCGGAGCGCCACGACAAGGTGTATGTATAGATAGCGTTCCGCGCTCACACCCAAGACAGGCAACATGAGGCGCTGATTCGGATGGTCAAGAATGGTGCAGCAGGACTTGTCTCCTGACGCGAGACAAAGTTCGGAAGAGCAATAGCGCACCCACAATGCGGCAGCCAATTGGCAGCGGTGCGTGCTCGTCTCCCGAAGCTCACCCAACGGCCAGAAAGCGATTTAGCACCTGAGGCCGCCAGTTAGGAGCCGTCCGAATCATGACGGGGAGCCCTCAGTTCAGGACGCACTCCAGTTCCACGTCCACATTTGCATTGTGGACGAGACCAATGGGAAAGACCCGAGCCGGCCGGCAGTAAAGTCTCCTTGCATCTGTACAACCGTTATGGATGTAAGATTCCACCTGTCAATGCTATAGGCTGTGCATGATCATTGTACAGTATATGTAATTTAGACTGAATGAAATGCAGACTCAACGTTTCCGAGTCAATACTTTGCGATTGTGATATTAGGCGCTCGTTACTCACGTGATCAACGCCCGGCGCACACCACAAACACCACCCAAATAGAAAATCAACCGACTCCGTCATCCACGCTCCGACCAGTAAGAATGTGAGTATGAGTGTCCGTTTCCCCTCGAGATACTGCTAGAATGGCTCTGTCGATGCTCCTGGATGCTCTGGCGCGAAAACGCCGTCCATTTTGACTGAAAACTGGGCTGGATGCTGTCGGATGTCTCTGGATGCGCTTTCCGCTTCGACTCTTCTGCAACCGTTCGCGGGTCTCTTACTTACGCCTCCTGCTGCAGATAAACAATGGGTAGGGTCATTCGGGCACAGAGGCGCTCTCACGCTATCGTACGTCCGGAGATGCATGGTATGCGGGCTTCCTGACGAACTGTCGCTTTGCACCACAGTTCAAGGCGCACACCCACCACAACAAGTCGCCTGCGCAATTCCGTGCCCTCGACTTCGCGGAGCGCAATGGCTACGTCAAGGGTATCGTGAAGGAGATCATCCACGACGCTGGCCGGTACGTACCGATCACGAATATCTTGGGCCTGAATATTCAAGGCGCACCCGACATGCAGTGGTGCTCCTCTCGCTCGTGTCGTCTTCCGCGACCCTTACCGCTACAAGCTCCGCAAGGAGACCTTCATCGCGACGGAGGGCCTCCACACCGGCGCGTTCGTCTACTGCGGCAAGAAGGCCACGCTCGCTGTCGGCAACGTCCTCCCTGTTTCGCAATGCCCGGAGGGTACCATTGTCAGCAACGTAGAGGAGAAGGCGGGCGACCGCGGTGCGCTTGCACGGACGTCCGGCAACTACGCGACTGTCATTGGCCACTCGCCCGATGAGAACAAGACCCGCATCCGTCTGCCCAGTGGCTCGAAGAAGACCGTATCCGGCAGCTGCAGAGCAACGATCGGTATCGTTGCGGGTGGTGGACGTATCGACAAGCCCCTGCTTAAGGCTGGCCGTGCGTTCCACAAATACAAGGCCAAGCGTTACAAGTACGTTCTAGCGATCGATTTCCTTGTATGCGTCCTAACATCCATTGTAGCTGGCCCCGCACTCGTGGTGTTGCCATGAACCCGGTTGACCATCCTCACGGTGGTGGTAACCACCAACACATTGGTAAGGCCTCGACGATTGCACGCTCGGCCGTCCCCGGTCAGAAAGTCGGTCTCATTGCCGCTCGCCGGGTACGTGACATCATCTCCATCTCATTTGTACTGCCGTCTCACTCGAAGATTCCAGACTGGTCTGCTGCGCGGTACCGTCAAGGTCAAGGAGGTATAAGGGCTGGTTGTCGGATTATCTCTGCATTGCTCTTTGTATGCTTCCCCATCCTCGCACTCGCACCTGCCACAAAAGCCTGTATGCAGCGTTTTGCACATGCATCATGACTTATGCCCTGCCCACGATGATTTATCGCTGCGATGTATTTACCGTTGTGAGAATAAGTTTGTTTTGACCACGGTAGGATCTATGCTGAGCCTCTATGATCTATCTTTGAGCGGTTATTACATGTTATGGTACACTTCATTTCACATCCGTTTTGCAGCCGTCATATCTCATTGCGACGCTTCGGCAATCTCCTTTCGCCACCTGTATTGGATGTCGATGGACTCGCGGAAGATCTTGTACTTCGCCTCAAGCAGTTTCTTTTCGCTGGGGCTCGCAGAGGGTGCAATTAAGGTGCCTGGTGGTGTCATCTCGACCTGTGCCTGGCTCAGCAAAACTCTCGCGCATGAAGTATGTACGCCGCAACCCACCATGATCTTCCACAGCGCTTCTCCCTGTTGCACCTCGTTCAGCTTCCCCTCGCGCCCGATATCTGCCGCGAAGCGGCCGAGCATGGCGGCACCGAGCACAACAGCCGCGCCGCTGCTCTGGGGCAGAACTACAGGCATATTGCACGTGTTGGCGAAGAGCTGCATCAGCATCAGGTTCTTGGCCTGCCCGCCCGACATATAGATTGCCGTGATGTCGTGGCCTGCCGCGTTCATCGAGTCTACAATGTGCCGTGTTTGCAGCGCGATCGCCTCCAGCGTGAGATTAAACTTGCGGGCGAGGTCGCTGAGGCCGTCGTCCTGAGATACGGGGGAGGTCAGTAACAAGCCGGGACATTATATTGCATACATACGAGAGCAAGACCCATGAGCATGCCGCGCATGATGGGATCAGCGATGGGAGAGCGATTCCCGTGCAGGTCGGGGTAGAAGTGCATATCTTTGGTGAGCTCGGTCCAGTTCGCTGCCTTGTTCTCTTTGCAGAGCTTGTTGAGCTCGTCCTGCAAGACTACCTCAAATATGTCAATAGATGCTCAAGTGGTATTGTCTCAGGAAGATCTACCCTCGTGGATATTGGTCTTGCGCTGTTCAGCGAGCTCCTTAAGCTTCGGGTATGCGGGGTGTGTCGTGATCATGAAGTCGATGAGCTTAGGGTAACGGGTCATTAGCTTATATATGTGAAAAAAAGGAAGTATAATTCACCTGCCCTGTGGATGACTGGCCACCTTCATTCATCCACCATCCCGGGAAGACGGCATCCTGCAAGCTACTACGTTGTAGTCGCTCGATGTTAGTCTGCTATGTACGTACTTTGTATGGGCCCCATACGCCTTTTACGAAGATGCCCTCCTTGCTCTGCAGACTCTGTCAATATCTGGAGAACAGGGAATTTTGCCTCGTCGCGCATACCTGAACGATGTGGCATGTACTGGTACCAGCGCAGGCCGCTAGACGATGCCGCGACTCGTCAATCGATGGTATCTTCTCAACCAGCTTGCCATTCTCCTTGTAACGTGCAGCGACAGTCCCCAGCCAGCCTGCGTAACTACTGAAGGTGAGCAACTAGTGGTAGTGCACACGCTGATAGGTTGAATACGCACGCATCGATAACACCGCTTCCTACGGGTGTTCCCTCTAGTAGACCTAGTTCTGCAGCCGCCTTCTTCGACAAGCCATTCCCTATTGGGACGCCTGCGGTGAGGACTTTGTCTGCGCCACCCAACTGTTTGTAGTTGTTCTGCGCAAACTCCTCGAGGCCGATCTTCTTGAAGAAATCTGCCTGCCACCCGGCCTTTGTAGGCACAAAAGAGCATTTACAAGTGAGCGAACAGCACGAGCGAGTGTTGTCGCCGGTTGCACGGTAAGTCAAGAAGTCGGGGAGATCGAAGAACTGGCAGCGCGCGAAACGCTCGGCAGCCATGTGCTTTTTGAGCCAAAGCGTCTTGGGGATCTCCATCTCCAACTGATGGATTGCTCGAATCAGAGGGCGCTCGCAACAGATCGCGTTAGTACTCACACTCATGGTACCACCGACGTAGTCGAGCACTACTGATCCGCTGCTATTTATGAGTTCGGCTTCCCTCTCTGCACGGTGGTCTGCCCAGAGAATGATGTTGCGGTCGCCGATCTCCCCAAGCTGATCTCCTCTTGTGACGACCACTGGGTCACCGTTCGTGTCGGTTACGGCGAGCGAGCATGTCGCATCGAAGCCAACTCCCTTTACGGCCGATGGTGCAACCTTCGCCTCCGCAAGCACGGCCTTGATGGTCTTGCACATGCCCTCCCAGATGTTGTTGGTCGATTGCTCGAAGATACGGTGATCATTGGAATCGCGGTATGTTATAGTGGCTTCAGTGGAGGATGCGACGAGCGTGCCATCTTGCTTGACAAGACCCGCACGAACAGATCCTGTCCCAACATCGACGCCGATATAGTAGCTTTCGGAAGACATGACAATTCTACACGAATACGAGATGATGTGGCAGCGAGAAGAGGGGTAGATGAGAGGCAAGGGGTAGCCTCTGGGGTTGGGCCGCCCATCGCGTACCGCGGCCCGGCCACCCGTACGTCATGCGCACAAACCCCAACCCAATACCAGAGTAACGTCGGGATTTCCCATATTCAGTCGATTTTCTCAAGGCTTGACAGAGGATAATGAACCTTCTAACTAGCCAGCCTTCCTGAACTAAACGGTGGACCATGTCTCCGAGGAAAGCTCTGGAGCGATGCATCATGAGCAGCTAACTTTCGTCTGCGTGGTGAGGACACTCTCAGACAATGGGGGCGTCTCCTGACTCGATCCTTGCACTTTTCGAGTGGGTAGCGGGTCCGCAGCAATTGGACTACTACTAGTATTATCATGCTAAAGTATGTTGTACCGAAGTAATGAACCCAATCTCGTCCAAACATTGTCTAGACGTTCGACGTGTTCGAGTTAAGGTTGTAGTCATGCCTCTTGGGCCAGATCCCCGTACATGATCAGCCTTGAGCCATTACCGCAGATTACTTGAGCTTGAGCTCAGCCCAGGTTGATATTTTTTATTTTCAATCAGCATAAGTACATGATATTGCGGGGAAGGCATGATCGGCGATCGATCATATCATCTGATGATCGAGATGCACAGTTTCTCAGACTCCAAGGTAAGCTCTTATATGAGTATATACTAAAGCAGTAACGGTAACACTCGAGGGGGTGATAGTAACACTCCGTCGAGTGTAAATAGTAACGATCGTCATTGGTCACGTGCAGTAATATGGTGCGCTACTGGCGCGCTTTGACGTGCTTTGCACAGCGATAGTAGCCCATACATCTAACATTGTGACATAATAAGATTCTTCTTTATTTCTGCTACAGGTCCCGGGTCATTTGCGATGTCTAGTAGTACAAAGTTCTTTCAAGATATACCACCTAAACCTAACCTAACCTAACCGAACCTAACCTAACTCAACCTAACTCAACCTAACTTAACCGAACCTAATTTAACTTAATCTAACTTAACCGAACCTAACTGCCAAAAAGGGACATGTCCGGATTGGGAACAGTAGCTGCAGTCAATAGATGTATCACCGATTTACGGTAGCCAGCCTCAATGACATATCACCCTGCCAAGTACAACTCTGACTGTTACTCATTTGCTCCAACATTTCCGACTGTTACTATTTTGCTCCAACTTTTAGTCAAAGTAGTAACACTCGGTGAGTGTTACTGTTATTACTCTGGTCATCCCTCCTCTTATATGGGGCTACCGCTTGTTACACTTGCATTGGTATCAAAAGCAGCAGCCACAAAAATGTCACACGGCAGGAAGGCCATCTCTAACAATAGACGGGGAAAATGCTTCATTCGCCCACGACAAGCTGCATTTCACGAGAACATAATGCCGCTCCTCCCTAGTATGGCAGTCAGACGTGGCGTAGAGCTGGGCGAGCAGCAAATGTGACACACACACTAGGCACTGATTGACCCGGGGTAAACACACCGGGGGACGGCCTACTCATGAATGGCAGACGCGGTCATGCTGTTCGTCGCAGCTCGGTGATGATCACAAGAACGGAACGGAGGATATTGAAAGTCAGCCAAATGAGAAGCATTTACGAAATCAATGAGGTGCATGAGAGGCACAAGTGGCTCGGCTAGACGTGATAAGATTGGATAGATGCAGCACACGCTTTCATATGATTGTTATCGTCGACCACTAACATAGGCTCAAATTCGAACAACAACATGTTTGGGTATCATCGCGGTCAGTGTAGCAATGCGCGTCAAGTACGTAGTACACATTAGTGATGATCTCTAGAAGTGTCACTTATCTCATAAATAAGACCAACAACTATATGCAAAGCGGAGAGCATCGAGTAGCATGAATAGAAAGGAAAGCATGAGATCTCAGGGTCTCCATACGGGCGGCCGCGCAGGTTTAGCCGCCGTATTCCTCGGTGGTCTTGTGGGAGTCTCTGCCCGTGGCACAGGCGACTCTCGGTCCGCTCGCCGAAGGAACTGCAGAGGTGTCAAAGGCGAGCCCGGGGACGACACGGTCTTGATTGACTTTGGACTGGTGCCGCTAGGAGTCGAGAGTGCGAAAGAAGGTAAATGGGAGCTTGCAACCTCTGGTGTCTTCGGGTTTGAAAGCGCTATGCTCTCCGCGGCCTGCGATAGCGTAGCAGAACTGATCCATTTTTCCTCGCGAGAACCAAGCCTCGGAGATTCTGGAAGTATACGAAAAGCGTCAGCAAAATGATCCTTGATGAATCTGAATTGGGTTCATTCGTTAGCTACTCAATACGTTATATGGGACTAAGCACGCACCTGGAAAGTTCTGACCATCCGCCACCGACCCGCACCATCACTGTTTGTGAGCGCAAGATACGGCAGAAACAGAGCTTTGGGTCTTGATCGCCTATCCAATATTTACCGCTCTGATCTTTCCAGGTGTCGGCTACCACTTCCACGTTGATATTGACCGGCAGACTGTTGATAACATCACCAACAGCAACGTCGAGCTTGTTCTTGGGATTGGCAATATACGGCTTCTTGGCTGTCGGTACCGCTTTGTTCTTCGGAGGCGACCGGAGTAACGCAGGGAATGATTGCCTGGGAGCACGCGACCATGACGAACGCGCTACCGATGAGACTGATGCGTTGAGACCCGAGCGAGATATCGACCTAGAGGACGTCTCTGAGAATGCGGGTGAAGCAGTTCGAGGGGTTGTATTCGTATTGGATCGCGGACGGGAAGATGCTTTCGAAGACGCTAGATGGGGCTGCTTCAATGGCGTTTTCATGGGAGCTCCTGACGTTACACTGGTTGTCCTTTGGCGGGAGGCGAACGTAGAGCCATGGAGCGTCGCAGAGCTCACATTAGGCGTGGGACCGGATACGGAACGATTGGAGGAAATGCTAGACACTCTGCTAGTAGAGCGAGGTCGTGTTCCTGTTGATGATCCCGAGGTTGTCCGTCTATTGGGCGGAGGCGGTGCGAGATAACGAGCATCGGAACCCCCCACAGACAGTCTTGAATAGCCCGCAGCCTTCTTGGATGGCGCAGCTTTTGCGGCCGTACTGACAGCAGATGCTCTGCTACTCCGACCTGAGCTCATCACGCTGTTTGGCCGAGATTTCGTACCATTGACACGATCAGAGGCCATGGCTTCCAGCTCCATCCAAGTCTGTACAATGCGGTCGTGTTCCGAAACCGCCCGAGGATCGCCAGAGACCGCAGAGTATTGCGTCGTCATCGTGTCGACTAGAGATTTCGTGAAAGCAATGCGAGCTGACAGTTGCGATTCCGGAGGTAGTGTAGGATCCGACGTGTGCGAAGAGGACAACATTCCCAACGGGGCCGAAGGATAGCTATCAATGTGTTCTAGCAAGTCGCTCAACGCGTCGTCGCAGTTGCGTAACGCAATGGCCAGATCGGCCAATTTATGCACTGTGGGCATCAAGTCAACTGAGGCTTTCACTTCAGTGCGTAAGGAGTGAAGCTCCGCATTAGTCAGGGGGTCGTCTATGATGGAAGGGGGCAAGACGTCCACTCCGGAGACGATGGCTAAGAGTTCCTTGTCCATTCTCTTGCGGTACTCATCTTCAGGGAGCGACAAGTCTGACTTCTGGCTAGGTCTCACTACGTCGTTGATATGCAGCGATCGGAGCCGTTTCCGTAACGCTAGTATCTGTGGTCGGAGGATGCTTGTATGCTGCGAGAGCGGATCAGCGGTGACGGGCAATACTTGCAAGCCAAATAAATCTGAAGAAAATTAGCAACGAGACACATGTCTGCATCGGATTACATACCATCCTTGGCCTCCGGTCCATAAATCTCCCTTGTCATGGAATGTTCATCTGTTTCTTGAACAGGTTCAAGAAGCTCGGAACTTCCAAGTATAAGACCGATTCCCTGCGGGATACTACGTTCCTCCTTTGCCCGATTTTCAGCTTCAAGACGTTCACGTTCCTCCAGTTCTTCTTGTTCCCGACGGGCGCGCTCTTCTGTCTCTCTGCGTTCTTGATCTATTCGATCCAGCTCGGCCTTCGCAAGCGTTTCTGCCTCCTCGCGAGCTAATCTGGCGCGTTCCTCAGCCGCCGCCTGCTCTCTCTCTTCTTGCAAACGAAGTCTTTCAATCTGCCTGGCACGTTCAGCCTGCAATGCAAGAATGATCTGCTCATGAAGGGTGGCTGCATTCTCCTTCCAAGTAGCGAATTGCGCCTCTGCGTCCTCCAGTGCTCGCTGCCGCGAGGCAACGATGCCATCTGCAGCAGTGATCTCGGAGACACCAGGTAATGTCCTCAAACGATGCATGAGACCACGGACCGGAGAGAAGGATCGTGCTATTTCCTGCACCTCCACTTGCAGCACCTCGTTGACCATCGCTGAGAGCTTGCCTAAACGTTCCGAGTTTTGCTGTTCGTCAGGACGGTCCATCGAGTCCTGAACAGATGTCACAACATCGGCTACGCGGCGAACCTTGCTGACTACAGATGCTAACGCAGCGTCTACGATCTTAGCCGCCTTCGCTGACTGGAAATGAGTGGCCTTATATTCCAACAGCTTGAGGGCGCCAGACAGCATCATGCTGTATGCATTCGAGTCGGAACGAACCGTCTGATCGAGATGAGAGAGATCAACTGGCAGTTCGGCGGCGGCTGCGTGCTGTACCATGGCGAGATTGAATTCGACACTTGTGAGCCGCGGACCTTTCGGAAACGGTGAACTATGAGGTTCGGAATGTGCGGGTGCCACAAATGTGACACGACGCGGTAGGTCATCTATGAATGACTGTACCGATTCCTCCGCGTGCTTCAATTGACTGGACAGACCACCCTCGGTCAACAGCAGTTCATCTCCCGTCAGAGTGCCGGAGAGAACGCCCTCTATGGCGTCATCGAAGCGAAGTTTCAATTCCTCCGTCTGGACCTGCAGACCGTGGAAATCATCCCGCACAGCTCCCATAGTAGACGCCTGATTTTGCATAGATACCCAAGTTGTGGTCAGATATCGAGTGTGGTCGAGCAACAATGAGAGAGCGGTAGAGCATTCAGTGAGATACTTGTTCAGAGACTCTCCCATCGCAGGTGCCACCGCGGAAAGTGGTGTTGAAACCTTCTCCTCAAGTCGTGTGGCTAATCCATCGAGCGTCGCAAGGACCGAAGCCGGGGATATAGTCGGCGTGGGGAGATGCGTTACTGGACTCTCGGGAGTAGGAGGTGCGTCATGCTGTCGGACTTGCTGGTGCCAAATCTGTCTTTCTGCGGCTGCGGCGATGTCGTCCTGTACGCTAGTCAAGTCCTTTGCCAGCCCGCCCATAGATGTCCAAGTCCTTTTGATATCATTGAGCGCCGATGTACGAGCCGTCACCTCGTCGCGAGTCTGCGCAGCCTCACGACGGAGTTGAATCAAACGGTCGATATTGCTACCGGCCTCCAGCTTGAACTGTGGATCGACACCAGGGCGATCCAGGTGCAGCATAGCAACCCGGGCTCCAGGTAATAGGCCATCGACGCTGGCGTCAGCGTCTTGCAATTCCTGCAGGATACTCGGAAGGACGGTCAGGAATGACGCATGTCGACTGCCTTCTAAGCATGCCTCCGTGGATAGATCGGGTGGTGTCCCATCGCCTGCATCGGATGGCACCCCATCCTTGAGTCGTTGGACGATCGATTCAAGCTGCACAGAGAGGTCAGAAGCAGCCTTGCACGCTGTCTCGACCCGCTTCACGGCTTCAAGACTTGTGTGATACTCCTTGGCGCACTGCTCTGCCTTGCGGACGTGCTCCCCGGCTGCTGCTAACTCAGAAGAGAGCATACGAATCACCTCCTCGTTTGACCCGGATTGATCCGGAAAGAGGAGATGAGTAGGAAGAGGGAACGTGGTCCCTGACGAGGCTGGATTGTCTCTCATAGCAAGCCGCTTGGCAAGGGCGGTTGCACGCGAGAGGAACGCAACGTCTTGCCGAGACGTAGGATGACTCGAGGTGGCGACCTCTATCTCTTCGAGGAGGGTCTGTGCAGCGCTCTTATCCTTCATGGTCTCGACGTAGATCTCGTCGGCCCTACAACGGCATTAGCTTACTGGTGTATGTCTTAATTGGTAATGAATGCACTTTTTCCATTGCATCACTACAGTCATGACGAACTTGCCTACGTCCTCCATCTCGTTAATACCGTGATCCTCCAATTTGTCCTGCTCGTCGAGTAACTCATCCGGCACAGGCCTTCGGCTATGATCGATGAGTTTGTCGAGGGCCTTTCCAGCACCCGCGATCTTGGAGTGCCTTAGCGAGGATACGCGGCTGGCAAATTGTGCAGCATTACGCGAAAGAGACTCGGCGAGTTTGTAGCGAGATGTGCGAGACAGTACAAGGGGAGGGAGATTTGATGACGACTCCGAAAACGTGGAATTGATCGAAACTACGGAATTTCTTCTTTTTGTCTCAGGTTCAGGCGGCATCAGTTCGTCTTCTACGGGGACGCTGTCGTAGGCGTTTGGCGTCCATCGAGCACGAGATGCCAAGAATTCTCGAATATCAGAAAGAACGCTCCGGAGCTCAGACCAGGCAGCCATCCGACGTTCCTCCCAAGTTAGCCGGATACCCAAGAGGTCGAGATTATCAGACCTGTCCCGGAGCAAGTGGAAGAGTTTGTCCAGTTCATAGATAGTCGTCAGCGTCAGTTCAATCAAGTCTGTGTCCTCCGGGGATAGGTTGCGCTGTGCAGCAGCTTCACGAGAGCACGACTTCATATGGGGCTAGAACGGTGGTAAGGCGCGAACTCACCTTTGGTGAATTTCTTCAATTTTCTGAGCTCACCAGAGTCGAATATCTCAGTCTCCTTTTCTATCCTGTCGTGTTCAGCAAGCCATTCCTCTAGCTCTGCGCGCGTCGGTAGCCCAGGTACCTCCACAGCGGAAGATCGTACCGCGTCAAGACCGGCAAAAACCTCAATGGGAGGCATTTTCCCTAGGAACTGGATCCGAGTCAACATGAGGTTCAACATCTTTGTGTACGGCTCACGGTGGTTTTTTCTTCAATCCATGCTTTTCTCTCGCTGAAGGCCTGCAGCTCAATGACCTCGTGCCATTCCAACGCTTTGTCGTCGTCGCGAAGATCGTTGTCCTCCTGGGACAAGGAAGCAGAACTATCATTGCTGAGTTGGATTGAGTCGTCAGAGATCCCGTGGTCGTCGAGGTCAAGGGCGCCCCGGATCATAGCATCCACCGCAGCGGAGGCGTTGTCTGTCTCGGTCATTTTGCGATGAGGTCGAGTAGGAGTTAGTGGGCGCCGCTTGTTGCTTCATGAATGGTGTTCACCTCGACATAGATTCGAGTATGTCGCCTGGCAGTGTGGGTAGAAATGGGTGTGTTTACAACGAGGCGTAGTGTAGGGAGCAGGACAAAGGCGCCAGGGACTCAAGTCACGCTATCACTATGACGGCTCGGGTGCGAGCCAATACAAATAAAATTCGAAGTCGAAGATGTACACTTTCGATTGAACTAAAGATCCAGAATGCTACAAAACAGAGAAACTACAACAATGTATCTTATATGGGAATGCACAGTGAAAATGTCTCCATATACGACTGAACATACTACAGATGGAACTAGCAGAAGATAATAAAATAGGGTGAAATTGTCAAAGATACTAGACCCGCATCGAGCAGGGAGTTACGCTGCGTACAGGAGATGCTTCTCTGTGTCGTCTAACCAGAATCTGAGGTCCTCGTCGGTTTCCAGGTCAATGAACTGCCGCGTTTCGCTGTCAAGATACCGCAGTCGCTCTACATGGCAGTTCAGCCGTTGGCTCGCCTTCTCCAGCAGCTGCGCGTAAGTGACGCGTGGGTGCACCCGAACAGCGACAATGTCTTCCGCTGATTTATCGAAGATCTTAATCTTCATAAATGCAATCTGGGGGTTACTTGCAGAAATGGGGGGATTGTAGGTGGCGTTGGACTGTGAACGAGAGCGTCCAGAGCCAGAGGTACGTGAGGTGGCAGTAGACCCCGCATGCGACGCCCGCGTCGAAACCGGGGATGGCTCCTGGGAGGATGCAACGGACGAGCGTGACTGGCTGTGGGCATGGTATGAATCGTAACGTAGAGCCGCGACAGGTCCAGGCGACGATCGCCCGTATAAGGATATTCCATTTTCGGTCCTCTCGTGGCCATTCGTGCGGGAACGAGGCCGCAATGGCTGCGTGGTGTTGTACGTTTGCTCTGTGGACATGCGGGAAGGCTCCCTCTCACCATACACGTACGCGGACGAGTCCCGGTCGTATGGGGAGTTCATGACATCTCCGTCGCCGTAGTCAGAACCGTCGCTACCCTGGCCGTTCGCTTCCCCGGAAATCCGCAGCTGTGATATTTGGGTTACGCCATACTCGGGGTCCACGTTGTCAGACTCGTGAGCCTGCCCATTGGCATCTGGCGCTCGCGCGAGTGCCGCAATCTCCTTCATGCGTGGCTCGACCTCGACCTCGGCGTCACCAGGCTTCAAAGCCAGGAACTCGCGGATAAGTTTGTCTTCTAAGATGTACCTAGAATAAAGCTGCAGCTCGCATAGCTTGTGCAAATAGTCGTCCAGCTCAATCCGCCGGGCTGCCGTGACCTCGTTGTCAACTTGATCAGAAGGTCCCGGCATGTAGGGCAAGATTCTGGTGTTGACGTCAGGGCGTCCGGCCTCGTGCGGGAACGCATTGAGAATTTCAACCTGGAAATCGTAGAAATCGTTGTATGATCGGAAAAGCACGAGCTGCTTGGCAGGGGGCAGTGAATGTGAGTCGGATGGGTCATAAGGCTGGAAGACGGCGTGGATGCGGAACCAGTACTCCTCCATCTCGAAATGGAAGGACTTGACGTCGGCGGAAAGTAGGATACCTTCGGGAAGAAGCTTGGGGGAGATGGGTCGCGAAATAGGAGAGGGGGGCTTCTGCTTGACCGGCTGCGGCTGCGATGGAGGGGGCGGGGTCGCGGTCGGAAGAGGAGGCATCTGCTTCGTTGCTTGCGCCTTGGCGAAGTTGGCTGCCACAGACTCCTCTAGCACGCCGAGGCTAATGCTGTTCGCCTTGTAATTCAACATGGCACGTTTCCACTCTTCGACCCGCGGGAGCGCACCGCCGTCGATGAGTGCCATGATGTCTTGCACCGCCAGCCCTGTAGCAGGGTCACGCACCTCCACGAACGATACAGGGATCAGACCTGGCCGTCCCAGTCGTCCGATCGGTTTCGCGACAAACCATTCCCTGTTGGATTGTGCGACGACAGTGATCGTATCTCCAGCCTTTGCGTCCAGCTCATCCGCACGCTCGGCTGTGAAGTCGTGCAGGACGATCGCGTAGAATGCTTGCTGCTTAACAGTAGATAGGGGTCTGTCCGCTGCACCGGCGTCAGCGACGCGAGGTCTTGCAAGCCTCAGTATCAGACAGCCAAAGAGACGTAGAGGAGATCAAAGGTGACTCACTTGGACGGCCCTCTTCCGAATTCCTCGAACATATGACACGGTACGAGACCGCGCGCCCCGGTCGCAGGGTTATGTGCTTCGTACCAGACACCCTCGTTGTTGACGTCGTTGAGGACATGGAAGAAGTCTCCCTTCTCGAAAGATAGCTCTTGCGGTGCATTCGCCTTGTAGGTTTGCAGCGCCTTGATGACCTTGCTTGGGGGAAGAACCGCACCGGAGGGTTTGGAGAGACGCGGGAGGGGCGTAGTGATGGAGGGTGAATTGTCCTTGTGTCCGTTCAAGGACTTGCGCAGTGTTTTCATCATTAGTATGGACCAGAACTCGTCGTGACGGGCGTAAAGGGGCAACGGAGAGAGATGAAGAATCGGCAACCGGGCGTATTATCTGTGCGACATAAGGTGTTGGTTCAGAGTTCTCCCACGGTTTAGCAGCCAAAACCATGTCCAAATATGGAAGATATATGGGCGCTAGGCTGGCGCCTGCCACATGCTGCAACAATAAACCCGCCCGACTATCATGATCTTCTTGCTCTTCTGACCTCTTCTGACTCGCCGTCTGTTCGTCCATGTGTGCGTTTTTTACAGCCTCGCCATCGTCATAAACATAAATACGTAGTGAGAGAACGGCATGCCTCGTTATGGCGTTTCAAAGATTTCTGGCGTCTTCTACTTGGCAGAGATTGCTGTGTTGAGATGCTCTTACTCCCGTCGAGACACTGATGTTCCATGTAGTGAACGTTACACATAGCTATGCGCTCTGCAGGTGCTCTAGGCCAGGACATCGGAAATATCGACATCCAGCCCATTTATCCAGTAGCCTGGGTCTCGACTGCTCTGTATACTGTCGGTGATTTCCGACGGTATTTACAATACCGATTTTCTCATATGGAGTAATTACTGTATTCTAGCATATCTTATAATACATCTCAGAGACAGTGCTTGCCTAAAGTGATCATAAGTACAAACGCCTCTTCACGTGAGCTGTCCAAATGTCCGTGCTTATCACTATCACTTCCAATTCGCCTATATAATTCACACATATAGATCGACCTCGACTTGCTCGAACTACAAGATAGCCAGCAGATGCCAATCATGGGTCAGCGCAACAATTGTCGTGGAAGGATTTACTGGACTAAACGCGGCCGTGCACACCTCAACAGGCTCAACTTGAAACGGAACCGGGGGGGGGGTCTCAAAACCCGATAGATCTGAGTTACCCACTCCGGTCCGCTGGTTTCAGCTTGTACGTTCCAGCACGCGGCCTCATGAATGTTAGCCGAAGCTTGACTATCGCGTCTGCGAGGTGGATCTACTTTGTCCACCCTATCCCTTTCAATGTAGACGCACAGTTGTCGAAAGTGATGTCCACCAACCTGACGTTACCTAGGATCGTCTCTATCTGCGCGTTTGCCACCGGCCATAGCGCACGCCATAGCGATCTTTGTCAACTCGTGCATGTAACAGACCCGCCCCTTACTCACGGGCCATCTCGCTTTTGTCCCCCTGTTCGGCAATAAAGCCATGAAGAAGGTTAGCCTAGCACAACTGGCAGTACACAAGACATCGCGCCGGACCCAGCTCAGGCAGGTCTACCACTTCGGATAATCATGTTCCGCCCATTGTACCCGCCTCTCCTCATGCAGTGGCGGGTGGTCGCTCAGTGGCTACGAAGGTATAAAGAGTTCCGGAGACCTTGTTCTTATTACGTTCATGATTGTCTCTGTGGCGTTCCCCATATCTACATCAATGTCCCAGCCTCGACCTCTGTCAATACCGACTTCTCCAATGAACTCTCTTACCTCCATCATTCGTGCGAGTAACCAAGAAGAGTGCTCGTTGCCCAATCCTGCTCTGTTGCAGATGCTTGCCATCCCGAACAACATGGTTTTCATCGGTGAGTGACGTGCCGTATGGTTCTCAGCTCATGCGGACTCCGACCAAACTTGTTCTCTCCAGAGTTTCTCATAGACTTTGTCATCGACAATGTTCACGCCACAATAGATTCCAACAAGTCTCCGATATCGGAGCAGTTGCTCAAGACGATCGATTTCGTGAGACTCACCAAGTCCGTCGTGACAAAGTCTGGCGTGTCCATGCCGGCAATATTGGTGGCGTTGGTTTACATTCGGCGATACTGCTATGAACAAACACTTGACCCGAAACGAAGTTGCGAAAGGGTCTTACTTGGTGCGTTGATGGCGGCCACCAAGGTACGCCCAATCCCGTAGTGTAGTTCTCTGCGACAGAGACAACTCAACAATGTTGGATCAGGACGTCACTCCGAAATCTTACCAAACTATTGACTGGGTTGGATGCTCCGCAAAATGCTTCACCTTGCAGGAAATGAAAGCCAACGAACGAGATTTCCTGGAAAAGCTACATACCCCGCACAAATTCAAGCCTCAAGAGGAAGACCTGCTTGCGCTCTATCCCGAAATCAAATCCCGATGTATGCACCCTCCTGGCTGGTGGCGGCATACGCGTTGGGATATATCATGCCGTGCACGAAACCCATACCTCCCTGATGACTTGGATTCCTCTGATGTCTCGGACTCCGATGACGCCTTGGACTTGGGCGATGCTCCGGACTCACCGCGACCGACTCTACGCCCTGCGCGATTCGACATACCTGGAGTGCCTCCTTCACCTAGTGCCTACTCCTGTGTAGCTGGTCACTACACGGTAGACGCATACAGGGTCCCTATGTCCCACCCGCCTCACCTCCGACCTTTCAGGTTTCCGACAGAGCCTGACACGCACGAACTATCGTCCATCAGAGAGGTGCTGCCTGTGCACATGCATTATTGCTTCCCGGAACTGCCGCCATTATCACCCACTTAATCTTTCGCTGCGAGTACGAGTAAATCGTTCGCCGGTGAAATGCGCTCGATGGACTTTCTATCAACCACCAGGCAGACTCGCCGCCCATTCACCTTGCACCTTTGAACCTTCGACGCTGGATGTCAGGAACACATGCGTTGTTTCGGCTCAACCCTCCGTCATAGTGTTCAGCCTCCTTATGCGTCGTTCCGCCCAGCTACCCTCGTCGCAGTCATGCTACGTATCGTCTGTGGGTTCTAACTTCACTCTTCCTGCATAGTGACGGATTTGGCTCGGCCCGGGTTCTTCGAGGTCATTTGCAATAAGAGTAGCCTGTACACACTGTGCAGAGCTCGTGCGATGTAGTGAAGCACTTAATCGACAGAAATTGACGAAGTTCTATTCCTGTGTGGTCAATATAGAAACGAGCCAGCGAAGGAAGCCAATGTGAGGATTCGCGGAAAGTACACTCTTTCTGACTATGCGTCAGTCTAGGCCTCTCGCAACGTCGTTACCATAAGGCTTCATTTTGATACTATAACGTGCATTTGACTGCCTACTATGACGCGCCCTGCCCCCACAAGCCGACGCTCCTTGTCCCTGTCCACCATGACCTTCCCGGCCTCTGACGACTACACGGTCTTCGCCGACAGTGCCCAGCTCGTCGAGCACTTCAAACGTGTACTCACGTAGCCCACAGCCGCGCCATCCGCCACGGCCTCGCACAGAACTCTCCAGCCCGTGCATGCTTCTAGCAAATGATCACACCTTCACTATATTGTATCATATATCACACACAATCATGACGACTGCGACCGCGGCGAGCCCGACGAACGCGATGGCAGCGACGAAGACGAGTACAACGGCGACACTGACGAGAGAAACGACTGGACGACAACGCACACGCTCCACCACCTGGCCTACGCGCGCGGCGTCGATGAGCGTTGCGACAAGATTTACGAGTCCATCGGCCACGCGCCTAGTATAGTCTCTCTTGATGTCGAGTCCCGCGAACGCGCCGCGTGCATCCTCTTTCTGCTTGTTGGTGGTCAACACTGTAGGTTCTTATGACAACGCGTTGGATGATGCTTCCTCGAGGGGCACCCCACTACTCCTGTAGATCCTTATGTGCTTGGTAGTGTATTACACTTGTGGTGTGGCAGGCTTGTATAGGGTCCCCGAGTGCATCATAAGCCCCCGAACATTCTGCAAGTTTTTGCAGTCGCTGCGCCCAATGGTATGTTATAGTCGAGCTCCCTCGGCACACGAAGCAGCCCGACGGCGACAGGTGAACGAAGCCGAGCATGGTGAGGAGAATGCGAGGCTGCATGCCCTGCCAGTGTCATAGCAAAGCACCACGAAGAACGACGCGTGCAAGTCCGCCATCAACACTTCCCAACCTGCACGCCATCCCCACTATCCATAACGCTTGCTCGCGACATGTTTGCCACACACATTGAAGAGGGCATGTAATATGCTACCAAATGACGTTCTCCCCGAAAGACACCCTTGGGGTCCAACGCGCCGCAGTCAGCGTCCCCGCGCGGGGTATACACACGCCGTTTACTGAGACACCCCGCAGTGCAGACCGGCCGTGCTCGAGGCAGCCACATCATATGCACACGCTAACGCCGTCCTCAAGGAATTCTTGAGTCCCTTCAAGTCATGCCATTGGACGAGGTCATACATAGTACACGAGCATGTTGTCCATCTCACCCGGTAGCCTCATGTCTGCGACCCAGACCTTTCATCGACGCTGACAGACGATGGCACATGTTCGTAGAATTTGCACTCACATCACAAGTTGCAATTAGCGATCGGCAGAGTGACAAAACGGAGGTGATGTGTGACGACCTTATGTACAGTACATCATACAAATGACCCCTTCGGATGATGAAGCTTGAACACCGGGGCGGCCAACGTGTTTGCGTGTGGCTGCGCGGCATTACTTCTTCGATGGCCTCCCATTTGGGTCCAGGAAAGGACCGGGGCGGCGCTCGGAGAAGCGCTCAACCGTTGCTTTGGCGCGCCCGCCGCGCTTCACCTCGAATAGCCTAGTACATATACGTTGTACATATCATGGCATATCCTGATGTCTGTTCCATGTGAACTATACCACTAAGAAATGGCATGACCAGTAAGAACTGCGAAGTTGTGAGATAACAGGTTTTGTCACGTACCGGAGGCGGAGATGTCTAGTCGGTCTGGGACGAGATCACTCCGGCCACGCTGTACGAGATCAAGCAGCAAGCAGTGCTGCGGTGCGGGAACCACTCGCGAACACGTCGCTCGGGTTGATAAACCCTTGCGTGGTGAGCTTGACCTGATTCGATTTTCCGCCCTAATGTCTACCTCCCATAGCCACTGCTTTCCGTCGCCAGTAGGTGGCACGCCCTTTCCGGTCGACTATTATCCTTCTGTCTTATTCGCAGTCCTTTATGTTGGCCTGACACCTTTCATCTTCCGTCGTCTGGCGAAGCCGGAATCGCGCACTATCCTTCTGTTTAGCTGTGGTGTACTTGCGCTCAGTCGGTGTGTCGACCCCAGACATACGTGCGTTTCGCTGCTCGTGCTGAGGACTTGATTACAGAATAGGGGATTTCATGCTACGAGCAAGAGCGGCAAATAATCAGAACAACCGCGTCGATCAATCACTTGTCACGTACCTCCAGACAACGTATTCCGTAGGCTTCATTTACCTTAGCCATGTGCTGCTTCGGCTCCTAGGTTGCATGCTATCAAACGCCGGCAACTCCGACACATTAAATGGGTGGAGCATGTACGAATCGACTGACGAAGAATCGCTGAAGACGCTGGAAGACGACGCAAGTTCGGAGGCCTCAGATGATGTGGATAGCGACCACAATGGTTCAATTACAACATCTTGGCGTACTCAGCCTAGGGGCAGCCTCTGGTGCCTTGTACATGCAAACGATCACGGATCTTGACAAGATGCATCTTGTTAAGATGTTGAGGCACGTAGCTGCCGTAGATGTGATCATCGTAGCTGAACTCATACGGGGTGTGGAATTTCAGATATGTAGCCACGGGTGCTGCCTTGGTCTTCCTGCTCATGATTTCGGCGGCAACCTCAATGATGTTGCGGCATCATAACCGACTTCGAGACCGACGAATACCAGGTTTGAATGCATTCATCATGGTTGCCTGTACATGCTTCCTGGTGTGTCTGTTCACGATTGGTCACAGGTTCGTTCGGGACTGATGCTTGACTTACCACGCAGTCTACCATCGCCATCTACCGCCTTGCCGTGATGCGTTTCCAAACCGACGCCCTGAAGTCTATGCGACCAGGCTCGTTGAATGATGTGTCTTCAAAGGCGACATTCTACATCTTCCACATGTTGCCCGAGTACTTGGTCTTCCTCCTGCTTTTCCGCATGAATGTCAGGGATACGTACCCAATTTTTCTTCGGAATCGTGAAGATTGTATCATTCCTAGGGAGGTCGAGGGGAGCAGAGAAGAGAATATCGATGAATCTCTCGAGGACTACGAGTTGTATGAATACGATGCCATTATGCCCTATATGCACGATAATTAGTACGATTCGTATGGTCAATTGGTCACTAGGATAGCACTTGCAAATATCACGTTGTATTGATTCTTGAGTTGCAGTGATGAATGTATCAGTCCTAAAGTCAACAACTGCCGCCGTAAGCAGCACGAAGTACTGAAGAGGAGTGATCGGACTGACCCGATCAGGAAGTATCTCTGGCTTGACCTTGACCATAGCACTCTCGCTCTCCCGGTGCCAACTCATCTCTGCGAGTATTTTGTACGTCTTCGGGATAGCTACCATCGGCAATACGACAATGGCAACATCATCGACGACAGACCCTGCTTTGGCGTCTTCATCTTTCTTCAGTAATATCCTGACTCCAGGGTCGTCTCTGCACCCAACATTTCTTTTTCTGGTTGATGGAGCCTTCGGAGCACTGTTACTTGTGCTTCTTTCCCTGGCAATTATGACCCGCGGTAACCTACACTTCTTCGCACTGATGGCAATTGAGGTCGCGCTTTGGGCAAGTGTCAAATGGTCAGTCGTCACCAGTTTGTGAGGAAAGGCAGCCTCTAAATATTGGTGGATGGTAGGTTCGTACACGAGCTGCAGAAGGTACAGCCAGAGGAGCAGGGAGGCAGGTCTGAAGTGACGGGTGCGAGCCAAACCGGCGGTCAATGGCCAGCAAAACCGAAGGATGAATAGCCAATTATGTGGATGACATCCGTATATCCCCCTACATCCGCTATCGTACACAATCCACAGTCCATGCCTATCCAACACCCACACGGCTAGCGTCGGCTTCGTTCACTCGAGTCATACCATCGCTTCTGTCTTCGCGCGCTCTCCTGCGCCAACACGAAGACTGTCCACGCATTCATGATCAAGAACTGCTTGTCAGTGATACGAGCAGAATGATCAAGGATAAACATACGTTCGCGCTCAGTTCCGTCAAGCCCTTCGCGAAAGGCCATGGTGGCTTCGTCGCTCCCCAAGCCGTTTCCCCCACCGCCTGAGCCTGACGCTGCGGCCGCGTGAACCGAGGCAAAGTGCTGCGCCTGGTCGATAATCTCTGGGAGGCGGGCACGAAATGCCTGGGCAGATATAAGAAGGTAGGAAGTTGAGCATGCACGAGCAAGGCGGTGCGGATACGGACCTTTACCAGGATATCTGAGATTTCCTGAGCAGGCGCGTCGTTCAAACTACGATACCGGCGTGGAAATAAAGATTGTCTGGAGGATTAGGGGGAACTGTACGCACAGTCGCATGATCATCCGTCCGAAGCCGTACCACAATCCGCCTTGTCCGACGAGGCTCGACAACCGCACGCTACGCGCTTCTGCGTTGAGGGCATTACGTACGCGTGCAGCGAATGGCGGAGGAATTGTAAAGTCAGCATAGTCACTGCCTCGAGCTATCGTCAGATGAGGGAGGCTTTATAACGACAGAGCACTGACGAATAAATGAGGATGTACGCTATCCACATTGGAACTTGAATCTTGCTGAGAGCCTTAATCTATGTTACGCATGATGCGAATCGGTGTGTGTGTTCATTAACGTGTTCAAGATCTGACGCACGTCGCGCTCGTTTCCTCCGTCAAGGTGACCCATATCAGGAATGTCGATTTTGAAGGTACACTGGATCTTCTGGTTCTCGGAAAGAATGGACTCTACAGAAAAGTAATCGTCTTCCATGGCGGATATCAGATTCACAGACAGTCAAGGGGTGGTGGCCAAGCAAACGCGTCGAGACGCGTCGCGATTCAGACGCGATCGAGCGCTCGGAGCCGCGTTACGCGTTGTTCCCACGCCTCGGCAGGTATGCCACTTGCACTCCGTCATCCGGCTTCCCATTCTCTTCATTCTCACTGACAATGTTGCCGACTGTCTTGCCCCGTATCTCCCTCAGACGCATAGCAGCATGTCACGCTCTCCGTCTAGCTCCCTCTATGCTTCATGCGCCTCGCACAATCAGCTTGCCTCGACATGATATGCGCCATGCAGAGTTCTCAACAACCCCACGGCGGCATGCCTCCGAGGAGCCGTCAGCGCAGGCCGCCATGCAGTCGCAACAGAAATTTGCTAGACTGTTCCAGGAGAAGCCTGAACTACAGCAGCTCGTGCTGGACCTGAAGAGCGCGTTGGAGAAGGAAGGTCAGTAATGTCGTTACAATTACGCCCTCTGGAAGTAAATGCGACGCTTGTGCATGTTACAGGGGTGGATGTACAGGGGAACGCCATGCCCTCTAAGCTTGAGATCTTCAAGATCATTATGAAGCCCAATGTTCGGGATGCGGTCATGAAGGTGTCTGCGGCGTTCCAGGAGGCAGGCATTAACCCCAAGGTGCGTTATCACCCGCTTTCAACGCTGTTGCCAGAAGCGAGGAGAAATGCTTAAACGAATAATTGACACTCAATAGGAAATGATGGAAGAGCTCATGGCCATGCAGAAATATCTCGGATCCAAATAACAGCCTGTAGCATTAGGTCATTTGACTCCCCGCTTGTTGTATCATATGAACTCCTTCGTCTAATCATCCAACTGTGCTTCTTGTTATCGCTATGGTGGTTAGCGATGCCATTTTCTGTCGTAGCTCATGGAACAAAGGGGGGTCAATCATTATCAAGTCCGTCGTGCTTCACTTTCACTAACTCATATTGTACATTCGCGGATACATTCACAATAGAAGCGGATAGAAGGCTCCTACCAAGCTGCCGCACAACCATCCAAGGAATTCCTAGGCGTGCCCAATAATCCTCATCGGCTTGTACGACTCCTCGAGATGCTTGATTTCCTCGTCCGTCAGCTTCAGATGGATGCCCTCTAAGCACACGGGCCCCAGAACAGACATCAGCAACTCTCCGCAACAATTGTATATTGTCACTCAGTACTCACCAAGAATGTCCCTGAGATTGTCGAGGCTAGTCGTGCCCACGATGGGTGCCGCCACAACTGTTACCGGGAGATGAAAACAGGATCCCATACAACTGACGGACCCTCATCGTACCATCTTTGGAAACCTCCCAAGCGATGGCAACTTGTGCCATGCTGACGCCCCTCTTCTTTGCAATCTCTTCCACGCTGCAAACGTAGCGCGTGAGTGTATAGGGCCCACGTGCTGTGACTAGACTACTAACCGGTCGACGATGTCTTTCAGTGTCGTGCTGCCCTCCCAGTTCTTGAGGAACCAGTCCGTCTCGCCGCGCTTCGTAGCTGTCTGGCTCTTGTAGGGCCTGCACAGAAGGCCGCGCCCGAGGGACGACCACGGAATCGCAGACACGCCAAAGTGCTTTGCAGAGGGTCATGATCAGCTGAATAGTTGAAGGTACTAGGCTGACGCGGACCTTGAGCGTGGGGAACATCTCGCGTTCCTCTTCACGGTAGATCAGGCTGTGGTGGTTCTGCATCGAGATGAAGGGAGTGAGGTTGTTATTGATTGCATAGTCTGGTGTGCACCGTCAGTTTCATCTAACTAGCGTCACGAGGGTATCCTCTCACTCTGCATGGCATGGACTGTGGTGCAAGACCTCATTAGACCGATCCCACAAAATCATATAGTACATACACTGCCAGGCGTAGCAAGAACTCATTCCGATGTACCGGACAAGTCCCTGCTTGACTAGGTCGTGCAGGGCAGTCATCTACATCAGCGGCGTGAGTACGATTATACCTTATTGATGTGCACTGGAAGGCGCACAGTTTCTTCGATGGGGGTGCCGCCTGAGAATCGGTGCACTTAGAGCAGTTCCCGGAAATTAATTGGTGAACAGGAAGCCAAAGCACGAGTCTCGACGCACTTTGCAGGACATCAATGTAGTCCAGTTGCAGGCGCTTCAGACTGGCCTTAACCGAGTCGAAGATGTGCTGTTTCACACGAAGATAAGCTAGCCGTTTCGACGGACCCGACTCGGTGAACTGTTCACCTTGCGACTCGTGCCCCATTGGTTGACGAAACGCTCCTCTTGCTCTGCCTGGAGCGGGTTAAAATACTTGACGCCCGGCGTGCGGCCTACCAGCCCGGAGAACTGTAAACAACATGAAGGTGGCCTTGTCAATAGTATGATGTCGCATTAGTTACGCTCGTCTCACCTTGGTCATCACGACTATTTCCTCGCGGGGAAGGTTGAGTTGCTTGATGGCCTTGCCGAGAATCTCCTCAGAGAGACCATTCGAGTACACCTACACGACCTTAATTCAGCGGGCACGCAGACCGCGTCACTATAAAGCCTCACGTTCGCGGTGTCGAATGTCTGAATTCCTGCATCATAACTGCAAGAGATGAGCGCGGCCACCAGTAGTGGTAATGCGAAGTTACTCACGCATACTTAATGTGCTTGATAGCTTCCTCTTCACCCACGAGCCACTCGGCCCACTCGGCGCCATAGGTCATGCAGCCGAGGATGACTCTGGACACTTTCAAGCCTGAATTGCCCAATCGCACTGTCAACATGGGAAGTCAGTCTTCGTGTGTTTCCAGCGGATTGAACGACGCTCACCATATGGAACCTTCTTGGAAGGAAGCTCGGGAATAGCGGTCATCGTTATTACTGACAGTTATGAGTGGAATGCGACGCGTTCTGCTGAATACTAAAACGGGTCTGTCTGGCAGCGCTCGACAATGTGAGACCTTTATACTTTCTTCCAAGGCCTCTCGGTGGTTCAGCGCACCCGCATGGACGGCTTAAACAACTATCAACGACCCCATTGGCCTTGGCGACTGTTCTGTGTGGCCACAAGACATCACAGCATTCATGGTGCAGCTGCGAGCCGTAATGCGCGTCGTCCCGGCAGTGGGCATAAAGCAGACTCTAGAAACTGCAGCGGCATGGGTCCGCCCGGACTCCGAGATTCCCGGGGTGCCTTCTAAAGGTTCGCAACGCCAGACTAAAGAATATCAGTCAGGCTCTCAGGTTCTCGCCACAATGAATAACCCGGTGAGCAGACTCGTGTCTGCCCGGCAAGAGGGGCACATCGGAGATAGCATATCGACTGCTGAGTGACCGGCCGCGCCTATTGCAACATACACGGCTTGTTGCAAACAGGGGAACCACGAATTACCTGGGTATCACGCCAACCTACGCCTGTTGCTCGTACTTGAGAGACGGACAAATATTGACAATCGGGACACGCCGTCGATCGTGATCAGATCGTGGATCTGCCAAACCTCGTTATTCGCCGCCCCAAGTGCGCCCGACGCGTTCACCGGCTGAGCGCTCAGATCCTATCCACGACTCTCCAATGGAGACTTCAGAGGCAGGACCTTCCACTATTTTTGTGACAAAGACAACTGCTGCTGTAGAGCGACCCCTCCCGTCGAAACATTTTTACTCGATCGAGTACCCCGGCTATGTCCAACCAAAATCCGTCCCTCTCGCAGTAGAGCGTCTTGGAGGGCAGAGTAATATTGACAACGCATTCAAGCGCTCCTCAGGAAAGACTGAGCCGCTTCTTGAATTGCATCTTCGACCGGGCAACCCGTTCGCGCATCCAGTGCCGGGAGAAGTCGTGCACACGCATAACATACTGCTGAAAGTCGTAAAACGAAGACGCAGAAAGCGAGACGGAGATGTTCCTTCTAGCAGCACGGCAGACGGCTCAGTAGGCGATTACACAGTGGAAGCAATGGGTGTCATACCAAAGACGGCGCGGTTCAGGAGTATGTTGAATGCCTTTCAGTGACAATCGCGCCTCATGCAGGTCCGCATTGCAGGCATGGTGGACTATCAATATCAGCCAGATATGGATGATCCTATAGCGAAATTACGCACAGCAATGGACACTATGGACGGTAAGTAACGACGCAATGATTAGTCAGGGACCCATCTCAAACGCGAGAGTAGTCGAGGGCATTATGAACTTTAGGATACCTCCGGAGCAGGAAGACTATGTCGTTCCAGAGGATCCGTCAGCCATGGACATCGACCCTCAGCTGACGGGTACAGACAATAACCATCAGTCTGGCTTGAAGCTGAAGAGCAACCTGCGACTGTTCCCTCCACCATTGTTCAGCCGGCAGAATATCCCTCAGAATTATAAGTATGTCAAAATCGCATGCAGCTCAGGCCTATTGCTGAACCGTATATAGCTACAAGGCCAACCCTGCATCCATTATGACCACTGTGATCAATGAGGAAACTGGAGAAGAAAAGAAGCGGCTCATAAACAGGATGCGTTGGAAGGGGTTCGGACCAATCTCTATAGCATTTTCAGACAAGGTGGTATGTGTTCATCCTTTCACCTACCCTTCTACTATACTAATTTATATGCACCGCGTATTAGGTTCCGGATAAGCCATCTCCTCTAGTGGAGCAGCAACGCGAGAAAGCTGATCAGACACTCCTCAAACGAATAGAAGAGGTGGGACAATATCCTACAGTTATTACATATCAGAAACCGCAAATAGCTGATCATATACATACGCGGGACACAGCTATTCCAAGAGCGTCCTGTTTGGACGCGAGTGGCGATATTTAACCAGTTCGAGCCATTCGAAATACGGGAGCTCATCAAGTAAGGGTGATATCCTGTACCTACCATTACATATGCAATAGCGCTGATACTCCCTGTCAGCTCCAAGTATCTTCTTCCGCTAGTTTCGTATGTCTTTGCGGATGGTCCGTGGCGGGACACACAGATCCGCTTGGGTTACGACCCACGCGAGGATCCAGAAGCGCGCTTGTATGCACTATTTCCGCGTTCTCATCCTCTCGTTGGTCACTGACTGCGTCGACACAGCTATCAGAGACTGTACTTTCGCAATACCAACCATCCCATTGTCCGTCCATCCGTGGTCAGCAAACGCCAGGAGGACAGAGCCCAGCTCGCGCAAAATCGATTCGACTCCAACGTGCGAGAGGAGGACCGCAAGTGCGTGCCATTTGTTTATCGTTCTACATGGGCGAACCTGATCCCTGGGCAGGTCGCATATCTTTGACGGTGTGACGGTAACGAAGGAGACTGCGGCCTTCCAGCTATGCGACATCCACGACCCGATGCTCAAGGAGATAATCGAGGACGAGGAGGACCTGCGTGAGGAGTGCAACGAGCGCGACGGGTGGTACTCGACGCACGCATTCGAGCGCATCAAAACGGTGCTGCGGCATAAGTTTTTCTCGCTTCTCGGCGGACACGTCGCGTCGCGCGAGGAATGCGAGGCCCTGCTAGTCCCGCAGGAGGGCACGAACAAGCTCCCGCAACGTCCTGCACAGCGACTCCGGTTCGGGAAGCACAATATGGCGAAGGGCGCAATGCCTCCAGAAGATGCAGCGGTGAGTGCTCGCGTACATCGGATGACGAAATCTGTGATTGAACTTAGAGATGCAGGCACACAGGCTCATGCAGACGCTGCAACAGAAAGCAAAAGACGGTCGCAGCCAGGATCATCGATGACCCACGTTTCGCCTTTCAACCTGCGTATGATAATATCTGCCAGAGCTTGTGCAATATCAGTAATCATGCAGACAATATTCAAGTGTTTTGGGGCTTTTCATTTCTGCGTGAACAGTCCTAAGCATACTGCGGTGCATATGGATGGTAGTAGCGATAATGGTTTACATGATGACACGCCGCACCCAAGGACTGGTTCCTCTCGACGTGACGTCCTCGATCGACAACAGACAAGTGCTTCTCACGAGAAGGCAGATCATGATTCTCCGGCCTTAGCCTCCGTGCGAGCTTTCCGCTGTACAGATGGATGAGTCCATGAAGCAGCTACCATACAATGAAGAACACGCACTGAACCCGTCAACGCGTACTTGGCGTTGCGGCGGAACTGCGGAACGTCATAGTCCGGTAAGTGATAATCCCCACATACAAACACAAAGTTTAGCCCACCTTCGGGTCAACCTGCGGGCAAGACGCATTCATATTTGAGATGTCAATTCAGATAGTAACACTGTGAGGACGTACACCCTTCATCGACCTCGTCCTGTAGCTCGTAGGCTTCTTGATACCATTGCGGTGAGCCTTCTTGTTTTGGTTGTGGTTGGTATGGCTGAAATCGCAGCATGTCATTGTCAGAATTCATTTCCTCGTTCAGCCGCCCCAGGAACATACTTCTTGGACTTGGCCATGGTCGACGGGTCTGTTGTCTTGAGGATGGGCGACTTACAGCGGTGGCGGGCGTGGTGCACAAGCCTGGGAAATTCTGATCACGAGTGGCTGAGAACTGTACAGTTGCGGGTGCCCCGGCCATCACCGGCCGTCCGTTTTAGGACTTAAATGACGACAATTCGCGATCTGTAGCTAATGTACTCGGGTAGCCTGGACGCAATCTAGACTTTTGAACAAACACGTTTAGAATTTAGAAAACGGGCCCTTGAATATATATAGCTCCGCATGGTAACGGTGTGCCAGGCTTCGGCTGTGATGTTGTGCGTTAGGCGCCTGCTGACGATCGAAAACCTTATCGAGATCACGAATCTATGCTCGGGCCGCGCCGGCCGATCGGGGACATGCCCCGCATCGTGATCGTGGTCTGTCACCGAGTCATATTTCGAGGCTGAGTCACAGGCGGGGTGGCGTGGCTATTACTGTGTGTGCTAACTCTTGAACCCCAACCGACTAGTACTTGTCTATTTGTTGTCTGGTCAATCCACATCGGTCAACATGCCTGCGGCGACTCAGAAACCCCGTACTCTCTACGACAAAATCTGGGACGATCATGTTATGTATGTCTGCCCTATTCGTAGTTATCTGGAGTATCCTAACACAGGGTGAACTGCAGTGACGTTCAAGAAGATGGGTTGGCCCTCATCTACATTGACAGGTGCGATATACGCGATCGATCCTGCTCGATTGTATCCTGAATATCTGGACGCGCAGGCACTTGGTGCACGAAGTGACCAGCCCACAAGCGTTCGAGGGACTGTGAGTCAATGCTCGCCTCTAGACTTTGACGTGTACCTGACTTTGCTTTAGCCGAACGGCAAGCCGTCGTGTTCGCCGTCCAGACTGCACTCTGGTCACTGTTGACCATAACATTCCGTGCGTATTCACAACCAGGGTCCATCCGATCTTAGCGTTGACGCTCATGTCATGTCATAGTACTGTATCTCGCAAGAACTTCCAGAGTGTGGAGTCTTTCGTTGCTCAGCCAGACTCACGTGCGCAATGTCAGGCCCTTGAGGAGAACGTTAAGGAATTCGGGTTGACCTACTTCGGCATGACTGATCGCCGGCAAGGTATGCACATATCATGTTCCACTCCATCACGTCTTACAACTTCATTCTACAGGTATTGTGCACATTATCGGGCCAGAGCAAGGTTTTACCGTGTGTACCGACAGCTTAGATGATAGCAGAGAAGATACTGATATCTTCACATCAGCTCCCCGGTATCACTTGCGTCTGCGGTGACTCCCATACATCTAGTGAGTAGCCAACCACTCTGACGGTGTATCTGTCGCTCATGTGGTACGTCTACAGCGCATGGTGCTTTCGGCTCCCTTGCGTTCGGTATCGGCACTTCGGAGGTGGAGCACGTCTTGGCGACGCAGACCCTCCTGCAGAAGAAGGGCAAGAACATGCGGATCACTGTAGAGGGAACCCTACCTGAGGGCGTAACCTCAAAAGATGTGGTGCTGCACATCATCGGTGTCATTGGCACAGCTGGAGGAACAGGCTGTGTCGTCGAGTACGCGGGCAATGTCATCCGTGGCTTCAGCATGGAAGCGCGGATGAGCATGTGCAACATGAGTATTGAGGGTGGTGCGCGAGCTGGTATGATCGCTCCCGACGAGGTGACCTTCGAATACCTCCGTGGACGCCCATTGGCGCCTAAGGGCGAGGTCTGGGACCGTGCGGAGGCGTACTGGCGTACCCTTAAAACGGACGCAGACGCAAAGTTCGACATCGAGGTGCAGATCCGAGCGGAAGACATCCTCCCGACTGTCACATGGGGCACCTCGCCGCAGGATGTTGTCTCAATTACAGGCTCCGTCCCCGACCCTTCAAGCGTCCAGGACGAGAAGAAGCGCGAGAACATCGAGCGTGCCTTGAAGTACATGGGCCTCACGCCGGGAACGCCTATGCAAGACATCAAGATCAACAAGGTCTTCATCGGTTCGTGCACGAACAGTCGTATCGAGGATCTGCGTTCCGCGGCGAAGATCATTCTTGCCGCTGGGCCCGATGCGAAGGTGGCCCCAGGAGTGTCGGCGATGATTGTCCCAGGCTCTGGGTTGGTGAAGCAACACGCCGAGGCGGAGGGGTTGGACGTCGTCTTTAAGCGTGCTGGTTTCGACTGGCGCGAAGCGGGCTGCTCGATGTGCCTGGGCATGAACCCGGACAAGCTCGAACCCGAGGAACGTTGCGCCAGCACGAGCAACCGTAACTTCGAGGGCCGCCAGGGCCCCCGTGGCAGGACGCATCTTGTCAGTCCCGCGATGGCCGCGGCAGCTGCGATGACGGGGAAGCTGACAGACGTGCGCAAGTTCCTGGGCGCAGCGACTGACGCCCAGCCGAAGCTGAAGCTCACGAGTGCTCTCGACTTCCTCACGGACGCTGTACTGCCGTCTCCTGAACCCCAGGGGACCGTGACAAGCACTTCATCTGTTGCTGCGTCGGATACACCGCTCCCAGCAGCCGAGGCCCCTTCCAGCGTGCCACCCTTCCGTGTTCTCAAGGGCATTGCTGCTCCTCTGCACATGGAGAACGTGGACACGGATATGATTATCCCTGCTGTTTTCTTGAAAACGTTGAAGCGCACTGGTCTCGCGAATGCCCTCTTCTACGCTCTCCGCAGAACCCCGTCAGGCGAGCCTTCTGACTTTGTCTTGAATCGCGCATCGTACACGCAGTCAAAGATCCTCGTTTGCGACATGCCGAATTTTGGATGCGGCAGCTCTCGTGAACACGCGCCTTGGGCTCTGTGAGTTTCTCGCTTTACCCGTGTGCCAAGGCGGTTACTAATTCACTAATTTCTACCCACAGGAAGGACTTCGGCATCCTGTGTGTGATTGCTCCCAGCTTTGGAGACATTTTCCGGAACAACTGCATGCAGAATGGCATGTTGCCCATCGTGCTACCTGATGCTGACTGCCGTGCTCTGGCCGAGGACGCCGAGGCAGGGCACGAGCTCGAAGTTGACCTCGAGAAGCAGGAGGTCCGCCGACCCAACGGCAAACCCGCGATCCCCTTCCAGGTCGACCAATTCCGCAGACATTGCCTGTTGAACGGCCTCGATGATATTGCTCTAACGCTCCAGAAAGTCGACAGAATCGAGGAGTTTGACAAGCGCAGGAGCGAGATGTGGCCCTGGTTGGACGGTTTCGGGTACAAGGGAAACAAAATTCCGGTTGCGCCGGAAAGGAAGACAAAGAAGATGGAGTGGTGAAATGGTCGACTGTCACGAAAATGTACACTGCTGCCGGTATTCTCTTTGATGTATATTGTGGAACACGTTCATCTGCACAACAACGCCCTGCGTGCCATGCGCCAACGAATTGAGGATGTAGCAAGGAGCAATGTGCATAAGGGTTAGGGTCACCGCTACAATGCGTGTCACAAGTGATGCCCGGCCGCGGAATGTGACAGCGGCGTCGGGAGTGACGAGCGCGCCCCTCTGTACGCCGGCCCCGGCGACGACAAAGTATGTATCTTGGTTATCTACTACCACCTCAGCCATGAGTGTGGCAGGCCTGCACCAAGGGCCGATCCACGAGTTGCTTTCCGAAGAGAGCGATAGCAACGGCGCAGGTAATAAGTCGGCTTCCGTTCTCATGTTAGCTTCCCGTCTGATGAAAGTGGTCCTCAGCGGTCCGACTGCGCCCAAACATCGTCCGTCGCGACACCGATAACATTCTTTCCTACTACCAGTCAGAACATGCTGGGCGCGCGTACTCGGCATTCAATGCTGCTGAAAGCGTTCCCGCCGAATCAATCATGAGAGAAGCATCGCCTCACGGCCACTCCGGAAGTCGTTCGTCATCGGAGTACTCTGACTCTGACTTCGACCGCCACGTTGACGCATGCACGCATGGCAATGACTCCCGGCCGGAGACCTCGACTAACCGCGATACCGGCCATACAAGGCGGCCAAGTATACCCTCCGAGGGAGGAGCAGACAGGCGGCGTCTAGCCATTGTCGAGCTCGACTCGACGCTTCCGGCGTCACTCAGTCGCAAACGAAGTCAGGGAGGGAGAGATGTGGGTGCTGATGCAGGAAGCGCTTCGGTGACGTCGACTATTCTGTCTCGCCGTGGCATTCACGTCGATGGTCTAGCACTGGTAGCCCCTCCCGACGCCTCGCCTAGGGCATATACCAACCTAACGCCGCCGTCAACTGCGCCCCTCTCCTTTGATCGTGCTCCTGTTTCATCATCGCCAGCGCTGCATCAGCGTTCCATGTCGGAGGCGAAGAGCGCGACACCGCTGCACCGGCGAAAGTCCTCGCGGGACGTGGGCATCGTTGGTGTCGTGCCACCGGCGTCGGAGTTGACCGAGCGTGGTATCTCGAGAGGACAACATGGTTATGCAGCCAGCCTCAAAGTTCCCATCTTTCAAACCCCTGCTGAATCACCGTCGCAGTCACCTGGACACACTCCTGAGGGATCCGAATCCAGCACGCTGGGTGTTTTCGGTGGCAACCTGAGTGCATTGACTACGCCTGATACCGAGAGGCGTAAACAGGAGATGCTGACCCCGGCAATCGGCGAGTCGAAGGAAATCTCACAGCCTGTCGTTGGACCCGTAGTTGTCGGCATCACGGCGGGCATGATGCGTAAAACCCCAGGACCTGGTCATAGCGGTTTAACAGACGTAGTAAACACCAGTGCGGGCATGACGAGCCCTGGAGATACCTCTACCGTGCATCAGAACCACTACCGGGAATCTTCGCGTTCCGGCTCACCGTACGTGTCCTATGAACCCGGAGTACATTCCACTGCGGGGCCGCTACCACCACCACCTCAGCCCGCACTAGAACGCAACACTCTGGTATCGACAACTCCTGCTCCTCCTCGCCCTCCACGCGCATACACTCCTTCACAGCCAGTTAGTCAAGTAGGTCGATACAACGCCCTGCGAGATGCGTTACAGTTGCCCAGGGAGGTGTCGGATGCGTTGGCATCGATCACGTCGCGCGAACCAAGTCGGTCACGCACGGACTTGCAAGAGGGATCTGCACATTCGCGGGAAGGTGCACAGTCTGATACTGGGTGCGTCGCAGTGTCTGTCTATGTGGTGTTGAGATTGACTCCTTAACACAATAGTTCATCCAAGCCGCTGACCAAGTCGCGGTCGATGCACGTTCGGGAGGGTGCTCACCCTCCTTCGACAGTCATGAACACCCCTGCCACCTCAGATGCTTCTGTTCTTCATGCCGAAATCACACACTCGACATCCACCATGTTACCCAGAGACGAGAACGTTGTCAGTGACAACGACACGCCTCCAGCAATATCAGAACATTCGTTGCGGACACAGCGGTCAGGTCCAGACCTTCGACGCAAGAGCAGCTGGGTCAGCCTGACGCAAGCTGAGCGTACGGCGTCGCCAAATGGCGGAGCCGAGAAAGTCCCGAGTGTTTCGGTGTCGCGCTCGTCGACGTCTTCTCACTCTCACAGCACGTTCTCGCACATACCTTCCCCTCCTCCGAAGAACACCAGGGGCTCGCCAGCGACTGATAATGAGCGATCGTCGCCTATGTTGCCGGGGTCAGGATCGAGTAACAACCCGCTCCGAGGTGCGCTCACCAACCTCAAACGCTTTTCTGCGTTACCACGCACGCCATCTGGCACTTCGTCTATAGCGAAGTCAAAATCACCTAGTCCGCGGCGTTCACGAACTCCCTCCCCCCATGACATCCCTCCTCAAACTTTTGCACACAGCTCATATACTCCCAAACCACGGTCCAGGCAAAAAGTCCTATGGCCGGACGCAATGCATTGCAGGGATGTGGTTGTACAGAGGACCGCAGTAGAGCGTGCCACTGGGTATGCGCACAAGATAAATGAACTCGCTGGGTGTGACTGTGGGCTTGCAGATTGGGTGCGGGTCAGAAAGCATCCAGGTGACTCTCATGTAGAGCCCTCCTGATGACTACGCTGACTGAAGGTCTCAATAGGCAACGGAGCCCGATCGGCACAGACCAGTGCACTGCGTCTAAGAGTGACGCCTGCAACACCATCTACCCGCGCGGTCGTGGAGACTCCGCGACATACATCGCATGGATCCACTACAACTGAGGCGACCTTTCCGATACGTCCAGATGCATATAGTGCTACCGACCTCTCGACGCGCCCAATCGACATTGTATCAAATGCTCTCCCGTCGACGTTACCGTATCCATCGCTGGCTCAATCGCAATCTTCACGTGCTTCGCTACGTTCATCCACTCTCGTGACTACTCCGGCGCGGAGCTTTTTGGCTTTGCCAGGAGGCAAATCTGGAGGAGGCTTCTTTTCGTCGATTGGTAGGAAGGCGAGTGTCAGGAAGGACAGGCCGGCCCTGCCACCCGTCTCACCTTCCCGCGTTCTGTCTAAACGCAATCCAAACACGTCTCATCCGCCGCCGACGCCGGTTCCAGCGGCACCACTAGTGCCGGGAGGCCCTAGGGCTGCACCGGGTCGAATACAACGCTCACAAACATTTTCCGTGGCTACTAGCCCTCCGAAGGATCCATCACCACCCTCAGCCAACACTGCGCGCCCTAATCGTCAGAGCTCTATGGCTCGTCGACCATCGTTATTTGCTCGAGCACGAGGACAAGGTCAAGCACAAGTTGTGCAGACTCCTTCCGTTCCAGATCCTGATTTCGAACGTCAAGTCGACAAACTCGCTGATCTTCTTCCTCAAGCTGATCGGGATATTCTTGCTGGTTACTTACGCAGAGCAGGTCAGGACATCCTCGCCATTGGCCAATACTTAGAGGATGAGAAGAATGGCACGTTACTGCGCGACTAACCTTCATTTCTTATTATTTGTTTCACTGACTTACGTCCCTCGTTACTCACAATGTCATTGTACTAAATTTTGCGTTAGTCTTATCGTTGCGCATAACAGTCACATAACAGTAGTGTATCTATACCCCATATTCTGTACAATCAGACTACAGACTGGACCAACAGCGGACAGGAACCAGGATGATATACACATGATCGCTTTGTTGGCGTAAGACGACGGGAACTGTATCACCTGACTGGCGCGGGTTTAAAAGTTCCACTGGTACGTCTCGTTGGTTGTGCGAAAGCTGCTGCAAAGTCATCTGTGCTGATCTCAAATATATGAGCGTACACGACAGACCTCTCTGGGCTGGAACCCCGAGGCGTCCTTGAGGTGCTGACCATGAACGGTCACTTGTGCGCATGGAGTGCTGAGCGGCAGGAGCCAGCAACCTCTCGACTTCCCCTGCACTGTTGGAGTGATCTGAACCTGTCGTGTTCGTTCTGAAGGAACGATCTGCCATGGCATTGAATGGTTGTCTCTGTGGGTTGTGGCGAAGCGGGGCGGGTCCTGGGTTCCGCCATGCGGAACCGGGTTGCATACCTGTGGCCCCAAGCGTACGATTTACAATCGGCGTGCGCTGGATCTAGAAGCAAGTCAGGGATCCATCCCAGGTGGAAAGGGGGAACGGACCCCGTTGGCTTCCATGTCTCCGACTACGGCTCCCATGTCAACCGTTGCGCCAAATGCCATTCCTGATCTGTGCTTGTTCTGTTGCTCGTTCAACCCGACTCTATCTGCAGGGTGGCCATCAGCTCCAGCCATCAAGCCTGTGTTCTCGTTGCCAACAAGGCCGGGTGCCAGAAGTGCCTTCCTCTTGATCTTGTCATAATGCGTCTGCAGTCGAAGCATATCAAGGGGTTGTTCAACTGTGACATCTTTGCTAGACTGACCTTCAATTTCTGATACTCTTTGTCGCGCTCCTTGATAGAGTCTTGCAGGCCAGCCATTTTCCGACGCTCGAGCTCCAAGTCTCGCTCGAGATCTGATGCGATACGATCAGCAAAATGCGATATGACGCTACGAATCAATCTATGTTACCGGCAATCTTGTTGTTGAGAAGGCTGATTTCTCCATTGGCTGAAAGGAGGTGTTAGATGTAAGCGGGAAAGCCACAATGGGTAAGACCTTCTCTAATAACATTGTCTAACTGCTTTTGCAGCTGAGCATTTTTCTCGTTAACATTGCGATATACAGCATGTTGAAATGATCTTCATGGCGTTCCAGTACAATTCATGCGACGTCAATGGTACTTACTGTTCTTGATGAACTTGATACTGCCAGAATGACATTGCCCTGCAAACCATGTTATGGGAAGGACCGCATAGTACGACTCAACTTACCGACTACAAATTTCCAGAACGATGGTCGGGTTCAGTCCCGACAAGACTGACTTCAGAGATGTCGAGATCAGCCGGATGAGTGCATATATGCGCTCTTGCTCACGGTCTTGTAGTCATTGGATGGGTGTAGAGAGCACACCTGACGGGTTCCAGATGGATTAGCTGGCATAGCCATAGTATACCATCAACTCACAACCACGTCATCTCTAGTGAAGTCGTCAAGTCGAGCGGTCATTCACGATCGCATGGTAACGGATGCTCACGGTTCCGTCAAAGATGTTTCACAAGCTGTAAACAGTCTTAGACGGCCGAGCCATAGCGATAAACAAAATAAGCTTACCAGGACATAACCTCGATGCATTGAAGAGTTCATTGGCACATTCGACTGACAGGACATACGTCTCGGAACATATGCATCCAGACCGCTTGTCGACTTACCACAGAATATATGGGAACCTTAATGCCAGAAAAGAATATGTTGTTCATCCCGAATCAGACAAAAAAAGCCCACGCACAAGTCGTCTTAAGTAACAGTCAGTCAGCTCCCGGCAGGAGTACTAGGCAGAATACCATACCACTACAGCTTTTTCTGTCAATGCTTTTCTACATGTCAATCTATTGCATTTGAGATGATCCATGTTAGAACCGGTGGAATGAACGGATGCCAACTGAAATCAGAGACGGTGGAAGGACTGGTAGGTCGCAGATAGTCGACAGACGCCAGAAAGGTAGTCGCGTCCAAGACGCGTTCATCACGCGCTTTAATGATTGCGGTACCGTGACCCAAAGCGTCAGATCAGATCTCACGCAAACCGCTGGCGCTTCTCTGACCCATTAGTACGGCACCCAATGCGCATCTGCAAAATGCACTTCCTGATGAGTAGCCAACCACCTTGAGTCACGTAAAATTTGTGCTTATAGCTTACTGTCGTGCTGCATTGACACCTCGGAAGGAGTAAAATGATGCAGTCATACGGACACAACGAACTGGGAATGCCCAGGCGACTCTACAACAGTCTCGCAGAAACGGCATGCCCCTTACTCATATGTCTACCACTTCTGATTAGCGCTGAATTTTCAACGAGTCACACGCGACGGCGGAGTTCATGCACCTTCTGAGATGACGTACAGCGGAAGCAAATGAGTACAGGATAGTAGCAGAGAAACAACATACATGATATCGACCGTAGAGTCAGAGTTACATGTGAACACTCTCGCGAATTAGCAGCAATCCGCATTCATACCAATGATAAATAGTCCATCTCGAGTCCATTTGCAGACCCAGCTGCACCAGGAAACCTATCCGATAACGTAGATCGTTACGCACTCGCACTTGCGACTGCGCTGGAAGCAACGCCGGCAGTGACGGTGGCAGACGCAGCCTCTGCACTCGCAACCGAGAGGATTGCACTGGCTTGCGAAGGCGATATTATGGTGGTGACTGCACTAGACTGAGTATCCGTGGCGCTAGCGACGGCTGTACTGGCGGCGCTCGCGGTAGCAGTGGCAACAACACTCGTACTGGCGCTGGCGCTGGATATGAGGCTCGAGGTGACGGCACTGGCGCTCGCGATGGAGCTCGAGAGCACGGTGGAACTACTAGCAAGTGTGCTGCTGGCGCTTGCAACAGAGCTAGAAAGCGCAGACGAGCTGACAGTAATAGCGGTGCTCGTTGCAGCGCTGTCTGACGATGCGGAGGTGCCGCTGGAGGTACTGTTGGAAGTGCTACTACCACTGCCCGAAGAGCTTCCGCTAGAGGTGCTGTTGCTACTCGAAGACACTGAGCCCTTGGCAGCCTGTGCCAGCGCATCCGACATGGTGTCAACGAAGACCATGGCAGGGCCCGCGACGAGGGTGTTATCGTTTTGTTCACGGATGTTAGCATCGATGGGTTGGTCATCCGACGTGACGAAGACAGCGACAGGACCATTAATTCCACTAGGGACGACGCAGTTGTTCAATGGCTGCGATATGGAGAACGCTGCACCACCGAAGAGCATTTGGCACGCAAAGTTCTGCAAAGATATGAGATTCGACCTATTCTGTGAGTATACGAAGAACATACAGTGGTGCTTGTTGAGCCGTTCAAGGCTGCGGAAGCGAAGGACAAGACAGTTCCAGGCTGAGCAGGGGCGGTATTGGTAACAGAAAGTGCGGCATTGGCTGGGCATAGTTCAGTTAATATGCAGGGACCCTCTTGCGAAGGACGCACCAGTGAAAGGCATCTGGCACCCCGATATGAAAGACCCAGCAACTGCAAGCACCTGGCTGGGGTTAAGAGCGATATCGAAGGCCTGCGGAACTGCCGAGCCTTGATTCAAGACGTTCAACACTGTCTGCTGTCGCGCTTTGACGGACATCATGGATGCAGCCGCGGTCAATAGGGAAGGGTCAGAAATCATGCTAACGGCGCCCAGGTATGCCGAGGTCCCCAAGTTTTCCATGACGCGAGCTGCCGAGGCCATGGACGAGACGTTTGCAAGCGCATCGGTGAGGTCAAATTGACATCCCGTAATCGGGGAGGCTCCCAGCGATTCAAGGGTCGACTGCTTAACGTTAGGCGTACGACAAATGAAAAATAGCTAAATCTACGTACATTGATCACGGAAAGCTGAGTCGCCTCGTTACTCCACATCGCCTGGATTTGCTGAAGAGGCACGGACACGTCCGAATAGCCAGCTTCGAGGAAATCGGAGGCCTGAAACTTGGAGAGCGCTTGCTCGTAGAACGTATTTGCGAGCTGCTCCAGGGCACCCGCAAACTCTGAGATTTCCCTCCAGAACTCAGAGGTCATTCAATCTAATGAAGGCAATGTGAACTCACGAAAGATCTTGACATCCGTCGAGTTAGCGACCCGTCTCACTGGGGCGCTTTGAACCAAAAGAGGGGACGCCAGAGCGAGAATTGACAATACAGACCGCATTATGAACCCAGAAATTCTGTTGCCAAGATGAAAAGAAAAGCCTGCTGGAACGCCAGTTGGATAACAAAGAACGAAGGTTGTCCAGGGGCGCTACCGGGCAGCCCAGAAAGTGACTACGGAGCGATGTCTTCAGACGGAGAACAACTGAGGAGCACTGGAGAGGGGAAACATACCTGAAGCACTTAAGAAAGAGAGAGAAGACGAAGGGGCGAGCGAGGTAACGACCATTGTCATAGAACACCTTATACGATCGACTGTGCGGGAAACAGGCCGGGTTTCCACCACGGAAACCGGGGAACCTCATGATGTCCCCTTGGCGACGCCAATCAGGACCTCTCATTTTCTCTCAATTTCGTACTCAAAGACATCTAGACACCGTAAACCGTAAAGGTTCAATAGGACGTCGCATTCTGGCTAGCTCGGGCTTCAACGTCGATTTGTCTCTGTGAAGGACATTCTCGGAAAATGGCCACAATTCTCTAGTGTATAAACTGACATGCCCATCTCGACGGTGGGGGAGCGAGTCGGCAAATTCTCACAGCCAATAGTAACGGAGACAGATTGGGCGCTGACCACAGGTATTCTTGGGAATGAACATTGACAGATAGCTCGATCTCATCACTCGCTGTAGTGGGGCCGCACAGCCTACGTGCACCATTATAGTCAACGTCACAGCTCTCGCTGTGCGAGCCACCTCGACACCATAGCCTGTGCCTCTGCGGGTTTGTCGTGCGGGACGTAGATGTCATGATGAAATTAGCAAGGCTGCACATAAGAGAGGAAACACTGATACTCATCATATGCCCCGCGCCGCGGATTGTTGCGAATGTCAGCATCCCCGCCTTTTTCGTCTCACCCGCCTTCCTCCCATTGACGACCCAATCACGCCATTCCGCCGCGTTGTATGCATCCCGCGCGAGCCAATCAAGTTTGTCCACCCATAACTTGTTCGCGACCCAGTTGCACTGCCAGTCGTAGGTCCCCGCGTAGATCAGCATGCGGATACCACGCTCGAGCAGGCCCGCTACGTAATGCTGTGAAGGGACCGCCCATTTGTCCATGTGCAGGTTGAAGTTCGTGCCAACCTCGCGATTGCAGGCGGAGAAGTTGTTTGGCGATTGAACGCCAAGCAGCTCGCGCGTAGCAGGCTGATCGAGGAAGTGCTTGATCACGGTATTCTCCTTGTAGCAGAGATCGTCGCCCTCGCACATCTGGCGCGTGATCAGCCACTAATCTGACGTGGTGCGCAAATGGGAAGGATCGATATCTGACCTTAGAGATATCATAAACATTTCGGCCTGTAAAATATCTTTCTCATAGGAATGAACCCACACCACGATCGTTGTGTCACGCACCACTGGCCCAGTAACCTGTGCTCATCTCCGAGTCACAAAAGCTGACGGCAGCTCTGCAATTCATGGAGTCAAATGAGTCGACACAGTGCTTCGTCATAGCATCCTGACAGCGAGAAAGCTATACACAGATTTAGAGTGATATGAGCATCCAACTGGCTCCAACACCGTGAACATACCGCCATCTTCATGCGTACACATGTACTGATTTTCTGAAAGGGAACTTCAAGGGCGGCTAAACCACACTCTATCTCGTAGCGGCCAGGGTAGAGTCTGTTGGCACTATGCATCAATCATCGACCGAACACCAGTAGGACGTCAAACGTGCGTTGAAATATCAGTTATTCCATTACCGATAAGCACGCTCTGAAGGTTGAGGGGTTCTTTACCCGTGGCCTTAAGAATTTGGTTTTGATCGTAGATGTAGCTGGCAAACGCTGGCAAGTAACGGCCCTGGGGTAACACGTATAATCAACACTGATAAGTGAAATATTAGCGGCATCAAACTTACCCCGTATGACTCCCCGGACAGATGCAGCGCACGTCCGGTAAACTGAGGGAATGTCTCGAAGAAAATAGATATGAATGCATGCACATTTTGAGCTGCATGCTCGGTCGTCTCAATAGTCTCGCCAAAGTCTGCGTATGAGAAGCCGACGCCGATGCTATGATAACATGAAACCAGTATCGACAAATATAGAGTGCAACAAGACGCACGGCTGATCGAGGAAGAAGATATTTGCCTCGGCATTCCAGGAGTATGGATTCCAGACAGTACCATTTGCTGACACATTGTCCATGTCAATACTGCATGGTCCTATTGTTGGGGTCGATGTGTGAGCTATGCGAGATGATTGCTGGACTCAACCGTACCAAGTTCCATGAGAAGGCCCATGGATGAAGAACATCCAGGACCTGTGGAACATGTTCGTCTTCGAGGATCTCGTTTGCTGAGGTGACAGCTATTTCTTACCACCATTGATCCACATCATCACATCGTCTAATAAGCATGATCGTGAGCCAAATACACTGTTCGTGACCATCATTTACTTTACCTTTAGCGGGATTCCTCCTACTCTCGAAGAAGTAGAAAAAGAGGTGCTTGGCACCATAATCTACGTCAAGGTATCCGGTATACACACTAGCGAAACCACACATAAGTGGTCAGCAGGGACAGTGTATCTTTTCTCTCATGCCCACTTCACGGTCGGGTCGCAGAACGCGCTCTTCTTGACTCGGATTTGGTAAGAAGGGAAAGCAGGGTGTAACAGCGAGGTGAAGTAGTGCTCAGATGTAACGGACGACAGATACGAGGGCGATGGGTTCCTAGCCTTAAAGACTTCTCGAGACGAATTGTAGGTCCAGAGCGAGCTATTCGGATTCAAAGAGAACGTATGCTGCACATTGCTTGAAACACTCTGGAGCAAGCCGAATAGAAGTGCTAGAAGAGCCAGCATTGTCCCGCAAGTCGCTGAGGGGAGCAGGCAAGGGTATCGCACTGGTCACTTTCATGGTCGACTCGTCCTTTATAAAGCACTATGATGAGCATGCTCATGAGGCACACACGGAGAACGGAACGCCTGGACGCGAGATAAGAATGTTCGATCACGTGCTACCAGTTCCCCGCGCACCTTCCCGATTGGGAAGAGGACGTTTTACGGCGTCTACGAAAAGTTTCGATCCAAGTCGGTCTGAGAGTCGAGGCTGCAGCTGCACAACTTCTGGGCTCTCCTCGTGCCATAAACCGCCATGCTTGTTTTATATGAGACGTCTCTTGGCTACTGCCTCTTCAAGCTCACCGACTCGGCAAAAATATCCAACGACAATGTCTGGGAGGACTTCGAGACACCAGAGAAGGCTAACAAGCTGTGGGTTATTCGAGTGCTCTCGCATCTTGTGTTATTGATGATTTTTGTCCCCCCCTGTGCGCGCACGCTCTCATACCGATATCATAAAGCTTGAAGTTGAAGTCATTGCATCGCTTCACGTCCACGGCGACTGCGGTAGAAGAAATCACTGCGATTCAAGAGGGCAAGCTTGGAAAAGGCCTTAAGCAGTTCTTGTCAGACGAGATTGTCGGGAAGGGCAAGGGCAAGGATACATTGGCCGTCTTTGATGCTAAACTCGGTGCGCCCCTCTTCACTGTCGTTCTCATTCCAGTAGCATTGAGCACCTCGTCGTAGCCCGTTCAATCAACAAAAAGCTGGGTATCAACGTCATTGCTGACGGCTCGATGGACCTCTTCCGCGGTATCCGTAGTCAGTTAGCGGCGCTACTGAACGGCTTAGACCCGAAGGACCTGGCTACCATGAGCTTAGGTTTGAGCCATTCGTTGTCTCGGTAAGTGCTTGTGACGGTCTGTCTAGGACGTAATCGTAAAACTTCTTCAGGTTTAAGTTGAAGTTTTCGCCGGACAAGGTCGACACTATGGTCGTGCAAGCGATTGCGCTGTTAGACGACTTGGACAAGGAGATTAACATCTACGCAATGCGTGTCAAGGTTGGTGAAGCTGCATCCACAGAATTGCTGGCCCCTGACCATGTAACAGGAATGGTACGGCTGGCACTTCCCTGAACTGGCAAAGATCATTGTCGACAACCAGGCCTATGCCAAAGTCGTCAAAGCCATGGGTTTGTGTCTCACCGCAGCCCCGTATCCCAGGTTTCTCATCCTACATTACTCCACAGGTTTCCGGACCAACGCGGCAACGACAGACTTTTCTGCCATCCTCCCCGAGGACCTTGAAGCGACTGTCAAGGCAGCAGCAGAAATATCCATGGGCACTGAAATCTCTGACAGCGACATTGCACACATCAACTCCCTTTGCGACCAGGTCATTTCCATCACCGCGTATCGGACGCAACTGGCAGAGTACCTGCGGAATCGCATGAATGCGATTGCACCCAACTTGACTGCTCTTGTCGGCGAGCTTGTCGGCGCACGACTTATCAGTCATGCTGGAAGTCTGCTCAATCTGGCAAAGCACCCTGCGAGTACCGTGCAAATCCTTGGCGCTGAGAAGGCTCTTTTCCGCGCTTTAAAGACGAAGCACGACACGCCCAAGTATGGGCTTATCTATCATGTATGTAATCATGAAAAACGACTGTCTATCTGCAATATTAAAGATCATCATAGGCTTCTCTCATCGGCCAAGCGCCGCCAAAACTGAAGGGCAAAGTTAGTTCAATCCATAATTCTTTCTTTTGCACTCACTCAATTATTCACATATCAGATGGCCCGCATGGTAGCCACAAAAGCTGCCCTTTCCATCCGTGTTGATGCGTTGACAGATGTTGACGATAAATCTGAGCCGCAAGCACCGTCAATAGGTATCGAGAACCGCGCTAAGTTGGAGTCACGGTTGCGGGCGCTCGAGCTGCAGGGCGATGCATCTGGCGTGCGGTCTGCGATGTCTGGACGCAATCAGCAACGCTTTCAGATGTCTGGAGAGGCGAAGACGTACAACACGGCCGCGGATGCTGTTGACCTTGTCCCAACGCAGCGCGAGCCGATGGAGCAGGCGGTGAAGGCGGTGTTAGACGTCAAGGCGGAGAAGCAGAAAGCGAAGGAGGAGAAGAGGGCCAAGAAGCGGGCGGAGAAGGAGGGTAAGACTGAGGCATCAGAGCATGATGCGACGAACGAGAAGATGGACACAGACGGGGAGGAAACGAAGGAGAGCAAGAAGGAGAAGAAGCGGAAACGGAGGGAGAGCGAGGCAAACGGGGATGTTGCTGCTGATTCTGCTAAGGTGTGTACGGCATGGCATTCCTTTGAGCGCATCTCACTCTCTGGTCTAGACCGACGAGGAGGCTGCGGCAGAACGCAAGGCGAAGAAGAAAGCCCGTAAGGCGGAGAAGGTCGCCACAGAAGATGCGGGCGAGTCGTCAAAAAAGAAGCGGAGAAAGTCTGAGGCATAGTTTACTCTGTGTGCCTGTCTTCGCTTGTCATGTTTTTGTCACATATCTCTGATAATGTAGCTTTCGGTTGTCGACATGTTAACGGCGAATCTGAACCAAGCGGGAACATCATTACCCACTATCCGACTCCCGGTGAGATTGGCGAATCCTCACTAGCAGTGACTGACGCTCTACAGAGTCGAAGTCATTGAGTCTATGTGCGCTGGGCGGATTGATAGCCTCCACCTTCCATGCTAAGTAGCTTAACATATGATCGAGATATGCAGCACGAGTTTAGCTTGTGTCTCATACTGTTATCATAGTGACTGGTGGAACAACAGCAGGCGGGGCTTGCGGTGTGAGGCTTAGTAGGGGTCGCAACCATCGCGCCCCATATGAGACAGCAATAACAGGCCCACCACTATGATAGCGACCGCAACGTTCAAGGTGTTATCGTCGGCCCCAGTGCAAATTAAAAGTCAGTTTTATTGAGATAAAAGAGGTGTAGTCCAGCTTGCCGTGTGTGCCCCTTCGCACAGCGTATCCGGCTAGGCCAAGGAGGGTGCTAGACCGTGTCGCCCATGCAGATTCGCCGTTGAATGCTTTATGTAGAAACTCTGGATATTCCATTTGTCAGCAAGGTGTTCGGGCTTCATCCCACCGTAGGCTCACCACCAGGGATGACGGGCCCGAGTCGCATGGCCTCGCCGGGTCTCGCATACGGGAGGACCAAGATCACTCTTGAGATCTTTACCAACGTACCGGCTCCACAAAAATCAATGGCGGAACGTAGCACCATGGCAAATGGGTGACTTACCCGATAGTGTCCTTCAACCCGTGGTGAGGTGATAACTATACTAGCCGGAATGTAAACGTCACGTACAACATGTGCCATTCTCTGCCCGACCGTTCAATTCCCAACGTAAATCACAGTCTGCAAAAGTCCCACCAGAAGATCACGATGCAAGGCAAAGGTTTTGCATTCTGCATCATTTATTGAATTCTGCAAGTCTCTCTGCCATGTCGGCCTCCGCTGGATCCGCTGTGCTATGTCCTGCACCAGTATCGCAAGAACCCGAGATCTTGTGCTGACATCTGCGTCAATGCCAGCATATGCAGCACACAACACGGAGTGTTTACCGTGGTGAGAATAACTCTAGCTCATCTATCAGGCTGAGTTCCTTGAGCTAAACAGCGGCAGTGCTCCGACTGGCCCAAGGGTATTTTCAAATTATCCTGTCAGGCTATGTTCCGTATTTGCGGATTATTCTATCGTATCATTGCACTACGCCTACTAGAATTGCGATGGTGGCGGCGGTGACAGCTTGCTCTTCGTCCAGACAGTCACTTATGAGCATGTCAACTTCTTTATTTGTGTCAACATAACAAAAGATGAATATACACTAGTATGACAAGACTCTGAGGTACGCTCCAGCGCACCTTATATCTGTAGGAATTGTTGATTGAGACGATACGTAACATGAATACTAGACAACGTGCGCTGTAATTTCTCGCTGAGTGCGCAAGTTGGATGATAGGAGGATCTGACTCACCTTTAGGAGAAGGGCCCGTCGACTCCATCAGGGGATACATTTGAGCTTCCAGAAAGTAGGTTGGCAAATGTAGATGATACTACACCCAGTAGATTGGCTAGATCGATTGTTAATAAGGGAGGGGACGCAGATTTTCGGATCCTATTCACCGATAGTGGCTTTGAGACGCCTTCTGGGCGATTGTGCAGTCGTTTCAGTGCATTCGAGCTCTCTCCAGGTTGAGATTCGACTGTGACTGTTGTCGCGAACAAACTGCGTGGTCTTCTGCCTCACTGTAAGCTCAAGCTGTGAAGAAGATGACTTGCGAGTGCTCACTAGGAGATCGACGCGCTTGCGGTAGACCTCGACATTCGCGGTTTCAAGGTCTGCCTTCAATTGGTTTCCGAGCCACGAAGACACCCATTGTGTGTGCAAACCAGCAGCACCTGCCTTTACACAAGAGTCTTCTCTTCTATGGCATCTCTCATCTTTTGTGGAAAGGGAGGTCAGCCTCAATAAGAGACACGGCGTAATAGACGTTATTCCTTCACAAATGCCTCCATGGTGTGCATGAAGCCGGGAACATTTCCCTCAATGGTCATTCGTTCGAGGGGATTGATACGTGCCACGAAGGTTTCGAGATCTAATAGTGCCTGCTTCGCTCGTTCCGCTTTCGCAGTTGCCGTGAATGGCTTCACCGTCGCGTAGCCGGTCATACCAGTAGCGATTGTGGTTATTGTGCCAGTGACAATGCTGAAGATCACGCTAGTGTCACTGGTGACAGGCCAGCCTTCATTGGATGACATCTCGGAAGTGGCTCCTGCAGCGGTATGAAGCTAGACTACGGATATGTGCATAGTGGGAAGCAAAGTGCAGGTATTATTATCAGCCAGCTGTTCGCCTACCAGTACGGAATGAGTCTTACTGAGCTACTTTGAACTACAGTGGTTTTTGAGGTCCTTTGCGACCGCCGAGCGCTTTCATAATGTTCGAATGAAAGAGCACATGGTGGGCATCGGTCTCATGCCATGTGGTGTATGGATAAGGGAAGGCCTTTGTTGTCTCGTAAATATCAGTTGTAAGTGGACCTTGGAATCGCACCGATTGCACTGACTCGGCGTTGCCGAATACCTGCGTTTACCGCTTTCAGTGAATCATTTTGTATCAATTGTCAGAAATGTTGACGGACAAGCACGTCCGTACGCCCCATGCGGATATGCGCGCGCATGACGTCGCATTATCGCGTCGGGATAGGCACGATGTTATCGCGCCCCTGGTGCCACTGTTCTTGCCTGTAAATACCCGGTCCTCTTTGTTTAGCCTGCGCACCATAGATACAGATGACTCACCTTACTATGGCACGCTATATACCTGTCAATTTCACGATGCGAGCTTCAGTCGATATTCCACTCACTGAAGCTCGTAAGTCATTTCTTACCTCTAAGTACTGTACACATGCTGATCTCCTGTAAAGTGACCGAACGTCGTTAGGTACAGTAATATGCGAGTCGATATTCCACTCACTGAAGCTCTGACCGAACGTCGTTAGATCCGACATCACTCGTACCTCGTTAAGAAGAAAGTTGTACAAGGAACGTGAGAAATCAGGAAAGACCTACCCCAAGAGGTACAACGTGCCGTTCTAGAGCAATACTCGTGAGCGCTTCTAAGTTGACGGGCGTGAGATTAGTGTGGGTCCATGTGTTGCTTTATTTGGACATTCATCCGCAGCGTGCGCTTACCTTCCACCCCTACATTCTCGTTTTGTCGCTCGCTCATGCGAGACATTGTATCAGACCACGAGTATGTCAGTCAGTTAAACCGCAACCGAACGCCAAGCAAGAATTGCGGCCTCTCAAGAGTTATTCTCGAGTCTTTCCAACTGGGAACAACGATGGAGAGATCGTCAGCAGTTTCTGCAAAGCCGCGGCTACATGTTGCATCCTAGATATCGGCCAGGATGGGTACCTTCATGGAAAGGAACAACTGAACATCCAAGACACTTTGATGACCACATAGGGCTTTTTGTAAGCTACTGTCTCACCAAGGCATATCGACTCATCTCACTCAATGCATCAGTTTCGTGAGCACCTTGTTGACGCTACCACAATTGAAGATGAAGAGCTCGTGTACATAAAGCGAGTGAAGACAGGGGACACAGAATCCACCATTGCTGCAGGGTTCTCCGCCCCGCCTCTGTGCGATGATCCGACAAATCACTCTGTACCTATCCTGGATCTCTTCCAGGATGAGGACGATGCTAGCATTTCATATATGGTCATGCCATTTCTACGCCTTGTGAACGAACCCCCGTTTAACGCTGTCGATGAAATGCTAGATTGTGCCGATCAGTTGTTGGAGGTGCGTGGTAATGTAGGTCACGAAACCGTCTTTGACGGAGATGACCAGGGCCTAGTCTTCCTACATAAACATGGAGTCGCTCACCGGTAATGAACATTCCTCAGGATACTTGTGATCGGACTCACAGGGCATTAGGGATTGCTCATACAAGAAGTTGATGATGAATGCTAATGCACTCTACCCCCGCGGTTTCCATCCGGTCTATGACATTCTGTTACCAGATGCACGGACAGTGGCTCCATATCACTCCCGCAGTCGTGTTCCAGTCCAATACTACTATGTCGACTTTGGCATTTCCGTCCACATTCCTCCAGACGTTCACCCCAAGCTAGTCACCGGAGCTTTTGGGAGAGACCAAGAAGTCCCTGAGCTATCTGAAAATGTTCCGTACAATCCATTCAAGCTCGACGTCTTCATCATTGGCAACTTCTTCCGCCGCGAGTTCCATGACGTGGGTGGCGCGGGTGGTGCGGTCCGGGCTGCTGTTAATAATTGAGCCAGAAATTCTCCAACGTGGACTTCTTCCTTCCGTTGATAGAATCTATGACGCAACAAGATCCAGCAGCAAGACCGACTGCTTGTGAGGCGCTTGCGCAGTGGCAGACAATTCGTGGCCGTGTGTCTTATCTGCATAAAATATGGAGACCACGGGCACGCGAAGATCCATTGGTAGTCAAGGCGGCATACGATACTTATTCTATTATACGAGGAATGTTCTACACTGGAAAGAACCTCTTTGATCGAGCAATGGATATCCAGGGATAGCGTAGGATTATCTTCTATATTGCCTTCGTGATAGGCTATACGGAAGCGGTACGCTACTCATTCTCACGACTGTCTACTATCATCTTGGGGTTTTTCATTCATATCAATTGATATTTCTGGATATTCTGGATAGATGCAACATCGCGTGCTATCATCGAGCTTCTACGCGGACATTTACGAATTTGCCTCAATGTGTCAACATCGACGTGAGAAGACGACAACAAGGAGACACGACGCTAGTTTGATATCTGCTTCATCATTTCGGCTGTTATCACGGCACAGAAAGCCGTTTCGTGCATGTCGTAGCCAACGATCTTGCAGAGAAGCCGCCGTTGTTATTGTTTATCAGGAGTAATGGATCCATTCCTTGGTGCTGTCATGGCTTTGATGAAGGATAACAGTACTGGCGCATGCAATCGGCTGGCGTTGCTATGGATGAGCTGGGAAAACACGGCCTCGTCGCATGACAGTCGCAATTTTACAACATTGTTGCCTAGGTCTAAATTTGTAACGTAGCATGTTGGTTTTAATTGTGCCCACAAAGGGCTTCTGAGACGTCTTGCATCTCGTCAGCAAGCTTTCATGTCGTACCCACCATCTGTCAAGATCGCACTTCTGGCAATATCTAGGTCTCAAGCTGTAGCCCGGCTTTAAGCTAACTTTCAAAAGGGTTGACACTCCTGCCATCTTGCTTCATGCACGTTAAGCTTTGACCGTAGCTCGTGTTCATATTCATAGGAAGGGATCGGAAGTTCGCGGCCAACCGTAATGCGGCAATGGAAGCTCAACAGGAAATGTACAAAATCCGACAAGACTACGACGAATTTCCGGTACTTTCTATATTGTATTCATGTGGCGACGCAGACCCATAGGGACCCTCATCGACAAGGCGATGTACCCGTGTATATATCAAGAGACATCGGCTGTCTCGGCTGTAAAGAAACGAAGAAGAACATGGAATGATTTGAAGATGCCCGCGACTTGCCAAAAGACCAGAGACCTACCCGCGGCAACGCTCCTGATTTTGAAAATAGACGCTTATCGTTATTTGTTTGTTGCACGTTGCACCCGGCGCCGGCGTCCGCGTTTCTATATAGTCGCACATATCAGGAAAGGACCCCTGATAATAGGTGATAATGCCTTGCCTGAGCCGCCTTGTCTTATACCCGTCCAGTTTTATCCCGCATCCTGGTCAATCAGCGGTGGCGGCGTCGGGATAAAACCGGATGCGTATTAGGAGACAAGGGCCGCCGCTTCTGAAGGTCCGGACGACCCTCCGGAGAAATGAATTGTACGAAACATCGCACCGGTTTTCTCCTTAAGTCCGGTTCACGGTTCAGAGATCCTTTTCAGTAAATACATCTGAATCGAGCGGACCAGGCCTCCAAAACGCGGATTTTCGTCTGGACGACGGACTTGTGCTACTCCTTGCAGGGTCATAGCGCCGCTCGCGAACACAGACTATGGCGGCCGCAGAGCATAACATCTGGACTCAAGGAGGCCGTGATAATTCGTTCTTTATATGGGACCTGCACTGGGAAGAGCTCGTCCGCATCATCCGCCTGTTGTACAGCACGGCATCATTCGAGAGGGCATTGTAACAAGACAATGTTATTCTGTGTCTGTTTTATGGAATTTGTTACGAGCTTTCATCGATTGGAATTGGTGAATGATGTAGCACAAATATATATAGACAAAGGTATACGTCAGACCCATTCCAGTCAACCTTGTAGTTCCATGCCCCATCCAAATAGCCCCCTAAGGGAACTAGCAACCATTGTCCGAAGATGGATAGCATCGCGTATGAGTGTTACCAGCCAATTGTCACTGCGGGATTGAAGCCTCCATTGACGGTGGAATCGGAATATAGTCCGTCGGATCGATTGCCACTGCTGTAACGCTTCCTGAGCATTTGGTCTACTCGCAGGATCATGTTGCGTCATCCTTTGAATCAGAGGTAGCAAGAAACCGACATTGGAATATTGCTGTCACCAAGTGTTTTAATATTGTTACAGAATGATCCTCTTCTTGATGGTAACGACTTACATCGTGAAAAATTCTCTTGAGCATATTGCCAATAATGAAGATGTCCACTTTAAACGGGTCGTATGGGACAGTTAAGGACAACTCCGGTACATCTTGGTCGCGGCCGAAATCACCCAAGACGAGTTTAGGGTGAATATCAGGAGGAATGTATACCGATAAGCCGTAGTCGACGTAGTAGTACTTGATCGGCACCCGAGACCTTGGAAAGGGCCGTGCAGGAGTTCTGGCATCAGGCAGAAATACATCTTTCACAGGATGGAAGCCTTGAGGGAACATTTGGCTGGCATCCATCATCAGATTTCGTTCCGAGCAGTCACTGTCCAGCTCATTATCATGGAAGGAACATGCATTGTACCGTCGCGAGCTACTCACCGGTGAGCGACACCCTGCGCGTGCATGAAGACGAGCCCCTGGCCACATGAATGAGCCTGATATACATAGTGGAGCACAGAGTGCGCACATACCGTCATGATTTGATCCCCGAATTCGACTATGTCAAGGACTAACTCGAACTCCGGACGATCTATGAGGCGTAGGAATGGCATGACCATATACGACACACTGGAGTCATCGCAGTCCTGGAATAGGTCAAAGATAGGGACGCTATGGTTACAGGGATTCTGTCTGAGTGAATCTGCTGAGAGCATAGTCGCAATCTTCGACTCATTGTCACCTGTGCCGACTCTCTTGATGTAGACCAACGATCCGTCAGAGATGCGGGTCGCGTCGATGAGGTGCTCGCGAGCCTACTAGAGCATGTATATAGGAGGTACTTCCTCAACGGCAAGTGCTTACCGGTAGAGATATGGAATCCTCGAAGGACATAGGATGTTCCCCGGTTCCTCTCCACGATGGAATCCAACCCGGCCGATACCGGGGTCGCAAGGCATAGCCTTTAGCTTCGAGGAAACCCTGGCGTTCTGCCCAACGTGCTTCATATGCATCTAGAACTGACCATAATTGATCATCGAGCTGTTGAGGAGAGTGATCAGTAGGCGAACATGAAGATGACATGACGGTATGGTGAGCAACACGGGCACTTGAACTCTTAGAATTAACACTGACAGTGACGATCCCACGGGGTATAGGCGCGAGGCAACGCTGAAGGAGCGTTCTAGACGCCCATGGGGATAACTACACGTGCGCGGATCTAAAGCAACAGACGAATTTCGCGGCCATCGAATACGCTTCTAAGTTCATCATCCATCCAGAGCTCCGGATATTGTAACGAACGGAAGACATTTAAGTTGAAACTTGAGGTTTAGGGCGAGCTTGCACTACGGATCCCATTGGATTAGATACTGATCGTATGTGTCCTCGCGCATTTGTACCCTTCTCATCGCCTGTCCCAGCAAATTTCGGGGTCGACCACCGAGTCAGCCGTCTCCCATCAACAATATCCGAGGCACCACAATGGACTTCGGAAATCTCACGTGCCTTGTCACAATGTTTGAGCTAGCAATATTGGTCATTCACCTCAATAGTGTACTCCATTTTGAGCAGCGCGTGAATGCGGTCGCCCTGAAGCTATTGTCTCAGTGCCGCGTTACGTGTAAGGAACATATAGCGGGCGTTAGAACTCACGTCACCTTAATACAATGACCATAAGTCCTGGAGACGCTATTGCCGATCAAGTATTCGTTGTATTGCCCACATAAGCCATGTCCCGGCTGGATACTGACATCGTGGCATCCGCCTCGAGGCATACCGAGGGTATATAGCCCCGTGGGCAAAAGCAGTCAAAACATGACAGTCTCCTGAGGCAGGCACCTCCCCCAACTCGCCAGGTTCGAAACATTCCTTCGCCCAAGCAGCGAGACAATCAGGAATCAACATCATGGTGAGCATGTACTACTTTACGAGTCTATGTGGAATCACTAAGCTCACGTTGCTCCAGGCTGGATGGACCAACTTCGGTAATGCAGCAAACATACTTGCCGTCGTGCAATTTGTCAAGGATGCTCTGAAAGAAATATACGATCGTATAAGCACAGCAGAGAAGAAGCTCGCGGAAGTGAAGAAAGCCCTCGACGGCTGCGAGTCGCTATTAGAGCAGATGCTGGTCAAGGACCCGCTGCTCGGAAAGATCATCGAGAAGCGTCATCGGCATTTCATTTCATTATTCGAAAAGCAGGTCAGAATGTAAGTCGCACCCATATTCGATTACTCCGTATCAGCTAAGTACTGCAGAGCACGAGCAGAGCACGACAAATATCTGGAGAGGATCATAGCGAAAGAGTCTGATGTGTCATACGGAGAGCTCCTGAAGTCGATAGAGGCCTTGAAAAATACTGTCAATGACCTATATTGCGATAAATTGGTGAGTTGAGCAACATATCGTAACTCTGTTTATTAACTGAATTCAACTCAGCGCACTTCTAATGCGGTTCGCACGGAAGAACCTATCTACCAAGAAATGTACGACAAATGGTACCATAGGCCTCCCATTTATCCGGAGTATATATTGGATTTGGAACTTGATGCGGTGTACAAACGTCATCAATCAAGGAGTAACGACTTCTGTGTATATATTGGTGAGATTGAATTTATTCGGATCCATAATTGCTAATGGGCACCACGGCATAAAAACCCCCACGACCTCGGATTCGGCTGGAACACATACATGTACGCCGCAGACGGGACCTTCGGACACACCCTCGCTCATTAATATGCCTGGTTGGTCTCCTCTATTCGCGCCAGTCAAACCCGCTCTAATGTCGGAATACAGGCGCATTGTACGTGTAATGGTTGCGATGGATCATGATATGGCAAGGATTACCCATATCCTTCCTCTCCCTGCCGCTCGTAGATCTTAATGTAGTGTTGCGCTCTGCGGTATTCGACAACATGCACTAAGTACAGAGTTGGACAAACAATCTATTGCAAAAGTCAGAGGGTCAATGAGCCGAACATGGGGGATTGACCGAGGTACAGTTTAATAATGCGGGATATCGTGCTGCATTGTGAGGGCTTTCCCCAACTATACCAGGAATCTGTCGGTATTGTTTCCGACGTACATACACACTGCGTTGGCTGGCAGCTGCGAACTTGTCCCCGAACGGAGCTCCCCCAAACTAGCCGTACGTGATACTTCTAGTGCAAGAAACTAAACACCAGAGCACAAACTGAATGAGTCGTGCTGCGTACCAACTGATGGACGCTGAGGTACACCACCCAGAGCGTGTCTACTACTGTATAGAGAACTTCGCTGCGCATGAGCCATTACAAATCTGCGAAAGAAAGACAAGAGAGAGTTTGCTGGCAACAAGGTTCATCCTCGGTCACGAACCGGGGCCGCATGCGCCGTACAGGAACAGATCAAAAAGCACCCAAACAGCCGCTTCCAATGGTATATCAGGCCCATGTGCATCTCCACAATTGTTCTGGGACCACGTTCTGTGTCATCATCCAGAAGCATTCCCGCTCACCAGAAGCTTCGGCAATGTGACTAATTCATCAGCCCTGGGAAGAACTCGTGAGCAAGTTATTCAATGGAAGGCCTGAGTTGCGCCGCTAGTGTACAGCAATGTCATGTCAACATAACACTCTTGTTGTCAAGGGATAGGCAGGCACACTTGCAGCATCTAGAGCGTTTTGGATGTCGACTGAGCCAGACTGCGCTACCTTGTGAAGAGCCTTGTTCAACCTCAGCCGAAGGCTTCTACGGATGTGATATAGATCCGCCACACTGCCATACAATTGACGCAGATTCGAAGGAGTTTGCCGACTGAGGCATTTCTGTGCGATTGCGTCTTGATACTGAGAGGACATAGGACTTGACCAGTGACATTGTTATCCCTGTCTGTCAATAAACCTCCCTGATTTGGACATTGTTTTCTGTTGAGACTTTCCGACTCTTCGCCCTCCGGTCAACATGTATTAGAAATCCGGAGACTCGATAAGCGCGGTGGTGATAAGAATCTGTCGCAGTAGATCTGTATGTACAAAGTCGACATATCTGACCTAAGTTGTTCTGGAAAACAGTGACTCGTCAGCACACTGTGGTGTTCAACTCTAAAATGCCACCAAGAGTGATATGGCTAGTCATCTCATTGTTCCTACTCACATGCTCATTTTAGACCGAGCAACTGGATGCATCATGATGCTCCCTGACTCAACATTGTCAGCAAGTGTGTAATCTCAAGCCAAAGTCGAGCACTCACGTGTCTTGAGCAATACCTCATGATAAAGCACTGTCACAATTCAAAATTTGATAGACAGCATTCTGCTTTTCACAGGTAGAAAAAGAGCAACAAGACGTGGAACACAGAGATGCAGAGGTAAGCACAGTACTAGTACTTGTTAACTTTCGCCTGGGGACGAGACGAGGGGAGTGGGAACGCGGACGCGAGCAAGCAAAATGGCAGGATTGTTACAAACACGTGGGGGCCAAGTACGGCCGCGCTACGTTGTCTCGTACCCATCCCCCCGTATCCGCACCCCACCACCGCGAAAAGGGGGTCTGGGGCAGTTAGATAGGCGCACCCCCCCTGGCTTAAGCGCCCCACAAGCGCCGGAATGTAACGGTCACAGGTTGCTTCTGGTACCTAGAAATGATGCGATCTTTGATCGCTTTCCAAATCCGGTACTCACACCTAGCAGGTCGTGCTCGAGACTGGTGGACGCTACATTGTGGTCTGCTACAGAATCTCAAGTTTACTTGTTTCAAGCATCTTAGATAAGTCTCATATACTATATCCACCAGCAACCTAAGTATTCCATGAGATATACCCCTCCAGTAACATCATGAGGATGCCACAGGTACTGAAAGGAGAAGTTGCAGCTTTCATTATGATGCTTTCCACATGATACTTCATTTGGTCATAAACTTACAGGCTGAGTCTGGCATAGATACTTTTTGTGTGGCCTTTCAAGTATTTTACAAGCTCAGATATGCCTTTGTTGACACTGCCTCGAGCACGACCTGCTAGGTGTGAGTACCGGATTTGGAAAACGATCAAAGATCGCATCATTTCTAGGTACCAGAAGCCTACTGTGACCGTTACATTCCGGCGCTTGTGGGGCGCTTAAGCCAGGGGGGGGTGCGCCTATCTAACTGCCCCAGACCCCCTTTTCGCGGTGGTGGGGTGCGGATACGGGGGGATGGGTACGAGACAAGCGCTACGGTACAAGTACTCTACGGGATCGATGTATTTTATTTGGCAATCGTGCTACGATCGTTCTCCCGGCTAGGCACAGGGCGCGTCGGGTCGGCCCGCTCGACACCGCGGGCCCCACAATTTAACAGTACTTAGCGCCAACGTAAGCTTGTTGTGCTGTGTTTGGATCAAATTCCGAGTTCCCTGATCACATCAACCCCGATTCAATGATCACAACCTATAATAGGTGCACACAATCATGTACAGTTGGTTCCATATCGATGTGAAATCTTGCCTGCAACATCACTTTGCTGGGTCCAGCCAGGTCGGGACCATGGTCCCGACCAATGAGACATACTGTAAGATACAAGCTTCATACTCAGCATCTCAAGTTGCTTCTCTAGAAACAAATGGTTATATTTGGTGTCCATGTCTCACTCAGTTAGACTTATCATTGTTCCTGAACCCTTTGACACATTCCTCTGAGCCATCCCACTTATGATAAAACAGTGCATAACACTAGTGTCGTGACTTAAGGTCAAGTGACAGAGGAGGGACAAACCTAAAAGCTGGGGGCGTTTGATGTGGTCTCACCGAAGCGATGGTGAGCGAAGCTCAAACCTAAGGCTAGGGACAAGTAAGTTAGCATAGGAAAGTAAGTATGTACAGGGGCTTACTGTCGCGACTTAGGGTCAAGCGACAGGAGAAACACAAACAAAGGATGCTGGGGGCGTTCGACTGGTTCTTACCGAAGCGATGGTGAGCAGGGCTCAAACCTAAGGCTAGGGACAAGAAAATGTATTAGTTAGTAGGGTAAGAAAAGAATACAAATGAGGGCTTACTGACCTAGGGACAAGAGGTCGAAACTGAGGTCCCTAGGGCAGCAGAGGCCGGCTTATATACAGGGGAAGTTTAGGGGAGGCTGTGCGTACTGGTCCATGCACAGCTGGTCCGTGCGCAGCATGCTGACGCGGCCCCGGGGGCCGGTGAGTCAGGGCGGCTGTGTCAGCGGAGCCCGAGCTGTGCCGCGCACTGCCGCCCATCTAATCTAATCGTACAGTAGATAGTGATGCGTCCATATCAGGCATGTAGTACAGAGGTCGCGGGTTCGAGCCCGCGAAAGGGAAAAAATTAAAAAACGGCTAGATGCCGTACCAACTCGTGACATTACCCCCCCCTCAACGGCGCATGACCTCATGCGAGGTGCCCTTGCCCATCTCCCACCCGGAGCGGCAGTGTGCTTCAGTCAGCGGCGAAGGCATTGGCTGAAAGTTGAGACCACCAAAGGTAGCAGTGTTGAGGTGACAAGGGGCGTTCGGATTCTTCCGGTGAAAGTCGGCTATGAGGGCCGGCGCATTCGCGACATTGTGCACCGGTTCCCAAGACGTATGCGAGTCGTCATAACCCTTCCATTTGATGAGGTACTGCAACTGATGCCGGAAGATCCTCGAATCCTTGATCCGCTCTACCTCGTACTCCTCGTCGCCCTCGACCTCGATCGCAGGCGGCTCCTCTGGCTCCCGGCCCGGGATGTCGCTACGCGTGTACTTGCTTAGCAGGGAGACATGGAATACCGGGTGCACCAGCACCGACTTCGGCAGGACTAATTCGTAATCCAGGTCTTCGAGCTTTCGCCGCATGGCATAAGGTCCGAGGCGCTTGGGACTGAGCTTCTTGCTCGGCTGTTTCAGCTTAAGGTTCCGGGCATCAAGCCAGACCTTGTCCCCCAGCGCGAAGACCGGTGCCTCCTGCACGTGCTTATCATAGTACACCTTCATGCGCTCGGCTGACAGCTCAAGCGCAGAGCGCGTATCGTCACGAATCTCCTTCAGGATCTTGAGCCGATCAGCGGCCGCGGGCATCGCAGACATCGGATTGATCCGCACTTGGATCTCAGGATTGTACCCTTGATGCAGGAAGAAAGGGGAGTGCCCGGTTGCGGAATGAACTCGGTTGTTCAGCGCAAATTCCGCAAGCGGCAACTGCTTTGCCCAATCATCCTGCCTGTGGCTGGTGAAGGCACGTAGGTACTGTTCGATCTCCTGATTCCAGCGCTCAGTCTGGCCGTCCGTCTGAGGGTGGAACACTGTGGATAGTGCCGGCTCGATTCCCAGTCCCTTGTATACCGCATGGAGATATTTCGAAGCGAACTGGGGACCTCGGTCTGATATGACCTTGGCCGGGGCCCCATGATGCTTGAACACATCGCGGATGTACAGGTCTGCCGCACCTTCTGCTGTCAGGGTCTCATGACAGGCCGAGAAGTGGACCTGCTTAGTGAAGCGGTCGGCAGTAACCAGGATCGAGTCGAATCCATCAGAGTTCAGCAAGCCAACGATCATATCGGTTGTGATGATCTGCCACGGTCGCTTGGGGATCTCGTTCGGCTTCAGCGGACCCTGGGGTTTGGCGGGGAATGTCTTGGTACGGTTGCACACGTCGCAGGTGCTTACGTACTCATTGACGAATT